GGAACGCCTAACGATAAAGATTGAACAAAAACATTTTTCGATTATGATTGATTATCATTCTTTCGAGAGAACAATCATGATTTGTTTGGTTTTTCTGATGGCAGCTGTTTTAAGGGATCAAAAGTGAACGTGATGATAGCACGTAGGGTGTGATTAAAGTTGAAAAATCGGGCTTTTTGAACTGAAACAAACACGGAAAAGCAAGTCAAGACGAGTTTATAACCATTGGGATGCGTCTTTAATTTGGATACTTTTCATTCGAAATCCTGAAAAAAATTATTTTTTTTTCTCGGTGAAACAGTAAAATTTAAAACTAATTAGGCTACTTCAATTTCAATTTTTTATTTTTTTTTAATTTTCGAAAAATCCACAAAAATTCAAATGTATATAGTGAAGATTTGTGGAAAATATCCATTTTTGTTGTGTTATGAATTTTTTCAAACGTATCTAGTTCAACATATTTTATAGTATTGAACCAAATAATGCCAAACGGGCGGGCCCTATTTACTCTTTGACGAAGTTTGGAATTGGCGATTTCGCCTTGTTGCGTTCCTTTTGCTGTCCTTCCATTCAAAGACCTGCCCTTGCATCCTTTTTTTTTCGCTCTGTGTGCCTCTTTTGGCAACGAAATTGCATTTATTTCGAGTTTTTTTTTTCTCAATACATGTTCCAAATTGATTGAAAAATTATTTATTCAGTGAAATCATCAACCATCAACGAAAAAAATTACAAAAATAAGAAAAACAAGAGCGAAAAACGTTTTTTTCGAATCAAATGAAAAAAACGTTGCGAAAAAAATCTTTTTCCTATTCTGTCCCAAATTTTTTATGAATAGCTCCCAGAAACCTTCTTTTTGAAACAAAAAAATCTCTTTGTTTCTGCAGGAAAAACTGACTTTTTTTTTTGACTTTTAGTTGGGCCGTGACATGGCGGCAACTGTTCTCATTCCCTGAGTCAAAATCACGCTCGCTGGCTCATTTTACGTCTTTCTTTTCTCTTTCTTACTATTTTTGATCAATTTTGAAGCTTTTGCGCGTTTCCTTCAAGTGCAAAAGAACGTTCTCGCATATTGATAAGAAAATTGGGAGCTGTTTCGAAAAAGCGCGTGCTATTTAGGAGATTAACGGCGTCATAATGGTGGCTGACCGTAAAAAGTAACTGACTGATAAGAAAGAGATAATGAATGAATGTTGCATTTTTTCGGCATTACTTTCAACGAGTTGAAGGCAGATATAAGCTTTTTATTGTTTTTCTTTTCTTTTTTGGCTCAAACTTTTCAAAATTTGTCTTAACAAAAAGGTCACTTACTTCACGGATGGCGTTTTTTTGAAAGTTTGTCAGGATACTCTTTGATGGACCAGATGAAAATCGTAAAAATCTCCCACTGCAAAAAAATTTCTAAATTTTTGAGGAAAAAAACGTCTCAAAATCTTGAAAAATCTTCAAAATTTGTTAAAATTGGTTATTTGGGGCTCTGAGCTTTCATTTTTTTCGAAAAACTAGGTACTGGTGCAAGTTGAGGCTTTCAGAATCTGATTCTGATACATCAAAAAAATCGTTTTGACCTAATTCGACGATATTACGAACTGCAAAGCATACTAAATTTTATCAAGAACATCAAGAAAGTCTGAAATAATAATCAGGATGCTCTTATGACATCCCTTTTTCAACGAGGTTTTTGGATAAACACCGAAATTTCATTTAATTCTTACGGTTCACAGGATTTTCAATGAAGCTGAGCAATATTCATCAGCTTCCCAGGCAATCCATTCTGAAGGCTAACCTCACCAGGCTCGAACAAGTCTAAAAATACACTTTTGCAACATTTTTATCACCAGTGGGTGTAGCGAAACCCCATTGAAGTTGATAAAAAAAAGGAGGCGGGCTGATCACACGGAAACCGAGGAACGCCGGTGGAGCATGTTTTCGGCGGCCGACGTCAATCACATGGTCGGCACCCTCTTCAGTCCCCCACCACTGGTTTTTTGGTTCCATTCCTCTTGAAAATTTAATTTTTCTCTTTATTTTATCGGCATTCTTTTGGCGCGCCTCACAATGTAGTTGTTTTGGCACGACTAATTGTTTTATGGAGGTTTTCTTAAATTTCTCAAAACATGGAAGAGCAAAAATCAAAAGTGTTAATTTTGATAGACTTAACTTTTCTTCTCAGAAATACGCTTTGGAAAAAAAATTTTTTTGATTTTTTGGAATATTTCAATCAAAAAAACGCAAACATTGAGTCATAATTTAATTTTCATTCAAGTTCTATTCAATGCTTGCTGTCATTTTCCCATACTTCCATTAGCTATACTCAGAAACATTAAACTTTACGATACCAAAATCTAATTAGAAGAAAAAAATGTTTGAAGCTGTAGAAAGACCTTTCTTAGCAATGGTCCTACAGCTTTAAGACCCCTTCATTTCAAGCCTTTTTCTATCAATTTATTAGTACATAACCATTGCAGCTGACCAATTTCATTGCGAAAATCAATATAACAGCTAGTGAAAATATTTACGAGGCCGACTGTCCTTTTGCGCAAGCTGCCAGCAGAAAAAATAACGAATTGAAAAAGTCCGCCGGTGGTTTTTGCTGCACAGATGTGCTTTAATTGCAATTTGAGTGTCTCACCACATTTTCCTATTCATTTTCTTTAGACTTAGTTACAATTTTTGCGTTGTGGTGGTTTTAGGGAGCTATAAAATTGAAAAAAAGTGTGGCTGAAGCCAAAAACAAACTTCTTTCTTAATGCAACAACAATCACAAAATGATTCTAAATTTCTCAGTTTTTACGACTTCTTCCTTTTTTAAGGTTCTTTTGACTTTTTTGCATAGAATTGGCAGTTTTTTTTTTCCGGCCAGTAAGGTCGCTGACGGTGTAATCAATCAGAAGTTTTTTTGTTTTCAAGAAACGGCACTTCAAAGGCTCAAACCGGTTGGTGAAACGGCAGAAGTTTTTTGATTAGTGCAAAAAAATTACGATCGATTAGGAGATCGATTATTAATCTCATTTTCATCTTTTTCGTGGATGATCAAAAAAGAAAAACCATTTCCATTATTTTCTTTTCCGCTTGTTTCAGAACAGTTGGGCCGCGTTTCGTTTCCAAACAAAATTTATTATTTTCTCGCTTTTTTTCCGGAATCTAGGAAAAAAATTCTTTTTTTGACATGCTTCACAAAAGATCGGCACAAATCCCAAAAAAATAATTTATCAGGTATTTCCGAAAAAATCATTTTTTTCTACAAGCTATCAATTTTTTTGAGAAGGTTTTTTTCCAGCCTGAAAGGAAATCAAAGAAGGACATTGTTTTTTTCATCCAAGCGGAATAAAAATATTTTTTTCTAATATTGCAAAAAAACATTAGTCATCTCTAATATTTCAAAAACAATACGCCCACACGTCAGTTTGTTTCAGAACTTTAAGTCCATTCCCATTGACGTTTTCCGCTCCTTGCTCTTCCAAAGTCCTGAAACACCCTACAAGTTTTTGATTTTCTCAATATTCTAAGGTGATGCAAAGTAGGAATTTGATGACATATTGAGCCCTTTTTTTTTACCTAATAGCTGTACGAAAACAAGACCAATTTTTCAAGATAAAAGCTGCTCAAGGAAATAAGAAGTCATGACGAGATTTCTAGTCTTCTTGCCATTTTTCAGTTTTACATGACAACCACGATTTTTTTCTGTCGGGAACAAAGTCACATCTCAAACAAGGTAAAAGTCAATATTCATCGAAAGAACAATAATCGAGATTCCATATCTCTTTGAGCTTATAGCCGAGCTCATCAAGAATCTTTTTGGCACTTTTCCATGATATTTTCCAGCTCATTCTCTTTATTTCCACTCTCATTCATTTGGAAATTTCGAAGAAATCGTTGCAATTGTACGAAAAAAGCTGCATAGTGAACGGTTTCCCAAACAACAACGACCAAGACAGAAAAAAAAACGCGTGGGAGCGACGATTTGTCGATTTATCGCATGCACGAGGCTCAGTTGTTTCGGTGTTTCGCTACGTTTTTTTTTCTGCCCGACCGCCTGTCCCTCGCAGCTGCACTCAGGCCTGCAGATCGGTTCTCTTTAGCATTAACACAACCGTTCCTTTTTGCCTGAAATATTTGGTTGTTTCCTTATTACAGTTTTGGATCATCAACTAAGACTTTTATTTGTCTTCAATAAAAAAATAGACCTGATTCATCGACAGGAGAATTTCGAGAAGCCTCGGAAAATTAAGGAAAACGTTACAAATATGAGTTTGAAGTCCGAAAATCAAGCAAAAACCTCCGAACACCTCTAGAAACTTTTTAAAGCTGTTCTAAAAAAAAAGATAGAAGAGCTCTGATTAAATTCTTCCCCGTTAAAAATCAACGGTTCTGTGAATAAATGATCAAACACTCGGATCGATTGGAAATTTTCATCGACTTTTCCCATTTTCTCTTCCAGTCTTCTAAAATTCCCATCAGGTCAATTTATAATTCAGCGCCTCTGAATTTTGCCTTGCGAAAACAATTTTTTTCTTTTTCAGATCATTCAGAGAAGAAACGAGCTTCTGTTAGACATAAAAGAACCTTATTTAGAATACTTTCATTTTCAAACTTCGATTATCGCAAGTCCAAGTTTGCTAAATTGAGTCGAAAAAAATTTTTTTCATATATTTTCATATTCTTCGAAAAAGCGTATTTCCGGAGACTTCTCAAAAAGAAAAACTGTTTTTTTAATCCACTTCCAATGACGATTCGAATCCTTTAATCGATCAATGACCATTTGAATTCGAAGTTGGCGCGCGAATTGTTTTTTCCGCCTGCAACTTGCCCTTTATACAAATGGTGCCCCGCGCAACGCCATTTCTCCGTTTTCGAGTCCGATCCCATCCACAAACTTTCTTACAGTCCTAATCTTTCTTTTGAAACCATTGCGTTCCATTTTTGAGATCTCGATGACTAAACGGCATTTTTTCAGCTATCACCTTTTGTGAAAGAGTGAATCCCGAAATCCACGCATTACGATGAGGTCTCCACTATCCGTGAGACGTCTCCACACACGACAGCAAGTGACGATCAACCAGCGAAAGGCCTGGGGAAAGGCAGCCAAAAACCGCCGTGAACGTCAGAAGCAGTGGTGAGGAGCTTTTATTCGAGTCATTGGACCTATGAAGTCAGAAAAGCTGCAATTTTTCGCAAGAAAATTGTGATAGCCTGGTAAATCTCTGAAATCGAATCAGTCGTCTTATTATCCGAAAACAACGAAGGCTAACATAAAACTTCTTTGAAAATTGTTCAAAATTTTCGAATGAAAGAAATCAAGGAAGTTCTGAGTGAAAAATGAGACTGCCCTCATAAATTGCAACAATCTGAAGCTTTGAGCTTTTCATCATTTTTTAACAGTAGGAAGCAAATTCTACCAAGAAAACCTCTCAAGAGCACGAATATCTCGGAACCAAATCGAATCAATTCATTTTAGATAAAGAGTATTTTTTCATATGGAAACATAAAGATTTTTTTCAAAGAAACATTTTACAGGCAGCAATCGACTGTGCTCATTGATCCAATCGCCCTCTTGCGCGTCCAGGTGTTCGCTTCGCTGTCTCTTGTCGAAGCTAAATACGAGAGAAAAGAGGTAAAATTTCAAATTCCATAAATCTTCCTTACAAAACGTTTTTTTCCAGATTTCTGAAGAAGAAAAAGCGAAACGAGCCGACAAGAAGCGACAGAGAAAGGCCGCCGCCCGAGCTGATGATGCCGCCGACCGTCTGGAAAAGGAACGACTTGCCGCTGAGGTGATATTTATCACGGAATTTCTTCATACCGCCTCTGAACTGATACAAATTTTGTATATTCAGCGCGAAGCCCGCCGTGAAGCCGCCGAGGCTGAGAAACGTGCCGCTGAAGACCGCCAGCACCAGGAATGGAAGAAGCGAGTTGAAATCGAGGAGCGTGAATGGGCCGAGAAGGAAGCCAAGCAAAAGGCTGAAGAGAAACAGAAGAAGTCCGAGAAAGTGAACGAGCCAAAGTCGGACAAAGTGAGGATCTGATTGATTTTCCTCCTAAATATATTATTTTGACAGGGAGCCAAGAAGAACAAAGGCAATAAGACGAACGATTCCCACGAATCCCAAAGCAAGCAAGAACCGAATCATGTTTCGAAGGTGAGCCTGAGATCCACCAAAAAATACCGTTTAGTTAAAAGTTTATTTTCTACTTTTTGGAGATTTCTAGAAATCGGTTTTAAAAAACGAAAGGATGATGAAAAAGGAAAAAAAAAATTAATGGAACCATTTCAGGCCGCCAAGGACGTCAAAGAGCCCGTAGTTGTGATGACAGTCAAGGCTACCAAGGCTGTGAGTTCTATTATAAAAAAGCTTTTTTTATTTCAAAAATAGGAAAAAAATTGAAAGTGATGATTCGGCACGTTTGAATAACGAGAATTTGGAATTAATTTAAAAACAGAATACAGCTTGGTGACCGCTAACTAATTGAAAAATGCGATATATTTTTAACCATTTTAACATGGTTCTGAGATATCTGCACTCTGGATTGACTAAAAAATATGAGAGGAATCTCAAACTGAATACAGATTAATAAATATTTTTAATTATTCTCGATTTTCACCTGATGGCTCTAGAAAAGCTTTCTTCTAATTTATTGAAGCTTCAACTTTACATGTATATTGTTTCAATTACTTTCTACGAACAAACGAGATCAGCACTATTAGTCAACAATAACTAGAATGCATGAACCTCATTAAAACGTAACCATTCAGGAAAAGAAGTCCAAGACGCCCAAAACGAGCGAAAGCCAGCCAGAACAGACTACCGTCGCCGCCGCCCCTGAGCCAGAAGTCGTGAAATCGGAAAATGTTCAGAAAACTGAAGCGAATGACGTTAGTTACCTTCTATTTGACCCACTGCGAGAAGTGTATGGGCTGACATGCCATTCGACATTTCCAAGTGTGCACCCACCTTTCACTATTCTATCAAAGTGCACGAAATTTTCTTCTTCACGTTGTCATGTGGCTCCATAGCACTATTGCACTTTAGCTTCACTTTTTCACGTATTCCACGGAGCCTTTGCTCCGAAATATCAGACACGACTCATAAGGAAAAGTCAAGGTTTTTTTGAATGAAAAAAAAAAACGAAAAATGGAGTCGTGTTTGTTTCAGACCCAACTGAGAGTGTTGCCGTGACTTTTTTCGGTTGAAATTTGAATATTCACATTTATCTTGCATGCATGCACTTAGCAACGGTTCTGTGGAATCACCGTAGTTGATGAAACTGCTGGAGAAAATGTTCAGCAAATCGGAAAGGAAAAGGGATCGAAATCATAGAAACTTGAACCAACCCATTATTTAAGCAAGAGCAGCAGGTTGGAGAAACCTTGGTCACGTCTACCGATAACGCTCAAGAACCCGATCATCACTTGGAAACTGACTCTCAAACCGTCCAAACTCCCACTAAGCTGTCGGAAACCGACGAAAAACATAGCCATGATATTGAAAATCAACATGAAGACTCTGCTCATGTAATTAATGTAGATAACACTGTGCATACTGAAAATAGCGCGACTGACGCATCGCAAAGCAACTCCGACGTGCACGACACTGTACAAAAGCAAGACATGACTGAAATAGAAGCACATTCGGATAAACATGTATCCGCATATGATTCTCCACCGACGAAACCTGATGAGAACGGAACTATCGCTGACAGAATACTGAACATGGTCGGTTTGACAACAGCTCACGAAGAAAGCACTAACGACTCTAAATATCCCGACGATGAAAGAGACGACTCCGGGCATCATTCAGCCGAAGAGAAATCTGACGAACCTATAACCGAACTTGCATCAACAATCAGTGCTAAAGTGATGGACTTTTTCGGACTTGCCCCGTCACAAGAAAATGATTCTGCACAGGAAACTGAAGCTCAATCACAACAGGAAAACGTCGAAGAGAAGCCAGCTGAACATCGAGCCGAGGAAGTCCAGCACATCTCCTTGGAAAATGCTGGGGATGAACACCTTCACCAAGCTGAGCCTCAACATGACAACGTCGAAGAGAAGCCGGCTGAACATCAAGCCGAAGAAGCTCACCACATCTCCTTGGAAAGCGCTGGAGATGAGCATCTCCACCAAACTGAGCCACAACACGAAAACGCCGATGAGAAGCCGGCTGAACATCAAGCCGAAGAAGCTCACCACATCTCCTTGGAACGCGCTGGAGATGAACACTTTCACCAGGCTGAGCCTCAACATGACAACGTCGATGAGAAGCCGGCTGAACATCAAGCCGAAGAAGCTCACCACATCTCCTTAGAAAGCGCTGGAGATGAGCATCTCCACCAAACTGAGCCACAACACGAAAACGCCGATGAGAAGCCGGCTGAACATCAAGCCGAAGAAGTTCACCACATCTCCTTGGAACGCGCTGGAGATGAACACCTTCACCAAGCTGAGCCTCAACATGACAACGTCGATGAGAAGCCGGCTGAACATCAAGCCGAGGAAGTCCAGCACATCTCCTTGGAAAGCGCTGGAGATGAACACCTTCACCAGGCTGAGCCTCAACATGACAACGTCGATGAGAAGCCATCTGAACATCAAGCCGAAGAAGCTCACCACATCTCCTTGGAACGCGCTGGAGGTGAGCATCTCCATCAAGCTGAGCCACAACATGACAACGCCGATGAGAAGCCGGCTGAACATCGAGCCGAGGAAGTTCACCACATCTCTTTGGAAAGCGCTGGAGATGAACACCTTCACCAGGCTGAGCCTCAACATGACAACGTCGAAGAGAAGCCGGCTGAACATCAAGCCGAAGAAGCTCACCACATCTCCTTGGAACGCGCTGGAGATGAGCATCTCCATCAAGCTGAGCCACAACATGACAACGCCGATGAGAAGCCGGCTGAACATCAAGCCGAAGAAGTTCACCACATCTCCTTAGAAAGCGCTGGAGATGAACGTCTTCACCAGGCTGAGCCTCAACATGACAACGTCGAAGAGAAACCGGCTGAACATCAAGCCGAAGAAGTTCACCACATCTCTTTGGAAAGCGCTGGAGATGAACACCTTCACCAGGCTGAGCCTCAACATGACAACGTCGAAGAGAAGCCGGCTGAACATCAAGCCGAAGAAGCTCACCACATCTCCTTAGAAAGGGCTGGAGATGAACATCTTCACCAGGCTGAGCCACAACACGAAAACGCCGATGAGAAGCCGGCTGAACATCGAGCCGAGGAAGTTCACCACATCTCTTTGGAAAGCGCTGGAGATGAACACCTTCACCAGGCTGAGCCTCAACATGACAACGTCGAAGAGAAGCCGGCTGAACATCAAGCCGAAGAAGCTCACCACATCTCCTTAGAAAGGGCTGGAGATGAACATCTTCACCAGGCTGAGCCACAACACGAAAACGCCGATGAGAAGCCGGCTGAACATCAAGCCGAGGAAGTCCAGCACATCTCCTTGGAAAGCGCTGGAGATGAACACCTTCACCAGGCTGAGCCTCAACATGACAACGTCGATGAGAAGCCGGCTGAACATCAAGCCGAGGAAGTCCAGCACATCTCCTTGGAAAGCGCTGGAGATGAACACCTTCACCAGGCTGAGCCTCAACATGACAACGTCGATGAGAAGCCATCTGAACATCAAGCCGAAGAAGCTCACCACATCTCCTTGGAACGCGCTGGAGGTGAGCATCTCCATCAAGCTGAGCCACAACATGACAACGCCGATGAGAAGCCGGCTGAACATCAAGCCGAAGAAGTTCACCACATCTCCTTAGAAAGCGCTGGAGATGAACATCTTCACCAGGCTGAGCCACAACACGAGAACGCCGATGAGAAGCCGGCTGAACATCGAGCCGAGGAAGTTCACCACATCTCTTTGGAAAGCGCTGGAGATGAACACCTTCACCAGGCTGAGCCTCAACATGACAACGTCGAAGAGAAGCCGGCTGAACATCAAGCCGAAGAAGTCCAGCACATCTCCTTGGAAAGCGCTGGAGATGAACACCTTCACCAGGCTGAGCCTCAACATGACAACGTCGATGAGAAGCCATCTGAACATCAAGCCGAAGAAGCTCACCACATCTCCTTGGAACGCGCTGGAGATGAGCATCTCCATCAAGCTGAGCCACAACATGACAACGCCGATGAGAAGCCGGCTGAACATCAAGCCGAAGAAGTTCACCACATCTCCTTAGAAAGCGCTGGAGATGAACGTCTTCACCAGGCTGAGCCTCAACATGACAACGTCGAAGAGAAACCGGCTGAACATCAAGCCGAAGAAGTTCACCACATCTCTTTGGAAAGCGCTGGAGATGAACACCTTCACCAGGCTGAGCCTCAACATGACAACGTCGAAGAGAAGCCGGCTGAACATCAAGCCGAAGAAGTTCACCACATCTCTTTGGAAAGCGCTGGAGATGAACACCTTCACCAGGCTGAGCCTCAACATGACAACGTCGAAGAGAAGCCGGCTGAACATCAAGCCGAGGAAGTCCAGCACATCTCCTTGGAAAGCGCTGGAGATGAACACCTTCACCAGGCTGAGCCTCAACATGACAACGTCGATGAGAAGCCATCTGAACATCAAGCCGAAGAAGCTCACCACATCTCCTTGGAACGCGCTGGAGATGAGCATCTCCACCAAGCTGAGCCTCAACATGACAACGTCGATGAGAAGCCATCTGAACATCAAGCCGAAGAAGCTCACCACATCTCCTTGGAACGCGCTGGAGGTGAGCATCTCCATCAAGCTGAGCCACAACATGACAACGCCGATGAGAAGCCGGCTGAACATCAAGCCGAAGAAGTTCACCACATCTCCTTAGAAAGCGCTGGAGATGAACATCTTCACCAGGCTGAGCCACAACACGAGAACGCCGATGAGAAGCCGGCTGAACATCGAGCCGAGGAAGTTCACCACATCTCTTTGGAAAGCGCTGGAGATGAACACCTTCACCAGGCTGAGCCTCAACATGACAACGTCGAAGAGAAGCCGGCTGAACATCAAGCCGAAGAAGTCCAGCACATCTCCTTGGAAAGCGCTGGAGATGAACACCTTCACCAGGCTGAGCCTCAACATGACAACGTCGATGAGAAGCCATCTGAACATCAAGCCGAAGAAGCTCACCACATCTCCTTGGAACGCGCTGGAGATGAGCATCTCCATCAAGCTGAGCCACAACATGACAACGCCGATGAGAAGCCGGCTGAACATCAAGCCGAAGAAGTTCACCACATCTCCTTAGAAAGCGCTGGAGATGAACGTCTTCACCAGGCTGAGCCTCAACATGACAACGTCGAAGAGAAACCGGCTGAACATCAAGCCGAAGAAGTTCACCACATCTCTTTGGAAAGCGCTGGAGATGAACACCTTCACCAGGCTGAGCCTCAACATGACAACGTCGAAGAGAAGCCGGCTGAACATCAAGCCGAAGAAGCTCACCACATCTCCTTAGAAAGGGCTGGAGATGAACATCTTCACCAGGCTGAGCCACAACACGAAAACGCCGATGAGAAGCCGGCTGAACATCGAGCCGAGGAAGTTCACCACATCTCTTTGGAAAGCGCTGGAGATGAACACCTTCACCAGGCTGAGCCTCAACATGACAACGTCGAAGAGAAGCCGGCTGAACATCAAGCCGAGGAAGTCCAGCACATCTCCTTGGAAAGCGCTGGAGATGAACACCTTCACCAGGCTGAGCCTCAACATGACAACGTCGATGAGAAGCCATCTGAACATCAAGCCGAAGAAGCTCACCACATCTCCTTGGAACGCGCTGGAGATGAGCATCTCCACCAAGCTGAGCCTCAACATGACAACGTCGAAGAGAAACCGGCTGAACATCAAGCCGAAGAAGTCCAGCACATCTCCTTGGAAAGCGCTGGAGATGAACATCTTCACCAGGCTGAGCCACAACACGAAAACGCCGATGAGAAACCGGCTGAACATCAAGCCGAAGAAGTTCACCACATCTCTTTGGAAAGCGCTGGAGATGAGCATCTCCACCAAGCTGAGCCTCAACATGACAACGTCGAAGAGAAACCGGCTGAACATCAAGCCGAAGAAGTTCACCACATCTCCTTAGAAAGCGCTGGAGATGAACATCTTCACCAGGCTGAGCCACAACACGAGAACGCCGATGAGAAGCCGGCTGAACATCGAGCCGAGGAAGTTCACCACATCTCTTTGGAAAGCGCTGGAGATGAACACCTTCACCAGGCTGAGCCTCAACATGACAACGTCGAAGAGAAGCCGGCTGAACATCAAGCCGAAGAAGTCCAGCACATCTCCTTGGAAAGCGCTGGAGATGAACACCTTCACCAGGCTGAGCCTCAACATGACAACGTCGATGAGAAGCCATCTGAACATCAAGCCGAAGAAGCTCACCACATCTCCTTGGAACGCGCTGGAGATGAGCATCTCCATCAAGCTGAGCCACAACATGACAACGCCGATGAGAAGCCGGCTGAACATCAAGCCGAAGAAGTTCACCACATCTCCTTAGAAAGCGCTGGAGATGAACGTCTTCACCAGGCTGAGCCTCAACATGACAACGTCGAAGAGAAACCGGCTGAACATCAAGCCGAAGAAGTTCACCACATCTCTTTGGAAAGCGCTGGAGATGAACACCTTCACCAGGCTGAGCCTCAACATGACAACGTCGAAGAGAAGCCGGCTGAACATCAAGCCGAAGAAGCTCACCACATCTCCTTAGAAAGGGCTGGAGATGAACATCTTCACCAGGCTGAGCCACAACACGAAAACGCCGATGAGAAGCCGGCTGAACATCGAGCCGAGGAAGTTCACCACATCTCTTTGGAAAGCGCTGGAGATGAACACCTTCACCAGGCTGAGCCTCAACATGACAACGTCGAAGAGAAGCCGGCTGAACATCAAGCCGAGGAAGTCCAGCACATCTCCTTGGAAAGCGCTGGAGATGAACACCTTCACCAGGCTGAGCCTCAACATGACAACGTCGATGAGAAGCCATCTGAACATCAAGCCGAAGAAGCTCACCACATCTCCTTGGAACGCGCTGGAGATGAGCATCTCCACCAAGCTGAGCCTCAACATGACAACGTCGAAGAGAAACCGGCTGAACATCAAGCCGAAGAAGTCCAGCACATCTCCTTGGAAAGCGCTGGAGATGAACATCTTCACCAGGCTGAGCCACAACACGAAAACGCCGATGAGAAACCGGCTGAACATCAAGCCGAAGAAGTTCACCACATCTCTTTGGAAAGCGCTGGAGATGAGCATCTCCACCAAGCTGAGCCTCAACATGACAACGTCGAAGAGAAACCGGCTGAACATCAAGCCGAAGAAGTCCAGCACATCTCCTTGGAAAGCGCTGGAGATGAACATCTTCACCAGGCTGAGCCACAACACGAAAACGCCGATGAGAAGCCGGCTGAACATCGAGCCGAGGAAGTTCACCACATCTCTTTGGAAAGCGCTGGAGATGAGCATCTCCACCAAGCTGAGCCTCAACATGACAACGTCGAAGAGAAACCGGCTGAACATCGAGCCGAGGAAGTCCAGCACATCTCCTTGGAAAGCGCTGGAGATGAACATCTTCACCAGGCTGAGCCACAACACGAAAACGCCGATGAGAAGCCGGCTGAACATCAAGCCGAGGAAGTTCACCACATCTGTTTGGAAAGCGCTGGAGATGAGCATCTCCACCAAGCTGAGCCTCAACATGACAACGTCGATGAGAAGCCGGCTGAACATCGAGCCGAGGAAGTCCTGCACATCTCCTTGGAAAGCGCTGGAGATGAGCATCTCCACCAAGCTGAGCCTCAACATGATAACGTCGATAAGAAGCCGGCTGAACATCGAGCCGAGGAAGTCCAGCACATCTCCTTGGAAAGCGCTGGAGATGAGCATCTCCACCAAGCTGAGCCTCAACATGACAACGTCGATGAGAAGCCGGCTGAACATCAAGCCGAGGAAGTCCAGCACATCTCCTTGGAAAGCGCTGGAGATGAACATCTTCACCAGGCTGAGCCACAACACGAAAACGCCGATGAGAAGCCGGCTGAACATCAAGCCGAGGAAGTTCACCACATCTCTTTGGAAAACGCTGGAGATGAGCATCTCCACCAGGCTGAGCCACAACACGAAAACGCCGATGAGAAGCCGGCTGAACATCAAGCCGAGGAAGTCCAGCACATCTCCTTGGAAAGCGCTGGAGATGAACATCTTCACCAGGCTGAGCCACAACACGAAAACGCCGATGAGAAGCCGGCTGAACATCAAGCCGAGGAAGTTCACCACATCTCTTCGGAAAGCGCTGGAGATGAGCATCTCCACCAGGCTGAGCCACAACACGAAAACGCCGATGAGAAGCCGGCTGAACATCAAGCCGAGGAAGTCCAGCACATCTCCTTGGAAAGCGCTGGAGATGAACATCTTCACCAGGCTGAGCCACAACACGAAAACGCCGATGAGAAGCCGGCTGAACATCAAGCCGAGGAAGTTCACCACATCTCTTTGGAAAGCGCTGGAGATGAGCATCTCCACCAAGCTGAGCCACAACACGAAAACGCCGATGAGAAGCCGGCTGAACATCAAGCCGAGGAAGTCCAGCACATCTCCTTGGAAAGCGCTGGAGATGAACACCTTCACCAGGCTGAGACTCAACATGACAACGTCGATGAGAAGCCGGCTGAACATCGAGCCGAGGAAGTTCAGCACATCTCCTTGGAAAGCGCTGGAGATGAACACCTTCACCAGGCTGAGCCTCAACATGACAACGTCGATGAGAAGCCGGCTGAACATCGAGCCGAGGAAGTCCAGCACATCTCCTTGGAAAGCGCTGGAGATGAGCATCTCCACCAAGCTGAGCCTCAACATGACAACGTCGAAGAGAAGCCGGCTGAACATCAAGCCGAGGAAGTTCACCACATCTCTTTGGAAAGCGCTGGAGATGAGCATCTCCACCAAGCTGAGCCACAACATGACAACGTCGATGAGAAGCCCGCTGAACATCAAGTTGAGGAAGTTCACCACATCTCTTTGGAAAGCGCTGGAGATGAACACCTTCACCAGGCTGAGCCTCAACATGACAACGTCGAAGAGAAACCGGCTGAACATCAAGCCGAAGAAGTCCAGCACATCTCCTTGGAAAGCGCTGGAGATGAGCATCTCCTTCAAGCTGAGCCTCAACATGACAACGTCGAAGAGAAACCGGCTGAACATCAAGCCGAGGAAGTTCACCACATCTCTTTGGAAAGCGCTGGAGATGAACACCTTCACCAGGCTGAGCCTCAACATGACAACGTCGATGAGAAGCCGGCTGAACATCGAGCCGAGGAAGTCCAGCACATCTCCTTGGAAAGCGCTGGAGATGAGCATCTCCTTCAAGCTGAGCCTCAACATGACAACGTCGAAGAGAAACCGGCTGAACATCAAGCCGAGGAAGTTCACCACATCTCTTTGGAAAGCGCTGGAGATGAACACCTTCACCAGGCTGAGCCTCAACATGACAACGTCGAAGAGAAACCGGCTGAACATCAAGCCGAAGAAGTCCAGCACATCTCCTTGGAAAGCGCTGGAGATGAGCATCTCCTTCAAGCTGAGCCTCAACATGACAACGTCGAAGAGAAACCGGCTGAACATCAAGCCGAAGAAGTCCAGCACATCTCCTTGGAAAGCGCTGGAGATGAACACCTCCACCAGGCTGAGCCTCAACATGACAACGTCGATGAGAAGTCGGATGAATATCAAGCCGAGGAAGTCCAGCACATCTCCTTGGAAAGCGCTGGAGATGAGCATCTCCACCAAGCTGAGCCACAACACGAAAACGCCGATGATAAGCCAGCTGAACATCAAGCCGAAGAAGTCCAGCACATCTCCTTGGAAAGCGCTGGAGATGAACACCTTCACCAGGCTGAGCCACAACACGACAGCGTCGATGAGAAGCCGATTGTCAACTATGCTCAAGAAGAAATTCAACCCTTCGAGCCGGTTAGTGAGCAAAAAGTAGCCGACGAAGGCCAGTCTTCTGATAAAGTAAGCTCACCAATTCCCCTTTCCACAGCCCTTACAGCCGACAAGGAATCTGCTCAAGCAGCCGAAGAAAGTCAGTCGCCTGTGGATCAGCCGGAGCTGGAGTCGCTTCAGGCGAAGGTTGGCCAGATGAAAAAAAAGATTATGCAGTGTATGCTATCACTCACCCTGTAGCACGTAGTACTAGCTGTTCTGTTTCGTTAACATGGTTTTCAGCTTCTCTCCTCTGTTTTTATGAGTTCTCATTAAATATCATAATCTCGAGATTTGCAGACTGGCAAGAAGAAGGACAAGAAGAGCAAGAAGGAGGCTAAAGATCAGCAAGAAGACGTCATTGTTAAAGAAGTCGCCGCTCCTGTTGAATCTGAGAGAAAATCGGAAGACTTCGAGGTATCGAAAACTGGAAATATCTAAGGTTTAAGCTTCAATTTGTAGGTCGTTCAATCGAAGGATGTTGTCCAAGAAGAAGCTCCAGCTGCAGCTGAGGCTGCTCAAGCTGACGATCTCGATTTCCTCGACTTCGTGACTTCCAAAGACAGTCGTCATGTGCCTGCAACCGAACCGGTCAATGAGGAAGCCGCTGTCTCTGTAGATGTTCAGGCTCAGGAGGCCGCTCCGGCTGAAACTCCGGAGCCAGCTGTGAGTATTTTTTTCTTTCGAATTTTAACAAATTTATACGGGTAAACAAATAGTTAACGTCTATTTCCGTGTCTGAAAATGCAATTTTATCTTTTCATCCCAGCTCTATGAGTTTCAAATTTTCAATCAATAATTATTTATTGAACTTCACAGTGAACCTTTTTCCTCTCAATCAAGAAACGCCACCCAAAAAAAGTGTACAAAGGAACTTTTCGAAATAACATGGTTCTGCGAAATTTGATCCCGAATGTTGTTTTCTTGACTCTTACCCTAGAAAAACCTCTTAACATTCAGAACGACCACAAGAAGAAGAACAAGAAGGGCAAGAAACACAGCGAAAGCGAGAACCACGTTGCCGAACCTGTCAAAGTTGAAACTGTTACCGAAACTGAGCATGCCGACAAGGATAAGAAGAAGAACAAGAAAAATAAGAAGCACAGTGAGAGTGAGAAGGCCTCGGTTGACGTTCACCAGGAGCATGACGTTGAACCCAAGGTTATATTGACTTTATCAGAAATGATCAAGTACACCAAAAAAATCAGTTATAATAAACTCCCCATAATTCAATCAATTTTCTAAAAAGCAAAAAAGAAAATAGATTTTTGTTCGATTCTTGACGTCCTCACTACGATATAAATCAGTTACCCTCAACAAATCTTTCTTCCATTTGGCATTTTATATTTGTATTGTGCTTGACGACAATCTGAATAAACCCTTTCAGGTTGATGCCAAGGTCGATAACGCTGATATTCATCAAGACCTCGTTGTTGCTCAAGAAGACCTTCCTGCTGCTGAAACCAACGGAGACGAGGACGGATTTGAGGTCGAGCACAGAAAACAGCGTTATTTTTCAAATCGGATTTCAAATTCAGTATTTTTTTTCCATTTATTATTTTTTTAGACCGTCCATTCGAAAAAAAGAGCCGAAAAAGCTCGCAAGAGCGAAACCGAACATGCTGTACAGTCTCACGAGGAGAAAACTGCCCCAGCTCCTGAACCTGCGCCAGTTACGGACGACCTCGACTTCTTGGACTTCGTTACAAGCAAAGACTCCCGTCAAGCCCCTGAAAACGAACCAGCTCTTGATGTCGAACTCACGGACGCCGCTGCTGCAGCCTTGAAGCGAGCTGAATCAGCTCACAATGAAGAAGATGGCGCTCATGAGGTGATTTTTCATTATTCATGTCAAAGAATGAAGCTAATATCTCACCATATCAAAGTAGTTATTGAATGAATTTTCGCCCCTTCAAAATTTCATCACTTCAGAAGCCAAAATAACCACACTGATCATAACGTTGTCTATTTTGCTACCAAAAAAATTTATTTTTCAAAAACTAAAGTAAAAATTATTATCCACGATCTTGTCCGAAATTTCAAACCAACACCGCATGATTGCAAGCATTCCTATTTTAACTTTTTTCCAGGGCTCCAAGAAGAAGAAGAACAAGAAGGGCAAGAAGCACAGTGAAAGTGACAAGCATGCCACTTCTGAAACTGCTGTTGAACCTGCCGCTGAAGCCGCCGTTGATGAAGAACACGTGGTAGAAAAGAAGGAAGCCGCTGAAACTGAACAATCTGATCGCTCCGGCAAGAAGAACAAGAAGGACAAGAAAAAGAGCGAGAGCGACACGAAGACGCAAGAAGAAACAGCTGATGTGAAAGCTTCTGGAGAACAGACATTGACCGAAAAAGTTCTCGACTTCGTTGGCCTTGCTCCGAACAAAGAGGAAGGTTCGGAGGAATCCAAACCGGCTGAGGAAAGCAAGACTGTCACCGAGAAAGTGCTCGACTTTGTCGAACTCTCTTCTGACAAAACTGACACTGCTGAGGGTGATGAACCTGCTGAGGAAAGCAAGACTGTCACCGAAAAAGTTCTTGACTTTGTCGGACTCTCTTCTGAAAAAACTGAGAGTACTGAAAGTGAAAAACCTTCTGAAGAGCCTCAAACCGTCACCGAAAAAGTTCTTGACTTTGTTGGCCTTACTACGAAATCCGATGACCAATCTACTGAGGAGCCCACGACCTTGACTGAGAAAGTTCTGGACTTTGTGGGACTTGCACCGAAGACGGAGAACGTTGAGGAACCAGTTGAAGAAAAGAAGGTTGAGGCTGACCACTCTGCTCCAGCTGCCGACAAAAAGAAACACAAGAACAAAAAGAACAAGAAGCACAGTGAGAGCGAGAAACGCAGCTCTGAAGAGCCAGTAGCTCACATTTCTTTGGAAAGTGCTGGTGATGAACATCTCCACAAGGCTGAACCTCAGCACGCCAACGAAACTCCAGAGACGAAAGTTCCAGAAGACGTGCCTCATATCTCTCTGGAAAGTGCTGGTGACGAACATCTTCACAATGGTTCTGTTGTTGATCATGGAAAGAGCGGCAAGAAAAATAAGCACCATAAGAAGGATAAAAAACATAGCGAAAGCGAGAAAACGACAACGACCGAAATTGCAGAGACCAAAAATGTGGAAACTGCTGTTTCTGATGAGAAGGAAGAGCCTAATGCTGAGCACACCGATAAGAAAAAGAAGAACAAAAAGGGAAAGAAGCACAGTGAAAGTGAGAAGGCCGCCACTCCTGAGCCTGCGGCTGCTCTCGACGTTGAAAAGAAGGATGTTGGGGAGCCTGTCGCGGAGGAGAAACATGAAGCATCTCCAGAACACACTACTGAGAGGAAAAAGAGACACCGAAAGAACAAGAAGCACAGCGAAGGCGAGAAGAGCGCTTCACCGGAAAAGACTATCGTCGCCGAGTCTGAAGAGACAAAGAGCGAAGAAGTTTTTGAAGAAAAGAAGGAAGCTAGCCCTGTTGATCATTCTACACCGGCTGGAGACAAGAAAAAGAAGAACAAGAAAAATAAGAAACACAGCGAAAGTGAGAAGCACGCTTCCCCTGAACCAGTCGTTTCTGCTGTTGGAGGAGTCAAGACTGAAGAAGTTGCCGAAATCAAGAAAGAGGCCAGTCCCACGGAAAATGTTCCAGCTGCTGACAAGAAGAAACACAAGAACAAGAAGAACAAAAAGCACAGTGAGAGCGAGAAACGCAGCTCTGAGGAGCCGGTAGCTCACATTTCTTCGGAAAGTGCTGGTGATGAACATCTCCACAAAGCCAAGCCTCAACACGCCAATGAAGCTTCAGAGACGAAGGTTCCAGAGAACGTTCCTCATATCTCTTTGGAAAGCGGCGGAAACCAGCACCAGTCTGAGAGAATAGTCATTGAACTCGTCAGGCCTGGAAAGAAAAACAAGCACATCAAGAAGAGTCGACACAGTGAGAGCGAGGCTGAACACAAGAAGGATAACAAGCCAAGTGAGACTAAAGCCGTTGTTGAGCAGAAACCTGAGTCTCCTGCTGGCCGTCAGATCGACGATTCTCTCGACTTCTTGGACTTCGTGTCTGCTAAGAAAGAAGAACCTGCTCAGGAGGCACCGGAGACTCCCGCTGCGACTCCGGCTGAACCAGCTCAATCTGGCCGTCAAATCGAGGACTCTCTGGATTTCCTTGACTTTGTCTCTGCTAAGAAGGGAGAGTCAGCCCAAGAAACACAAGAAGTTGAAGCTCCAGCCCCGGCTGAGCCAGCTCAGTCTGGTCGTCAAACCGATGACTCTTTGGACTTCCTCGACTTCGTCTCCGCCAAGAAGGACACCACTGAAGCTTCTGAAGAAAGCAAGCCTGCAGAGGAGCCGTCTCTGACCGAAAAAGTTCTGGATTTGGTCGGACTTGGATCCAACAAATCTGAAGAAAAACCTGCCGAGGAGGGACCTACCTTGACTGAGAAGGTTCTGGATGCGGTTGGCCTTGGATCGAAATCTGAGCCAGTAGAGGAGAAGAAGAGCAGCAAGAAAAACAAGAAGAATAAGAAGACGAGTGAAAGCGAGGCGCCGAAGCATGAAGTTGAAGAATCCGTGGTCAAGACTGAAGTTGCTCCTCTTCAAGCCGCTGATAACCACTCCGTTGACAAGTCCTCCAAGGTTTATTTTAATCATTTTTCCTCAAGAATAATATCGATCAATAGGAAAAAAAGCATCAAATAAGCGCAATATATTTGTACGTTTTTTTCAAAAACTGAGACACCAAGAATGCTTCCCGTGATTCAGTATCAAAATTGTCCAAATCCCTCAAAAAATATTGCATGTTATCCAGAAAGCGCATATTTCACACGTTCACCACACCACGTAAGCACCCAAATAACTGGATTTCATCCAAAACCGGCAAATTTACTGCTCAATATTTCTGTTATTTGTAGAACGGAAAGAGAAACAAGAACAAAAAGAGCAGCGGACACTCGGAATCTCGCGACGATCACCATTCTGAAAAGGTACCATTTTTATCAATGATAAGTGGTTGATATTTTGAAAACCCGATATCAAAGAAGAGTTTTGGAAGTGATTGGAGTATTCAAAATGAAAGAGATAAGACTAGAAAGATAAAGGAAAAAAACGATTCTACTGTTTTTTGAAAAGGAAGTTGCGCTCCAAAACAAATACTGATTGCGTAAAACTTTTTTTGACATGAGGTCAACGTCATCTTCAAATTTGAATAATGTTATTATCAATAACACCTGAAAAAGGTTTTTCTCAGTCTTAACTTACATAAAATAACCTCTTCTGATCAAAACTTGCAGACTCAGTGTTAGGATTTTGTCACGAATTCCATGATGTGATTTGAAAAATGTTTATTTCTGAATAAAAAAATGAGCATTTATTTGAAGATCTTTTTACACTGCTCTACGTTTATAGTATCAGGACTTTGAATAGATTGATGAGTATGATATTTTGAGTAAAGATTGTGTTGTTTTCCAAGATTTTTTAGTGATAACAAACTTTGCAGCAAACCGTGTTGGAGAACACTTCGGAGCGTATTGAAGATGCGCCAGTGATCAACGGCGACCACAAGATTGAGAAGAGAGAAGTCGCTGAGCTTGACTATGTCAGTTCATCATCAATTTCTCACTCACGATAAAATTCAGGGAGAGCCGGGCCAGACCAAGATCATCGTCGATAGTAGCGAGGCCCATGCTGCGGACAAGAAGAGTAAGAAAAACAAGAAGAATAAGAATAAGAACTCGAACTCGAACTCTGTCTCTGAAACGACTGAGGTGATCACGGTGAGCTGAACCATTTTCAATCAAAATATTAATATTCTGATCGTTCAGGAGCTGCACACGACGAAGGACGAGCTCGAGACCAAGCTGGCTGACGCGGAGGTTGGAGCTCTCACCGGAGCCCCAGGAAGCTCTTCGCCGCCCATTCAGGTTCATGAGATCACCAGCTCTGAGCAGGTGGTCCCTAACGGCCACGGTAATCTTTTTTTAGAATGACCTGAATTTACGGAATTCACCCTTAGTGAAAACCCAAACGATCACCGCTTCGGCCGAGTATCTGGAAAAAGACGTTTCACCGACTCGATTCGCACAGAACGTCCACAAGCTGGTCAACGCCACTCTCGCCAAGCACGACATCGTTGAGATCGATCCTAATGTGGTTGGTTCAGGAGGACTAACGGAAAGGCTTCTCATAACATCAAAAAAATATCTATTTCGCTATAGAGTCAATACTGTGCTTAGGCATTTCTATGTGCATAGAACTTGTGAAAAAATCTTTTATTTGAAAAGTTTTTCTAGTGGAAACTTTTTTTGCCATTATAGATTTTTTAACTTTGTGGAGTAAAAAACGTAGATGTGTGGATTTGTACAGAAAATGACGATCGACGCGCAGCTCATCAAGTTGTCCGAGCAGAAGCCCGTCGTCGTCGAACACAGGAACTTCATCCGACCACTGCCTCTGGAACTTCACTACTCCCGTCCAACGGTGTTTTTTTCGTGTTTTTTTAGAATAATTGAATTTAGTTTAAAAAAATTGAAAAACAAAAAAATGTCTTTTCGGTTTGAAACATTATTGCTTCCAAACTTTTTTTTAATGCTTTTTTTAATTTATTTTACATCTGCGGAAACTTTTTAGACGGCTACAATCAAGCCTAAAAACGAGACAGAAGAAAAAAAATACACTCAAAATAATTTACGATTTTAGCGAAAATTTGCCTGTTGAGGCTTGCCTTGTATACTTAACCATTGAAAAAAATTAATTTCTTAGATTACGTTGGAATTGGCTGGTGTTTGACAAAAAAACCTTTGATGTACTGGAACACAAAAAAATCACACAAAAAAACCCGTAGATCAAAAGCGTATTTTTGTCACTGTCATGAATAAAGGCTTTGATTAGGAATCAAATTTTGAACAACTGTTTTCATAGAAAAAATGTTTTATTCAAGTTACGGTGAGAAAAAATGGATTCCAAGGCATTGAAAACCTCGTTTTCTTATTTGAAGCCTGTTTGAACGTATGAAAAAGAATGAGCTCATTTGTAATTTCAGAGTAGTTTTCTACTAGAGCCAGAAATTGAAGTGCTTTCCTATCTTATATTCGCGAGAAGTCAATTTTTTTAAATTGCTTCTTATAGACCATCGTTTCTGAACCTCAAATTTCCCGAATTGTAAGTTTTGGTCTTCACGACTAAATCTGTTCAAAAACTTTGGATGGGTTACTGAAAGGGCCAAAATTTTTGATCATTTTTGGCCGTAAAAAAATTTGAATCCTTTCTTAAGTAGAAAAGTCTGTAGAGTATGTAATTTTCAAGTATCACCAAGCGTTTTTGAACAGATTTTTCACCGTAGCAATAAGTTTTGTTTGACGTTTTGTACATTTTGAATTTTAACTAAAATTGTCGTTGTTATTTAGAAAGTTATAGTCATCCTCTTGATGATCACGTAATCTTCCTACTTTTGCACGCACGAGTATTCCTCTCCCTTCATTGTAAATAACAATTCAGAAACCTCAAATAATAAAAAAGCAAAGAATGACGTTATCTTTTAACAGAAATAAAAGTTCACTTCAGACCCCGATCAACCGTGAACGCCTTTACAAGCTGCTGCCCAAGGACATTCTGTTCTGCGCCGGATTCATTGACTCCTACGGCGACAACTATGAGGTATCGATGACTTATCTCACTTTACAGTTTCAAGTAAAAAATCTCAGGCAATGGTGAGCGACCCGCGAAACATCTACTCTGACACGGCCCGCTCGCTCCAGAGAAAGATTCGCATCTTCAAGGTGAATATTCTGATTTTTCATCAATTACAAAAATACTGCTAGATTTTTTTTCTAATAAAGTTTTTTTGTTGAAAAACACACAGGTAGATTGAGAAAAAAAGTACCGAGTAAAATTTCAAACGCAAATTTCAGCATAGAACTTCTCAGAAACTAAAAAAACCTTGGATACATTTTCAAACAAGTTTTGATTTATCCAAGATGGCCTGAAAAGAGTTAATTTTTTTGGTTATCAAATCAAAGATTGACTATCGTCATGAAATTTAAATTTTGGTCAGATCACTTTATTTTTTTTAAAAATTTTTTTCTTACGGGGAAACGTTTTTTTAGCCAGAAAAAGTTTCAGAAAAAAACAACAAGCAGGACCTTAAAAAAACGTTCACTAATTAGAAAGTAGTCGTAGCAACAGAGATACGCCTGACATCATAGAAATTCCAAAAATTGCTTGGACCGTAAAAAATTGAACTTTTCCAGGAGTCGCCGCACTTCAAGACGTACAAGAGCGCGAAGGAACAAGGCAAGCCTCTGGAGCAGGTTCTGGCTGAAGAAGGCGCCTAAACGCCCAACTTCAAGCCGACATCTCCGAGCGCATTCCCTTGATCTTCAACGACTTTACGTCCCCGATTCTTTCTCCCGATGATCTTTTCCCGGCCTAACTTTTTCTTTGTTTTTTGCCTTTATTTCATCTTTCAATTATGCGGACCTAACTTTATTCTAACTCATTGAAAACCCAATTTTAAGGACGAAAACTGCGTTTGGTGCGCTGTAGATAATTGCAATATCTTTTTATTCAGTTTCTCTACGAGTTTCCGCTTTTTGCTCCTCCACACCAACCCATTTTATCCAATAAGTGTGCGTCAATTCTGACTGGTTTCTCTCTACTTGTTTGTTCCTTCTGTTTTGTTCTTATCAATTTTATCGGCCCGCCCTTTTCTTTCCGGCAAGATTCGATTGCCATCGTAGTTTGCCTTTTAGTATTTGCGTTGGAACCTTTTTGGAACCATCCCGCTTAGTGGTGTTTTTAGTTACTCTCTGATAATTACTCCACGATAAAAATTCGAAAACTGACAAAAAGAACACGTTTGCATTTCCTCACAAGATCTTTGAAATGCTTTTTCTTCCGTCTACCCATCTTTTTTGGTGAAAAACCACAAAAATCGTCATTTTTTGGCCTTATTGCACACTTTTGTGTTGTTCCGTGCCTCGGCTATTTCTGTTCGCGTCAAGATTTGCCCCGGCGACAAGTGTGTGATAAATTTGTTAATTTTGTCAACCAATTTTTTATTCATTAAAAAAAAAGGCAACCCCCAATTTATCACAGATGAACAAAAAAATTGGAGTGATAAGAAAGAAACAGAAAATAAGCAAAAGAAATCCCACAGAAACAACCGAGTGGAACCCCACTCAAAAACAAAAATTCAACACAAAAAGTACGTTTTCCTGAAACTTAGTTAAAAATTTTTTAAGCTTAAATGAATTATAAAAAAATTAATTTAACCGGAGACAACTCAAAAAAATAAAAAAATCAGAAAGATACCAATGATTATAATAAGTGACAAAAAAACTACCAGGATTATAAGGAAGTGAAACAGACAAAGGCTCCCAAAAATTCTTTTTCAAAGTGACATTTTTATTAAGGCAAAATAGTAAGTGAAGAAAAACCAGAAATGGAAAAAAAGTGGAAAATATGGAAAAAAAGACCAAACAGAAGTTTATTAAAAATGAAGAAAAGTCAAGTAACAACCAAGTTCAATACCAAAATTTTGCGAAAATCAAACTTCGAAAAAAAGAAAAGCATAAATAAATATTGCCTGCATCAGGAAAAAACAGTACACAGCTCAGTAATATTTTTTTTAAACTTTATGTTCAAACACAAAAAAATAGATATATTGTTTCAATTTTTCTTTTGCTGCGCTAATGAAACTTGATAAGCCAGAACTTTTAGAAAGGAATGTGTTATTTTTTTAACTAAAAACTTCTTTTTTTCTGAAGTTTCTTGAAAAATACTTTTTGAAATCATTTTTGTTCACATTTTTATTTGAGAAAACCAAACACATCCTTTTTAAAGATCTACTAGAACCCAATTCATCATTGAACTATGCGCTAACACTTGTAGAAAAAAACAAATTAATAGAAAGAAATGTCAAAACAAATTGGTTAAAAGATAGGTTGGTAAAAATTTAATGAGCATTTCGATATTAATTGGTTCAAGCCAAAAAAATTAGAAAAAAATTATTGCAAAAAAATTTTTTTCACCATATGCATCAATGACCTGTTTCCAACGTCTTTTAAATGAAAATGTTTCAATAATTTTAAATCAAACAAAAATAAATAAGAAAAGCTCGTTTCTTATTTACCAACCTAAAATAATAAAAGAATTATCGATCCTCTTCAAAGTTGTAGAGAGACCGATCGCCCAAGTAGTTTGTTTCGCCACCAATCTTATGGATGAGACGAACGTCAGTCATTCGCATCTCTTGAGAAATCGCCTTGCACATGTCGTAGACGGTCAGCAGAGCAATCTGAGCATACGAAGGTGAACAAGTAGGAGCTCGGACAATGTTAACGCAAAACGGATGTGCTCCGGACGTTTCTGTGCAATTCTAGGGATCACTTAAGAGGGCTGAGGCTACTAAAGTGGTCACTAGAAATGCACCGAGCCGTCCGATTCGCGTCCCGTTCGCGTTACCAAAGTCCGAGAGGACAAGAAGCCACCGGGTAGCTACATCAGAGGTCTAGTTCATAAGTTTAAAAGTTTATTCAGTCTTCAGTGAAGAATCATGAAATAAATCAAAAGTTGGTCATCGGTTTGCGTGAACGCGTTGACCAAGAATGACTCGTAAATAATCTTGTTCTTTTTCGAACAGTAACTTCAGGAAGTTGAGGGTTTCGACAATCACAATCGATGGTAGTTTACTATAATCATGGTACCTGAATAAAAGTGACACTTGTGATTGCTACTAGACAGTCTGGCAATGCTTCTTGAGTAGTAGTTTTTTTCAGCGTCAGCCAAAAATACCTTAGAAGAACGGTTTTCTAAACAAGCGCAGACAGTAGCGATTCCAAACTTTAGGCACCGAGGTACCATAAAAATCGTACCCGGTAGCTGATGAACGTCGACCGATCAGCATACACCAATTGACTTTAGCTACTTGTATCTTACTCCCAATTGACCCGTGCACATAGTAACGTCAGAAAAGATACAACAAAAACAGATTCCCTGTACGGAGCTCAATATTTTTGTAACTCCATAAAACTGCGTTTTTTTTTCTGCGGAGTGAAAATCAACCAGAGTCTCACAAATAACAGTCATCAAAACCCAAGAGGTTTCAAAAGATTAAACTCCATACACGAGAGTTGTGATCGAGACATTTTCCGTACCTAGTCTTATCGTTTTCTGAAATGAAATGAAATAGTTACCGTGCAAGCCATGAGAGCCTCCATTTCGACCCCGGTATTTGCAATGCAACGAGTAGAAGAGCGAGCGTGAAGTAGATACTTTTCCTGCGAAATCATCTTTATATTAGAATACTTGAATATTAAATTCAATTTAATCCGGGATTAATTACAATTGTGATAAAAAACGGTTGAAAATTGAAAAAGCACGTTTTCCAGTACTGAGGAAATATCCCACAGGTCTCCACTTCTACAAAATTTTTTTGAAAGTACTGCTCTTCAAAACTTCAGTGAACATTTTTTGAATAAAGAAAAAATTTGCAAGTATTAAAATTTCGCTGAACATCTAAGAACCCTGGAGTCAGAGGATAAAAAATGTAAAAAGCTTCTTTTGACGTGAATTAACTGTTCAAAGCTCAATAAATTTTAGAATTTCAGGTTTCAAAATATAATAAAACAAAAAATAAAGCTTTAGTGGGGAAAGAACCCTGAAGATAACTGATTCCAAAAAGCTATTCAGAAAAAGCAAATGATAAAAACGAGGTTTTGGTTATTAAAATATAATAGAAATAACCTCTAGTTCCTTATTTTTTATTATAAATCACGTTTCCTTTTTCATAATTCTATGAATGTTTCAAAGCATCTATTTGTCATTTTTCCTGAATTCAATAGTTTAATAAAGATAAATTTTCATTTTCAAACATTTTCTCAAACTCTGGAGGGATACGATAATTTGCATTTCTGCAGACACCGCGGCCAAAAAAGCGGCATTGCACACTCTATCGACTAATTTGCTTTTTTTTTTAAATTTTATTAAAGTGGTCTTCCATTATTTTGAAATTAACTACATATCTGTAGATTTGGAACCAAGCAAAGTTTCTAAGAAATTTAGTTTTTAGAACTGAATCCGGTTCTTGAGTTCTTGTTTTCAGGTTGAAGTTTTTTTCATTTTTTTCTCTTACCTGGTCGTGTTTGAAGCGAGTATCGACATAAGCCAATGGGATATGATGACACAAAGGAATGAGGTTTGAAGTTTGTTTGGCTCCCATTATGCTTGCGATCTTCAAAAATGATGTATTTGGATAAAAATGAAGTTTTGGCCACTCACTTGAGCTACAGTCAGAACATCTCCTTTTTTGATGGTATTTTGAGCGATTTGAATTGAGACTTCTTTTGGCAACTGAAAAATATATTTTCATTCATTTTTTGTGAAGAAATTAATTTTTTTCGAAAGCGCTTTCTGGTTTTTCATAGGTTCAGGACTAATCTTCGCAAACCAAAAAAATCATTATTTTACATTTTCCCATTGAAAAATCAAATTTTTCTTGATTGTACGGTCCCCATAATTTTCCAAGCAAGCTTTCTATCCAGAAGATCAAAAATCTTACAACTAAAGTTCCTTGGGCGACGGCCAGACGAGCGGTTGGTTGTTTAGTAGAGACATCGACTTGTTTGACTTTTCCATCAATATCAACATGCGTTAAACGGTTAAAATCTTAAGATAAAAAAACATTTCAAACAGGAATAAAACTATATAACCGACCATCACTAGAGAAAAATCTATTTTGTAGAAAGGAGTGTTTGGGAGAAGAGGCAGACAGGAATGCTTGAATTTTTGAGGCTGATGGCAAAGAAGAACCTGAAGTTTCCTTGTTACAACCCTTAAAAAGAAGGCAATTCAAAAAACGTCGAACTGAATATTAGAGAAAAACATATCTTGAATCGTATTTATGATAAACTAGTGACTTCCTTCCAAAAATAAAAGCAAATATTCAAAACCACCTTTCTTCACCCTCCGATGAGGATCATAGGACGGTTTGGCAAATTCTTCAAATTGTTCATGCCTGAAATCTGAAAATGACAGGATTCGAACCAGGAGATAGAACCCAGAAAGCATGCAAGGAAAGAACCAAAGCAGAACCCGATATTACCTGCATGGCGGGCTTTTTTATTGTTGACCGATTTTTGGATGATGTCGGAAAGTTCTTCATCTGAAGCTCCTGCTCGCATCATATCGCGAAGGTTTGTTTCGGCGTTTCCGTGAAGACATACCTGAGAATAAAAAAAAGCTTTTTTTTGTAGAATATAGTTACTTAGTTTTTTCTGGCTCGAAAATGCTTAAGAAAATTTTTTGATGAATTTCTAAAAGGAAAATGTCTTATTACTATTATTTTTTCGAGTTTCGTTAGTTTTTCACATTTCTTTAACCCCTTGACAAACTGTAGTAGCCATTCATGAAAAAAAAGCTTCATTTTTTCGTTTCATTTTCGGACACATTTTCATAGCATGAACTCGTAACAATAATTTTTTTGGTTGTTATTGAAAAAAATTACAGAAAAGCTATACATGTTCTAAAAAGCCAGAGAAAATTTTGTAACCTTTAAGTTGCCATCAGCCGTGATACGCATCCGATTACACGTATTGCAAAAATGATCAGTCATCGAAGTGATAAAACCAAATTGACCTTCGTATCCGTCTATTTTGTACGCCTAAGAAATTTATTTGTTCAGAAGAAATTTGATTAATTATACCTTTGTAGTGTCATTAGGAGAATCTCTCAGTCTTTTCACACTGTCACCATATTTTCGTATGATTTGCTCCAACATTGCGTGATAGCTGTAGAACTTGTTGTTGGAGAATTTATTGCCTCCGAAAGGCATGTACTCAATGAAGCGGATGTCGAGATTCTGAATTAGAAGTTTAGAGCCCTGCAGTTCTAATAAGTGCACTTCGACTGAGTTTTTAAGAAAATGTAACTGAAATTTTTTTCAGTTTTCAACGACCAATAGACGAAAATGTCTTGTTTTTTTTCTCAAGTTTCAAAATTTGAGGATTTTTAGGGTTTTCACATTTTGAGACGTTCTTTCACTGGAAGAATAGCTATAAACTAAGTTACGCCACTTTTTAAAAGATGATTAAAAATCAAAATAGCAAATTTCTTTCATTCGGACGGTAATCAAGGTTTTTTTCAATGAAATTTTTTTCATTCATGCCTTTACTGAGCTAAAACTTTTTTTTAGAGTAGGTTTTTACCCAAAAAAGAGCCATTTCGCAAAATGGTTGAGGTTTTACCTTATCCTTCGTGACTGCCACAAAGTCCAGAATCTCCTCTTCATTTTTTCCGTTCATCACAACAGTGTTCAGCTGAAATAAACTTTTAAAAAACTACTTTCAAATCATATTTACCCACCTTGACTTTCGGAAGAAGCTTCCGAGCCGCTTCAATTGCACTCCAAACTCGGTCAAAAGCATTTCTCCGCGTCATCAGTTCAAACTTGGCTTTGTTCAAGGAATCGATGCTGATGTTTATCTTAACTTTCAGTTGATCCCGTCATCAGATGATGAGCTTCACCTTGCTTAAGCCAGCATCGACCAATGGTTTCAAATGTTTCTCCAAAACCGCTCCATTAGTCGTCATTCCAATGTCCTTTATCCCAGGGACGGAGTTGATTCCCGCTGTTTTCAAGAGAAACATCAAAAAATAAAAATGAATATCACTCACCAACAATCTCGACAATGTCTTTGCGGATAGTTGGTTCACCTCCAGTGAGTCTGACTTTATCCACACCATGTGCCGCAAAAAGTCGCACCATTCGCAAAATTTCGTCGTTTGTCAGCAAATTGTCCTTTGGGCTGAGCTGGACTCCTTCTTCTGGCATACAATAAACACCTCAAAATGTTCAGAAAGAATTTGAAAGCCAAAAAATATGATCTCACAACGAAAATTACACTTTTCAGTAAGGGAAATGCGAAGATAAGTGTGATGCCTCATGAACATGTCGTAAATTGGAGGGAAGCCTTTTTCGTGTTCAATCTGGAAAAAGTTGTTGATTCTCTTACAAATGATGGTCGATGAGACAAAAAATTAAAATTGAAGCTTAAATTATTCAGCTAAGTTACGAAAATTACCGAACTTTGAAACTGAACTCCCTTATCCAAGGTGATAATTTCACAAAAACGTGCGCCTTTTTATTCGATTATTTGAATTTTTCTCAATATTTGCACACCTTAATTAATTTTTCTCTGCGAAGGAGCCTCTTCAGCAGGAACTTCTTCTGCTCACTCGTCACTCTCTGAAGAGGCGCCGAATGTTCTGGCAAGCTCTCCGTCAGTTCCTCCAGTTTGGCCCGAATTTCTTCAAGTTCTTCAGGAGGCTTGTTTATTTGGGACATGGCGGCGAAGCGCAGGTTTTTACTGACTGGCGTCAATTTTCTCAGCAGAACTGTAGTTTTCAACATCTGAAATGAGAAAATACACATATGAATGAAACTTTTAAAAAGTGATGATCGGTTGGTATTGCGACCCGAGAGAGATTATGGAAGGTGGTTCGATTTTGGGGTGCTGAATATTCATGAGGAATTGTGAAAAGGACGGAAGTAATAAAAGAAAGTGTCAACAGCATTTGAAAAATGACACATGAAAATTTTCAGGAAGTTTTTTTCAATGTCTTTTGCAACTTCAAACTGACAAAAATTTATAAAAAAATTTGTTTTTAAAGTCTCTCTCATGGAATTTTTTTCCTAGAGCAATGAATATATGGAGTTATTCTAAGCTTATTCTGAACAGCTCAAACAATTGAAACGCATTTTGAATCTCAGACTTTCAAAACAAAAAACTCTCAAAATTTCAACGTAAAATGTTTACGATATCCTACATGTTTGCCCCTCGTTTGCTGTTTCTCATAAATTCGTTTAATGTATGGGAATGACACGTCCCCATATTTTCTCCGGGGGAAAATCAAAAATGTATTGTTTCGATCGCCGAATGTCGCGTCAATAAATATTCAGTTTTGTTTTTGAGGACCAAGAAACTTTGTATGTACCAAATGAAATTATGAAAGCAGCGTTCAGCGGCTGTTAAACTTTGACAGTTTATTTCTCAAAAACTCAAAATTTCCGTAAATTGAGACTCTGAGATTTCCATTTGAACGATTAAAGGTTGACCAAGCCATTCAAAAAACTGCCATCATTTCAGAAAAATGGACAGTTTTGTACACTCGTCTTTTTTGGTTCTTTTTTTTTAAAAGATCATGACTTATTCATCAAAGTTTCTAAGACAATGTCTTGTCTGAGGAATGGCCCACGCTTCGAAAAGCCGGCAGGCCGTTCTTATTGAACTAAGGTCAATGCAATAATTTCTGCATAGCTCATTAAAAAAATGCAGCCGGATTTTCTCAGTTTTCTAAAAGCCTGTCTGAAAAAAAAAACCTTTTTCGTATAGCACAATGGGAAAAAAAAACGTAAAAATCGGAAAAAAAAACAAGCGCTCAAGCAGAGTGGGCAGTTGTGAAGCAGAATGGCGAACATAGTAGAGCACGTGCGAAAGACAACGCGACGGATGGACAATTCACGCGAAGAAGATACCCGAAGGATTGTCCCGCCGGCTAGAGATCTGAACAAAAAGGTGTTTGGATGAGGAAAAAAGGTTCAAAAGTGCTGGTTTATACGAGATTATTGATTGTATAGGATGACCATCAATTGCTTAAAAAACTAATGAAGTTGCTTGATGAAGAAGAAAAATTTCCTGTTTCGTCTCAGAAAGGTTACTCGAGCTTTTTCCAAGTCATGTCCCATTTCAACGACTTTTAACAAGTATATTCCATTTTAATCTTTCAACAAGGTATATATGGAAAAGTCTGCTTTACAGTTCTTCGATGGGAAAATTTCAAAAATCGTTCTGTGATTCATGCTCAATATTCAGAAAATCAAAAAAAAAATATTTCTGCGAATAAACTCTTTGGAAAAGCATCTGATCATCGGAACACTTGAAACTCGATTACTACTATCTCAAGAAGGATTGGATTATATACGGACCGTTCTTGATCAACGACAGCAGCTCTTCGATTATTTTATGATTCAAGACTGAATAAATGGTATACGTGAATGACTCTACGTGAGGAATGAAATAAAAATCGTGGCTTCAGCGAAAAGTGAATATAGTTGATTCAAAATTTTAAAAAACCTGCAAAAAAAGCCAGTGACTTTCCTAGAATCTTTCAAAATTATCAAACCGCTTCAAGCCATCAAAAGCTCACAAAACCTTGGAATAGTAGTTCCGATGGAGCGGGGGATACCCACCGGCTGCACTCTGTGATAGATTTTGTTTCCGCTTTTTTTTTCGAGGCTCCAGAAATACTCTTATCTCCAAAACTGTCTGAAAGCTCGCGGCCTGTCGAATTAAAAAAAAAGAAAACTTTACACTTTTTTTCAGAGCGGAAAGGAACATTTTGACTTTTTGAACCTTGAGAGTTTGGAATTTCACCTACCCTTTAGTTTTACGGAAAAGTGGTTTTTTAAAAAAGAAGGAGAAGGATACTACCGGTGCGACCGGTGTTGAAATATGCATGAGAAAATATTCATACAGCGCACCACGATTTCGAAACGGAATCGAAAGAGTTGCGTTTGAGGGTTCCTGGGAACGAAATGGTAAAAAACGAAGCATTGAGATCACTACTGACTGACGCAGCGACAAAAAAGAGAATTACTGGATTTCATGAGACTGTTCCAATCTCAAACCACACGTTTAACAAGAGAATTGAGGAATTGCCAAAACAGAGAGGCTCTGAAAATTCAGTTTGTTTTTTTGATTTTATATTTATATAGTTTGAGTTTGACAGCTTGAAGATCTGGCTGCAGCATTTCTATCTAGACACGAAGCGGTCAGCAAGCAGGTCAGAAACCGCCTCTTATTTTCATGCGCCCGATTCGCGCTGGCTGGTCAAGCGTATTGCTCATCTCCTCGTTCAAGTCGCTTGAAGTCGCGCGCGGTAAAATAACGAGTCAAATTTTTAGATTCTCACTTTTGCGGCAAAAATGCGATATCTCGTTGCGTTGGGATGTGAAACATGGACTATATCCCAACAACTACACAAGTCTTTGAAACCTCTCGTTAGGGTTTGACAAGTGCCGTCTCTTTAGAAAATTATTGTGACCACAATACAAAACTAAACTGAATTAAACAATGCTTGAAAATATTCTCTCAGCTTTAGCAAAACTTTCGGGAAGTTTTTTCTCAAATCTTGATTTTATCTCAAATAGTGTTGGAAAATATAAATTTTTCGCAGCTTTGTCGAAATTTATTTTGCCGAATTTTTTCAAGGCTCGAGCCTTCCGGGCTCGCCAAAGGGAGCGTCGACGAGACGCCTCAACAGATTTGTATATATTTTGTGTTTACCTTCTGCCAATTGATAACGCCCTACCTCACATTTCGCGGCCCCGCAAGCTATCACTTCAAAGGTACAAGAGCCGCAAAACGAAGCCGACGGCTATTGTTTTTATTTTTCTTCGTTTTCTCTGTCGTTTTGAAGCTGTATCCTTACTTTTTTGAAATGTTGAACCTTATCTCATAAAATCTCGCATTTTTTCTTAGTGTTGCTGTACTTAAACAAAGTTGAAAAAAGTAGATCTTGTAGTTCAATGTTGAATTCACTACAGCCTTAGCAATTATTGTCATTTTTTTATGTAAAGATTAAAACTTAATCAAGAAATGAGGGGATTATTGAAAATAATTTTTTTGCCATGAAAAATAACTTTCAAAAAGCCCTAGCGGCGACTGAAAGATTTTATTTTTCTTGTTCTTTTGGTAAAGAATCATTGTCATGAATCATTCAGAATCTTATTTACGACGGAAGCAAAGTTTTTTTAGAAAAGAACGAAACCCGATTTGAGAAAAAAACTCCCACGTTTCACAAATGGCTTTTATGGTTGGATAAAAAAAGTTTAATCGAAAAACCATAAACGTTGTGACAAACAACTTCGAAATATAAACAAAAAAATCTAATTAAGAACAAAGGGACGGCAAAAGGGACAAAAAAATGACAAGTCTGATGACGTTGACGCAGCCCTGTGCTCTTAAAAAAATGTCCCCGTACGACATTCGTAAAAGAAATGATGCATAGATTTTTTTAATCGAACGCCTTGTCATTCTGCCGTCGCAGATCTGAAATTTCTGTTCTTTTCCATTGACCAAGCTCTGAAAAATGCGAAAATGTAAGTTCAATTTTTTATTAGAAGGATTAGGTCGTCTTCTATTGTTCCCATTCATACGTATTTGCTTTACTTTTTTGGAGGACCGTTTTGGGTGAAAAATATTGGTTTTGACTCATCGGTTCAACGCCCTATATGAATTTGATAATCTTGAAATGAATCAAGATCAGTGAAATTCGAGTTCGAATCATAAGGTGACTCAAATTACACTGAAAACCGATAGCAAATCTGGAAAAAAACGGGTTTTTGAATTTTTTTAACATGCTGGGAAGGGGGGCTATGTTGGGATACTCGTTGGATTTCATGAAAATGTGTACCGGTAAAGAACTTTTAAGAATGTCATCCGAAAAAGTAATTTTAGAAAGAAACTTATTTTAACGCAAGTTCGGTTGCTGATACTTTCTGGAGTTATTAAAAATTCTCGAAAATTGATGTCCGAAATGAAACTAAAGTGAAAATATGGAAAAAAAAACATCTTGAAAGCTCACTGAAACTTGAACGCATGCAAAGATAGATCTATTCCTATTTTATCGAGTTCTTCAACATTTCAAGCTTTTCTAAAAATAATTTCAACTGATATCTGATGTCGAACAGCTTTTACAGCTTTTGAGCATTTTGGAGTTTCACTGAATAATTTGATTTTTTCGGGTCCTAATATTTTACAATCTGTGTGCCAAGACTTGGAATTCCACCGAACGACATTCCGCTCTTCCGCTGCGGCGCGAAGCGTTTTTGCGAGCCTCGGTCTCGCTATGAATTGGTTATGTTTTTTGATAGATGGTTCCACTAGGAACACGTGTTGGTCGAGTTCTTATACAAAAAAAAAAATTAAGGGCGCGGCCGAGCACGAAGCGGAACAGCGGAATGTCGTTCGGTGAAATGCCAAGTCGTGGTACACAGATTATAACTAGGCTTGGCGTTTTCTTAGTTACAATTTGATTTTAAACTTTGACTTTTATCAGTTTCCTCTTTTATTTACAGTACTCTTTTGAGTAGCTTTCTTGGTTTTGAAATCTTGCGAGTTTTAAAGAGGATTTTGAAAGAATTTCCTTTCTATCCCCGGGTCATAGTCTACTCGTTAGGGTGGACTAATTCCCGTTTTGGTTATTCTGCTGCTTTCGTATATTTCAAAACTCCAATAATTTCTTTTAAAAGTCAATTTCGAATCATTTTCACCGTAAAAGGGGAAAGAGTTCATGCCTTTGAAAACATGGTTATTTCCGAAAACCTATCTGTCGCTAGCCTTAAAACTACTGATATTTCATATAACCAAAAGTTTTCAAACTTTCAGTCGTTTTAAATGTGAAAAATCGTCTCGCAATCTATTCTCAGCGTGCCTGCTATCATACAAAAAAATCAAAGGTTTCTATCATTCCAGCTTCCAAAAAGTTATTTTTACTCTTTCTTGTTTCAAAGACACAAAACATCGTTTTTTCCTTCTTCTTCTAAAAAAAGTTCATAGCTGACATTCCACAACCCACACATTCTGACGGTTTTAACCGTGACGATCAGTTTCAATATTTTTTCCCTGCAAGCCGACCGAATTTATGTCTTAACAATGGCGCCTTTGCCTTTAATCGGAGTCCAACGGCTCTTATCTTTGCCATTTACGTTTCGAAAAATGCGTGCCGATGCTCTTTTATTGGGTGTGTCTACGCCTACGGCAACCAACTGCCCTCAAAGTTGCAAATATTGATGTAATTTATGACTTTTTCCGAAATTTGTACTTTGAAAACTGAAACATTTAAAGTATCGTCATTCATTTTTGATCCATTCATTTACCACTTGTACAAGATTGGCCAACTAATTTTTGCACCTTCTCAAACCTTTTATGAGATTTCCGTTTTTAATTTCTTGGCTAATACGAGTTTCTTTCAAATTGAGAATCATCTGATTATTTTCCCTGGTTTGATGGCCATTGAACTATAATAGCTTTTTACATCGCATCGCAGTTCAAGTTGGCTGTAAGAATTTAGTTCAACTGGGAAACTTGTACTCCATTCATTGCTAGTTTGGAAAGAAATCAATGAAAAATCGAAATTTGCTTTTCATACTCTTTTAATATTTTATGATCTCATGAGATTTTTTCACGTTAAAAAAAGAAACTTGGACTAAAGGTGTGACCGAATCTGAGTGACTCTCCTCTTTTGCCACGAGATGCCCTCGCACGCAAGTAGTTTGTAGTCGGGTGGGCTAATTAGTTGTGCAGATCTTGACACATTCAAATATCATAAAAATTGAGAGACTGATATTTTGTAAGGAGAGCGCACAAAGCATTTTTCTTATTTTTCTTACACGAAATCTGGAAATATCGTTTTCCTAAACGTTTCCGAGTGGAAATGCGCCACTTTTTGAGTGGAATTTCCTAGCTTTTTAAATATCCCTCACACAATTTTCACAGTTTCTGCACCTTTTCTTCCACTCTTTTATCAATCCTGAACAATTCCCACAGTTTTCGTTTCAGTTTTCAAGCGTCCCATTGAGATAAAGATGTCGAAAGACGAGCTAGACGCTCAAATTCCACCAGAAAGACCACCAAAAATCATCCACCCTGAAGTATACTACAAGCAGCTCAGCGAAGACTTTGTTCCCGGTTTTTAAATTTTGAAGGAATATTTCTAATTTTACTTTCAGCAGTGAAACTGGTCTCCATAGCTGGTCAGAATTTATTGAAAAACTACAACGGTATGTTGTTCTATTCACTTGATGTGTATTTCTTCCCGAAGTTCAGCTTTCCAAAAGTCGAGCGATGAATATCTTCGGGCGATGTACGCTTTGGTGAAATCTGCGGACAGAGCCATGATACCGGCGAAACGACAGAGCAGCGAATTGAGCAGCATTTTGGCCGAGTATGGCAGAGCTATCGAGGCGCACAAACCTTGTGTGAGTTTTCATGATCTTAATTGGCATTTCGCTATAAAAATGCAGTGTTTTATAGTTTCTCTAAAAAATTTTTTTCAAAAGTTGTATTTTTTTTTTGTAGTTAGAAAAAGCTTTCTGCTTGAAGACCACCGTGTAAATGATATGAGTCCCCTCCCAGGTCAGCGTCTTTCCATCAAATAATCAAAAAATTGCAATTCTGAAACCAGTCTGAACATTTTTATTAACACAATTGAATGACTAGAGCGGAAACTGTGAAAATTACCTTGAACCTATTCGTATTCAGATTGACACCTTGACAGTCATTGTCCAAAAAATATCTGCCTATGGAAGCCACGAAAAAGACAAGCTGAAAGAAGATCACGCTACATACAAAAAGCAGGAAAAGGAGATTCTGAAAGCCCGGAAGAAGCAGCTAAAAGTGATTTTTTTTTGATTATTTTAGATAAATCAAGAGTTTTATAGAACGAATCCGACGTTGATGCTTTCTATAGAGAAGCGTCGGCGAAATGGAATCACCAACAAGAGATGCGCTACAAGTTTTTCAACGAAAAACATCGACAGTGGTTTGAGAAGTAGGCTTTCTAAATAAAACAACTTCTTTTTCTGATTCGCATTTTTTCTCATTTTTAGCTTCTTCGAAGTCTTTTGTGCATGGTTATTTCCTTTAACAGGCATTATTTCTCGAATTTCGGGTTAGGTAGACTTTGAAAAAAACCGTTGACCGTCTTTACTTGAGTTCAAACTTCAGTTTCCATTTGGAATATTGAATTTCCTATAAAAAAAACCTTGCATTTTTGAAACGAAACCACATAGTTTACGTTTTAACCGCAAGGGAGATAACGTTTGAATTAAATTTTCAACCTCCATCTACTAAAAACGTTTCAAAATAATTCTTTCAGATACGGTGAAATGGTCGGTAAAATAAACTTCAACAAGCTGAAGTTGAACCAACCCGTGGTTGAAGCTCCAGTGCCCGACGACTGGCACGAGCAGCAGCACAATGAACCGGCCGCCATCGTTGTCGCCCCTCCAGCAACGAATGCAGTTGTCGAGGACCACGCTTTGACGGTTGGTTGGTTTCGAAACATTAATTGAACAACTTCAACTATGAAAGAAGAATAATATCTGACCTGAGGCCAACGAAACAAAACAGAATTTTTATTCAATAATGTCTTTTTCTGCCCGATAAACTAAATACTGGAAAAACTGCGGATAAGTGAACTTCTTTTGGTCTTTATCTGAACTCCGTTATCGCATGTCGGAAAGTTCAAAGCGAAAAAATTCAATCATAGTCTACAGCAGATTTTTTTGTCAAAAAAACTTTTAAGCTAACGGTTGGAGATCGAGCGCGATTTTTGTAGCGGCTGCGTTGATCATTTCGTTCACGGACTGATAGGAGCAAATTTAGAAGGATTTTCAGACTTTTTAAGACACAGACAAAAATTAGATAACATCTGAAAAATCTTCTAAAACTAAGGATTGATGGAAAAATTTTTCGAGAAACTGAAAAGTTCTCGAATGAATTGTTTCAAATCGAAAAGTGTCAAAAGATTCTTTTCAAGAACTGAAGGAAAATTCCAATTTTTCAGAAAACCGAGAAAGACCGCGCCAGCACAAATACTTCACTTGCTTCAGAACTTGACGATCTTCCAAGTCGCCGTCTAACTTCGGTTTTTGGTTCACAATATCATTCCTACAATTGATTGTTTAGGAATACATACCAGGAATCACTCTTTTGAGCACCACCCGACGTGAATCCGCTTATCAACCGGTGGTAAGTCGATTAATCCGATTATTTTTTCAAAGAGAGAAAGTCTTACCAATTAACTTCTTTTTAAATCTTTGAGGCTTTGAAAAAAAAAACAAGAGAGCCATTACGAATTTTATTTAGCAAGGAGTGAACGGCGTCAATATCTCGACTCAATCGCTTCAGAATCAGTCTCGTCGCGCCTCGAACCAGGTTAATTCGGTTTTTTGAAGCTTCTAGTATTTTGATTCAGAATTACACAACTACCGGTGGAGTAGCTCTCGTTGGACTCACAAACGATTATGTTCGTCTAAAAAAATAAACTTTCAGTTAAACTTTTGATTTCAGAGAGAGCAAAAGACACAATATCAAAATGTCGAAGGTATTGTTATTTTTTTGGCTTTTTTTGAAAAATATAATAAACGAAATTTCGTGAACCCTAATTACAGTATATAACTCAGAAGATCTTTCAGTTCAATCCGAGAGAAGAACTTATACCAACGATGGCTACGAAAATCAAGTGGTCAGAGAGCAGTATCGGCAGACGAGGGAAGTCGACCAACCTGCCGGTTATCGAAACGACTATCAAGAAGTGAGGGACTATCAGTTTGGTATCACTTTTGAAATAAAACACTTCAAGAGCTATCAAAAACAACCCGTCAACTATGCCAAAGGCACTTCCAAGCCCGCGATTGCCGGTGGAGTTCCTCTCCTGGGGCTCACTTCGAACAATCGTTCAAGCTCTCCGGTGGCTCCTTCCAAACGCTTCTCTAATCAGGTTTCTTTCAAGTTGCTACTTTTGATTTCAATTGGAACGTTTTTGATTCATTGGTCATTCTGATAAAATCACTAAGTGTATATAACTCTTTACTTGTTATCAAGAAGTTTCAAATACGGACTATACAACTGGAAATTCATTTTCAGCCGGAAGCGCCGTACAGCGTGGTCACTTCAAAACAGATCCCAGTTGGACGTGTCGTTGAGAATCCAATGACCGAGGAGGAGATGAACCGCAAGAAGTACCAGGTCGACTCCAACTATGATCCCATCTCTTCTCCAGCTCATCAGAAGCCATCAGCGAACAGAAATGCCAACGAAGAAGGTGGGGAAATAGGCTGAGAAAGTATGGGAAACGAATTCGGAGTTTACTGATGAAAAGTATTTTTTCATTCAATTATTTATAACCATCAGAACATTGATAAACCTATTTTCTTGATTACCATGAAAAAATAGGAGCTACGAGGCTCCGAATTGAATAGTGATACGTTTTTGAACCAGAATCCCGCTATCCTTTGATGAAAAAAATTTTCCCACTAAGTATTGATTAGTTTCTAGTAGTTCAATGAATATCGAAGAACATTTTAAAAACTTTGTCAGGTAAACGACACGCTTTTTGCTAGTTCTGAGCAATTTTCGAGCTTTATTTTTTTCGGAATTTTCGGACATGCAACTGCAGAATAAAATCATTTTCAGTTTTTGTCCCTACTCAGTTCACTCCAAGCCAATACGGCAGCATCCTCATTGTAAACGACGACTTCAACGCGTCTTCTGGAGAACAAGTGACCGTCAACAGAGGCGACAAGGCAAGAGCATAAAAATTCCAAGGACAACCTCAGTTTTCTCAGGTTATTCTCCTGAAAAGTGGTACTCGAGGATGGGTGTACGTCAGAGATGCCGTCACTGGACGGTTTGTTGAATTTCGAGAAGAAAAATCCACGTCTATAGCTTTCAGAACTGGATGGATCCCTGCGCCATATGTCAATCAATAACTATACATTCTTCCGATTTCAAATTAACTTTGCGAAGTTTTATATCTTCTTCTTATTTTTTTGCCACCGTGTAGGTTTTATTCCATTTTCGAAAAGAGTGATAAATATTTATATCAATCTGGCTTTGATGAAAAATGAAAAATGAAATGATGTCACTTTTCTGACGTTACAGGGCGCAAAAAGAGTGAACAGTCTTTTCACATGGCTACTGCGCAAAGGATAATTGACTATTATGAAGAATAATGGCCACTTTTATGTTCAATATAAAAAAATTTCACTTTGAAAGTTTTTTTCGGAATAATTTGGGAAAAAAAGTTCGGATCTGAGTGGAAGGCAAAAAAATGCGGCGTATATCATCCCATAAACAATATTCATTCTTAAAAATTTCTGATGTTAAAGTCATTCTGTTTTTTTGAACCGCAATGGCCATTACTTCCCAAAAACCTAGTATTATAAATAAAAAAGTCAAATTCAATTAATGAGTGCCCGGAGCTTCGCTGCCGTATATTACACAATGGTCAGTCTGAAAGATGAAAAATTATTCATAAAGGATTTTTGTGTAGTACAATTCTCAGATCTGGTCCCAAATTTTGTGGTAGGTAATCCTAAAGGAAATTTATTCAAAAAAAATATCAGCTAAGCGCCTAATGGTCTCGAATAGAAACCACCGTGACAGGTAAGAAAAAAACTTGAGAAATCACTCATTTCAACAATTTTTCGCAACAAAAATATTTTTCTTATTGATCAAATTAACTTCGATTCGAAAATTCTGAAAGAAAACTTTCTGAGCTTTTTCTAAAACTTTTCCAACTCATTTTTTGTCACACCATACCAAATATGATTTCTCTGCTCTTTGTTACTTCTCCTGAACTTCGGACCAGATCTGCAGGTCATTTTCCCGTTCCAACCTTGCTTCTGGCCATTCTGGAAGTGTCAGCACATTGAAACGCTTCTTTGAACTCGTTCATTTGCGCAACTAGCGCGTTGGTCCTGACTTTAGAACCTGCATGACTGTCGAATGGTCGTCCTTTCCTAAGTTCTGCCTGAAAAAAAGAAATAAATAAATAAATATTCGATCGAATTACGTTTTCGCAAAAAGTGGCAGCCAATGAGTAGAAGAACATCTGTGGCGCAGTTATCCCTCTTATGTCGGACTTCTGGCGTGAAAAGATTAACCAAAAAGACGTTCCATGTTAACCACCTCTTCATTGGAACGGGTTTTTTCGAAGTGAGAATAAATAAGCCTAATCGCAGAAATATCGGCTCCATCTTCTTCGTTTGTCTCGTTTGTACCGCCGACACACCTCTCCTAAAAAAATTTTTTCGTTTTTTTGACATCACGTTATCAAATTTATAAGAGTCTTTTTCACGAAATAGGTTTAATTTAAGGTAGATAAAACTCTGTAAATAAGACGAAAAGCTTCTCAAAAATGTGAATAAAAACACTAGAAGTGTCAATTTGCACAACTTCCTGTTTCAAAGGTTTTATGAAACACGAACTTTGAAGAAATGTTCTTTGAAGACCAGAAGATCAACTGCATCGAAATTTCAAAACCAACGAAACTTTTTGGAATATTACAAATGCAACCTCACTTAAAAGAACCTTCTTGATCAACTTTAAAAAAATCATTAGTTTTTCAGTGAAGCTCCTTCAAAGCTCTCACATACCCCGACGAATTGTTTGCAAGTGGCTTCGAATTGTTTCTGAACGCATCCTGAAGAGTTTGTCCAAAATTTGGCCAGGTACTCATCCTCTTCGGTCACATAAAACGTGTGCATTAACTCATGGGCGAATATGAAACCTATTGCACCAAGCTGAAACTTGATCGATTTGATTTTATAGTAAGAAAAACTACCATTCGAGCCTTGTTTTGAATCAAGCTGAGAGATTGAGCAATGGGAGTGAAAAACATGTAGCTCCCCTGAAAATTGGAAGAAATTTTTATACTATAAATCCGCTGACCCCGTTGAAAGCATTGAAAACTCTACCGTTTTTGATGAGGCCATTTCCTGGTTTCGAATAGATTTCATAGAAAATTTTCGGGATGACTTCGAGGTAGAGACAGACTAATGAACAGTTTTCTTTGCTGTAAAATGAAGCAAAATGATTTTGACGTCTGGAGTTTTATAAATTCGTCGAGAATTAAATTTTAGTCCTGTTAGAGATCTATCATAGTTTCAGCTCGTGCAAACCCTCACTTTAAAATTTTTTCCATGCTCATTTTTCCGAGACCCCTCAAAAGTGCATAAAAACTTGAAAATGTATTCCTGAAACTGAAAAGTTACACAGGTTGGAAAAATTTGAAAGTATTTTTTTGAATCGATTTGAAAGTTATTTGAAAGCCCCTGGGAGGATCCCTCCAACCTGTGCTAACTTTCAATTTCAATTTTCGCTTTCAAACTATATCTTTATCAGTTCCCTCGGCAATAATCCAAGAAGCCTTACCTGTAAGATTCAACTGTCTCAGTATAATAATTCTCCCATTCCTTCAATAACAAATCATCGGGAACAAAGTACGTCAAATTTTTCGAGAGGAACTCCTTGAAAGCTGTTGTTCCATTATGATAAGCGACCCAAGGAGTGTTCTGTAAAAATAACTAATATGTTCAATTTTCAACACAAAATTACTTCAATTTTTTCCTGGAGCTCTTCAACCAAGTCATGGAACAGTTCTAGTAAATTGGCGCGAGACTCTCTGAACGTACTACTTTTGAAGACTTCCAGATGCCGTGGTAAGTCGAACAACATGTTTCTCATCGTTAGAAACTAAAATAAAATCTAAATTCAAAAAAATAAAATTTTCAAATCACAGTGGAACTTTTTTGCTTTTGTAAATACTGATAGCCAAATAAGTAAGCGATCGATTCACAAGAGGCGTTTGGAGCGAGAGGAAATTCAGGAAAGACAACATTTGAAAATTCAAGCGCCAGTAACTTTCCATATCCCGTTTTGTAACATCTGTAAAAAATATAAGCTTGAAAAAACTATTCTCTTTACATATCAAGAAGTTGATTCACAATAGTCCTAGGCGTGTTTTCCAAGGACAGCTCTTTCTGAAAAATGAGATATCAGAGGGAAAATGATAGGAAATACCAAGAAGCTGTCGAATTTTGTGGTCACGGTTTCTAACTGTTTTTTATATGCTACTGTTGTTAAATAAACAGCGGTGTCTTCCGCTTTGATGTTCATGGGGCAAACATGATCATAGAAGTCGTCACAAGGGTCAACCGAATCGTTCAGTTTTCTGCAGAGGAACTCTTCAAAAAGGTGGAAATACAAAAAAAAAACTTACTGAATAATATGACTTTTCACAAAATCCTCGAACTGGTGAGAAAATACAGTGGAAGTCAAAAGGAAAAAAACTTGGAAAAGAGCTCTCATTACCTCTGATTACAATTTCTGATTTTTGTCTTTTTTATATGCGTCGACTTTCATTATGACGCATAAGAAAGAGAAAAAAGTTCTAAGGAAGTTTTCATCAAACCTTTTTTTGGGTGAGAAAAGTTCAATAATGGTAAGGAAATTTTCCTTTCAATAGCCATCGTTTTTTTCGGACCAGGAAATCAAAATTTTTGTAAAAGCGGAAAACTTCAAGAAATTGTTTTTCGGGAAAAAGTGATTGAATGATTTTCAACTACAAAGAGTGTATTTAATCCCAGATTCGTTCATGGCTACTCCAAGTTTTACAACTGCTGTATGACACGGAATGTTATAAAACAACCAACTTGCAATGTTTTAGCAGAGAATGTTGACCAATTTACAAAGGGAAACATTCGCGAAGTTATTTAAAAGGTCGAATGGAACACAAAAACGCAAAATGTTCGGTTTCTCAGTTTTTCTACTCAGTCTGTTGGCTACAACTACTGCTTGCAATGATACAGAAGACGTCGTCAAAACTTTTCTTCAAACGTTAGAATTTCTCTTTGATTCTCAATCTTATTGAAACACTCTTCATTTCAGGAAAATAGACAGGAATGTGGACCCTTGCTCAGACTTCTACGCTCACGTTTGCCCCGTGAATCTGCTCATCGCAGAAACAGTTCCCTCACTGCTTAGCCAATTTTATATACGCGAAGCAAAAAAGTTTCAAAGCGAGCGGGGCGAATTTACGGTTGGATTAATATTTTTCTAAGAACGGATTATTTTCCAGGAACTGATGCAAGAATATATCGATGAATTCTCTTCTCGAAGTTTCCGCAAGACTGTGAACGATCTTCTTGAAGTGTCAGTGTACTTCTGATGAGTTGTTGGAATAATAGGATCAACTGTTCCGATGACTTTTTTTGAAACCGGAAAAAAACACAGATGTTCCGAAAGTGGGAGTCTGAAAGGAAAAATTGCAGATGCGACGTTGACAAAAGTAAAGCAGTCGATTTCGCTTCAACAATCACTCAAGAAAGTTTCTACATGAACAAAACCTGTGAAGAAATCAGCTATGAATTCGGAATCCTTGCCCCAAACGCCACTCTTACATATGAAGTGAGAAAATCATCTTTTTTTTTCTCACACAAATCTTTTCATTTTAAGGCACGGAGAATTCTGAAAGTTTTGAAAAACGGTAGGCGAGAAATCGAATTTTCAAAGTCTGAATTGGCTCAGCTGTTGAATAAAAACGAGAAAAAGTTTTTTGAAATCTTCAAAGACGAAGTTCGGAACACATTTTCGGTATGTCAATTTTTGAGTCAGTTTTATATACTTTCTTGCAGGAAACACCGTGGTTAAACTATCGAAACGGGACAGATTTTTACTTGGACTTTTTAAAGAATCGTTTATCGTTGCTCGAAAAAAGCCAAGAGGTGATCCGTGCGTGGGAGATGGTTTTTGAAAAATTGAAAGTTTCTTCACAACACTGCAAGTAGGAAGGTTTTCAGCACAAATATTACTTGGATTCCTTCAGGCCTAACAATACCATTCCCTCTTTTGTTTGCGCGTTCAAAGAACTGGAAAATCTAACAAAAGATGGAGCGAGACCCGCTTCCGAATTCGGCATGTTCGGTCTGGATCTGAACGCTGTCAACTATGTTGGACATCTACTAGAATCACATCAAAAAATTCACGTCGTTTTGTACAGTGCCGTCATAAAAAAAACAAGAACAAACGTTTTCCACATGACTTTATCGTGTGGGGCTCCATCTTTCTTTTTTTGCAAACAAAAATTTTAGAAGGGTACACGAATAACAGTTTTGACAGTATTTTGAATCGTTCAGCTCTGAAAGTCTCCATTTGCCTTCGAACTCTGAAAAATTACTGATGCGAAACTCTGAAAAGGTGTAATGATAAATTTAGGAATAAACTTTATTTTGATTTCGACATCTGGTGGATTCCCATTTTGATAAACAAGCCTACGTAACGAAAAAAATAATTTTTTTAAAAAAAAACTTCTGCAGCTGAAATTTTCAGAGAAGTACTATAATTTTTCATGGAACGAGCGTCTCAGATTTTGACTCTTACGGATAATATGGCGCGTTTGGTGAGTATTTTGAACTCGACCATCATTACATACTCGAAACTTGCAGTATGGCGGATATGGAAATGTCATCGGCCATGAAATGATGCACACATTTTATTCGTCTGCAGGAGATACTGATCTTTTGAAATATTATTTCACGAACTCATCTCAGTGTGTTACAAAACAATTTGCAGCAACTTGCAAAGAGTTCGGGGTACGTGTTATTTCTCACTGGAAGTCAACTAGTCTTTCTCAAGGGGAACTGTATCTTTTCTGGAACCGCGACTACAGAAGAAGAAGATGGAAGCGACTTGGCTGCGATTCGATTGGTCTATTCAGACTTCGAGAAAAGACATCTTCATAATGAGGTTGGATCGACTTCGTTTTGTTCCCTTAGGGCGAGTTTCAAAATCAATAACGACGTTTTAATCCCAGAAAAGTGACATCGAAGGTATAACTACGGCACAAATGTATTTCTACTCTTTTGCGTCTACGACATGTACGGATGTAGGTTCATTGAAATAATTTTCTAGCTTAAAATTCAAAATCTTAGATAGTTGAAGCGCTGGGAATGGATGATGTTCATTCTGGATGGAAAATCAGAGTCAACGCCTTGATGTCGCAAATGGACGAATTCAAAGAGGCTTTCCAGTGCGCTGGAGATTCTCGAATGATTCGGAGCAAGGTTTTTCGAGCTTCCATGATCAAAAAACACAAATTTCTCAGGTTGAGCACTGCTCAATTTTCGGTTCCGACGCACCGCAAACTAGGAAACATTTCAACTCTGCTCCACCAACAGAAAACATTTGAAAATGATTACAATATTTTCGTATAAAATGGAAGTTTTACATGTCATGAAATGAAGAGATGACCAAAGTTGCCTGGAATCGATGGAATAAATTTTGAAAGTATGGAATTGATAAAAAAACTTCTTGCGTTTGAATGCTTTATCGACTTTATTTAGTATTACCTCATTCCTACCTCCCGAACGCTCGAATTCTTTCCGCTCTCGTCGGAGATTTAATCCAACGTCCGCTAGCCCTGGAAAAGCTGGATGTCGTACTCTTCTTACATGAAGAAGCACTTGATGGTCAGGAAGCTCAAATCTTGTCTGCTGCTTTCACAGGAAGTGTAGCATGTCGTTTTTGATCAACGACAATTTTGCGAACCAAAACGAACCTATTCAATCAATTTATGATTCATTAGAGATTTTTTTTAATGAATTAAAGAAGTTTGTAACTGTATTCTGTTTTATTGTTTCCAAACCAAAAGTTTTTCCTTTAGTTCTAAATTGATAAATTCTAAAGGAGATCGGATTATTCATGTTTATCAAGCTAATAGAATTTGATGAGCCCTGAAGGGTTATTTGAACTTATTCAAAATTTGTGAAAATGCAGGTAAATTTCCAAGAGCACCAAGCTTCAAATGTTCGTATCGTAAGTTGGGACTTCAGCCCGTAAACATTTTTGCTTGAAACTGTTTTTTACACATCTCCTCAGCGCAATATTAACTCATTTAAATTATTTATAAGATTTTATTCTTTAAAGCATTTCCATTTTTTTTTAGCCCAGCTTGGATATCGAGTTGTTTGCACATATCTTCATGAGTTGTGAGTTTCTGAAAGCTGTATTATGGATATTGATAAAAAATTTTCACCAGCTATTCCTTTTACAACAATAAGCAACACAAGAGAATTTACGGCGTCGCTTTTTTGCCTGTCACTGTCCGGCACTTCACAACTGTTGTGTCATTAAAATTTTTATAAAACAACCCTGCTAGCAAATGTTTAAGAAGTTTGTTGATAAACTCCCCTAGGACAACATACCGAAATCATATAAATGGCAATCAAAGTCAAAAAACGGAAAAATGCTTCGTCTCCCCGTTTCTCTGCTCTTTCTGCTTTCTAGAGCTTCTGCTTGCGTCGATTCAGAAGACGTTGTCAAAAATCACATCCAAACGTTTGTTTTGCTTTCATTTTATTAATCTGTTTGTAATGCTTGAAAAGTCGTCTTTTCAGAAAACTTGACCGAAGTGTGGACCCTTGCACGGATTTCTACGCTCACGTTTGTCCTGCGAATTTACCTGTTGGAGAAACAGTTAACTCTCAGCTCGGCTCAATATACCAACGCGAAACAGAAAAGTTGCAGACCAAGCATGAAGAGTTTTTGGTTGAGTGAATTTTTATTTTGAACAACGAATCGTTTTTTTTTAGAGACACATGAAGGAATACATTATGGAGTTTTCTTATAACAAAGGTTTTCGCAAAACTGTAAACGATCTCCTCGAAGTGTCAGTTTAGCTAAATTTTTTTGGGTATTTACTAGAAGATCGTAACAGAAAACTAGTTAAGAAATTGTGGAACTTCCATGAGAGACTTCACACCCTGACTCAAAAGCAGTCAGAGAAAACTGAACCTCAATGCAATATTCCTTTTTATTTAAGGCCAAAGCTTTAGTTATATCTTGTATTTTTTTAATGGTAAAGTTCGAAATTTCCGGTTTCCTAACCCTCCCCCACAAAAAAAGCATAGAGTGCAATGACTTATTTGGAATGACAGTTTTTTTCCTGCTTATTGACCTTCAAGAAAAAAACCAGATGATTTTCTGAAAAACGCCTCAATTTTTCCAAAAAAATCATCAGATCAAAAAAATAGAAATTCAGGTGCGACGTTGACAAAATAAAAGCGCTCAATTACGTTCTTCAAGCTATTCAAATTGACCTCAACAAAAAAACGCGTCCTGTGAAAACATCAGCTACAATTTTGGAATAGAAGCCCCCAAGATTAAAAATCACACAGATATTGTGAGAAAGTGTAATTTTCCGTTTTCAATTTCTTATTTTTTAGCATCTTAGTTTTCTCGAGATTCTGAGCAATGGTCCGCGTGAACTCGAGTTCTCAAAGACTGAATTAGCTCAATTGTTGGACAGAAACGAAAAAATTTTCTTTGAAAGCTTCAAAGACGAAGTTGCAAACAAATTTACGGTATGCCAACTTTTGAGTCAGTTTTATATACTTTCTTGCAGGAAACACCGTGGTTAAACAACCGAAACGGGACAGATTTTTACTTGGACTTTTTCAAAAATCGCTTTTCGCTTTTTCAAAGAACCAGCGAAAGTGTTCATGCTTGGCAATTGATTTTTGACGAGTTGGAAAGATCTTCATTACATTGCAAGTAAGAATTTCCGATGCTCAGTTTTTTGATTTATCTTTTTAAGGCCTAACAGTACCATCCCTTCTTTTGTTTGTGTGTATCAAGAACTGGTTAAAATGAAAGAAAATGGAGCAAGACCAATGACGGAATTTTACATGTTCGAGCAGAGCTCTAATGCTTTTAACGACGTGGGAATCTTTATTGAATTTTATTAAATAGCTTATTTTGACAATGTTTATGGAGGTGTCAAATTTTGGACAGTACTCTCTGGGGAAAAAGGACGCCTCATTTATTGATAGACGTTCGAACCGTTCCAATGAGCCCTTTAATCAAATATTCACGATTGCTGAAAACAAGAATTTGAAAACGAGTTCAATTTAGGCGCCTCCGAATAGTCAAAAAGCTGGTTCACCGCCCTTTTTGAATTTATCTTACTAATTTATGACGGCCAAATGAGAAATACTAGCGAAGGTTTGAAAAATAAGTGAAAAGAGCGATAAACGAGCTCCAAGTAATCGCTGGAGGCTGAACTCGCGCCAAAAAAGCCAAAATGATGAAAAACTGAAGGCAGTCAAGAACTGCGCGGCTTTTGCGGGTGAACGGCGGAAGAAATAAGGCCAGCGGGTGACCACGAATTTCAACTCGTTTCTCAATTTTTACCCAAAAAAGCGCAACACTCTCCGCTCAAATTTTCAACTTTTCCAGGGGAATGGTCAAATAATGGTGAATCGTGCAACTCAACTCCTGACACTCACGAACAACAAAGCGCGACTGGTACTTTGTTCTTTGAGGGTTCCATTAATTATTTGCAGTATGGCGGTTATGGAAGTATCATCGGCCATGAAATAATGCACACGTTTTATTCGTCGGAAACAGATCACGACCTTCTAAAATATTATTTCACAAATTCATCTCAGTGTGTTACAAAACAGTTTGCGGCAACTTGCAAAGAGTTCGGGGTAGGTGTTAATTCTCATTGGAAGTGAATTTGTCTTTCTCAAGGGGAACTGTATCTTTTCTGGAACTGCGATAACAGAAGAAGAAGATGGAAGCGACTTGGCTGCGATTCGCGTAGTCTATTCAGACTTCCAGAAGAAGTATCTCCACAGCGAAGTTTGACAAATTTTTCGAAGCCATCAACTGGCCAGAGAGCCGTTTTTTAAATATCAAAAACTGGAACATGTTTTCAGAAAAGTGACATCGAAGGTATAACTACGGAACAAATGTTTTTCTATTCTATGGCGTCTTTTTGGTGTGCTGAAGTTAGTGAAAACACAAACCTCCTAATTCGAGTTGATCACTTTAGAGAACTTTCGCGCTTGGAGTTGAAGATACCCATTCTGGATCGTACATCAGAGTCAACGCGTTGATGTCGCAAATGGACGAGTTCAAACAGGCCTTCCAATGCGCTGGAGATTCTCGGATGATCAGGAGCAAGGTTTTTTCAAGTCTTTCAATGAAAATAGGGTAATTCTTAAGGTCGAGCACTGTTCGATTTTTGGTTCTGACGCTCCACAAACGCGAAAACATTTCATTTCTGCTCCTCTAACAAAAAACAATTGAATTTTTGAATGTTTCTTGTTTTTTTTTATCCTTGTTCTTGATTATACAATTGAAAGTTGTATAAAGAACTGTTTCTTAAACAGCGGCTATATATTTTTAAAAAAATGTTATAAAACAACCAACTGGCGAATGTTTGGAGAAAAAAATGTTGATGAACTTTCGAACGAAAACAAAGTCCAATTTATATAAAGAGGCAGTTTTTGAAACACGACTGAAAATGCTGCTTCTCCCGGTTCTTCTGCTTGGCCTGTTTTCAACAAGTTCTGCTTGCGACGATTCAGAAGACTTCGTGAAAGCTCACATCCAAACGTCAGAGTCGTACTTAGAAATTTTCAGCGAACCGTATTCTTAAATTTTTTTTAATTGTTCAATTTTTTTATATTTTTTTAAAAAAATTTTTTTCAATATTCTTAATAATTTTTTTAAATGTTCTTAAAAAAAGGTAAAAAAATAATAATTTTTCAGAAAAAAATAGACAAAACTGTTGACCCATGCTTCGATTTCTACACTCACGTTTGTCCTGTCAAATTTTCTGATACAGAATCAGTCAATGGGAAGCTCGAACAACTCTATCAGAACAAAATTAAAGAAATTCACACGAAGCACGACGAATTTCAGGTTGAGTTGAAAGATTTTCCGATAACAAGAACGTATTTTAGAAACAGCTGGCGACTTATGTGTTCAATGTTCGTAAGACTGTGGACGATCTTCTTGAAGCGTCAGTTTTATGAATTTTTAGAAGATAGTTTTGTTTTAAAATTGGTTTGTGACCAACAAATTCATTGGGAAAAATTGTCTTGAACTGAATGAAATATACAGTACCGCCAGGAAAGATATTGACTTTCCGAATAGCTTCTAAAGCTGCGATTTTTTCTGTGAGCTGGAACTCCATCAGAGAGACAAAATTTACAGCCATCACAACGGCAGAAAATTTCAGACAAATTGAATTCCTCACAAGAAAGTTGTGACTGAAAATCCGTTTTTATTTGTATCTTTCTGAACGGTACGGTGAAATAGCTTTTCATTATAAATGTAATTCAAGACTTTTCATTATAAATGTAATTCCCTCTGTTTGGACAATGTTTAATAACTTCACTCTTTCTGCCAGCGTCAATTTCTTTGGCATGTAACGCTTCCTGAGCAAAATTATCAACTCGTCGTACGACAGATTTTCTATAGGTTTATCAGACAGGGATTCTATTTCTGCGTAAACTGTGACACCTATTTCGCATACTAATATGCACGCTTTTTCCGTATCAACAGTTACTTTACGCATCTTCAGAAAATTGTTGAACATCTTCTCATATATTTCCCATGACGTGCCCGGTACGTAGGCACCGGGTCCTTTCGTCAGGTATGAGTTTGATGACACAACAGGGTTTTCCGTCATTATTTCTTTCTTTTATTTAGTTAGTCCGCTTACTGATCGCCACTTTAATGTATCTTTGTGTGCGTGTCAGAAAGAAGAGTACTCGCCACTTATTTATTATCAGTGGTGAATAAAGATGGAGAGTGGAGATTGGAGAGGTAGTTGTCGATTAGTCCGTAGCTGGAAGCGACGGAGGAGCTGGAGGCGAATGGTGGGCGGTACGAGCAATCAAGATCTGAGTTCCCGACTTCTTTTATACTCTTAGTTGGGATATCTCTCACGTGATCTATTATCTGATCACTATCAATTCACATATTCAACATGTATTTCCGGAGGGTACGGTAAAATAGCTTTTCATTATAAATGTAATTCAAGATGTGACGCTAACAAAACTCAAGCCATTCGATTCGTCAACGCAACTACGGGCTTACAATTCTTTGAAATGGCACCTTGTGAAATGGTCAGCTACGCCTTTGGATTCAATGCGTCTGTGACCAGTCCTCAGAAACTTGTGGGAGAATATAACTTTTTTTGGAAAGAAAGATTTTTCAGTACGGTTATTTTCTGAACGTTTTGCTCTCAGGCCCACGTGAGATTGAATTTTCCAAGTCTAAATTGGGACAAACATTGGATAAAAAAGAAGCGGATTTTTTCGAGAGCTTCAGAGAGGAAGTCCGCAACAAGTTTTTGGTCCGTTATTTTCTTTTACATCATCTCATTCATGTTTCTTCCAGGAAACACCGTGGTTGAAGTTCAGAAACGGAACAGAGCTGTACTTGGAACATCTGGAAAGTAATTTATCACTATTTCGAAGAGACCCAGAAATGTTACATGCGTGGGAAGTAATTTTTGACGGGCTGGAGAATCATTCGTTGAGCTGCAAGTGAGGAATTTCATTAAAAATTCCAATCTTCTATTAATAATTGGGGAAATGTTTAGGCCTAACAGTGCCCTCCCATCTTTCGTTTGTGCGATCGAAGGATTGGTAAGGCTGGTAAATGAGGAAGCAAGGCCGCTTTTGGAATTTTTGATGTTTGAGACAGATTTCAACGCATTCAATGATGGGGTAAGGATTGATTTTGTGATGTTTTCAGTATTGCTAGTAATGACATCAAAAATGATTTCTCTAACTCAATACAGAGGTGAACTTTTACTTTTATAGTATGGTTCAATATTCATGAACCGACCAGTTCAATTTTTGACTCTGACGGATAACATGGCGCGACTGGTACGTTTATTCTTCCGGAACACTTTGAATATATTCATTTGCAGTATGGTAGTTATGGATTTGTTGTGGGGCATGAAATTATGCACACCTTCTACTCTTCGAAGGAAGATGAAGATGTTCTGAAAGAACACTTCACGAACTCCTCTCAATGCGTGCAGAAACAGTACGAGAAAACTTGCAAAGAGTTTGAGGTATAGTTCATACACCATTGGTCAGACTAGGAGTTGTTTCAACCCCCGGAAGAACTTTCAGATGAACCTTCGCCAGAATGTACTTCAGGGCCAGATGTTTGCAAAAAAAGAGAAAAAAATTCTTGTAATAGAACTAGCTACCGAGTCGACACGCTTTAAAAGCTTCAAAAGACGATTTTTTTTACAATTTGTATATTTTGAAAACTTCGAAGCTTGATAACTCAATAACAAAGATCGATTGCAAAATTTTTTTTTACATGTTTTCAAATCTTAAGATCCTAAAATACACTTCGGCAAAGCTTCATCAAAAGTTCAACTGGACGCTAAAATACACTCCTCAGTGAGATATAAATCAATAAGGTTTCTAGAAATGTACTAAACATTTTTATAGACTCCTTGTGAGTCCTCGGGGACAAACGTCACAAACGAAGAAGACGGAAGCGATTTGGCTGCGATTCGATTAGTTTACTCAGACTTCCAAAGAAATCACCTTCACAAAGAAGTTTGAAATATTTCTTTCTCTCATTCAACTTATTCACTTGAACTTTTTTCCAGAAGAGTGATATTGACGGCGTGACGTCGGAACAAATGTTTTTCTACGCTCTGGCGTCTATGTGGTGCAAAGAAGTGAGTTGAATCGAATGAGTTTTTTGATTGGAACTTGGACTTCAGAGAAATGGCATAAGAATTCCCGATGTACATTCAACCCAGTATATAAGAGTGAACGCGTTGGTGTCCCAAATGAACGAATTCAAAGAGGCTTTCCAATGCGCTGAAGATTCTCGAATGATGGCAAGCAAGGTTTCCTTGAATTTCTTTCGCGGAAATGAAAAAACGTTTCAGGTTGAACACTGTGCTATTTTCGGTTCTGACGCTCCGCAAACCCGGAAGACCAATAACAGCACTGCGCCATCTACAAAGGAAATTTGAGAAACCGGTTTTTGCATGAGCTGGGAGCACATAAATATTATAACAGCTTCTACAGTAGAAATGATGCAAGATGGATAAAAAGAAACTTGGCTTGATCTATTTTAGAAGGTATTTTTTAAATTCTTGAGAAAAAATTCGGAGACTTAACAATTCAAAAGCGACTATTTAGGAAAGTTTTTTTTTCGAGAAATAACTTTTTCGAAAGTAAAAGGCGTTCTGCTTAGTCAATTTTTTGAAGTGCTGCAAAAACGGTAATAAAATCGAGCTTATCGAAGGAAATAACCGGAAATGTTGAATTAAACCGAACCAGTATCAAACTATTCACTTTCTCTGTTCTCAAAAAATTAAAAAGTTATGGAAAAATAAGGAACGGCCAATTTTTTTCAACATGCAGAAATATTTTTGATTCAAGTAGGCTAAGAAGGTGCCGTATTGACCATAAAAAATAGCCGGTTCAGTTTTTTGGCTGAAAATTTGGAATCCTCTTGAATTTTGATGTCCGGTATAGTTCAGCACATTATCGGGAATTGACACTTTCAGTCTGTTCGATCAAGTGACTTGTTACGCAAGAAAAAAACTGGATAGTGAACAAAATGCTGGTGAAAATTCCAATCGATATCATTCAATCGATCAATTGCTCGAGGAAATAATGTTGATTGAATCGAACCACTGAATTTGTTAAAAATCCGGTCTGTATAAATGTGAAATTAGTTTTCGCAGCACGCGAACAGTTTTTCTATCAAAATTTTTCGTTGCGAAGGAGGGTGGGTAAAAAATATTGATAGTTACATAGTGTATTTGGAATATGTACATCCGGGAAACTGAAAAAGCGTGAAAAAAAGAAAAATAAATGTTAACGTGACAGAAATAAATGAAACTATATAAATTGAGACGAGACAAATCATAAACGTGAAAGAAAAGTGGGAGCTGAAATATAAGTGTACATGATGACCTTGAAGGAGAAAAATTTTATTTGAAAGTGAATAAAGAAGAAATTTCAAAAAAACATGAAACATAGGTACAACAGATAACGTTGAAAATACCTAATTAACAAAGACGGAAAAGTTTCGCTAAAAAAACGCGGAAGAGAGAAGTTCTGAAACGAAAAATTTCTTGACGAAAAAAAAATTAAGTAACTGTGCCTGTAAGGAACGAAATATTTAAAAAAAACTCCTTCTCGAAAAAAAGCTTCCTAAATAGTCGCTTCTAAGTTGTCAAGTCTCCGACTTTTTTTGTAGTTTTTCGAAAATTTGAGAACTACCTCATAATATATATTTAGGAACCACCAACGATTTATCGAAAATGCCTGTGTTTTATGTTTTTAAGTTTTTCTCCTCTATTCACATTTAGTAAAGGCTTACGAATTATTAAAATACGATCTATAAAACTCCCATGAGCTTTTTTGCTGATATTCACTTTTTCTGTTTTAATTCTTTTTTCCGCAGTACCCACTGAAAAATTTATCTCAAATTTCTTTTGTAGATGGCGCAGTTTTGTTATTAGTCTTCCGGGTTTGCGGAGCGTCAGAACCGAAGATGGCACAGTGTTCCACCTGAAGGTTTTTTTTTCCTTTACCAGCAAAAATTTCAAGGAAACCTTGCTTGCAGTCATTCGAGAATCTTCAGCGCATTGGAAAGCCTCTTTGAATTCGTTCATTTGGGACACCAATGCGTTCACTCTAATATACGGAGTAGAATGTTTTTTGTCGATTAATATATTATTTTTCTCAAGTTCCAAGTTCTAATCGAGAAACTTATTCGATTCAACTCACTTCTTCGCACCAAATAGACGCCAGAGCGTAGAAAAACATTTGTTCCGACGTCACGCCGTCAATATCACTCTTCTGGAAAAAATATCCGGGTGAATAAATTTAATGATAGAAAGAAATGTGTCAAACTTCTTTGTGGAGGTGATTTTTTTGGAAGTCTGAGTAAACTACTCGAATCGCAGCCAAATCGCTTCCATCTTCTTCGTTTGTGAAGTTTGTTCCCGTGACCTTACAGGACGTCTACGATAAAGTATAGTTGTCACACGTACTACATGTTACAAAGAAAATCTATTAAAACCCATCTATCATTTATTTTGATTGAGGATTCTATGAAAAGAGGCTATTTATAGCCTCTAGAATCTCGAATTTAACACTCTTTGATGTACCAAGTGAAAACTTTCAAAGTATCAACATGGATGTCTTACCATTTGTGGTGGACAACGTCTTCAAGCCGAAGAATAACTTGTAAGACTGGAAATTTTTCCATACCGGGAAAAATCCGCCAAGCTACTTTTTGAAGTTTTACGTCTTGGTTTTCTGTTAACTTAAAAGTTGCGAATATTGAAATTTACAACATTTTCCCTTGATACATATTCTGGTTAACATTTGAGGTTTTCCTCGCCGCAGATCTGAATGATGAAAATTCTGGAGCTGTTTTCGCACTACGTCTCACTGGGAAACGTTTTAAAGTTGCCCGGTTGAACTTTTCATGAAACTTCGCTGAAGTAAGATATAAAAGCTTCAGATCCCAGAAAAGGATGAATTTCTCGCAATCGATCTTGTTTTTCGAGTTATGAAGCTTTAAAATTTGCAAAGAGTTTTAAAAACTATCCTTAGTCAGGTCAGGCAATAAACCATACCTCAAACTCTTTGCAAGTTTTCTCGTACTGTTTCTGAACGCACTGAGAGGAGTTCGTGAAGTGTTCTTTCAGGACATCTTGATCTTTATTCGAAGAGTAGAAGGTGTGCATAATTTCATGGCCCACAACAAATCCATAACTACCATACTGCAAATGAATATATTCGAAGTGTTCCGGAAGAATAAACGTACCAGTCGCGCCATGTTATCCGTCAGAGTCAAAAATTGAACTGGTCGCATCATGAATATTGGCCCGCGCTACAATAAGAAAAAATAACTTCTTTACTAACTAGTAAGTTAGATGGTTCTCACTGAAAATACTGATATTATCATATCTTTAGCCCTTACCATAGTATTCATGGCGTTGAAAACTGTCTCAAACATCAAAAATTCCAAAAGCGGCCTTGCTTTCTCATTTATCAACCTTACCACTTCTTCGATCGCACAAACGAAAGATGGGAGGGTACTGTTAGGCCTAAACATTTTCCCAATTATTAATAGAAGATTGGAATTTTTAATGAAATTCCTCACTTGCAGTTCAACGAATGATTCTTCAACCCGTCGAAAATTACTTCCCACGCATGTAACATTTCTGGGTCTCTTCGAAATAGTGATAAATTACTTTCCAGATGTTCCAAGTACAGCTCTGTTCCGTTTCTGAACTTCAACCACGGTGTTTCCTGGAAGAAACATGAATGAGATGATGTAAAAGAAAATAACGGACCAAAAACTTGTTGCGGACTTCTTCTCTGAAGCTCTCGAAAAAATCCGCTTCTTTTTTATCCAATGTCTGTCCCAATTTAGACTTGGAAAATTCAATCTCACGTGGGCCTGAGAGCAAAACGTTCAGAAAATAACCGTACTGAAAAATCTTTCTTTCCGAGAAAAGTTATATTCTCCCACAAGTTCCTGAGGTTCGGTCAAAGAAGCATTGACTCCAAAGGCGTAGCTGATCATTTCACAAGGTACCATTTCGAAGAATTGTAAGCCCGTAGTTGCGTTGACGAATCGAATGGCTTGAGTTTTGTTAGCGTCACATCTTGAATTACATTTATAATGAAAAGCTATTTCACCGTACCGTTCAGAAAGATACAAAAAAAACGGATTTTCGGTCACAACTTTCTTGTGAGGAATTCAATTTGTCTGAAATTTTCTGCAGTTGTGGTGGCTGTTATTTTTGGCCCTATGATGAAGTTTCAGCTCACAGAAAAAATCGCAGCTTTAGAAGCTATTCGGAAAGTCAATATCTTTCCTGGCGGTACTGTATATTTCATTCAATTCAAGACAATTTTTCCCAATGAATTTGTTGGTCAAAAACCAGTTTTAAAACAAAACTATCTTCTAAAAATTCATAAAACTGACGCTTCGAGGAGATCGTCCACAGTCTTACGAACATTGAACACATAAGTCGCCAGCTGTTTCTAAAATACGTTCTTGTTATCAGAAAATCTTTCAACTCAACCTGAAATTCGTCGTGCTTCGTGTGAATTTCTTTAATTTTGTTCTGATAGAGTTGTTCGAGCTTCCCATTGACTGATTCTCTATCAGAAAATTTGACAGGGCAGACGTGAGTGTAGAAATCGAAGCATGGGTCAACAGTTTTGTCTATTTTTTTCTGAAAAAAATATTATTATTACCTTTTTTTATTATAAAGATTATTATAACATTATTAAGAATATTGAAAAAAATTATTAAAAAGAATGGAAATTAAAAACATTAAAAAAAGTTAAGAATACTGTTCGCTGAAAAATTTTTAAGTACGAATCTGACGTTTGGATGTGAGCTTTCACGAAGTCTTCTGAATCGTCGCAAGCAGAACTTGTTGAAAACAGGCCAAGCAGAAGAACCGGGAGAAGCAGCATTTTCAGTCGTGTTTCGAAAACTGTCCCTTTATATAAATTGGACTTTGTTTTCGTTCGAAAGTTCATCAACATTTTCTCTCCAAACATTCGCCAGTTGGTTGTTTTATAACATTTTTTAAAATATATAGCCGCTGTTCAAGAAACAGTTCTTTATACAACTTTCAATTGCATAATCAAGAACAAGGATAAAAAAAAACGAGAAACATTCAAAAATTCAATTGTTTTTTTGTTAGAGGAGCAGAAATGGAATGTTTTCGCGTTTGTGGAGCGTCAGAACCAAAAATCGAACAGTGCTCGACCTTAAGAATTACCCTATTTTCATTGAAAGATTATTTTTCAACTTTTTCTATTGATGCAGAAACTTGATGTTCTTTATGTACTTTTGAAAACTTTTTAGGTTCTTTCAAAAGTCAGTTTTGAGAGTTTCAATGTTTCAGATATTCAGTGCAGACAAGAAGGTTTCCGTCCGTCCCTTATACGAAATCGAGGGCTTTCAGCTTTGCCTAACGGTTGAAATCTGAAAATCAGTCTTTAATTTTTCCCTTCATATTGCGACAGATCACATTGTTTTGGGAACGGCTTCATACAAAAAAAAACTGCACTCAGAACTGTTCAAAATTTTATTAATGAAAAAACGGCTTCAGAAAAACAATTTTAAGGTTCTCCATTGCATACCACATCAACAACTTGAGAGGGAATTTTGGAACAGACTATTCGAAATTTCCTTTTTTCTCATAAAAGAAGGTAGGAGAAAAGTTTCAAAACTGATAAAAAATTTTCCCTGCACCTCAATCCGTTTGGATAAAGTTCAAGGCACTTTCCGTGTATCCATATCATTCGAAAGCAAGAGCAAATTGGTGAAAAAATTTCGACGCAACTGCATGAAAAAATGTTGACCAACAGCTTGGAATTTATCCGAACCATTTCCCCGAAGCCTCAGAAACAGTTTTCAAAATGTTGTCTGCTCTTTTTTTTAACTATTTTGTATTGTGAAAGAACTTCATGAACTGATAAGTGTTATGATGCTTGATTTTTAGACTTGAAAAAAGTGCGAGTGCTTTATTGACATTGTTTAGTGACATTGACATTGCAAAGGAAAAAGAAACAACAATAATATTATTTTCAGAAAAAATTTCAGCTTTGAAAAACGTTTAAAAAATCGGGAGCTGATTTGAACGATGGGGCAAAGCGAAACATAAATGTGAAGCAAGAGAAAAATTGTAAGGCAGAACCGAGTGACATGACGAAAGCAAGCACGGGACGAATACCAGCAAGTTGTAATGTTTCCAAGTCAAGCCAAATGCCCTTTATCTTAAAAAATCTGAGTTTTCATTGTAGAATTGAAGAAAAAAACCTAAGTTAGCAGGAAATGTGATAAAAAAAACAAAAAAAAAAAATACAGCGGAAATTATTCGAAAAACCAACAATAGCCGGAAGACATCAAGGAACATTGTTTGGAAAAATATTCAAAAAAATTAGAAACACTAAAAATTTTTTTCAAAATGGTAAATGGGGAAACTGAACAAAACTTGGAACTGGCCTTGTAATTTGAAAAAGAAAAGTCAACCAGGGCAAAAAAAGGCTTCAAAAATGCGTAAGTGGAAGAGAAAAGAAAAAAAAATCAACAGTTTGGCTTTGACAGCCGTGGTGCAGAAAGAAATTAACAGTTTGAGATGTTTGGAAGAACTGAGAAGCGTGAGCGACAAGAAGCTGCAGGAGACTTATGGCTCCACATCCTTGCAACCGTCGTGTTCGGCGCCGACGATGAACTTCAGGATCTCGTTATGGCTCAAGTCAATCTGCAAAAATTGAATTTGAATCTTTAGGAGAATTTCTGAAGTCTTATAGACCTGGTCACAAAAGTAGCACAGTAATTTTTAACCCGTAAAAAATAGTTGTGAAAACCCATTCGATTTCAGGAAACACGGTTTTTGAACAGGTCCTTTGATACTTTTCTTTTCATTAAGAAAGCCTTAAAAATTTTCTTCTTTTTTGGATTTACCTCCATGTCATCCTCGTCCATCGAATGATCCTCAGCCTGGGTCTCTTCCTCCAGATAGTCTTCTTCTTCTTCGGAAACATCGCTCAAGATGAACTCCGTCTGAAAATATTCATTTTATCCCAAACCTTGAGCTTTTCTCTCATCAAACACGTTTTTTGTGGTCATCGCAAAAAGTTGAAATAAGATGATTTACTCTACCTCAATATTCTCCTTATCATCGATCTCATCGTCGATGAACTGCTCTGACAGATCAATACCGAATTCCTCTTCAAATTTCAGTTGATCCAGCAGGCAATTGTCTACTTGCCAGGAAGACCAAGCCTGGTCTTGGTTTTCAGCGTTCTGTAATACAGTTAATCAACGGGAAAATCGTTTTTGTGAAGGTTAAAAACAAAACTAACCGGGAAGATACTGGAAGATGCAAAATCGCTTTGGTTTGCGTTGGTGTGGTCCGACATGTTGTTCAGCCAGTTGTTCATGATCGCGAATTTACGAAGTTCATTTGGATCGCTTTTGCGGTTTTGCGGTGTTTCACAAACAGTTCTCAGCTCCTCGCCATGGTGTTGCTGGGTATAACTCGCCAACTTTGCAAACAAATTTTGCTCCTCCATTTCGAGAGTCAACTGAAAAAAAAACACTTCTTTTTTATTCCGCTTTCGAATGAAGTTGAACCAGGCCTGTCATTTGAGAATAATCGGATTGGACTTGAAAACTAGTTCTGAGAGACTATACAATAATTTCAAGAAAGAAGCTTTTAAAAAAATTTTCGTAGAGATACCAAATTTTTGATGTAGAAAAAAATCCTTGAATCTCCAACTAAAAATCATCTTACTTTTTGGAGCACGAATACTTTTTGAAGTTTCGGACGCCCAGTTCAGTTGACCTGGGCGCCCGATGATTTCCACTGAGCTCTTCTCGTCTCTTCTACCTTTGCACCACCAACGGTAAGATTCTGGGGCTGTGACTGGCCCTCTTCGGTCCCGGTTTTCGGATCTTTTCCGAATGCCACAACGAAAGTCTCCGCGAACGACGAGGTCTTCTCTCTTATTTGACGGTATTCGTCATCCTGCAAAAAAGCCCTGCCCGGAATTCTTTTTTTGAAAAAAAGACTGTATGATGAACTTACAAGCGCGATTTCATTCTGAGTGTAGAGTGTATCGGCTTCGATCTGGATCTCGAAAAGTTCATTTGCCACAGCTTTCATATATCTCATCCACGAGTCACGTCGAATTTCAACCCCTTCTTTTTCCTTATCGTCGTCTGGAAGATTTCGAAGGCGCTCATTCGCACTTCTTATGGCCATGAGGCATTCGTCGATATATTTCCACGAAAACTTCAGGCTACTCAGAAGACTTGCTTTCTTCTCGGTTAGGGTTTCCTGAAAAAAATGGAGTTTTTGAAAATAATTTTTGGAGGGAAAGTTCCCGTTCGATCAAAAAAACAAAGCAAAAAGTTTCTTCTCAAATGAAAAAAATTTCATAAAAAAATGATATGATGACCTTTGGTGCTAAAAAAAGTTCCAGGCAAAACTGATGATGGCAATAAACGACGCACATCTTTACACGAAAATCTTCTTTTTTTCCTTTGAAGTTAAGACTTTTTCGAAAACTAGTCGAGATTTTGGTGACGTACACATTTGAAAGAAAACCCTCAAAGATATTTTTTACAAAAGCCAATTATTACTTCTTTTTTGATGATTTTCGAGGCTATTTCTTTTTTCAGGGCCAAGTCACCGATCTGGTGGCGCAAATCGGTGAAATCCTCCGGTGTAACGCCGAGCCTCTGTAATGAAGAACATCAATGATTTCTGTTAGAAAGTTCTTCTTGATCACTGCCCGGGGCTTTTTTTGGTTTCATTAGAAAAAATAATCACATTTGAAACATTTTTGCCTTTCTCGATGAAAAAGAAGTTTTTTTAAGGTTTTTGCACATTTCAATTTTAATCTGTAATGAGAAATTACCCGTTTGTCCAGGTCATATCTGTCGACGAGCGCCAAAAGTATAACAGGTACTAACCGAGAGGAATTCGTCGCAGGTTTCCCGAGCATCTTTTTCGTCGCGTTCCAGATATCGACATCGACGATATTGATGCATAACCTCATCATGAAGGAGTTTGTACTGCTTTTGATCTTCCTCATCATCCGTCATCCATCGTTTCTTACTTTCTTTTTCTTTCAACTTCGATTCTAACTTGTATTCTTTATAAGAGAGCCGTTTATATACTTTCTTCCAAACATTGAAGATTTCGTAATCTTTCTCAGTTAACATCCTCACGGATCTGAAACAAAATTTTTAGGCATGGAAAAAACGTTTAAAAAATCCGAACGCGGAAAAATGCCGAAAAGAAGAGTTTGAAAGCGTCGGGAACAAAGTGAGGGCTTCGGAGCAATCATTTGTATATCAACTAAACGAGATTCAAAGAAGAGTTCACAAACACACAAGACAATGGCAGGAGAACAAAAAATTAATCGTTCGAATGTTTGAATGGACGGCGCCGTTCGGGTCCAGCAACGCGCCAAATGTCACACGCCGCTCTCGCGAATGAATCATTGAAGTTTTCGGATTTAGCATTTGAACGTGAAATCGAGAAAAAAATTTTTTTTTGAGAAAAAGTTTTTTTCACCTTGTTATGTTAGATTATTCAGAAGATGAGAAGAAATACATTAGATTATTTTTTTCCGACAAGGACAATTATCATCCATTGAACGTATATTGATCAGAAGTTAGCGATTGCGAAAATTTTTACATTTTTTTCTATATAAAAATCAGTTTTTTTGTATTTGATGTAGTAATTTTTTTATTGTCATGGGAAAAGAGATTTTAGTTTTACTGTTTTCCTTCTTTCTGACATAATTAAAGACTTGCCCTTTTTGTAGTTTCATTCCAGAAGCTTCTCAAAATGTACTGAATATAGCAGACGACTAACATCAACATGTTAAGAACAAAGATTTGTTTGAACTGATTTGATCAAAATAAATAAAAAGAAAAAACAGACTTAACACGGAAAATAGCGAAGAATTCAAAAAGAGGGAAGCGGTCGCTCGAGCCGAGGAGGGGAAGGGGAAAGATGTGGGGAAGTGGGCGCGGCGTCGTTGTTACGGTTGGCTTTGGTGACTTGTAAACAAAAAAGTTTCTTGGTGGGAGAATCGAACGAATATCCGGCATACCAACGCTTCCATCAGCTTTGAAAAAAATAGACATTTCGAACAATTTAAATTTTTTTCTTCCTTCACAGATTTTGTTATCAAAAATTTTTTTCTCATTTCAATCTTGTTTCTTTTTTTCAATTTCTCTCCCGAAAAAAATCAATTTTTTTCAACTTTTTTTGAAAAATTTCAGCGTCCGAGAATATCCGGAAAACGGGGATTTTTGAAAATTTTCCCATTGGATCTTCCGAGGAATAAAAATCGAACTGATTTTATTCCAACTTTGCAGGTTGCATCTTCCTAAAATTCATCCAAAGACTTCCCAATCAAAACTCTGAAGTTAAAGGGCCTAGGACAAATTAAACTCTTCCAAGCTCATAAAAGAACTATCCCCTATAAAATGCGAGAGTTTCGGAATTTTTCGAGTCCAAATCGTAATTAGCTACTTGTCGATAGGAAAGTCTCACAAAGAAGCTTTATCGTTGTTTACTTCCTGGGAATCGGTCACCGATGACGCCTCCGAGAAAAAACGCATTGTTGTTCTTGCATTATGCCAGCCGACTACAATCGATTGACCATCTGCCCGAAACGCAAAGGCGCTCAAAGACTAAGGAGCTGGTAAACTGTATAACTTTCCAGCTCTTCTGTCCGAAAAACGGCGACCCTCCAAACATAAGACTGCAGCTGAGATTTAGAGAAACTTCCAAACTCCTAACAGAATGACAAAGAACTTCATTGATCGGCCCGCTTCAATCATCAGAAAATACAGAAAGAGAAACTTTGACTTTGTGTCGTGAATCAGAGATTTCCAAGAAAAATCACAGGCCAACAACTTGATGTAACAAGTTTTTAACATTTATCAAACAGTTAAAACAACAACAGAAGGGAAGGTTTGAGAGAACAGAAGTGAAATTGTAGCCCTGCAAAGCCTCGTTTTTAATAGTTGAAGGTTCCGAAGAAGATTTTTCCAGCATTATCGTTTCCGGTGATAGGAGTGCGGCCAACCTGCAAAGTTTGAATTTCGAACCGAAAGAGATTCTGTAGTTCAATAGGCACGAATACCGTAGTCAATTTTTACTGCCGCAAAGGATTATGACAGGAAAATAGCAGAACATTGATTTTCTGATGAAACACAAATATTTTTGAGATCATCTTGATCTCCCAGTATGCCACTTTTTGTCAAGCTAGCCACATATTGATCCCTCGAAGTGGACTTTCAAGCATTTTTGGTATCCTCTAATGTTTATATCTCGACTGAGATGTGAAAGGTGTAGGTTTTTCTTGATCTGGAACCAATGTGCACTTGAGGAAATTTCAGCCAAGTTTGAAATAATGCCTCATTTTTTGCGACAAACAGTGAGGGCGGCTGTGCCTGTTCACGGCTGGCTCGGGACGCCAAAAACGTGACAATGTCTGCGCTCTCCGCCAGCCATACTTTCTTCAGTCTCAGCGCGCCAAGAAGTTTTTCGAAGGCTCATGCCGTGCATCGGCTAGATATTTGCGAAATGTTACTTTTAGCTATAAAGGCTCAAACTGGTTTGATTAAGCTCAAATTCAACAATTTGATGTGTCAAAAAGTGTTATTGGTACGCTCGAACAAAGTTTGATTAAACATCGAAAACTAAAATATTATAGGATTTCAACTGGACCTCTTCCGAGCGGGAGACTTGGTCTGCAATAGCGTCGTCCTTTTCATACTTCTCGACAATCTCCGTCAGCTCATTTGTCTTCCTTATGCCTTCTCGGAACTCTCGCTTCTGCAATGCAAAAAATAATAATATCGAGATATTTTCCGAAAATGAAAGTTAAACAAAAACGAGCCACTTTGAGAGAGTTATTGACGTAAAACTGCTTGGCGAAATTTTGCCTTTCGACAAGAACTCGCGCCAACATCGAGCCCCAGGCCTTCGTCGACTTCATCTCACTTTGCGAGTAGTGAATTCCGGTTTCTTTTACTTCATTTTTCTTTTTTGACTTCCTCTCGGAACAATGCATGATCTTGATTGCCGCATGCAACTCATCGCGGTAAATCTGCAGCTCTTTTTTCAGATCTGCCTGCTTTTCTCTGATGGTTTTCTGAAAATAGTCGCATTTTTATTCATATTTTGTGAGAAGGTGCAAAGCAGTAAGGAAAAAAAGTTAAATTAGAAAGAAAATTTTTTGAGGCCATGAAAAAACTTGGCGATACAAGAAAATCAAATAAAATTCATCTCCTAACACGTTGGTAGTTGGTAAACTTTCGAAAATAGGCTTGAATGCTCGCTGATTTCTGTAATGAGAAACTAAATAACTCCACATGCACTACCTCTCAGTTATTTCCATTATCAGATCACTCTCTAGATGGGGGAAAACTTCAAGTTCTGAACCGTGTAGATCATCGCTTTGGGTTCAGGACGGTGTTGGGGCTTTGGCTGGCTCTCTCCGTCGTTGCTATTGTCTTCGAAAACGAAGCCTCTGTCGTCTCTGTTCCTCACATCTCCTTCTCCCAGCCCGGCTCTCATCATCTCATGATCAACCTTCGGAACGCCTATGCTCTAGAATTGAATAAAAGTTGTTTAGATTTGCCAAAAAACTGTTTTCTGATCACCTCCAGTATGATTTTTCTTGTGCTTCTAATCCTTTCCGTTATCATTCCAGCAAGGAATTCAATTTAATGCCTCCTGTGCATGTTTACTTCATACAATTTTATTCTCACGAATTTCAAAGGAATACGTCAATAAAAACCAACCATCAATATTTTGTCGCAAAGGCTTTTGGCTTTTTTGACTTCTTTTCTGAGAAACAGTCGGTTCTCAGAGTGCGATTCGAGCCGCAGCTGGAGAGAGAGCCATTCTTCCTGATTCTTCTCGTTTCGACTTTCCATCCACTCTTTTTTCTTGTTTTCGAGGCCTTCTTTCAAGAAAAAAATTGTCGCTTCCATTTCTTCAGAGCCTTCTGCTTAGATTTCCAATTTCGAAAAAGTTCACGATCTTTTTTGGAGATCATTGTCCCTAATTCTGAAAATGTATTCTTTGAAGCCAACGTGAACGAGTTGGGAAGAAATTCGAAAGCGTCGAGCGTAAAAATATAGTAGACTGAAATAAAATTGCTTATATCTCTCGAGAAACATTTTCGAAAAAACTAATTTGTTCAGTTCCGTTCAAGTATCCAAGATATGACTGTTCTCTCTTTAATCGAATCTTGAACTCACAAAGTCAATTAACTTTTTCACACGGTTCACAAGGTGAACGAGAAAAAAAATGAAGCAAACACTATTTGCATATCCAAACACTACAGCAAGATATAGTGAACAAAACCGAAGAACCTAACAAAAAAGAACGGCAAACGTCTGGGAAACCAAAAGCGGTTGAATGGCGCTATTGTTTGAACGGACGGCGCCGTTGAAGATTTTGCCACGATTCTCATCGCCGCCAAATAACAGACGCGCCGTTCTCACATTTTGAAACCATTCAAAAAACTCGCGCCCTCGCGTACGCGTCCCCAAAACGAGGGGACAAGGTTCAACCTGAAAAGTCACCGATTCTTGTCTCTGGTCTCACATAAACATTTCAAACTTTTAGCGTCAAACTTTCAAAAAAAAGAGAAAATAATTCATGAGTTAATTTTGTTACAGACACTGAGGGAGCGTTTTGATTTATAAAATGGAGAATTTCATGCTCTCTTTATCGAACTTTGTGCCTTTTCTCATTTGAAACTGGAAACCCTCTTTTCACCATTTTTGAACTTTCTTCAAAAACTTCTACAGTTTGTGTGATTTTCCGTGAGGACAATATATAAATTTTCTTTTCCACTCGGCATTTATTATTTAGAAGCATCTCGCATTTCCGAAATATGATAATTGCAAGATTTTTCAATTTGTTTGTGCAAAATATTGGACAGTAAGTAACCTATTCACAGTAAATGATCTTTTTTACAAAAACTATAACAACTACTTTGCAAATTCAGGCCATCTTCCAGACACAAAAAAAACCCCTGGTGCAACATTTTCACTCTGAAGTTTCATTTTTCAGAAAGAAGTCTTGTGAGGCAAAAAATTAAGTTTCCGCACTGACTTGAAAAGAAAGAGCCACAGCGAAATAGTGAAAACTGACGATGAAGTATCAGGAAGGCGCAGAAAACTTTTTTAAAGAGCCTTTGGAGTTATCTCCTTCTCTCATTCACCAATGACGGCCGCCAGAAAACAAGTTTCTCTCTCAGGGACACTCTCGACTGCGAGAGAAGCACAAACTCTGAGGAGAACGAGAAAAACGACATAGCATCCTTCTTCAAAGGCGTGTCCAACCACTGAAAGAACGCCCGAAGTACAGAATCCTCACCAACCAGTTTTCGAAGAAAAAACGGGAAAACCGACGATATCATAACACTTTCTAAAGCCTAACTGTGGGCCATCAACCTAACTGAAAAATGTGCTCAAAATTGTGATTGGTCAGAAAAATTGTTATGGGTTTCATCTCGATACACATACGAAAAAAATATGTGCTGAGATTCTTTTACTTGACAGAAGTGATTATGGAAAAAACGAAGAAATTGGGAAAAATTCGATTCTCTCGACACGTCTTTGGTGAAGCTGTTACAACCCACATCTTTTTTTTTAAATCACGGATCTCGAAGTGTTTTTGTCCCCGTGTTTCCAAAGCAACTGGCTTCTTGTGCTGAAATTGTACGACAGAATTAGAAGTTCAGATATCAGACTTACTTCGAAGAAACATTTTAACAAGACTATACTTCATGTCTTGAGGTAAAGATTTTATTACAAATTATTTGACAGACGAGAAAACAAATACAGAAGTCCAAGAACAAATCTAGAAAAAAATACAACCGAAGTGAGGTCAGGGTAGAAGTTATCACCGTTAAACGACTTCAAAAGACAAATGTTGCGTGACAGTGAAAGAAAAAAAACGACGACGGCAATGGTAGTTGAAATGGAAGGCACGAAGTAAATAGTATCAGAAGAAAAAAGTGTAACGAAAAATGAAAAAAGGTATCAAAAAATATATAACTCAAGGCGAATCGACGTCGACGTCGTTGGGGGCTGCGCTCCCTAGTTGCTCGTCGTCCTCTTCTTTCGACTCGTCCAAGTCCAGCTCTCGAGCCGGCTCACCGTCCTCCGCCTGCAAAAATCAATGTCAGTTCGGAATATCACCATTTCTGAAGAATTTCAGTTAGAAACTCACGCATTCGTCGCCATTTTCCTCCATCAACTGTTCGAAGGCGGCCTGAGCATCTTCAGCCTTCGCCACGAGGTTCGACGCTTTCTCGATGATCATCTCCAACTCTTTCTTGACCCTGCGGACCTCGATTTGACGACGCAGCTCATTACCAATATGAACCCGGTCCATGGCCACTTCCAGCCAAGACTGGATGTTCTCTTCGAACTGCACGATGTCGTCCGCTTCGTTCAGAGCATCGTTCATCTCTTTGAGCAGCTGTTGAGCGCGGTTCGACGACATCTCCGGGTGCTTTTCTGAAAGATCAGTCGAATGATTCATTAAAAAGCGTAACGAAATTCACACACGATCACGTAGAGAAACAACAATATTGACAAAAAAGGGGGAGTTTTGCGCTTTCTGGATGACGCGCATAGAAAATAAAGTTTTTAAGCTTTTAAAATTTTTATGAATCGATGTTTCACATGTCTCAGTATGAAAGAAACGTCAAGTACTGTGGGAAATTTCGGGAAAAGCGGTGTAAAATGGACAAATATTTTTTTTGAAAAGATGAAAAGTGTTTGAGGTTGTCTGCTTTTTTGTGCTGTGTTTTTATCCTTTTCGATCGATGAGCTCACTAAAGGCAACTGATATATATCCTTGTTAATTTGTTGCTTCTTTCCCGCTTTCTAAATGAAAGCTCTCAAATTGATGGGCTCACGGAATCGACATTTTGGAAACTCTCACAGTTCAAAAGTCATTCAATATCATGAATACTATCGATCGTTCAGCGGTCGACGAATGGAACTTCGCTGATAAGTTCGATCAACGAGTCGTCCAATCGATCATTTTTGAGAGTTCTGCTCTATAACTACTTTCATTTAAATTTACGAACCCCCACGCATCAGGCTTTTCTTATTTTGAATAAAAAATCAACCTTGAACTTCAAACTGAATTTCCGTGTGACACGCGAACAGTTCACAAGGTGCATTATCTTCATTGAGTGGGACGAGATCACGAAAGTGGAACAAAATGCTATAGTGGATAGTATATACATGTGGATTTGGTGCAGAAACAACTAGTGGAAGGAATATTTTAGGAAATGCGCTAGTAACAGAAGGTGCATGTGAAAACGAAAGTGTGTAACCAAATGAAATGAACAAAAAAAAACGACATAACATGAGAATCCAGGTGGAAAACAGCGAATTTGAAATACTGAATCGTTCAAAAAAGAGAAAGAACGTTGTAAAAAAATTAAGTGATGGAGTGCCAAAAATGGCCAAAAGGATAAAAGACAAAACAAAGTGGACATTGAAGCAGTGAACAAAGTTGAAACTTTGCAAAAAAAAAACAGACAGTAACAAGATTTAGTATGCAGAAAGAGAAAGAACTGCGTTTATTAGTTGAGGTTTGGACTGGGAGAAGCTAAAACGAAAGAGTACAAGAAAATTTGGAAACAAAATGAAAAATGAACCAGTGTTCGAATTTCGGTTGGAAAAAAAACACAGTAACAAATCAACAAATACAGAAAAACGAAGGGAGTTTGAAAAACGAAATTGCTACAATTGGTTTGGGTTTTAAGAAACGGCAAAAATAACTTTAAATGTGTTTGACCCTTAAGGGAAGGCTAGGAGAGCTGGAAAGTCGCCGAGGCTGAGAACGGAAGAATGCGGAGTGATTAGGAGGTGGAAGTGGAGCCGAGAGCAGGTAGATCATGGCCAAGGCATATCCAACCGGCACTTTTTGCAAATACCGTCGCACAAGCCAGTGAGCGATTGATCTGAGTCCGCCTGCAAAATTCAACTTGATTAAAATAAGAAGAGTTTGGAAATTCAAGTCGCAAACAAAATTTACTCTGTTTTCAGCGTTGCCAGCATTTTCAAGAGCGGCAGCGACAAATTCAGGAGGGAAAACATCAATTTTAGGAACGGCAGTGGCCATCCCAGTTGCGGTGTTGATGTTGGGCTGTCCGGCCGTTGTCTCCTCCTCAATGTAGCCTTGCGGACGCCAGTTTTCGTGGCTTTCCAACGCGATTTGAGACTTGTGGATAAATTCGAACATCACCGAGAAGCAATCCCGAGGCTGCAGTTGAACATTTACTCGTATGAATTGAAGAAGAAAACTTACAAGCTTTTCTCCACGGTTTGCCATGAACGAGCTGACACCTTTTAAAGTGGCCCACAGGGCGACTCTCGCTTCTTCCGCTTTCCGACTCCAGTCTCCACGAATCATTCCGATGTCCTCCAGCTCGCCAGCATCCATCTTTGCGTACTCTCCCGCATCCTTATTGAAATAGTCGACCCAATGATCGAACCGCTTGACGTCATCGATCAGAATTTCCATTTGTCTGAGCCACTTGAGGCCGATCTGCATTGCGGCCAGGGACTGCAATGAAGTGAGATACGAAAAGGTCATGATCATCAAGGGAAGCTCGAAGATTCCGAGTATTCATTATTAATACCTCTTCTTCTTCTTTCGTCTGTTCGGCCTCGGTCAACTGCGATCTTCTCTGCGACTCCTTTTTCCACCACTCTTCGTACTGCACGTTCCGACCAAAGTTCTGAAATCAGAGAACCGTACGAGAAAAGCAATTGAACGACATCTTCTATGGCACTGTTTCCGTTGTTATTCCGATATATCGAGAAAAAAGAATCAGTAATGATTTACTTATCAATTTGAACCAACCTTTCGAGTTTCCTTCAGATCTTGTGTTTCAGCAGCGATGTCTTTTTCGAGCATGGAGATCACCATCAAACATGCATCAAGTTTCTGTCGGAGTTCCGCCGCCTCTAACTTCTTCTCTCTGAGCCTAAGTTCGTTCTCCTTGATGCTGTTGCTGAGAGCGATCGCGCGAACCGTTTGCATCTTTCGGTTTCTGAAAACGCTTTCCAGGATCTTTTTCAGATTAGATATCAAAGTGAAACACAGGTACAGCCCCACAAACCATTCTGACTCTGAGACAAAATTTCAATAGAAAAAAGATCAAGAATCCTGACAGAAATCAATAAGCAATTCTTATTTGTCTTTCCGGATATGTAGATTGATTCAAGTAGTTTTCAGAGAAAAAAATGATGTGGCGAAATAAAGAATTTTGATTTAAAAACAACTCAAACTGCATTTCGAATTCTTCAATTAACGATGAGATTGCAAACGAAAAGTTGGTGGAAAGTGTTAATGAATTATTTCATAAAATTACCTCCACTGTAATAATGAAAATAATGAAAACGAGTTATTGTAGCGTTGAGAATTTGCAGCTGAAGCTCCCAGTCGGAAGAGTTTAGGTGTAGCAGCAGTCGAGGCAAGACGACTCGAAGAGAAGGATGTTTGATGGAACACCGCTAAGAGTTATCGTTTGAGAGAACGGCGCCGTTCCAGGTCTCCAACGCATTGTTTTTGGCGCCCAATGTCGAGGGCGCCAGTTCTCTGAGGTCAGTCTTTGACCAACCGTTCAAAAAATATATTTTGGCTCCGAGTCCAAAAACACCCCAAAAAAAACTTTAACTGGAAAAGTTATTATTAATAGAGAGCGTCAAGTTTTAAATTTTCTTTGTAACATTTGATCAACCTGCATCCAAATTTTCAATGAAAATGATTCTAAGCAACGAAGTAAAGCATTTTATATTTACGGTTCGTTTTTCAGAACTACTGGCAGCTGACAAAAATAATTTTTTTCTTGTTTCATGCTATTGCGTGAGAGAATAATTACTAAGTTTAGTTTTTATTATTTTTTTCTGCACTTTTTTTGTGATGACGCTCTTACTAGCGCTAAAATTAAAAAAATTTCTAACATCAAGCAACTTTCGAGAACCTTTCCTGTTTTTTTGAACATGAAATGTTGAAATCAAAGTTAAATCTTGTTGAAGCATCCCAATTCGCTGTTTTTCAAGTGAAAAGAAAAAAAATTACTTGTCATGAACTTTGTAAACGCATTTTTCCAAATATCGATCGAATTCCGAATTTCATTGCAGATTTAGTGCATATTATCAATGATAATCCAATTAAGTATGTAAAAGATTAGATGTATCTCTTATAAAAATTGGAAAAAAGACAGTTTTTGGTGACTTTTCCTGAGTCTTGGTCAAAGAATGTGCGCCCCATCGGTCAAATGCTCGTCGTATTTTTTTACGGCGAGAAGGCAAGCGAACTGTTTTTTTCGATTTATCCGATAAGGATAAAACATAAATGAAAACCAATTTGAAGGGACATTTACATGGAAGCATTAAAAGACTTTTTCAAATAATTGAAAAAAATTGAGTTTTTGATAAAATTTGGCATTTTGAGGAAAAATCCAATATTTTTCTCAGCTCAAAAAAGTTGATGTACTGTTTGATTTTTTCATACTTTGTTTGAAGACCTTACGTTTGCTGAGAGGCTTTTTATTTAGTTGCTCAAACTTTCCCGGATCAATTGTTTCACAGAAAAGATGAAAGATTCAAAATAAGTGATAAAGCTCTCCGGAATTCTGAGCTAAACCAAACGATGGCTTTTTATTCAAGAAAATTTTCAAGAGGCCAAAGAATTTTAGACTCCTCAAGACTGCTGCAATCCTCAAGAAGGTTCCGAGGAACTGAACAAAAAAACCACGATTTTTTAAAAGTTTAAAATAAAGGCAAACTTTTAAATGAAATAAAAAGACTTTACAGAGAAAAAAAGCAATAATGTATGGATGACAAAGTATGCAGAACATATTTGGCACTAATAAAAAAACGCTTTGAAGAAAAAAGAAAAACATCATTGTTGAATTTCATAGCCTCCAAAAGGAAAAATCAGAAATTTCTGTTTTTTCCAAGCATTTGACAGTTTTCAATGAAATAATTCTGAATCAACTAAGTTAATATTTTGTAGAGTTACAAAAACCCGCTTGGTTGATTCGAAATTGAGGGAAAAAAACAATATAAAAAAACACTTGCCAATATATAATTTCAATGGTGTTCCCTTTCGGAGTATATAAAAACTATATTATTATTTTGTCTCTACAACCTTTTCTAGAAAGAAATTACGAAAAACAGTTTTATCGGGAAGACCTTGATTATTCTGTGTGCATGTTCCTTCAAACTTGTTGCATTTATATTTCATCTTCATCGACTGATTATTTATGAAATGGATAAAACAGTTTTCTTGCCTCCGCTCCGTAAAAAATACGACGAGCTGTTGTCCGACGGAGCGCACATTTCACAATCGAAGTTCCGTGAAGGTTACTAGAATCTGTTTTGTTTCCAATTTTTCTAAGAGTTACATCGAATATTTTAGATAATTGGTTGTACCATCAGTTGCAGTATACACGGAATATATGATAAGATTCGGAATTTGATGGGTATTCGCAAATCAAGCTCCTTCCAGAGCTTGATGAGAAAAATACCTGTTCCACTGCCTTTTGGAAACAAAACGTCAAAGAAAAGCTTTTCGAACTAAGGAAATTTTGAGGTGATTCGACTTTTCATTCAGCTCTTCACGCTCAAAGACCAAACAGTGCCTTGAAAATTGCTTTTTTGATTCGAAGGACTTTGGAACACTTGTTCTTCCACAAAAAGTATTGTACTTCAATCTTTCTGGTAAAATAATGTAGCAGATATGATGTATTTTATTATTATTTCTTTTGAGAATGTCCATTTTTAATAAATGCCCGTCTGCCGTATAAAAACAGTGATGGCGTCTTTTTTTGCGGTAAATCGAGTGTCGTTCCTTGCGTAACGGCAACACTGCCAGAGAGCCTGGACAGCTGTAGAAAGTCAACAAGCAATATCAAGCTCGAAAAAAGGACAAATGTCAACATTCTATTTTTTTCAACGTCTTTTACAAAAAAAAAAAAATCAATTTCGCCTCCTCAATAAATCACGAAATGACTGGGGCTTTACTGGATTTCTCTCTAAAAGCTATTGACGACCTCATTCAAATTTTACATTTTGTATGCCTCAACCATGCTCCAAATTTTTCAAGTAGGCTCAAATATTTCTCAGAAGAGTCAAGAGTTATGAGGAAGACTGGGCAACAATACTTGAAAAGGCATGCCGTTACATGGAGGACCCCTCATCAACCGACCCGAATTGGTTCTACAGCAGACGTCAAGTTCGGCATCCTCTTTGAAGGTTCTACTCGATGCTCTTTTGATCATGCCTCATTGATAGCGGGGCCGCATTCTGACCTTTTGGAGACAGACTCCTTTTTTCTTTTTATTATCTTCTAATAAGCTTTTTATTCTCTTATGAGTATTAAACTGAAAAAAACATTTTATTTTGTAACAGTAATACGGCGAAACTTCAACTTCAATTTCTGATGAAAAACGAGATGGCATTACCAAAAATACTGTAACAGAAACAGACAAGAACCATAGGTAAAAAGTTAACAGACACAAACATAGTCAAGAAAAAAAAATAAAGTTTAAAATGAAAGAAGTGAAGTCAAAGTGAGTCACGCAAGGATTTTACGCCGAAAGGTTCACTGAAGACCGGGAAGGATTTTCCACTCGCTGCTACAGACTTCCAGCTCTTCGACATCTTCATACAGGCTTCCGTCTTCGGCGCAACCGCGGATAGCAAACAGGGAATCCTCGGTAGAGAGCAAGGTGAAGTTCTTCCGACGTTTGTTCATCGACGGCTCGCCATGCCATGTGTGCTTTTTCGGGTCGAAGCTGCGCACTGTATTCAGCGTGTTGAGCGAGTTGCTAAATAATTTAAAGATGATACAGCTAGTGAAGTTAATAACGAAAAAAAGTGATTTATAGAACTGTTAGAAAAAACACGAAAAACGGGGTTTCGGCCACATCTTTCTTGTAAAGAATTCAATTTTTCTTGAAAGTTTCTGAAGTTGCGTTTTTTTCAATGAACTGAAACTTTTTCAAAATTTTTAAAAAATAACCGAAAAAAATTGTAGTCATTACAAAAAGTTGTGACCGCAACCCCATTTTTCGTATCTTTTCTGACGGTACTGTGAGATCATCATTTTCGAAATTTGATATTCCCCAATTTTTGATAGCCCATAGCCCTCAACTTTTTTTTTTGGAGCTGACGAAATTCTCGAAATCAAAGCAAAATGAGAAAACCAACCTCCATCCTCCAGCAATGTAAATTTTTCGGTTGAAAACACAAGCTGCAAATCCGGCAACCCCTTCTCGCATTTCTGCAACCTGAAAAACAAAAGTCAATAGAAAAAAAAAAGATAATACTTACAATTTCCCACTTTTTGCTCTCGCAGTTGAGTTTCTCGGTACGTTTCTCATACTCTTTGCCGTTGTAGCCTCCCATAACTTAAAAAAATAATTTGATAAGGCGAATTTAAAAAAAAAAGAAAAGTTCAAAGTATGCACCAAAAAGTTCTCCGTCACAGGAAACAACAGCGCAATCGGAACGGCCGCAGTTTAACGACGGACCATCGACCCATCTATTTTCCTCCGGGTCGTAAATCTGCAGCTCATCGCTTTTTAACACCCAATTTCTTTTATTCAAAATTCAAATCTCCGCAAAAAAATTTGGTAAGACATGGAGAAGAATAAAGGAAGTTTCTGTTGGAATACAATTTTTTGGGTATAGGAACTTTGGCTCTAAGTCCAGTGCAAATAAATTCCAAAACATGATCTTGAGTTTTTTGAAATGCATAAAGCGCTCATCAACGCTTGGTCTTATTTCCGGCATTTTAGCAAAAAGCTGAACCAACTTCCACAGAAGTCATGTAGGAGCCGTTGAAGCCTCCACAAAGGAACATTTTCCCGTTGAAAAAGCCGGCAGAAGATCTTGATCGGGCGTGATTCAGCGGCGATCCCTGAAACAACTGCGAATGACAAATGTTCCTCCAGACAACCGACATTTCGCCGCAAGTTTTTTTCCTTGTTGTAAATATCCAATTCGTCCAGCTGAGACTCGTCGGACCCGCCACCAGCAAAGTAGATCTGAGGATAAAACAATGATAATGGATAGAAGATCAAAAAAATTTTCTTAAAAGTTTTATGCTGTTTTAAACTTTAAAGGAGTATTTGCTGTCCTTAAACGTCTCGAAAAAAATTTATAAAAATGGCAAACAAAGCAAAAAAAAAATCCCACCTCATTCTGATAAACGGCAACCGAATAATTTATCTTATTCTTCGGCATCTTTCCAATGACTGTCCATTTTCGAACGAAAGGATCGAAGCTTCCAATTATAAAGTTTTTCGTGGGAAAATGACTCCGATCTTTGAAAAAAACCAATTATCGAAATAAAGACAAAACTTAAAAGTACCTGCAGTGAGAATGGGTTGCGGAATCTGCTGGCGTCCAATCTGTAATATAATCCGATCAAGTTGGGATGATTCTTCGAAATAATACCGATATTCCGGCGTAGGCCTTCTGCAGCCTGGCAACATACTTTCCTTGCTGGAAAACTTCATCTGAAGCTTCCTGGAATGCAAACAAAAATTAACTCAAAATAAAGAAAAAAAAAACTCTTATTTTCTTCAAGGCTTCTTCAGCAGGGCCAATTATCTCAAATAAATTCTTCCTCGCTTCTTTTAAATTTTCCAAGTGTTTCTTGTGCTCATCCAATGACAACTTGAAGCCGATTCGATTATAATCATCAACCAACTGGAATTAAGCATTATAAAACAAAAAACCTGGAGAAACTCACTCCAATAATACCTTCGATATCACGTGAACAACGGTCTTGGAAGTCAAAAAGACGTTCCTTGATGTCGCGAAAAACTTTGTGTGCTCTTATTTTTGTCCACTCTTCTTCGTCCTGCAAAAAGAAAAGATTATTCGCTTCATTTTGACGTCTTCAGCACTCTCAACGCGTTCAGATACTTTCGGTTGTCGTGCTTCTTGTGGTATCCTAGTAGAGAGCAATCTCGACAACTAGCTATTTTTAGCTCCTGAAACCTCATCAATCTTTATCCCAGAAACACAAACTTTCAATACCAGGAGCTTTTCAGTAGCCGCTTTGAAAGGACATTCGGAATGACTGAATCTCCATAGGTCCAAAGTGTACGAACCGTCGTGCTTTTTTAGCACAAAATGTTCTTTTAACGCACAATCAATACAAACGAGCAGTTTTGTGGTAAAATCGCCACATTCAGAGCAAATCTCATCATTTTCCTCAAAAAATAAGTTTTTTATCAAAGAACCACTACGATAAAAAAATTGAAACACACGAAAATGCAAAGAAATTTAAAAACCTGCAGTTCATCTATCACTCCAAAAACGGTTTTCATCAGACCTGCAAAAAAATTTGAAAAAAAAATTGAGAAAGTGTTTGAAACGAACACAAGGTGGACAAATGAATCGAGCTGTCTTCATAGGCGTTTTTTTTTTTACACATTGGACAATCGGACCCTCTAGAAAACAATTGATTATTCTCGTTTCACTCCAAATTATTTCAACTCACATCAAACGGTTTTTACACTCCTCGCAGAGTAAATCGCGACAAGTTCCAATATAAGGTCTTCTATTGGTTCGGTCTGAATGTAAGTAAACTTTAATTACAGAAAAAAGAAGTCAAAATCAAAAACTTACTGAAGATTAGCGAGCAATTTTTACATTCGAGCCCATTACTCATGCTTTGTGAGTGATAAACCCGAACTCTGAAAAATGAGCTTCAGAAAGAATAAATTAACCATTGAATTTTATGAACACACATAAAATTAAGGCGTGAAAATGGATACAAATAATTTTTAGTTCAAAAAAAAAAGCGTCGCGTGAGATACGTTGTTTTGAGTTTACTCACACCGTTACACAACTTTCCAGACTCACAAGGAAGGCTATTTCACCTGGCGATTGGCAGTTTTTGAAAATTAGTAAGAACACTTTCTGATGTTGCATAAAGACTCTGAAAGTCTTGGCCTGTCCAATTTTCGGGTTTTTGAGAAAAGACATAGCAAAGTCAAAAAAAACTCTCTAAAATGTGAAAACAGACTATTTTAGGGTTTTGAGTCTTTATTTGTTGAAAGCTAGGAAACTATGCAAATTGAGACTATTGGAATCATCTCTCTGTACATCAAAAAGGGAATTGGCTGTGTTTTAAAAAATTCATAACCATCAAATAAAATTCCTTTACTTGTCAAGTCCGAAAACTTATTTTCTTTTTTCAAATGAAACGCTATTTTTTATTGAACATCATTTGAATCGTGAAGGGCTTGAAAAAATTGATCAGTAAATAATGATCGGTGCGAAAAAAACAGCTGTCGCAGTTGGAAAAAAAGGGAAATCTAAATTTGAAATAAATTCGATACGAAAATGAACTCGACCAGTATCAAAAAATTATCAGAAATATACGAAAATGATTGTTTAATTATTGATAATTTTTTTGGTGTGAGTCTTGATAAGATGAAAAAAAGCGCAACTGATACATAATCTAAAAACAACATAATAAAAATGTTTACGATTTTACGCCTTTAAGAATTTTTTTCTACGATCTTTCACAAATCCGACAAGCTGATATTGATTGAACCAAAAAAACGGGGAGCGCAAAACAGAAGAAAAACGTTCGAACGCTTGCTCATATTATGCTTGCGGCTGAATGGAGACCCAGACATACATAGAAAAACGGGGGAGGGAGGGGGGAAGGGCTTTGGGATATTTTTCCGCCTCCACTTTATTTTCAGTGGTCAACTGCCTAACTTGAAATAGTGATTCTAATTTGCAGTAAGTTTGTTCAGCAAATGAAAATGTCACGAAAAATCTCAAATGAGGGAACCTGTTTAAAAAAAAGAATTAGTTATGAAAAGTTTAATTTGTATAGTAGCTTTCAATCCTGGTACAGAAAAAAAACTAGAAAAGCAATTTTCCGGGAGTCGCGTAACGTTCAAAAACTTCACGCGAGTCGATGACGGAACTATTCGTCTGCTCGCGATGACCTGGTTGACGCACGCACTTCTGGTATCTGGCCGGCGCCCGCTGCTCGTGCTATCGATTTGAAAAAAAAAAACGGCTGGGTTGAACTTGCAAAGACTTTTGTTGGAAGTTCGAACGAAAATAACCCACAAATATCAGGAAAATGCAAAAAGAAAAAAACAGTGATGATTCAATTTTTGTTCACACTTCTTGAAAAAAATAAGTGGTAAATCGCTCTGTGATAGGAAAAAATACTGACTGGAAAAAGTTCGGATTTGAAATTGAGAGGTGGTAAAAAAAACAATTAGCTTTTTTAAGTGCACTTCGTTTCAACATAAAAACGAAATGAGTGAAGATACTCTCAAAAGATATGCTTCATTTTTATCAACGTCTGTGCAAAAAATGGATGCGTTGCTTGAACAACTCGTCCGTCTACGGTTCGCAGAACTAGGACACTCAAATTTTGACTTGGGCTCGGTCTTTTTAGTTTTTTTTCGTCAAAAAAGTAATGGAACGTCTAGATCTACTAGTAGGCGCAAAAAGCCAAGTTCAAATTGTTCAGCGGATGGAAGAGAGTTTTGAAGCTATCTTCTTGATTTTCTGGTGAGAGATTTTTGCAACTAGCAGAAAATCGTGTTTGGGGGTCTATTTTGTAAACATTTTATGCAGAGCTTAATGTTTGTCCTATTGATCAATTGGTTTTATTTAATTTTTATGGAGGTCCAAGGTAGCGATTTGACAAGAACCCAGAGCCTACCAATACACTAGACCTTCACAGACACACCGAAAATACATTTGGTCTTCTTTTTGGTTATATGGCTTTGAAGGCTGTTTAGACACTCTACTGTGGTCAATATACTGTAGAATTTTTTATTACACTTGTGTTGGATCAATATTTCACCGTAGGCATCAATAGAAGCGTAAAACAAATTTCTCGCGGCGCGGTGAGTGAGAATTTCGGCGATTGTGAGGTTAATCGCTTTGATTAATTTCGTGGCGTAGAAATACCCTATTTTCCGCTTTTATCTATTTTTTTTCAGAACAAAGATAAAAAAACATGATCAAAGTCAGATTGTGGTGCTGATTTAAAGTTGTTTTTTAGCGAACTAATAAATGGCTCATTATTTTTTTACCAACCTAATAGTATTTCGGTCAGAGGCGGCAAAAAAAAATTATTGAAGATTAAAAAAAGCTTTAACTGATAGAGCATAGTGAAAGACATAAACGAAGGCGTTCCATTGAGCTGAGTACTGAGAAGCTCAAAAAGAGAGCTAAATGAAAGCTTCTAAGAGTCACAGAAGCCACTAGTGTGAGCACATTACAATAATCGCAAGCTTTGGATTTGTGATATTACCAAAATAGAAATCAAAAAGAATAAAATCGAATAAGAAAAAAAAATCCAGAAGCTTGAAGTCAGTTTGAATAAATTCAAAAAGAGAGAAATGTTATCTTCCTCAACTTTCTACCAAACTTTCTCCAACCGATTCCTGAAACGATGGGTTTCCAGAGCTCAATTTCTAACTGATGTTTAGCACGACGACGTCGCTGGTCACCCAAGTGTTCAAGGCTTTCTCAGAAAATGTTTCTTGGAAAGTTTTGGGAGAAATTGAAACTCTGGGGAAGGTATCCTTTAGGACTAATAACACGACCTTGGCTTTTAGGTGTTCAAATACCATTTGGTTTTGTAAAATTTTTGGAATTTTTTCGCACTTTGAAAAAAAAACCTTTGTTCAGCTCCCCTGCCCAAATTTATCATTTTTTGTCTGAATGTCATTTTTCCATTGATCCATTGATCAATATTATTTCATTATTCTTGCTTCGATGTCACTTCCTCTTTCACTTCGTCCATGTAAAATTCATCAAGATTAGTTTTAGTATTTCAGTGAGTTCCCAAGTAAAAAGAAAACACTTTGAAACTTCATTGCTGAATTTTTTTGGCTTTTTGCTTTAAACCAATGGAATATTGTTTTTTTGTTTCAATGTATTTTTTTCTTTATTCCCCATTATTTTTTTCATATTAAATAGTGTGATTTGACGTTTTCAAGTAACGAAAAACCAGCTTTTTGTAGTATAAAACGGTTTTATTTCCTTTAGAGCAAAAAGGTGAGTGAGAAAATGAGAAAAAAACTTGAAAAAGAAATTTTGGAGGAAATAAAAACAATTGGATAACTCTGCATGGATTTTTGAAATTAAAATGTGAAAAAAAAATAAGGGCGCACAAATGAATGCGTAAGTAAATGTCGTGAAAAGCTCCAAAAACAAAAAAAAAAGTGAAAAAAGGCCATCTACAGGGTGACAAATAAATATTGAAACCGTTTTTTGTTTGATCGCTGCTTTTTGCACAAAGGACTGGCCTTTGAATTTTTTTGTTTATTTCGTTCATTCATGCTCACTTATCATGTGTTTGAAGTTACAGCTCATACTTTTCAGTTTTCAGGTGATGGTGGCCCCATCTCTGTACCGTACCGCCATCATTGATTGTGTCAAAAGCGGAATGACAAATTCAGAGATCGTTAAAAAGCTGAAAGTGTCTCGTGTACTCGTTTTTCGAACTGCACAACGCTATCGGCATCTCGGTACTTCAGATGACATGCAAAGAGGGGACGTCCAGTCACCGTCACGACTCCAGAAGCAGTCAAAGCTGTTCGAGAGAAAATCAGACGCACCCCGGAAAGAAGCATGAGAAAGATGTCAAAAGAATACGAAATGAGTCAATAATCGATGAGAACTATTGTCAAGGACAAGCTGAAGATGATTCCATACCGTATGCAGAAAGGAGCCTTCCTCAATCAAAAAAACAAGACATTGCGCATGAAAAAGGCTCGAAAGCTGCTCGCTGGCACGCAAGATGGCTCGCATCTGACGACGCTATTTACCGACGAGAAAATCTTCACTGTGGAGGCGAACAAGAACGGCCAAAATCATTGGATCATCGCTACTGACTATCAGAGTGCCTGTGAAAAAGGAAAAATTCTGAATAAAACTTCGCATCCGGCTTCCGTGATGGTTTTGCCGGAATTACCGCTGACGGCAAAACTCCGCTGATTTTTGTGGATCCTGGAGTCAAAGTGAACCAAGTATACTACTGGGAGTAGATTTTAAAATTGAGGGTTTTGCCCTGAGCCAATTCTCAGTACGGAAACCGACCATGGACCTTCCAGCAAGACGGCGCACCGCTCATCGTGCCAAAGGGACTCAAGAGGGGTGTCGCGCCAATTTTCCCGAGTTCATCTCGGCTGCTGATTGGCCTGCTTCCTCGCCCGACCACAACCCGATGGACTATGCCGTGTGGATATATCTGACCGAGAAGGTCTCTTCTAAGAACTACTTAAGTATCAAAGCTCTGAAGACCCCCCTCATCAAGAAATGGGACGAAATCGACGACGACTACCTTCGTGCCGTGATCGATGCGTATCCGAAGAGACTGAAGGCCGTTATCAAAGCTAAAGGAGGAAGTTTTAAAAACTATTTTTGAATTTTGTTTCTATATTGTATGAATAAAATTTGTTCCAAGTTTGGTGATGTTTGGTTGACTTTTTGAGAAAGTTATAACGTTTCAAACGCGTTTCAATATTTATTTGTCACCCTGTAGGTTAAAAAGTGTAAGTTGGGAAGAAAAAAATAAACCGAAGAATCTTAGAGCTAAAAAAAGTTGACAAAGATTGGTAACAGTGAATAACTATTGAAAAATGAAAAAAACAAATTTAAACTCTTGGAAAAAAACAATTGTGAGTTGTTTGGACAGCTTTCATGGACAGAAGTTATGAAAGTAGTGTGAATAAATTGTTGCTGAAAAAGGGGATCAAAGAAAAAAAAAAGTTATATCGCTGGACAAGATTTCAGAGGGAGGAAAAAAAACAAGAAACGCGTATGAATCATGGAGAGAACAAATAAAAATATGTACATTAAAAATAGTAGTTGAGCGTCTCGAGAAGACCGTAGATAGAAGGAAAGAGATGAAGACGTGTGCAGATTTGAACCGGTAGCTTTTCTCAATTACCAAGGGTCGCCAGCTTTTAATTCGCCGTCAGAATCGATGTCGTAGGCGCTGTGACGCAATTGGCGGCCCGAGACATTCTGCAACTCAGGACTATCAATTGAATAGAAATCTATTGTCAGTATAGTTTGTTTCGAAAAAACCCCTGAACGGTTTATATGCCTCATATAATCCTGATGAGAAAGAGATGAAAAATTCGAATTCCTTACCCAACGAAGTGTTTTCCGCTTTCATCTATAGCCGAAAAACCGTTTAAAAATTTTATTTTTTTGTATTATAAAAAAACTGCGGTATTGTGAAAAAAAAACTGATATTAATAGTACGAAGTTCTGAAGTTTCATCCTTTTTTTTTTACTTTCACTTCAAGGCTTCGAAATCATCTGAGTGTACTTCGTACTTGAAAAATGTACCTTCGAGGCTCCGGCTGTTTCTGGCTCCACCGCGGGTTCAACTGGCGTTTCAGCTGCATTTTCCAAGATCTTCTCGGCTTTGCGGCACTGTATCTCTAGACGGCGCTTTTCGTTCTCATCCTGCAATGTCATACATAGACAAACAGTAATAGAAAATAAAAACTAACCAAATGCTCTTTGTTTTGTTGCAGAAAGATGTCGACTTCTTTCAAAGTGGCGATGAGCTCTTGAAGAGTGGCGGCGCGGTATCCAGTCCAGCTTTGACGGGTTTCGTGAGAACTTCGATTCCCTTTTCCGGACGTCTTCATCTTATCTATGCTTCGAGTAGAAACGTCGATATCCTTCACCAAACGGTACAAGTGTATGCGAAAATTGCCGATTTTTTCCATCACGATTACTTTCTGAAAAAAAAACTTTTCAAATGCGCGAAAGTAACAAAAAAAAATTTCGTGAAGTTTCAAAAACAAAAAGATTTATTTTGGGTTACATATAAAAAGCCGCAGTAGCGTTCTGCGTCAGGTTCTGGAAGTAAAAATGTCAAAAACGTTGGTTCGTGAACGGAGAAAATCAGGGAATTTGAACATTCTTACTATCAATTCTTAAGTTCTTTCCAAAAAAATCAGGTTTTGCGCCTAATTAATTTTTTTAAAATGAAAAAAACTCTAATAAAGAAATCGAACTTTGCCGGTGACGTCGACGTCAGAGCTGTTGGAGACGGAATCTTGGCGGATGTTGGAGCTGTAGGAGACAGAATCTTGGCGGATGTTGGAGCTGTTGGAGACGGAGTTTTGGCGGATGTTGGAGCGGTTGGAGACGGAGTTTTGGCGGATGTTGGAGCTGTTGGAGACGGAGTTTTGGCGGATGTTGGAGCTGTTGGAGACGGAGTTTTGGCGGATGTTGGAGCTGTCGGGGACGGAATCTTGGCGGATGTTGGAGCTGTCGGGGACGGAATCTTGGCGGATGTTGGAGCTGTAGGAGACAGAATCTTGGCGGATGTTGGAGCTGTTGGGGACGGAATCTTGGCGGATGTTGGAGCTGTTGGAGACGGAGTTTTGGCGGATGTTGGAGCTGTTGGAGACGGAGTTTTGGCGGATGTTGGAGCGGTTGGAGACGGAGTTTTGGCGGATGTTGGAGCTGTTGGAGACGGAATCTTGGCGGATGTTGGAGCTGTAGGAGACAGAATCTTGGCGGATGTTGGAGCTGTTGGAGACGGAGTTTTGGCGGATGTTGGAGCGGTTGGAGACGGAGTTTTTGGCGGATGTTGGAGCTGTTGGGGACGGAATCTTGGCGGATGTTGGAGCTGTTGGAGACGGAGTTTTGGCGGATGTTGGAGCTGTTGGAGACGGAGTTTTGGCGGATGTTGGAGCTGTTGGGGACGGAATCTTGGCGGATGTTGGAGCTGTCGGGGACGGAATCTTGGCGGACGTTGGAGCTGTTGGAGAAGGAATCGCGGCACCCGTCGGAGCTGTGAAAAGTGGAGTCGTGGCCGGAGCCGACCTGCAACTTTAAAATTAGAACCAAAGAAAACTTCACAGTCCGTTCAAATGAACTCAAAACGTGTTGGCCCGACATTTATCGAAACGTCATTTCGAATCTATTTTCAGGTTTGCAAAAGGTTGAAAAAATGTGAAAGTAGTTTTGAATAAGTGGAACAAAAGCAACACTGACCGCCCAAAACCGTTTAAAAAATTACAAAAAGCGCCTTTTTCATGAAGTTTGAATACTCTAAATCGTAAATATCTAGACTTTTCAAATTTTCATATCGTTTTTTTTTTATCCCTTCTTGATATTTTTTGAGCTGTACCTGCCAGAATCTGGAGATGTCAGTCAGGGGCGCCGTTTTCACTTGCTTCCAATTGTTTTCAAGGATTAATTTGAAGGCGTCATGAATGCACTTGTCAAAGCAACGTCGGCTGTTTCTATTCTGCAATTAAAAAAAAACTTGGCGGAAAGAAGAAAAAGAAACTGACGAGCTTCTTGCTATTCTCGATCGAAAATGTGTTTGCGTACTGAAGAGCATAGTTCAAGCTTTCCTCGATATCAAATGCATATTCTGTCCATGCCAGTACACGATTGCGCAAGTTTAGGTGTTTGATATCCTCATAAATATCCGACGTGTTTTTAGGGAGATCGGCTAACTGCTTCTTCAAAAAGGCTGTCCTTCTTTGGACAAAATGGAAATCTTTGATGATGTTGTAGATGTGCTTCTTGACGTTCTGTGCTTCGTTTGCAGCTTTCTGGAAAAAAAGTCATCGAGTAGGTAAAACCAAAAAATGAGTGATAATTTAATAAAGCTTTCCATCATTTTTGGTTTGGCAGATGGAAAAATTTTTGTGTGTTGAGTTCAAAAGGCCCCAAACATTGTGGTTTAACTCACTTTCAGTTAATTTTTCTGAGTTCGTAAGCTAAGAATAATCAGATAAGGATAATTTGTTGCTATTTTTTTAATTCGAAAGGATTTTTTTTCATAAGGAAAAAAAGTTGATTTGAATGTTCTCTAGTTGAAATGGTAGCGGTTTTTTTGTTTCTGTACCTCTGATTCTTCTTTTGTCCGTTTTGTTACTGGTCGAAACGGGCTCGGTCTCATTTTTCCTCGACCTCATTTTTCCGTAGTATTGAGGGATCCTGTGTTTTCTCGCATCTGTAACAAGAAGTTTTGTGATTTTTCGTTATGGGATCGCAATCTTAATTTGCAAAGAAAAACAGATTTTCGTTTTTTTTTTCTGTACCTTTTCTTCGTTATCTCTGCCATTATTCACAAATGATTCCGAGCCGTCGTGTCTTATTTCGTAGAAAGCTTCCTGCAACCGAAAAAAACTTGTTTCGGAGAAAAAAAGTTTTTTTCAGGTTTTTTTATTGAGATGTCTAAAATTGTTTTAATTTTTTTCATATTTTATGGTGTGTTTGGTCGATCTCAAGTATTCGAAATTGAAGTTTGAAATTTTTTTTTGCGCTTCAAAGTTTGGGATTAAAAACAAGTTTACCGAAATAAACGTAGTATCGGGTTCGAAGTTTTGGACGAGCTGCACACTCGGACGACGGTTTTGCTTTTCGGAAACTTGTTTCACTCGATTCTCAGCAATCCATCGTTTAACGAGCAAACCCCCGTAATCACGTAACGTCTGGAAATAAAAGGTCATTTCAAAAGGTGATGAACAGAACTAACTAGAAAGGGGCGATTCGCGGCCAAGAAAGTGTCGACTCGGTCACAAGTGGCGATCAGCTCGTCACAGAATCCTTCAACAGTCACTGTCCAGCTCTTACGATTGAAATCGATATTTTCTTGGTCGTCGTCGCCGTGTGGCTGTTGATTTGTCCAAAACAGCTTTCTCACTACTGCGATGTTTAGGTGAGCCTCTGTTTTCTGCACGCGTTGTCGCAGGAAGCAACATTCCTCAGCGGCTGCCGCGTTCTGCAAAAACTTGTTCGAACGACCATCTACAGATGACGGAAATGTGGCATTTTTGGGAAAATGTAAATTTAAGTGTAACATGCGTTTTTTTGCTTTCCATATAACCAAATTGACAAACTCCAACTTTTCTCAATGTTCGTACCTCTTCTGACTTTTCAGCCTCTGCGGGATCTTCCAGTGCCTCAATTTGTGCATCAGGCTCTGTTTCGGCAACTGTGGAGTCAAGCTCCTCTGCCTTCTTGTGCGCTCTGGATTTTTGCGTCGCTGAGTTTTCTGCTTGATCCGTCGTGGATTTTTCGACTGTAGCAACTGCGGGATCCAGCTTTCCTTCGGCTCCTGCTGGAAGCTCTTTCGCCTTTCCTTCCTTTTTCGTGTAGAGCATCTTTTCTATCTCATGGAACTCCTTGACAACGTTTTCCTTCTGTAATGAGACAAAATTTGTTTGAAGATCAAATTAACAAACTACTTGTTTTTTTTTTCTGATGAATCACAGGGAACAAAAAAGATGAAATTTCCAAATTGAAACTCACTGCAAACAATTTGTTGATGGTGTTATTGCCCTCAGCAATATCTTCTTCTAACGTCGCTAATTTCTTAGAGCAGAACTCGAGACGTCCTTGGAGCACCGACTTCTCATCTCGAAATTTCTTGATTTCCTCTTCCTTTAGTTCCATTGTTTCAAGCGCTTTCTTAACGTCATTTAATCGCACCGCCATGATAGCTCTCTGAAAATGTAGACTTTGATGCTTATTTACTGGAATTTTCGAGGAAGGTTAACAGTAATGGTCAATTCTGCTTTAACCTCAGGCGAACGTCCATGGCGAAAAAAACGAAAAGAAGGAGAGGAAGAAAACGGAAGCGGATTTTCGAAAGAAAGTCACGAGGTGTAAAAGGAACTCAGCAAGAAAAAAGGACAGGAGCACAAATGACGACTTTGCAAAGGGTACCGTTTGAATGGTCGACGGTGTGCCACATCCGCCAACGGACTTTTTCGCGCCAAAGGTCGGAGGCGCCATTCTAAGGGGTCACCCTCTGACGAGCCTTTCAAATTTTTCGTTCCGAGTTTGAAAACCATGAAAAACCATGAAAACGAAGTTACACAAGAGTTTCAATTCAGAAATAAAAACAACTCAAAATCTTTTTTTGGCTCAGTAAATTTGTCGTATTGTGACTATGGACAAAATGCTGATGAAATTGCAGTGGAATCAAATTCAAAAACAGACAAACCGACATTCAAAACACTCGTAACAATAAAGAATTCTATCTTTTCAATTTGTCATCATAGTCAGTTGAATATGCCGGTGTTTGTCAATGTTTTACACGTTCTGAAACATTTATCGTTCCGCCGGGTACCTATTCAGCTCGGCTATTATTCAAAGCGAAAAGTGTTCCAGAGCGATGGAAACGATGAAAAAATCACCGGAATAATGAACTGGGAGATAAAGAAAACTCGAAAAGATACATTACTCCAAAATTCAAATTTCTAACTTGAATATTCTCAACGAACGAAAAAGAAAAAAAGTTCCAGATTGATCGAGTTTAAGATAAAATCATAGAAAGAATTCAAACGGGAGCATGAAAAAATTTTGAATAGGCAGCGAAAATCATTAATAAAGAGTTTTCGGGGAAGCGAAAATTTTTGAGATGAAAGATTTTTTTTGAGTGGAAACTTTTGATTTTGGACTATTCTGTCCCAGAGAAAAACGTGAAGCAGAAAATATTTAAAACTGTGAAACAAACAAAGGAGAAGAACTACTACGTACGATTTGGGAAACAGTCGAAAACAGGGAAAAAGATGGAAGACGACCATCCTTCCACACAGAAACGTGACCAGTCCCGGGCAGACCGGAGAGCCCAATTCGAGCAGCCGTTCCCCACCGAGACAGCCAAAATAATGAATGAAATGGAGACACGCCCATTCTGATCACTCTCTCTGCTGACCCGACACGCCCACTACTGATCTTTGCTCGGAGACCAAAAATCAAAGGGGCTCGCTCAAGAGCGAATAATGGGATTAGAAACGAGAAAAGAACTATCAAGAAAGTGAGGAGATACTCCAAATTTGAAATGCTTCAAAACAGCCATATATGCTCAAAATTCATTGAAAACGTTTTTCTACGTTTCTAAATATTATATGAGTTCAAGATGAAAAAAATTAGATCCGTATATTTTTTTGCAGTAGCCCACTGAATTTCAAAAAAATATCTTTCAAGAAAAAAAGATTTCAAGAAGCTGAGATTCGATGGTAATGACGTCACTAAGAAGTCCAAAGCAATGCGAAAAAAATTGTGTCAAAAAAGAAAAAACAGATTCAAAAAATTAAAAATTCAATTTTTTTAATTCAAATTTTCTCAGCTGAAAAAACAAAACTGAAGATCTGAAGTAAAAAGACAAATTTTGCATGGAAGCTTGTAAAAAAAATTGGCGCTCGCAGTATACAACAAATAATTTAAAAACTTGCTAAAATCCGAAAAAAATTATTTTTCAGGTTTTTATCTATTTGAGATGATTGGAATCCATAAATTCGAATTGTGTTATTTCAAAAAGTAGGAATTTCCCATCAAAAATAAAAAACAGTTAACCTAAAAACCTTTCATTTGAATTGAACATAGAATGGGAAAAAAAGGAATGAGAGAATGAAAATTCTCGAATAAAAAGTATTATCTCGCTGCCGAGACGCAGACAGCTAGAAAAATTAAAGAAAGTTAGAGAGACACTCTTGCCGCAGAGACGCAGACGGCTAGAAATGCTACAGTTTGCGTATTTCGAAAAAGAGATTATTAGATTTCGATTAAAGATTTTTCGCACTCCGTTTTGTCTTCAAAATTGATTGTGAAGATATATATTTCTTGATAATGAAATTTGAAACAAAATTTGGGAATTTTTTCAAGGGAAAAAAAGAATAGACTGAGAGAAAGTGCAACTAAAATTCAAATTATTTTTGACTTATTTCTTTTCGCAACGATTCCAACAAAAAATGAGTTTAGAAGCGTAATTTTGAATTTGGAAACATATCGAAGGCTAAAACATAGCTGAAATAGAGTTATAAACACACAAACTACTTTTAGATTCGCATTTGGTTTTTTTTCTCACTCGCACATCGCTGTTTGAGGTCATTCTTGCCAGAGGCACGCAGCCGTTTTTGGAGCCGACTGGGTCACGATTTACAGCCATTGTAAATTAGAAGCAGCCAAAAAAGTCAGAGATACGGACTCACTTTTTTGAACAACAAAACAACGATCTTTGGACTTGCAAGAATCGAATGAAGACTACTTTTGGGTTACAGTGACTCTCTTTTAGAAGTTATCTGAAAGTTTCGAGGTCGTTTATTGGAAAGTGAAAAGAGATCTGATGAATGAAAGTAGTCGCGTTACTCTCAGGTTTACTGTCAAAAAAGGTTGATGGAATGAGAAAAAAAAACTCTGGTTATTCAGGAATTGAAAAATAGAATCATTTCATTCAAAAATAGAAAAAAAGTAAAAGATATCAGTTTTCGAAACGTCTTCTCCTAACTTTTCCTGGTTTTTAGAAGGTGATTGAAAAAAAAAATCACAGGACGTTTAATTCTATTTTGTTTTTTTTCCTGTAGACTTTGAGTGTTAGTAAATCAGCTTACTTCGACAGTTTTGCCTTTGAGTGCTGCAAAATTTCTTCACTGTACAGATTTCTAATTTTTTTCGAAATATCATAACTATTTGAAGATCTCAAGTGCAATTTTTCAGAATATCGTTTTCATTTGCACTACAAAACTCGACGGATTCCGCCTTATTCTGGGTTTTCAAAATTCTTGTTTTTTATTTGCGATGGTACTCCTTTTGCTGGTCTTGTTCGCAGTAATTTTAACAAAAAAATTAGTTTATAGAGCGCAATTCTGAATTAAGAAATCTTACAAAAAAACCAAAAAAATTGCTAAAAAGAGAATTATAAATATTCAAACTACTTTTTAGACTTGCGTTTGGTTTTTTTCTCGCTCGCACATCGCTGTTTGAGGTCATTCTTCCCAGAGGCACGCAGCCGTCTTTGGAGCCGACTGGGTCACGATTTACAGCCATTGTAAATTAGAAGCAGCCAAAAAAGTCAGAGATACGGACTCACTTTTTTGAACAACAAAACAACGATCTATGGACTTGCAAGAATCGAATGAAGACTACTTTTGGGTTACAGTTACTCTCTTTCATCTGTCCTACAACTAATCTGTTCTAATTCCGGGGAGAACCAGAAAAAAAAAGATTTTTTGAAGTTTTCGCGAAACTCGAGGTGAAGTCGTTCGGCGAGTTGGTGACATACTATTGACCCCGGTCTGTAGTTGTCGGACTATGTCCAACATACGTAAAAAGGTCAGGCGCTCCGATTAAAATAAAACTCAGCTAGGGCTTCGGGGTCCTAACCACTGAAAACCTGAGGTGAATGCAAAACTTGTCAATTTTCGACAAACTTTGATTTTTTACCTTAGGAAGAACAATTCAGATCGGAAAGTTTTCAACACAAAAAAAAAACTCAAAAAGGTCTCTTCTTGCTTTTGCAACGCTTTCCAGCTGATTTCTTACACTGGGAAGAAATTTGGCTTTAAGGGTAATTTTTTCACCATAAGCCTGAAAGTGGGCGGAGCCTCATGGAACCATGTCTCATCTATTCAGAGTACGTGTAAGTAGCTCTGGTACTAATATGGAGTCAAAAGAAGCTACTTGAAATCTTTGTACCAACTGAATTTTCATTTGATTGATTCTCTCGGAGAAGGCGTGTTAAACAGTTTTGCAATAACTTGTTTTTGCAAGCAGAGCTTTTTTGCTCGAGCCAGACTACGATTATGAGCAAAAAACTGAAAATCGAAAAAATGAAAAATTTTCCGTTGAGGTTTCAAAAATCATATTTCTCAAGTAACTCCGAGTTCCTTGAACTTTTTTCCCCTTGTAAAACAAGTCTTCGGTTTTCCAGAATACCTAATTAGATTTCAACCACCCCAATATTAAGAGCGCAGTAACTTTTTCTCTGGAAGGCCCTTGCTTTTTGAGGCCTTATCATTCAAGCGGACTAATCGGGGTCGATTTGATTTGAGGAGTCTGCTTTTTATGTTTAAACGCTTTCAAAAATCTTCAACAATATCTTAACAATGCTTTTTCCACTTTATTTGTTCTCTCATCGTTTTAGTCGATCTTAAACCTTCATTTTCTTGGCTCATAGCTGAGTTGTAGAAATTTGACAGGGTATGAGAATACTGTAGCTTGACGGGATTATCAGGTTTTTGAACATTTTTTCAAACACAGTAGTTCCATTTGTCAATCGATTGCACCCCAGGTTTTCTCTTTTGATAATGAGAAATGAACTGGCTACTAAAATGATAGAAGATTTGTAAACAACACCTCGAACAAAATATCTCGGGAAAATTTCAGAATCGCCCCCCACCCGGTAAAATCAAAGACTTTTTGGTGGGGGGCTAAATCAAATGTGGGGGGCTATACCTTATTCTAGAATTGCCCCCCACAGTGATGAGTGGGGGACGATTCTAGAATGCATATTCAATCTTCAAGAATCGCCCCCCACCCAACTTTGGAATAAGCATGGCAAGCCTTTTACGGATCAGCCCCCCATATTACAGAATAACCCCCACTTCATTCAAGAATAGCCCCCCACACCGTTCTTGAATCGCCCCCCACCACAGAAATAAAACAACCAGATCAACGAAAACTAAAAAAATAATTGGAAAATAACTAGCCCTTGAAAATTAGGTAGTATACATGCCTAAAAAAATTTATTAAACACCATTCTTTTTATCGAAAATTGTCGAAAAATACAAAAATATGTACTATATTATGGTTATTTCATCCAATAAACACAAAACAGAACTTAAAACTCTTAAAAAAGCATAATATAGGTCATATTTTTAGTAATAACTACATGAAAATGGATGAAAGTAACAAATAAAACAGGAAAAAATTGAAAATTTGATTGAAAAACGAAAATTCCTAAATTAAAATATGAAAATCTGATCAAAAACGCGGCCTCCCTTCAAATCGTTTCGAGACCCATTAGCAAATAATTTCACCTACTGGTGGGGGGCTATTTCCTACACTTGTGGGGGGCCATTCTGGAATAATCCCAATATCTCCACAAGGCACTCCTAATTCTTGACTGAAGGTCTTTATCGATTTTATTGCAACTTTATTTTGGTTCTTTTGAAACTTTAATTGCTTTAAAATTGATGAACATTTTATTTGTTTCAATTTTTCTCCATTTGTCAACGAGAGTGTCTTCAATATTATTTAGAGCGATTCTAAGTTTTGAAGTAACCAGTAAACAGTTTTGCAGATTTAAATGGTTTATTTCTTTTGAATATTCTTGAACGAGGTGGAGAAAAAATATGGAAAATGGCCAGATGAGAGAAGATTAAGAAAGGGAATTTGGCGGTGAAGAAAAAGTACTTAAGAACTTTGCAACATTGTTTGTAAAAAATAAAAAGGATCGAGAAAAGGCGCACGAATAAATAGTGAAATTAATGTTATTGCCTGTAAAAAAACAAAACAAAAAAGAGAAAAACCATCTAGATTAAAAGTGTAGTTCGGGGAGAAAGAAAAAAAGCTCTTGGAAATAACAATTGTGAGTTGTTTGGACAGCTTTTATGTCAGAATTTATAAAAGGAGGGCAAAGAAATTGTTGCTGAAAAGGGGGTCTAGGACAAAAAAAGAACTTAATACGCTGGACAAGATTTCAGAGGGAGGAAAAAAAACAAGGAACGCGTATGAATCATGGAGAGAACAAATAAAAATATATACATTAAAAACATTAAGAAGATGAGTGGTTGAGCGTCTCGAGAAGACCGTAGATGGAGACGTGCACAGATCCGAACCGGTAGCTTTTCTCGATTACCAAGGGTCGTCAGCCGCTTTTTCGCCGTCAGCATCAATGTTGTATTCGGTCCAACCCGATTTGCGGCTCGAGCCATTCTGTAACTCGGGAATTTTAATTGGATAGCAATCTATTATCAGTTCAGCTTGTTTTGAAAAATCCGAAAATCGTTTGAAATGTCATTTTCGGAAGAAGTAATAGTGAACAAAGAAAATTATTTTGGGTTTATTTTGCTGAAAACCGAAGTAATTTTGCCAAGACAAGAAATGATCTCTGAACTCGTAAGTTAATGAAGGCAAAAAAAAAGTTTTTGTTAGTTTTAGTACAAAGAGTTTTTCTATGGGAAGAACGTTGACACAATATTTCTCTATTAAAATGAATTTCTTTTTTACCTCTGATTTATTGCCGTCCGTTTTCTGTCGTCCTTCTGGTTCAACTTGAGTCGACGAATTTTTCTTCCCGTCCATAGGAGATTTTTCTTTCGCTTCGACGGGCGCCTAGAAACAGAAAGTTTGATGGATCTTCATTTTCAAAGTTAGGCTAACGAGGTCTCCGACAGTTTAAGTTATTCTTATCAAGTGGGAATCTTCTACACATCTCATTTGGATTTTCTGAACGATGTTTGTCATTTTCTTTTTTTTGATCAATGTTCGAACATTCAATGATCATTTCATTCACGTTTAATTTTTTTGTACCTTCCCAGTCTGATGAGGCTTCTGTTCACGCTTCTTAGTAGTCACACTGGTACTTCTAGTCCTGTTCTCGGCTTTCTTCTCTTCGACATTTTTGCCCCGACTCTTGCTACGACGCTCCACATTTCTCTGCTTGACATTGCCCGCCAGACTCTGTAAACAAAAATTTCAATTATTCGAACTGCGAAAAATTGTGAAATTTAGATTTCTTTTGCTATTAAATCATCAGTTCCTTATTAAAAAAACCAGGGTTTTTTTGTGTTTAACTAATTTTTTTCAATCAAAAAAATAAACTTCAGTGTAGCGTTCAAATGAACTATGTGAGCAGAAATGAGTAATAATGGTTGTTAACATTTCAAAAATTTACATAAGAGGAAAAAAATCTCGAGTTTGATCTGATTCAAACTTTAGTTCAAACCGTTCATTTTGTTCTTTCTGATGGAAAGTCACCACATTCAACATCATTTTTTTGATTTTTATGGTGTGTTTAATTCTTCGAAATTCATTCAATTTTTCAAACCTTTTTCTAGCGGCCTGTTCCTTCCAGTCTTGCCGGGACTCTTCTTTTGCTTCGGCCTGCATGTTTTCTTCTGCCTTGTCAATGTGGAACCTTTCAATCACATGCGAAAATTCCCCGGCGAGACTTTGATTCTGAAATCAGAAAAAAATTCCTTGTTTATCAAGGTATTAACTATTTTTTGTTTTCTGATAAAAGACAAAAACTCTAAACTTGAACTCACTTCGAGAAGTTTTTTGATGGCTCCACGGCCCTCAGCAATATCTTCTTCCAACGTCGCCAATTTCTTAGAGTAGGCGTCAAGGCGTTTTTGGAGTCTCGACATCTGGTCTCGAATTTTCTTTGCTGTCACTTCTTTTTCGTCAATCATCTTGAACATAATTCTGATGTTTTTTTCGTTTGCCGACATGATAGTTCTCTGAAAATGGAGACTTTAATGCTTATTTACTGAAATTTCGGAAAAGAGTTAGCAGTGGTGGGCAGTCCTGCTCCAACCTAAGACGAACGTCCATGAGGAAAAACGAAAAGAAGGAGAAAACGGAAGCAAAATTTCGAAAGAAAGTCACGAGGTGAAATAGGAACTCAGCAAGAAAAAAGACAGGAGCACAAATGACGACTTTGCAGAGGGTACCGTTTGAATGGTCGATGGTGTGCCACATCCGCCAACGGACTTTTTCGCGCCAAACGTCGGAGGCGCCATTCTCAGGGGTCACCCTCTGACGAGCCTTTCAAATGTTTCGTTTTGAGTTTGATATCGCCAGAAAAAAACTTTTAACAGCGAAAAATCTTTTTTCTGCAAAAATTGAAATATCCTACTTTGAGTATATTTTTTTTTTCATAAATCAAAAAAAAGAACAATTTTTTTCCTGAATTTTATCAAAATAACTGTTTTAATCGACCTAATTAAATTTCAGTATTCAAAAAAATTTTGGCGGGAGGTTTCGAATTTTGTCTCTTGCGTCTTTTTGGAATGTTCTGAACCATTCATTGTTCCGTTTCCATTCGGCTCAGCTATAATCCAGAGCGATGAAAACAATAAAAAAATCACCGGAATAATGAACTGGGAGATTGAGAAAACTCGAAAAGATAGATAACTCCAAAGTTCAAACTTCTAGCTTGAATTTTCCCAGCGAACGACGAGAAAAAGTTCCAGATTGATCGAATTGAAAAAAAGCATAGAAAAACTTTGAAAGTAAATGCGAAAACTTTTTAAATAGGCAGCAAAAATCGAGAATGAAGAAATTTAGAAGACTCAAAAATTTTCGAGAAGAAAGATTCGAGAAAAAGAATGGGCAAAATTAAAAATTGTCATTTATTGAGTCCCGAAATTATTTAGAACTTTTTTTCTGATTTTTCTGAAGTTTAAAGCAAAGAAGAGCACAAAAAAACGGAATTCTTCAAAGTTTCAGAGAAGAAATTTTTTTAATTTTTGGATTATTCTGTTTCAGAGAAAAAAATGTGAAGCAGAAAAATATTCGAAACAAACCAAAGAGAAGAACTACTACGTACGAATTGCGAAACGGTCGAAAAACAGGGAAAAAGATGGAAGACGACCATCCTTCCACACAGAAACGTGACCAGTCCCGGGCAGACCGGAGAGCCCAATTCGAGCAGCCGTTCCCCACCGAGACAGCCAAAATAATGAATGAAATGGAGACACGCCCATTCTGATCACTCTCTCTGCTGACCCGACACGCCCACTACTGATCTTTGCACGGAGACCAAAAATCTCGAAAAGAAGGACCTTCCTAACAAAAATAATGAATTGAACCAGAAACCCTTCATTTTTTTGTTACAAAAAAAGACCATCAGCAAACTAAAAAAAGTCTGATAATTTGGAGATTTATTGATTAAATTTTGATAGCGTTTAAACATAAAATGTAAAAGAAGAAAAAAAAATGAATGAGAGAGAGAATATTTTTGAATAAGAATAATTATCTCGCTGCGGAGACGCAGACGGCTAGAAAGGCTACAGATTGCGTATTTCGAAAAAAAGAGATTATTAGATTTCGATTAAAGATTTTTTTCGCACTCCGTTTTGTCTTCAAAATTGATTGTGAAGATATATATTTTTTTGATAATGAAATTTGAAACAAAATTTGGGAATTTTTTTCAAGGGAAAAAAAGAATAGACAGAGAGAAAGTGAAAATAAAATTCAAATTATTTTTGACTTATTTCTTTTCGCAACGATTCCAACAAAAAATGAGTTTAGAAGCGTAATTTTGAATTTGGAAACATATCGAAGGCTAAAACATAGCTGAAATAGAGTTATAAATACACAAACTACTTTTAGACTTGCGTTTGGTTTTTTTCTCGCTCGCACATCGCTGTTTGAGGTCATTCTTCCCAGAGGCACGCAGCCGTTTTTGGAGCCGACAGGGTCACGTTTTACAGCCATTGTAAATTAGAAGCAGCCAAAAAAGTCAGAGATACGCACTCCCTTTTTTGAACAACAAAACAACGATCTTTGGACTTGCAAGAATCGAATGAAGACTACTTTTGGGTTACAGTGACTCTCTTTTAGAAGTTATCTGAACGTTTCACTTTCCCCGATTGCCGAATATTCTCCCACCTACATCTTCACCTGGTCGAGACGCAAATGTCCAATTGGAGTGACCTCATACTTCTCCTCGCGGTCAGCGTCCTTCTGCAAGGAAAACATTGAGCGACTTTCTGGACAAAGGCAGCTGTTAAAGCAGATGAAGTATACATCAAAAAGTATACATCAAATAAAAAAAATTTCAAACAAAGATTTTGTCGAGAAAAAAAGTCGGAAAAAGATTCGTCGGAAAGGTGGCCCTCGGAAAGTTCCCTAGCGATATGAAAAAATCGGAAAAGTCGCTGTTTGAACTTTCTCTGGTTTTTCATATCACCTTTTCTTTACTCCCAGGTTTATTATGTCGGTGTTTTTTTGTTCTCAAACCTTCATTATATTGATTCATAGTTGAACTGTAGAAATTCAACAAGGTATTTTTTTCAAACTCAGTAGTACCATTTGTTAATCCATTGTACCCCAGGTTTTCTGTTTTGACTATGAGAAATAAATTGGTATGCATTCTCAAATAAAAATATTTCTACGAGGCCTTTCTAATTTCTGACAGAAGGTATTTATCAATTTTTGATTCATAACTTCATTGCCAAACTTTTTGGTTTCTTTTGCTTTTAAACCAAAGGGAATATTGTTTTTCTGTTTCAATGATATTTTTTTATTCCTCATTATTTTTTTAATAATAAATTGAGTAATTTGACGTTTCAAGTAACAAACCAGCTTTTGTAGTATAAAACGGTTTTATTTCCTTTAGAGCAAAAAGATGAGAAATAGGCAAATGAGGAAAAACTGGAAAAAAAGAGATTTTGGAGCAGATCAAAAACAATTGGATAACTCTTCATAAATTTTTTTGAAATTAAAAATGTGAAAAATTAGAGCGCTCAAATAAATGCGTAAGTTAATGCTGTGAAAAACTCCGAAAACAAAAAAAAGTGAGAAAAGGCCATCTAGGTTAAAAGTGTAAATTCTTTGGACAGCTTTCATGGACAGAAGTTATGAAAGTAGTGTGAATAATTTGTTGCTGAAAAAGGGATCAAAGACAAAAAGAAGTTATATCGCTGGACAAGATTGCAATGGGAAAAATAAACAAGAAACGCGTGTGAATCATGGAGAGAACAAATAAAATATGTACATTAAAATAGTAGTTGAGCGTCTCGAGAAGACCGTAGATAGAAGGAAAGAGATGAAGACGTGTGCAGATTTGAACCGGTAGCTTTTCTCAATTACCAAGGGTCGCCAGCTTTTAATTCGCCGTCAGAATCGATGTCGTAGGCGCTGTGACGCAATTGGCGGCCCGAGACATTCTGCAACTCAGGACTATCAATTGAATCGAAATCTATTGTCAGTATAGTTTGTTTCGAAAAAACCCCTGAACGGTTTATATGCCTCATATAATCCTGATGAGAAAGAGATGAAAAATTCGAATTCCTTACCCAACGAAGTGTTTTCCGCTTTCATCTATAGCCGAAAACCGTTTAAAATTTTATTTTTGTATTATAAAAACTGCGGTATTGTGAAAAAAAAACTGATATTAATAGTAAGAAGTTCTGAAGTTTCATCCTTTTTACTTTCACTTCAAGGCTTTGAAATCATCTGAGTGTACTTCGTACTTGAAAAATGTACCTTCGAGGCTCCGGCTGTTTCTGGCTCCACCGCGGGTTCAACTGGCGTTTCAGCTGCATTTTCCAAGATCTTCTTGGCTTTGCGGCACTGTATCTCTAGACGGAGCTTTTCGTTCTCATCCTGCAATGAAATACATGAAAAAACAGTAATAGAAAATAAAAACTAACCAAATTCTCTTTGCTTTCTTGCAGAAAAACGTCGATATCCTTCACCAGACGGTACAAGTGTATGCGAGAATTGCCGATTCTTTCCATTATTTTCTGAAAAAAACTTTTCAGATGCGCGAAAGGGCAAAAAAAATGAACAGAGAAAATCAGGGAATTTGAACATTTTTACTATCAATTCTTAAGTTCTTTTCAAAAATCAGGTTTTGCGCCTAACTAATTTTAAAATAAAAAAGACTCTAATAAAGAGATCGAACTTTGCCGGTGACGTCGACGTCAGAGCTGTTGGAGACGGAATCTTGGCGGACGTTGGAGCTGTTGGAGAAGGAATCGCGGCACCCGTCGGAGCTGTGAAAAGTGGAGTCGTGGCCGGAGCCGACCTGCAACTTTAAAATTAGAACCAAAGAAAACTTCACAGTCCGTTCAAATGAACTCAAAACGTGTTGGCCCGACATTTATCGAAACGTCATTTCGAATCTATTTTCAGGTTTGCAAAAGGTTGAAAAAATGTGAAAGTAGTTTTGAATAAGTGGAACAAAAGCAACACTGACCGCCCAAAACCGTTTAGAAAATTACAAAGAGCGCCTTTTTCATGAAGTTTGAGTACTCTAAATCGTAAATATCTAGATTTTTCAAATTTTCATATTGTTTCGTTTTATCCCTTCATGATATTTTTTGAGCTGTACCTGCCAGAATCTGGAGATGTCAGTCAGGGGCGCCGTTTTCACTTGCTTCCAATTGTTTTCAAGGATTAATTTGAAGGCGTCATGAATGCACTTGTCAAAGCAACGTCGGCTGTTTCTACTCTGCAATCAAAAAAAAACTTGGCGGAAAGAAGAAAAAGAAACTGACGAGCTTCTTGCTATTCTCGATCGAAAATGTGTTTGCGTACTGAAGAGCATAGTTCAAGCTTGCCTCGATATCAATTTCATATTCTGTCCATGCCAGTACACGATTGCGCAAGTTTCGGTTTTTGATATTCTTATAAATATTCGACGTCTTTTTAGGGAGACCGGCTAACTGCTTCTTCAAAAAGGCTGTCCTTCTTTGGACAAAATGAAAATCTTTCATGATATTGTAGATGTGCTTCTTGACGTTCTGTGCTTCGTTTGCAGCTTTCTGGAAAAAAATTCATCGAGTAGGTAAAACCAAAAAATGAGTGATAATTTAATAAAGCTTTCCATCATTTTTGGTTTGGCAGATAAAAAAATTTTTGTGTGTTGAGTTCAAAAGGCCCCAAACATTGTGGTTTAACTCACTTTCAGTTAATTTTCTGAGTTCGTAAGCTAAGAATAATCAGATAAGGATAATTTGTTGCTATTTTTAATTCGAAAGATTTTTTTCATAAGGAAAAAGTTGATTTGAATGTTCTCTAGTTGAAATGGTAGCGGTTTTTTTTTTGTTTCTGTACCTCTGATTCTTCTTTGTCCGTTTTGTTACTGGTCGAAACGGGCTCGGTCTCATTTTCCTCGACCTGATTTTCCGTAGTATTGAGGGATCCTGTGTTTTCTCGCATCTGTAACAAGAAGTTTTGTGATTTTTTGTTATGGGATCGCAATCTTAATTTGCAGAGAAAATCAGATTTTCGTTTTTTTTTTTCCGTACCTTTTCTTCGTTATCTCTGCCATTATTCACAAATGATTCCGAGCCGTCATGTCTTATTTCGTAGGAAGCTTCCTGCAACCGAAAAACTTGTTTCAGAGAAAAAAAGTTTTTTTCAGGTTTTTTTTTATTGAGATGTCTAAAATTGTTTCAATTTTTTCAATTTTTATGGTGTGTTTGGTCGATTTCAAGTATTCGAAATTGAAATTCGAAATTTTTTTTCGCGCTTCAAAGTTTGGGATTAAAAACAAGTTTACCGAAATGAACGTAGTATCGGGTTCGAAGTCGGAGATTTGGAAGAGCTGCACACTCGGACGATAGATTTGCTTTTCGGAAACTTGTTTCACTCGATTCTCAGCAATGCATCGTTCAACAAGCAAACCCCGGTAATCATGTAACGTCTGGAAATAAAAGGTCATTTCAAAAGGTGATGAACAGAACTAACTAGAAAGGGGCGATTCGCGGCCAAGAAAGTGTCGACTCGGTCACAAGTGGCGATCAGCTCGTCACAGAATCCTTCAACAGTCACTGTCCAGCTCTTACGATTGAAATCGATATTTTCTTGGTCGTCGTCGCCGTGTGGCTGTTGATTTGTCCAAAACTGCTTTCTCTCTACTGCGAGGTTTAGGTGAACCAGTGTGTTCTGCACGCGTTGTCGCAGGAAGCAAAACTCCTCAGCGGCTGCCGCGATCTGCAAAAATTTGTTCGAACGACCATCTACAGATGACGGAAATGTGGCATTTTTGGGAAAATGTAAATTTAAGTGTAACATGCGTTTTTTTGCTTTCCATATAACCAAATTGACAAACTCCAACTTTTCTCAATGTTCGTACCTCTTCTGACTTTTCAGCTTCTGCGGGATCTTCCAGTGCCTCAATTTGTGCATCAGGCTCTGTTTCGGCAACTGTGGAGTCAAGCTCCTCTGCCTTCTTGTGCGCTCTGGATTTTTGCGTCGCTGAGTTTTCTGCTTGATCCGTCGTGGATTTTTCGACTGTAGCAACTGCGGGATCCAGCTTTCCTTCGGCTCCTGCTGGAAGCTCTTTTGCTTTTCCTTCCTTTTTCGTGTAGAGCATCTTTCCTATCTCATGGAACTCCTTGACAACGTTTTCCTTCTGTAATGAGACAAAATTCGTTTGAAGATCAAAGTAACAAACTACTTGTTTTTTTTTTCTGATGAATCACAGGGAACAAAAAAGATGAAATTTCCAAATTGAAACTCACTGCAAACAGTTTGTTGATGGTGTTATTGCCCTCAGCAATATCTTCTTCTAACGTCGCTAATTTCTTAGAGCAGAACTCGAGACGTCCTTGGAGCACCGACTTCTCATCTCGAAATTTCTTGATTTCCTCTTCCTTTAGTTCCATTGTTTCAAGCGCTTTCTTAACGTCATTTAATCGCACCGCCATGATAGCTCTCTGAAAATGTAGACTTTGATGCTTATTTACTGGAATTTTCGAGGAAGGTTAACAGTAATGGTCAATTCTGCTTTAACCTCAGGCGAACGTCCATGGCGAAAAAAACGAAAAGAAGGAGAAGAAGAAAACAAAAACAAATTTTCGAAAGAAAGTCACGAGGTGAAATAGGAACTCAGCAAGAAAAAAGACAGGAGCACAAATGACGACTTTGCAAAGGGTACCGTTTGAATGGTCGATGGTGTGCCACATCCGCCAACGGACTTTTTCGCGCCAAAGGTCGGAGGCGCCATTCTCAGGGGTCACCCTCTGACGAGCCTCCCAAATGTTACGTTTCGATATCGCCAGAAAAAACTTTCAACCGCGAAAAAAATCTTTTTTTCTGCAAAAAGTTGAAATATCCTACTTCGAGTACATTATTTTTCATGAATAAAAAGAAAGAACAATTTTTTTCCTAAATTTCATTGAAATAACTGTGCTAATCACCCTAAATACGTTTCAAGTTTCAGTATTCGAAAATCTTTGCAGGAGGTTTCGATTTTCGTGTCTTGCGTCTACTTCGACTTTGGTCTATAAACCACTCAAGTCTGAACTCAATTCGCAAATACGAATTCGCATAGTTTCCTAGTGAGAAAGCCTCATACGCTATTCGCACTAGCTTCATTATTCCCAGCGAACGACGAGAAAAAGTTCCTGATTGATCGAGTTTAAGAGAAAAGGCATAGGAAAACTTTGAGAGGAAATGAGAAGAAGTTTTGAATAGGCACGAAAGTCGACAATGAAGAAATTTAGAAGACTCAAAAATTTTTGAGAAGAAAGATTCGAAAAACGAAAATCAATGGGCAAAATGAAAAAATGTCATTTTTTGAGTTCCGAAATCCTTTAAAATTTTTCCTGATATTTTGAAGTTTAAAGCAAAGAAGAGCACAAAAAACGGAATTCTCAAAATTTCAGAGTAGAAATTTTGATTTTGGACTATTCTATTACCGAGAGAAATGTGAAGCAGAAAATATTTAAAACTGTGAAACAAACATAGGAGAGGAACTACTACGTACGATTTGCGGAATAATCGAAAAACAGGGAAAAAGATGGAAGACGACCATCCTTCCACACAGAAACGTGACCAGTCCCGGGCAGACCGGAGAGCCCAATTCGAGCAGCCGTTCCCCACCGAGACAGCCAAAATAATGAATGAAATGGAGACACGCCCATTCTGATCACTCTCTCTGCTGACCCGACACGCCCACTACTGATCGTTGCTCGGAGACCAAAAATCTCGAAAAGAAGGACCTTCCTAACAAAAATAATGAATTGAACCAGAAACCCTTCATTTTTTGTTACAAAAAAGACCATCAGCAAACCAAAAAAAGTCTGATAATTTGGAGATTTATTGATTAAATTTTGATAGCGTTAAACATAAAATGTAAAAAGAAGAAAAAATGAATGAGAGAGAGAATATTCTCGGATAAGAATAATTATCTCGCTGCGGAGACGCAGACGGCTAGAAAGGCTACAGATTGCGTATTTCGAAAAAGAGATTATTAGATTTCGAATAAAGATTTTTCGCACTCAGTTTTGTCTTCAAAATTGATTTTGAAGATATATATTTATTGATAATGAAATTTGAAACAAAATTTGGAAATTTTTTCAAGGAAAAAAAAAGAATAGACTGAGAGAAAGTGCAACTAAAAATTCAAATTATTTTTTTGACTTATTTCTTTTTCGCAATGATTCCAACAAAAAAATGAGTTTAGAAACATATCAAAGACCAAAAAAATAGCTGAAATAGAGTTATAAACACACAAACTACTTTTAGACTTGCGTTTGGTTTTTTTTCTCACTCGCACATCGCTGTTTGAGGTCATTCTTCCCAGAAGCACGCAGCCGTCTTTGGAGCCGACAGGGTCACGTTTTACAGCCATTGTAAATTAGAAGCAGCCAAAAAAGTCAGAGATACGCACTCCCTTTTTTGAACAACAAAACAACGATCTTTGGACTTGCAAGAATCGAATGAAGACTACTTTTGGGTTACAGTGACTCTCTTTTAGAAGTTATCTGAACGTTTCACTTTCCCCGATTGCCGAATATTCTCCCACCTACATCTTCACCTGGTCGAGACGCAAATGTCCTATTGGAGTGACCTCATACAACAAATTTTTACTATTTTTCAAGTTGAAAAAAAAACAGTGCAGATTAAACATACTTTATTTCGTAAAAAAAATGTTCTAAAAATGTACGGGACGAGAGAAAATACCAACAATGGAATGGTGTATTGATATGTCTGGGTTCGAAGGAATAAACTTTTGGAAATAGAGAAGAAGTACTAGAATATACACGGGAAACATTTCTCTGTTTAAAAAACTAAGGAAAGGTTCTCAACTGGATGAACATCCCAATAAAACAGTGTAAAAATCTGTTGAGAACCGAGACTGAAAAAGTAAAAAACTATAAAAGTTAAAAACACTTTCTGCGTACTAAAAAAACATGATAGAATAATTTGACACCGACCCTAGAAAATGCCTAAACAGGGTTAGCAGCTATGTGATAAAAATTTTAATTAATGAAAAGGGTAAAAAATGAATATAACTTTCTGCCTATTGAAAAAAAATAAATTAGTAAATAACATCTACACAATAAATGAAAATTTCACCAAATCATCAAAGTGTTAAATAATGAGTGGATTATGGGACTCGAAACCGCCGATCAAGAAAAAACGCGGATTACACGTAGGAGAATGATATAGAACAACCATATGAACATGTGGGAATAACTCATATGTTTATTTTGCCCCGAAGTAGGTTGGCGGCTGGCCTTTTCCCGCGAACTGTAGAAGTTCCTTAGCTTTGCCTTTGGCATCGATACCAGGAGAGTTGGTATTCGAATCGGGACCCAAGCCAACCTGCAAATTTAAAATTATAAGAGAATAAGATTATTTAGCAAGTTTCGATTGCTTTAAGGAAAAGGTTTCTTTAATTTTCATTTTCCAAAGCTTGTGTTTTTTTTTTCATTTGCGTTAGGTACCTGCAAGGCGACGGCGATTTGGGAGCCTTCTTCCGGTTTGGCTTTTCTGCCCTTGACCTTGAGGGCATTCCGACAATTATTCTCCCGACGGAGTTTCTGATTTTCCTCCTGCAAAAATTAACTGGATTTGTATGAAACAGAGTGAAAAAACTGACGGTGTTTCCATGGATGGCGGCTCGGGCTTCAGTCGAGGCATGATGAATTTTGCGGATGACGTGGCTGCTGGTTTCCCGAGATGTTGGTTTCTTCTCGGAGAGACTCGCGACCTCAGACTCCAGCTCAATAACGAGACGAATAGAATCTTCGTATTCATCCAACAACATAGACAAACATGACTGTCTTTTTCGACCTTCTTCATATAGGGTTCCTTCCTGAAACATTTTCAAGTGCGCGCCAAAAACCAAAAAAAAGATGTCTTGAACGGTGCCGTTAAAACTAAAAAGGTGTTTTTTGGGCTGTTAAACATTTGAAGTCACGTGAGAATTTGAAAATATTATTTAACTCGCAAGAGAAAAGCATAAAAATGTATTTTATTTGACCTTTATCCCGCTACAGAGTGATCATGCTAAATTGAAAGCAAGTTTTCTTGGTTAACTCAGCAAATTCTCAAAATCAACTAGTTGCCTCTTTTTCTGTACCTCTGAGTCGTCGTTCTTCAATTGCACATTATCTTTGTCGACCATATCGACTTCTCCGTCTTTATTTTGGCCATCCATCGTCTTTTCTTCGGATTCTACCGTTCCTTCGTGCATCTTCAATCAGGAGGTTTGCAAGATTTTCATTCACAAATCGGGATATTGAAATCTTGCTTTTGAAAATGTTTGAACTTTCCGAGAAAGGGTTTAGAATTCGAAATTTGCGAGAGGATGATTATTATCATCGGAATTTAATCAATTATTCTATACCTCTTCTTTTTCGTCGTCTTTCTCTTGCTCGCCACCTTTCATCAAAGCTTCAAAAATTAGCAAGATCTTCACTTAAAAACTTAGTTTCTTAATTTTTTTGAATTCAAAGGAATTTTTTCGTAAGTTTTTTCATGTTTCGGAATTTCCTCCATTTATCTAAAACTCGAGTTGTGAACCAGTCGTTTCTCTGAGTCTCTAAACTCTGTCCTCAAAACACATTTTTCAATCTCGCTTTTTCTGTACCTTGTCAACTTTCTCGGTTTTCTTTTTCGCGCTTTCTCCTGCCCAAGCCTCATTCTCAAAAATTTTTTTTTCTCCGTTTTGGTTGACATTTGCTTTGAATTTAAGTTTTTTTGTATTATAACATTAGTTTATCAATTATTTTCCTATTCAACTCGGTATATTCTCTCATAATTTTTATTGTCTGTTCAGTTTCGTACCTTTTTGTACACGCTCGCATTTTTTTCAATCTCTCCTGATCTTGCTTCATTCCCGTCAGCACGAGCGATCGTCTTCACAAACTCGGCCAAGCAAAAATGTTTCCTGTAACAGAATAATTTGCGAGATTTTTCACTGAAAAAAATCGGGTTTCCTGTTTTTTTACACTCAAAAAAATTTTTATTCTATGTTTGGGTTCCATATTTTTTTGTGAAACTTTTTTTTGATGCATTGAACTTTTTGATGCTTTTTCAAGTAGGAAAGTAAAAAGAAATTCACCGGGGTCACAGTTCTGAAGGCCTCAGACACCGAAAGAAAGAGGCCCCTTTCTTTTGAACAATCTGGCAACGTCGGAAGTCCTTTCATGAGAAGTTCAGCAGCTTGACGCGTTTCGAGTAAATCACAAAAAGCGTCTTCTTTCTGAAAATGGAAAAGTTGTTTTGTAAAGAGAAGAACAAAACTAACGAGAAACGAGTTATTAGAGGCCAGGAAGTCGTCGACTTCCCGAAAAGTGACGGTCAGCTCGTCGCAGAAGGCTTTTGCGCTTTTGGCCCAACTTCGGTGCAATCTTTGGAAGTCGGCTTCATAGTAATTGCGTTTCAGGCATTCGGTGTCACAATAACGCATTTGTTCAGCGCAGTAGTTCAACTTAATCATTGTACTTACAAGCTTCACTCGCAAGCCTTGGCGCGTTTGCGTATATTCCACTTCCTGAAATGATTTTTTTAAAACGAATGAAAAAGCCTGATAAAAAAATTTTTCAACGAATCAAATAAACAAAAAAATATGAAATCTTTTTTTAGCCCTTTTTTTCTAGATTCGATAAAAAAATCAAAAAAATTATGGTAAAAAAATTATGGTATAATTATGGTATTATGGAATAATCGACAAAAAAATTTAAAAAAAATTTTTGGTTTTTCATTATTATTATTTTTTTATCATGCGTCTTCATTCCGATCATTGAGTTTTAAAAATTTTGCGAAATAGTTTTTTTAATTTCACTTGCTTAGTTTCAACTGACCCCCATTATAGTGACGTTGTCCGCAAACGCGACTTCTCGCTCCAGAGTTTCGCATTTCTCGAAGCAGACGTCTTGATGTTGGTAAAGCGTCGACCCTCCAGCCAAAAAATCTTTGTTAGCCTTTTTCCTTCCTTCCAAATTGTCAAGCAGGCCTTTGGCTTCAATCGTTTCCATTGCAACGTTTATCTACCTGAAATTTTTTTTCTTGTTGATGTTTTTCATTAAAACTTATAAAACTAGTATAGTTACTCATGTTCTATACTAGGCAAGTTTCAACAAAATAATACAAAATAACGAAAAAAAAGATAGTAAAACCACAGCAAAAAAAATTATAAAACTAGTATAGTTACGGCAACAGGAGCACAACGAAAATACAGCAGACCACAGGATCTGATTGAAGACTGCGTAGGACTGTTGTTTGAATGTACGCCGCTGTTCCACGCCCCCAACGAACATTTTCGCGCCAATGGTGAAGGCGCCATTCTCTGAGGTCAAACTTTCATTCGTCTTTCAAAATGGTTGGTCCAAGTCTGAAAACATCAAAAAACTTTAAAACTTCAAAATTATCCTTTTATGAAAATCGAAAGCTTTTTCGCATGAAATTACCAATAAATCATCAGTTATGCTCTTGGGTCATAAAAATTTTATTCAAGAACTCGAATGTTTGCAGACGCAATGAAAGTTCAAAACTCAATTAAGACTTTTGTTTTATTTTTCTTCAAAATTGAAAACTGTGCTTTGCAATTCCTGGTCTTTTTTCTGATACTTTATGTGATTTTATCAAAATCAATACAAAACTGCACTGGTTTTATTGACAAATTTGTGTTATTACTTTCATTGATTCAGATTCCTGGCAGGGATGAAAGGTTACGCTTCATACGTTGAGGAAAATTTAAATTATGAGCTTTAAATTGTATTTTTCGGTGTCGTTCAAGTTCACGCCTTTGGTTCACGCCTCACGCCTATACTTGGTCTTGTACTTTTTTTCTGTTTTTTCGAAACGTTTACTGCAGCCGATAGAAGTCAAGCACAATTAAAACCACGAGAAAACCGCGAAATCCTACCTTACCATGGCGGCTACCGTTGAGAAATCACGATCCATCGAGTCACCATGATTTTTTTTCCGAATCAGAGTAGTTCAATTATTGAAATAGTCAGATTGAACGTTTTTCACTCGTACAATAATACAGAATTTTCGTGTTAAATGAAAACACAACTCCGTCGAGCGAAAGACCTCACGACACGCCGTGTCATCGACTGAAAAGAAGATTTCGACAGTTTTTTTGAATTTTCCTGTCTTTTCATATAATTTATTTGCTCACTAAGTGCTCACTAATGTTTTTTTAAATTTGAAAGAATGTTTTATTACATCTGTACAAAGCAGAGCCAAACAGAATCCCATGCGAAATCGAAAAAAATTCCTTTTGATGATTTTTCAATTTTTTAGCAGCATAATTCTTACTTTCTCTTCTCTGAAAACCTTTTCCAGATTGCTCAATGTGTTTTTTATTTTGTTGGTAAAAAATTAAAGTGTACTACACATAAAAAAATTTTCAGCCGCAAGCATATTGTTCGTGTTTCTCGTCAATTATCCTTTTTGATGCCAAATTTACAGTTTTAAATGTATTTTTCTTGTCGAAAAATTTGTTTGAATGTTTATTTTAATAAAATTGTCATTAAATAAAAAAATTTTTGAATCAAAAAAATAACACTATATCCGACTTCTTCAAGGCGAAAACACGGTACGCGAGCAAAAAGTGTGCATACACCGAAGAGGAACTATTGAACTTGGCCGCTGCATTCTGCTCTCGTTCTGAGCTCTTCAATTCAGTTTTTTGAAATGATTGTTGTACTTTTTATGTTATTTTTGTTTTGAAACAAGTAAAAAACAATAAAACAACTATCATTTCAACATTGGTTCAAAGTATATTGATATGAGGAAGCTCTCACTTCGATTCGAACGGTGTTACAAAAAGGTCAAGTTGTTCTGATTCGTTTTTTTACTGTTTTTTTATCGTTGTGAGAGATGACTAATTGAGTAAATACTGCATCGGTGTTGAATTTGGTGATTAGAGTCACTTTTTTTACTTGTAGAAAAACCTTAAAAAAATTATTTTTTTGACGGCTATCGAAAAATATTTACGAACTTGATTACATGATTTGTGAAGGGATGCTTCATAATAATAAGTTTATCACTATTTTCTCGACAGTTAACAAAAGTTGAAATGCAGGAACTGGTCAGGTACCAGTAAATAGGTGTATTATTCGGAATTCAGCTTTAAATATATAAGAATGAACGAGTGTAGTCCTTCTAACGGAAAGAACTTGAGCCCGAAAATCGAGAGGATTTTTAGTTGACATTTCGACTCTAAATTAACCCGATTCATCAAATTTGACATCTGATGACAACGAAAAAAATAAAATAAAAACATTTTTCTTGCAATAGATGAGCTCTCTTGATGACCTACGAATGCACTATCAAGAATGTCGCTTCGAACTGATCCGTCAGCTCGCCGCCTGCGAGATTGCCCGCGAGACCTATCTCCAAGATCCGCGAGAGGAACACGCAGTGTCGATTAGGTTCGAGGCGATCATTGCTTCCAACCGCCTTGAGGCTTACCGCGCCGCGTCTCTGGACCTTCGTGCTGCTCTCCTTGCGATTGGCTACCGTTTGTCTCTGCGCGAGGTACTACAATATAAAAACTTAGTTGCGCAGATAGGAAAAAGTTTAGACGTAGGAGATCATTTTTGAGTTGAGTCTCCCGTACTTGTTCACTTAGAAACAGAATAAAAAAGTGAGCTTTAAGGAATAGGTACGATTCTTAGCATTAAAATCAAGTTAAAACTCATTCCTAGTCAAACCTCTTAGTTTTACTTCAAAAATAGACAACATTAATACTTTGAACAACAATAACGACGCTTGTTCAGAATGGCCACGTGGACGACGGCTTCTGAATCGTCGTTTTCTCTTGGTTCAATAAAGCCTCTGTTGTTTCCTTTGAACTCACTTCGGCTAAAAACAAAATATGTTATCCGGGGATGTAGTGGGAAAAAACATGAGCTCTAAAATAGTTCGAACAATTTTTAGTCACTTTGAGTTTATAGTTTGGGAGTTTGAGAGGTGGTAGTTTTGCTGCTCTTGAGTCTTGGAATAGTCGCGCGTCGAGTTTTCCTTTCGTTGACAAATTTGAGGGTCCTCAGCAGAAATTGCTACAAACGACGTCAGCATGCATCACCAGGTGAGTCAAAGATTTCACGGAAAAATAAAATACTTTTTGTTTCAGAATTGGCATTGCCTTCTCGTGGTCTGACGTGCTGAATTTTGTCCAATTAGACAAATATTTAAAGCATCCAGTCAATCCTAAATGAAAAACAAAAAAGTGGGACTTAGAGCAAAAAGAAATAAAAAATCCTTCTCGGTCACAACTTTCTAAAAACTAGAAAAGCCAGAAGGACTTGAAAAAAAAAGTCAAATACCATTGTTTTGACAAAAATGAAGTTGAATTAACTGCTAAAAATGCCTAAAAACATGTTTCTGATACCGTATTGGCTATCAAAAATGAAGATAGTATATAAAAAACTCAACTAATGTCTGAAATTGAGGGTAAAAAGGAAAAAAATAACATTTCTGTGTTCTCAGGAAGTCTTTTAAATTAAGCCTCAAAAGCAGGCGTGGAAATATTGGTTGGAAAATGTCCCCTGATACTGAACTGATCAATGAAAAATCATAAGTTGATGTCTACAACTCCTTTGAAGCGTCAATGTCTCAAAAGTCCTCAGGAATCAATTCCGCTCAAGCCAAAGAAGGGTCGGCTATCATAAAAAGGCCTTCTCTATTTTAGGGTTTCCGAATTAGATGATGAATAAACTGAATTCTCCTTAAAGGTAAGCGTGAAAGATTGAAAACAATGCAAAAATATTGGATAACTCTTAAAGTTTGCTATGTCTTCTCACACAAAAGATAATTTCGGCGCTACAAAACGTGGAGCTAAAAAAAATAAATGATAAGGTCTTCCTTAGTAAATAAGTTTGTAATTTGAATTCCACCACGTGCAAAATTTTCGAAAGAGAGGGAGCATTAACTGAAACAAAAAATAATCGGAATGTATCCACTTCACAAACTTTTGCGATCTTTACGACGTTCTGACGACGACTTTCTTTCAATTTTTATGGGGTTTCTAGGAACTTCGTCTCTTTCCCTTTACCTTTTCCAGCACAACGAAAGTCAGATTAAAAACGCCAAACTTGAATTGTGTGACGATTCGGAATGTTAATCGATTTTTTATCACCGAAGCCTTCAACTATGTCGTTCGTCTTAAGAAGATTTATTTTTTGTGATAGTCTAGAATTCACGAAAAACTAAAACGAAAAAAGTTCATGTTAAGCAGGTTAAAGCCCTCAAATCAAAAAAAAACAGAAGAGATCTGAGATCTTAAAACAAGGGGACATGAAAAATAGTAATACACAGAAGAGCACGATTCTGAAGAGAAACAAAAAACAAATGACAGGGAAAGCATTTAAACAGGGTTTACAAAAACTTGTGGAACTGAGAATTAAATGGCAAAAAGACAAGTGTTTACGAAAAATAAAGCCACGGCTTTTGATAAAAATGAAATTGTCGAAGAAATAAAATATGTGTGACAAATGCCAAGAAAAAAACAGAAGGAAAGTTCGGCGGGTGAATCCTGAGGGAACATTTCAGGTTGAGGGGACGCCTTTTGGCGGAGCCACATTCTCGCAGTCGGACAATCCGCCTCGTTCCTCTGGAACCTCCATCTTCTCTCCAACGGCTGGGTTGGTATCTTCCGCTTGGCCGCGGAGCCCCTTCGTATCATCGACCTGAATCATGAAACATAATCGAATACTGGGGCTTTTATGAAAAAAATTGAGCAATTTTTGAGTGAAAATTATTTAATTGAGTTAAAATAAAAGTATACCTCGCCATCAGTGTCAATCCCAGATTCAGAAATAACGACGGCGGCCTCAGAAGTAGCGACAGGAAGTTCAGAAGCGGCAGTTCCAATTGCAGTAACAGCGTCCGTTGTACTTTGAGTCAACAATGGATCAGTCTGAAAGATCAAAAAAATAATTATTCATTCTGATTTGATTTTGTAGTTTGAAAAAAACTTTCACGAATTTTCAGCGTCAACTAAAAAAGGTCATTTTTTGAATGGAAAGCTGAAAAAAAACTTCGGGCAAAAGAAAAAATGAATATTTTTCACAATTCTTTCACAAAGCAAACCAAAAAAACATTGTTGAGGTGAAAGGAGACTCCTTTTTCAAGCCTAGTCTCTTTAATAGGTTGCTTCCGCCGACTTTGACTTTTAAACAAGCAGAATAACTTTTAAAGTATGAGGTTGATATCTCAAAATGTACCTCATGTGGCGACTGAACCTCTTGAGTCGCTTCTCCTCGTGGCTGTGGATCAATCTGGGATACGTTGAGCTCCGCTTCAATGTTCTCGGCCTCCAGGGAAGGCTCCTCCGGTTCCACATCTTCGGCGTTAGGCTGCACCTGCGCCTCCTCCATATCATCATCCAGCTGCAGCATGGGGCGACGCATTTCCAGCATTCCGAAGAGGAAATCAGGACCCTGCAAAAAATCGATTAGTTTCATTTCACGAATTTCTCGTGTGCAGCTCAATCTTTCTGAAACTCGAGTTTTTTTCAACGGACTATTTCAATCAGACGTTACGAAGGCCAGCTATCAAATTTTCCGAAATTTTCAGAGATAATGTAATGTACACAAAAAATCAACAAAAAAGTTTTTTCGTATATTTTTGGACAGAAATCCCAAAGATTAGACAAGAAAACGAACTAAATGTTGGTGTGAAGACACAAAGTCGTTGAGACTGCTCTGAGCGATGGTGACTTCTCGCAGAAGTTGGAGACATTCGCCGTGGCAGGCGTCTCTTATGATCATTATGCGGCGGAGCCTGTGCCGGCGGGACGTCAGACCCGTCGTGACAGCCAAATGTGTGGCTGCTTCTACACGACTTTCGAGATTAGTGAGAATTTGGGTGCAGCGTCTGAAGTTCCGCTCGACTTGCATGAGAGCTTCAGTCAGAAGACGTCCCCGTTCCAGAGCTTCTTCCACCGACATCACGGGATACAGTGCCTAAAAGAGTCTTTGCATCAAAAACGCAAAATCTTCAAAAAACGGCAAGACATCAAACATCTACTCAGAGTATATCAATTTCTTAAACCGAGATGTTGGGTCATGATCCCGTTTCAAGGCAAAAAAAAGTACAGAGTGCGTACTCAAAAAAAAGGATACTTTTTGAGATTTTTGTCCGTTTTATCAAGAAGTGAATAGAAAATTTAGAAGCAACTAAAAGAAACTGCAAGAAGATGAATGCCGCGGGAAGAAAATGGAAAGATGACAATTCGGAAAATCGATTCGAACAAAGAATATCCCACCGCTGCTCGTTTGAAAAGAACAATGCATGAAGAAAACGTTCAATCGATGGGGAAGGTCCGTGGGAAATGGTCAGATTTCACAAAAAAACTTTTGGAAGAAAAACGTTTTTAGAGTATAAAAATTAGGTTTCTAGAAAGATTAAAAATTTTTTTTTCATAGCGTAAATGAACAAATTGAGACAGAAACTTTTTGATTCAAACTTTTTTTCCTAAATCATGCAGAAAAATATAATCAAAAACAAACACAAAGCCCAGACGAGGACAGAAGAAAAGGGTTCACACAGGTTGCAGGGCATTTGAACGGAAGAGAGGGCGCGCTGGTCCCGTGAACGATGAACGTGTGCGCGCCAAAAAAAAAAAAAGAAGGTTTCGCACCTCTTTCGGGGGTCAACTTTTGACCAGCCATTCAAACAATGCGCCAAACTCAACGTCCAATAATCTGGAAAATCGACTCACAACGTTAAAAAAAACGGAAATAATTTGGTTTGAGGAAGTCGTTTTGTTTCAGAGACCTTTCCAAAGGTTTAAAATTGATGAGCACTATAAAAATCCTTGGAGGTTGGACGAAAATTTGTGTTTGGATTGAAAATTATTTTCAGCATGCCTTAAAAACCGTTATCTATTCGGCAATATCCGGAAAATTTTGAAAACGGACATCAATTCGGGCATTCATTTTTCAAATTTTCTTTGCTCCATCGTGTTTGTTTCAAATTTGTACGACTGTTTGCCCCCTCGCATATCCGTTGTTTCTTCAAAAACACATTTCCATGAAAAACTCATTTATTACCCAAAAAAAGTTCACGTTATTTTTCGAAATCTGGAAACAATGATTGTGAAGTTCAGGAAAGGGATGATCAACCGAAATGAAACAAAACCGTGAACAGAGTAAACCATTTGATGAAAGACACAGGGTACAAGGAGAAAAATAATCTAGTAACAAAAATGAACAACGATGTTAGTATAACAAAACAACAGAATATCTGCATATGAATGAAATACGAAATTCAATGCATAAAAATATGGATCTAGAACAAATAATTGCAGTAGATGCTAAAAAATGAATAAGAGAAAATATTCAAAGTGAGAGGAATTGAAAAATGAGTTGAAGTTGGAGCGAGTGGCTTATTTGCCGTCGCTGAAGATGTCGTCCTGTCCAACGACGTCGTTCACCTGGCCATTGGACACCTGAAATATAAGATTGATAAAACTTTCGTGTCCTTTTTTCTGCTTCGACGTGAAATTCTAAGTCAAAAGTCTCACCTGCATTCCATCATGGATACTAGTGGTATTCTCATTGGTTTGCCCATCAATGTCTTCATCAGGGCCGACGATGAACTGCAATTTCGGATGTTTTCGATCGATATAGGATTCGACTTATATAAGAATAAAAAAAAGCTTTTTTTCGATTCGGTGTAATATTAGTGAATGAATACCTTTATTTTCTTTCGGATACCATTGGTAACCTCATTGATCTGCTTGTCGATGTCTCCACTAGGGCCAACGACGACCTGCAATTTCGTGAATTTTCGATCGATAAATAGAAAAAAACGGATAAAAATATTCTCATTTTGCTTGGATATAATAGTTTTAACTTTTACCTGTTTCTTATTATGGAAACTCTTGGCGATCTTATTGATTTGCCCATCAATGTCTCCAACATTGCCGACAATGACCTGTAATTTCGTGATTTGCAAAGGGAAATTTGCTAGTTTTTGATAACTTGAGTTTCTAATAAACTCAAAACTAACCTTGTTTTCGATTGCGACTTTTTGATTCAGAGCAAGTGGAGACTTCTTTTGAGGAGTCTGGCCGTTTCTCTGAAACATTTCATGAAAATAAGTGAGTTCTTGTGAATCAAGGAGTGATTGATTCTTTTTTCTCTGTCTTGAGTAAAACTTTCAAAAATTACCTTGTTCAAAATAATCAATTTAAATGGCTCATGAAGCAATATACGAGACTCGCGTGCGGCAGAGGTAAAAACCTGCAAAACGGTCGGTTCGAATTTAAAAAATATATTTGGATTTAAAGTTATTTGTCACGAATTTTGCTGTTTTCGTGGACACAACCAATGATAAAGTGAACTTACAGGTTTCCCAAAGGTAAACTCTCGCAGTTTTCGTGATGCTCTGGCCGACGCATTATTCAACTCTTTCTCGAGAGATTTCACTTTGTAGAACTCCTCTTTGAGAGCTTCTGCTCGTTGCCGAGTGAGACTCGACGGAGTCTCTTTCATGATTCTTCTCTGCTCGTTGTACTGCTCGCATAAGGTTTTTGCCTTAGCGTGCGCTTCTCTTTCCTTTCGGTCAGCTTCTTTGTAGTCCATCATGAGCACTTGAACTTCCGAAGCGATTTCCCTTATGTATCCGAAAGAAGAAGTATCGACCTCATCGGTAACATCATCCGACGATACGTTCAACTGCAATCAGAAAGTTGATAGTCTTCAAAAAAAAGAAACTTACTTCCGGATGTGAAGAAAGAAACGGTAATAACTCTTTGCTGAGTTTTCGAGCTTTCTCATCAAGCTTTCTGTAGTCGTGTTTGGCAACATCAAAAGCTTTCAAGACCATCTTGTGATGGATGAATGAGATCAATGGAGCGTTTTTCTTTGAGGATATCGTGACGCGTTTCTTCTCACACCACCTTTTCACGACCGCCGCAACTTTTTCAACAATGTCCTTTTGAGCGTTGGCCACACTGAGGGAAAATTTTACTTGACGAACGTCCATTTTCTTTTGGAAGTTTACCCTGTAAATATCAGTTAACGTAATGGAAACCTGATACATAAAAAATTACGTAACTACATCACAAACATAACATTATAAAGGAATAAAAAATCGCTTTGAACGACTTGAAAAAGTTTGTGAGAGAAGGCTGTGTGAATTTGCGTGGTAAAGCGCCTCACAGCTAACAACTCAAAGAAAAAATGGAAAAAAAATAAGTTAATATTGCTGTTTTGGGGTACTTTTTTTTGGAACTATAATACCGCAGGAAATATGTTCAAAAAAGAACTTTTAAATTTCAAATGTCTTGTATGGAGCTCGAATCTTGAAACTTCCCGTAGTTCTAATGACTGTTCTTTCTAGCACGGAGAATCTAAGTTCCCTGTAAAAACAAAACTTTGGAAAAGTTCAGTGTAATTGAGCGACGTAATAACATATAAGGTGGTAACAAAAGTGCAATGAATGTCATAGTGATTGGTGAAACGAACTTTCCTGTGTAGAACAAAAATAATTTCAAAGTTAGCTTATGAGATTTCGGCACGATTAACAAGAAAAATGGTGCTCAATGAAAAAACCGCCTATTGGCCACCCGAGAGAAACCGCAAATTTCAAGTAGGATAACATTAGTATCTACAGTACCGTCAGAAGAGATACACAAAAACGGGGTTTTCGTCCCAACATTCTTCTAAAAAATTCAATTTTTCTGAAAAATTGTGGAGTGGTGATGGCTCTCATTTATAACCCTCTGATAAAGTTTCAGTTCACAAAAAAAGCGCAGTTTTCACAAAAAAGCGCAGAAAAAAATTAAATTACTTAAAAGAACGTTGTCACCAAAGTCGCTAAGGCAAAGGTTTTCACTTCAAAATACTGAGTTTCGAGCCAGTTATTGATATAAAGCACCAAGTTTTTTCTCGTGCTGTAGAAAAATCCTGATAACTGAAACAAAGTGAAAACAAGAAACGGTGGAAAAAAAACGGCCGTCGCGAAGGCGCATTCTTCATTGCTTCATTGCTGTTTGAATACCCAAGAATATCACTAATATTTTCAAACACATTTTTGAATTTCAAGCTTTTTTTGCGCATTTTGTACTTTTTTTCTGCAAAAAAAAGGTATATTAAATTTTCGCTCGAAGACCTTTGTTTTTCGGTTTTTTCGTGTAGAGCTGTGTAGAGCTGAAGTGCAAAAAGAGTTGTTTTGTTAGTAAATTTTTTTTCTCCTAAACGTGGTTGTATTGCGCGAACACACTTTATATAAAAATCATGATGGGATTCACCCTGTAAAAAGTTTATATCAGTACCTAGAAAAGTTTCAAAAAGGAAATATGCAAACAGTGAAAAAAGGAGAGCTATGAAAGTTATGGAAAGTTACGCGCCGTCTACTCTTTGTCAACGACGATTTCGCGAACCGACAGCAGCTCTGTAATTATTCTATGATTCAGTAGGGAACCTTCTCTGAATAATGAAAAAAAGTTTCAGTTTCCGAAAAAGTTAAATTTCTTTTACTTGGCACTACCTTATATTTGTTTACTTTCACAGCTTTATATTCGACTTTTTTTTTACTTGTATCTCACTTCGTCTCTAAAAATTTAGATTTCCAAACTCTATGTATGACAAAAACCGTGATGCCGTGTTTAATTTGATTTCGCAAAACGCAAAATGATCTTTGACTCTCCAAAATTTAGTGATCTTTTCCTTTTTCTAACGGGTATTTTGCATTTCGCGTAATCAAATTGAACACGGCATGAAACTACAGTTTTCGTCTATTGTGAACACTCGAAATACTTTTGGAGGTCACGCAACTCGAAGAGAAGAGAGAATACGCACAAAAAGGCGGGGTCAACCAATGGAAAGACGCATTTTGCACGCGATAATAATAGGAAGGAAAAAGATTGCTGAGGCTAGCCAGTCGTTTGTGTCGATTCAATTTAGGAGAATGCCACAATCACGGATTCTTTTTTTTTAATTGACCAACTTATTTCTTGTCGTGTATATTTCACGTATTTGCACGGTTTAAATTGTTCATGATGAATCCTTTTGAAAAATAAGCGCGATTTTATTGCAGTTCATTTTTAACTTTCAAACATTTATTTCTTGTCGCTTGTTTGTCCCTTGTTTGTACTTTTTCAAACGGACTTTTACAGTTCAAGAGTTTGTTATGAAATTTTTCAAAAAAGGCATTCCGAACAAGTGAAGTTAGTAGTTGAACGCGTATCAATCCTCAAAAAAAATCGAAAATATTTCGAGAAAAATGAAATGAAAACTGTTGAAATTTATGCAAAAAATTATTCCGTCTATTCAAATAAACTTCTCAATTTCGAACTGTCATTTTAAATTTAGTTTGCTTTTTGAATTTTTTTGAAACGGTCTGGAAACTAAATAAGAGTAAGAAGAACATGTACAAAGTGGTTGCTTTTTGCGTTTTAGCAAACTTTGACGTCGAGTCTGGTGAAAAAAAACGTGTTGAGTTGTCCCTTGCGACAAGATTCGAGAGGATCCTGGAACTTCGAGCAAGAAAAAACCCAAGTCGAAGAACAGGAGCCTTTGAAACGGAAGAGCACGTGTCTGGTTTCACATTTTATTGAATTGTGTGGTTTGTAAATTTCTTTTTCAAAGTCTATTTTTTTAATGATAATATTAAGATATAATTTGTTTTTTTCATTTATCAAAAAAATATTTGCATCTTCCGACTGAAAGAAGATTTAAAAACTCTCCTTCTTATAACGGTTGCTTTTGTTTCTGTATGAAAAATTCCCAAAAACAAGAATATTTATTGATCAATTAAGATTAATTAGACGCAAAAAAATAAATTTAGTGGTTGAGACGCAAATAAAGAAAAATTCACAAGTTGAGACGAAATTAATTTTTTTACTTAGTAAGAAGTTAAGTTACAGCAAGAATTCAAAAAAAGACAGAATTGATTATACAGAAAAATACATCAGTCGTCAAGATGACCAGCGTCTTCCTCGACGGTCCAATAGCCTTCGTCATTGTCGTCAAGTTGCTCGTAGAGCTGCAATCACCAAACGAAGCCCTAACAAAAGTCAAATTGTTAAACAGACCATTTGGGCGTTGCGCAAGTTGTGGAGAGCCAGCTCCATTTCGTTCCACAGCTGCTGTACACGTACTTGGTGATTGGCGTATAGATTCTCATACTGTTCGAGTCTAAATCGATTGGGGAGATCATCGTTTTGTTGTAGGTGTTCGCGCGCTTCTTCGACGAGTGCGCGAACTCGAAGAGTGAACTGCTGTGCAGCTCTAAATCTTTCAAATGAGATTCGGAAAATCTCAGCCAGTTCATCATGCAAAGCCGCCATCCGTGTAGCTGAAAATATGTTAATGCAAACATTGAACCGTATTTTTGCAACAAAAAGTTCAAATACGACAACGTGAATTCAACGTTTTGACAGAAAATCAAAAAAAGCAAACTCATTGATTTATTTCATTATCGTACTTCAGTAACACAGCGAAATTTCAAATAATCATGAAAAGAGTTAATAAGTTTTGGAATGACAATGTCATCGTTTTTCATGAATAATTGAACTCATTTACAATTGATTATGGTTTTCGAGGATACTATCGGGTTGCAGCATTTTGACGTTAAAACGCAACTCAACGTTAAAAATCAAGGATAGTACCCTTTGTTATTAAAACAAAACTTGGGGAGTAATCGAAATAATGAACTGTAGCCTAAGAAAAAATGATAGAAAATTTCTCTTCAGGGGTAAAAATGTATTGTTTTTGCAACAAGTTCCAGCGACATCAAGCAACACGACGACGACTTCAAAAACCATGGATAACTGGGTGACGTCTGCAAGAAGAATCTGAAAAATTCAAGCTTTTTTTAAAAGTTTTTTTCTAATAAACTATTACCTTTGAAAGAGTATCCAAAAAGAAATTTCAAGAATGTTGTTGTTCGAAGGAGTTTGTGAATATTTTTTTCAAGTAGAATCGTTGATAATTATCCGATTTTCAGGTAAGATTTGGAATTCTGGTACTTGCAGTGTTACTTCTTGGATCGAAGCCTGAAAAACTCATGAAGACATAAAATAAACTTGAAAAAACGTAAACCTTCTGAATTGAATTTCAAAAGTTTTCCCTGTGTTCTTCTTAAAATCGCGATGTGCTTATTCTTGTGGTTAAAAAGAAGAAGCCTGAAACCACGACCAAAAAAAAATGGATAGGAAGATCATAAACCTTTTTGACTGGCGATGACGAATGGCTTCGATTTTTTCTCACCGAGCGTGATTTAGAAGTTTTTTTCATTAATGAAGAGAGCAGACAGATGTATTATTTTTATTGCTCGCCTATAAAAACCTTCCACTTGTTTGAGAAAAACAAAATATCGTAATACCTCGCTTTTTACGCATTTTTTTCCTTTTTTTCTGTAGTCATTACACAAATATTAATTCGACGCAAAAATTTATTCACAGAAATCATTCAGGTAAGTAATAAAAAAGATAAATAAGAGTTTTCATTGGTGGCTGTTGGAAGTTTCGTAGCCCTCGTCCTCGGTTGGAACTTCCATTTCGTGGTTGAGCTGAAACGATCAAATATAAGAATTTGAGAAGAGATTTGGAAAGAAAACTAACCTGCTGGACGACGTTCATGACGAGATATTGTTGAAGTCGGACTTGAGCCGTGGCAACATCTAGCAGCAGATTGCGAAGGTGACCGTTGTGTTGAACTTGCAACAACTCCAGATCATTCAGACGACGACGATTGTCTTCCGACTGGTCCACGGCGAGTCTCCGTCGGGCAACCAAGAGCCATCTTTCCAGGCGATCACCGAAATCATTCGCCGATCGCAGCCTTTCCAAAGCTAGCTGTACAAGACGACCGAGGCGATTAACTTCCAAAACGTCCATTTTTCTTCCTGAATCATAGATTTTGTCAAACTTTCGATGTTTAATCAATAATATTTTTTTCAAGACAAATATACTCAGATATGAAAACGTATTCTCAACGTTTTGCAAAATTGATAAAAATAAAAATTTTGATTCTTTATTAAAAAAAATTTCAATTAAACAAGAAAAGTTAACAATAGTTGAAGGGAAACAAAAATTTTTTCACTAACATACAATTAAAAAATTTTCCATGAATACAATAATGAAAGCTCAGCTGCAGAGGTTATTTTGTACGCTAATTCAAGTCGAAAGGCTAGATTCTTCAAAAAGTCCGAAATCGAGGGATTTTCATAGAAAACGCAGGGTATAAATAATCATTGTGTATGTGACGATATTTTTTTATTAATGGAGAAGAAAGTCTATCAGTTGTCGAATCGGTTGCGCCTATGGGCCGAATCTGAAATTTGAAAATATAACTTGTTCATACTATCAACTTTCCCTACTTCCATTCGGACACAGTATATTTATGGAAGATGCCGTTGCCAAATTTCCGGAAGACGGTTTGAAAAACTTAATTTTGAGTCACCTTCCAAGTGAACCAGAATTTCCAGTTTCAGAGAATCTGCAATATTTTTTTTTATTCATGTGTACTCCGTTGCTTACCCTAGTTAAATGCTCTTTTTTTGAAATTTTATTCTACTTCTATTGATTTTGATTTCTTCCGTCTATTTGAGTTTTTGTTGAATGTTGATAAAACAAAACTGATTGTCTAGAAAAAATGCCTTATTATCAGACAAACTGAGGAAAAATCTTGAAAGACATTTTTCCTCTCTTCGTGAAATTGATGTTTTTTTCATTTGTTTGTTCCATCTCAAACTGATATGTCTTTTGAGCCAAAAAAAAAGCTACTTGTCAACAGCAAAACATTTATTAACAGTAAACTGCGGCTTTTCTCGATCTATGATGTTTTTTCAATAACAGGAAACGGCGAATATTGTCAAATCGAATTGATATTCATTGGCCAGATAAAAGAAGAAACGTTCACTAAGGACGATCGTTGTTCTGGAAATGACTGAGATAGATTTTTAAGGCATCGCAACAATTACCTGCGCCCGGAATTGATCTTCAAGGTCAAACGCTTCGAGCTGAAATCAAATTTTTTCAGATCAAGGAAATTTTTGACTGTACTCACCAGCTCATAGAAGTTGTCTTGGAGGAACCGGTCGAACTTCCGCTGAGCTTCTAGAGAAACCAGCAGGAGAGCGGCAGTTTTTTTGTAGTGAGCAGTGTACTCCCTCGCCAGACGGTTTACCTCGACCTGTCTTCTCAGCGAATCCAATCTCGTCGCCTTCTCTCTGGCCACCTCGTACCAGTGGACAATTGCTTGCACATCGTTATACGCTTCTTGGGATTTTTGCAGCGACACAATGAGTTCGAGATAGAGCTTGGCGAGTCGTTCAGCGGCCATTTTCGTTGTGATCCAAGTTTCGAAAAAAAAAAGTCTTGAGTGAACCATTCGTGGGAAAACATTTCCATTAGAGTAAAAATCTTAACAAACTTTCTGAAAATGTTTGGAAAAAAATAGATAACAGGTTGAAAAAGACAAAAGTTTCGCCAAAGCTATATGAAGCTCTTATTTAAAAACATAGATACTTTCTAATGTTTTTTTCTTGAAATTGAATAATAATGAAAATCTTTTGACTGTTTTGGCTCAACTTCTAACTTTACTAGCTCGAAAATCAGTCGAAGAACTTGAGCTCCTTTTTTGAATCAAAACAATGAGAAAAATCGTCATCAAAACTTTAGAAAAAAATAAGGAGTCGATAAATAATCGACTTTTATGGTTGACAAGCTCAAAATCTACATCGACAATCAGCTCAAATTTTTTTGGGAGCGATTGAATCGGAAACTTTTTACATCAATTGAACATTTTCGCAGTAAATTTATTTTTAAAAGAGTTTTTAAAACTGATCATTAAGCAAATTTCTACTGACTCAGTTTAACTCAATTCAAACTGAAAAAATGAACTCGAAAACGGAAAACAGCTTGCTGCAGCTTTCAAAAAAAGATGATTCAACCTAAAAAGTGTCTCCGGAGGCGTTATCTGCTCCTGGGTTGCTTTGGAGACGGGAAACGGTTACGGCTCAGAGGACATAACCTTTATCGTTCGAGATGTTTTGCTCGAGACCTTCCTTCCGACTTTCAATGTTTTGCTTGAAACGAGCTTTTCATTATTTTGAGAAAGCTTTTCATACAGCGCCGGGAACTGAAATAAAAGAAGTGAAATTACCTGACGATCAGGAAACGGATCAATAATTTGATTTCTATTTTCTTTTTTCAGTATGAAGTTGAGTACACACGTGAAAATAATTTTATGCCGTTTTGAATCAAAACAAAACTCTCAAAACTGAGTTGGATCTTCCTGTTTATTCGTGAAATGAGAACGCGTAAGTTTCACAAAGAATGAGAAAAAATTAAATTTTGAGACTGTATGAGTAATCGATGGGAACAATTTTGTGGACTGTTTTTAGTTTAAGTAAAATTTATGAGCTTCGAAAACTTCATCAAAAAGCAGAAAGAGTGTTCAGAATGCAATTATGAAGACAAGTAAGTATAATAACATTTATTTTTGACAAAAAAATCACACGAAATTATACAAACTGGTCAGAGTAATCAATTTTGTGGCTGCTATTGTTGAATAAGCTTTTTTCCGCTTTGAAGCGCCAAAAGTCGGATACCTGCAAACAGAAAAAATGTGATAAAAGATCCACAAACCGATTGGAAATCTGAACTCACTTTCTCAAAGAAACCGATGAAGTTCCGGCGTCGCTTCCGAGCCGTTTTTCCACTTTAAACGAGCAATTCGAGACAACTGAAGTCACAAAACGAGCCATTCTGTAAATATAACACGAATCAAAAAGAAAAATGTGGAAAGTAACCGTTTTGATTTTCAAAGGATATTCTTCTAAAAACCGGGAACCCCCATAACTTTTCCAAAGTCTAGCAAAATTTCCAAAGGTTTTTTTTGGAGCTCTGAAAATACCTTGAAAGTTTTTTATACTTTTGGTTTCGAGTTTCAAACCTTAAAATGAAAAAACGCATCTGGTTCATGTCTTAACTCGAATCAAGTACGAAGTGTGAAAAATAGTTAGGTCTGAAAATATTCAAACTCATTAGTTTCGCTTACCTTTGAACAGAAAAACGGCGTCTGGTCCGCGTAATTAATAATCGAAATAAAATGAATTTATTAAAAAATTTTACTGATGACGGGGCGGCAGTTAAGATTCGAAGATCTGAAAAAATCTATAGGTATTTACGACTCAAACATTGTTTAATCAACTAACTTGATGATGAAAACACAGCTTAGGTGTTCTGGCGGTGGAGAGCTTTTTTTTGGCCCACATCCATATTCATGTCTCCGTTGGATCTTCCTGAAAACATCGATCACTTAATTTCGACCCTTTCTACCCTACCCATAAATTTACGTTTTAAAATCAGCCTTTACCAGTATTTTCGCGAAGAACTTTTCCACGTCTTCAACAATAAGTTCTGTTTCGCCTGATCAACTGCATCTACTGAAGTCACCGAACAAGCCACTCTGTAAATATAACACGAATCAAAAAGAAAAATGTGGAAAGTAACCGTTTTGATATTCAAAGGATATTCTTCTAAAAAAACCGGGAACCCCCATAACTTTTTCCAAAGTCTAGCAAAAATTTCCAAAGGTTTTTTTGGAGCTCTGAAAAATACCTTGAAAGTTTTTTTTATACTTTTTGGTTTCGAGTTTCAAACCTTAAAAATGAAAAAAACGCATCTGGTTCATGTCTTAACTCGAATCAAGTACGAAGTGTGAAAAAAATAGTTAGGTCTGAAAAATATTCAAACTCATTAGTTTCGCTTACCTTTGAACAGAAAAAAACGGCGTCTGGTCCGCGTAATTAATAATCGAAATAAAATGAACTTTAATAAAAAAATTTTTACTGATGACGGGAGCGGCAGTTAAGATTCGAAGATCTGAAAAAATCTATAGGTATTTAAGACTCAAACATTGTTTAATCAACTAACTCGGTGATGAAAACACAGCTTAGGTGTTCTGGCGGTGGAGAGCTTTTTTTTGGCCCACATGCACTTTCATGTCTCCGTTGGATCTTCCTGAAAACATCGATCACTTAATTTCGACCCTTTTTTATCTTACCCATAAAATAACGTTTTAAAATCGGCCTTTACCAGTATCTTCGCGAAGAACTTTTCTACGTTTTCAGCCGCAACTTTTGTTTCGCCTTATCCGCTACATCTCTGATTCAAAGGAAAATTTACTCTGAAACTCCTCAATTCTCTTCATTTATTTTTAGTTTTCCCCTACCTGGTCTCGAAATTCGGCTTGAAGCTCTTAAAGTTCTTTTTTTGAGATGCATTTCCACTATTTCGGTAGCTTTTCTTCTGCAATGATGTTTATATTTCCACACTTAATCATTGTAACATTCTGAAGTCCCATAATCCTTTTCTACTTAAAGTTTCTCACAAACCTCTTAATGATTTGAAGGGGTTCGAGAAGGATTATCCAATGGAATTATAGTTTTTGGAGACTGTTGGATAGAGAAAATGGTCTGAAATCTTTCTTCATTCTCATTAGTTCCATTATCTTCCACTCACTTTTCATTGCCAATTTGGCCTGCAGATATGTTTGATGTAGCAATTTTCGATATTCTTTCCCGGACGTTTTTTTTCCATTTCCCATTAACACACTGAAGTTCGATGCGTACTTTTTTCCATCTTTTGTTTTTTACTTACCTCATATTTAAGGTTCGCAGTAAGGTGGATTTAGTAATTTGGACATTTTCCTGTTAATTCTCGAAATCCAGGAACATTTGCTTTTTTGAAACTAAATAGTTAAATCTTTTTCTGAAAAAATTTCGCTTACCTTTGCGCGCCCAAAGGATCTCGGAATTTTTATATGAAGCATTTGTGGCTGCAGATTGGTTTGTTATAGTCGTTTTTTGAGCCAATTGAAATAAGAATCAACTAAAAATCTATATTTAATCATCAGTTTCTCTCTCTTCAACTAACCTTCGCTTGTCGGCTCAGTTCATTTTTTCATTATTTTTTGCGCGCCTTTTAGCAAGTTGGCTTGGTAATTGCTTAGTGAGCATTTTTTGTTCCAGGATGTGGAAAACCATCTGATTATGGTTTTTCTAGGCGATTCAGTAGTCGTGAGAGCCAACCTGAACCGAAAACGCTTATTTTCCTTCGATTCATTGCTCTCATCTTACCTTTGTAATTAGACTCAGCGCTGGAAATTTTTTTTTCGGCTCAGGCGTGTATTCCTCTTTGAACGGCCACACGTGGTTTTCCCTTCTGAAAATCGTTTATTTTCTTCAGATTTGATGTCTTCAGCTGACCATTCAAAGCCTTGGTCTGAGATTTCTGCTTCAGCCGTCGGGACATTTTGTCAATTTGTGAAGTTGTTGAGTTTCATATGACCAGAAGGCACTGAAAATAATTATGTTACTTTTTCTTTTTGATCTTCACTCTTTGCTTACCTTCTCATGACGCTGAAGCTGTCGAGTCCGTTCTTCTCTTCTTGAGAAAAAAGAGCCTGGACGGATTTTCTCAAAGGTTTTCCGCTCACAAAATTCAAGTTATTCAAAAGAGGCAAATCACTATCGGGCGTTTCGTTTTTTTTTTGTTTTAAAAATTTCAGACGAAAAGAAAAACAAAATTTATTAAAAAAGCAACTCAATAAAAAAGCAACGAAATCATGTAAATGAGCGGAAAACTCGCGCTCGTGTGATCGACCTAAAATTATGAGATTCTTTTAGAAGAGCTGAGAAATGAACATACGAGTTAAAAGCCTTCGTTGTCCGTGTCAGAGTAGGAGTCGCTGGAAGAAGAGGCCTCAGAGGCCGACGAGGACTCAGTGCCGTCATCCGATTCTTCGTCGGTCTGCAGAAACAGTAGAGTTCAGATAGTGTGATTGAGAAACACTTACCGTCTCTTCGTCATCCGGACCCATCAAAAAATCGTTGAATTGCTTGCGCACGTCGGCGATCTTGTCGTAGACCTCATCGAGTTTGCTGTCGAAAGTCTCGATCTCGTCTTCCAAGCGTTGCTTCTCGAGCTCCAGAGCAGGAGTTGGTTCGTCGTCGATTCGGCGTCTGACACTGTCGAGATCCTCGGTTAACTGTTCGAGCTCCATAAAGACTCCGTTCAATTCTTCATCAAGGGATTGAAGACGACCTTCGTAATAAGCTTTAGTTTCTTCCGGCATTTTGACTTTACCTGAAAGAATAAAAAACTGTTTTTTGAAAATCGTGCGAAATGAACAGCGAGATCGACCGCGAAAACAACAAATTTTATTGACCAACCATTCAACTTTAAATTAATGATTCAGAAAACATTGCGCATATCGAAATGCATCTTAGAAGAAGAGAAAATTCGGAAAATAATGAACTCTTTTTCTAAAGTGCAAACTTATTAGCGACAGAAAAAGTATATGAACGTTTTCATGACCGTTACAATTTTCTTTTTCCCAACGACATCTAACTTGAGTATTTTGAAAGTTAAGAAACAATTAAAATCAGAAAACAGCAACAAAAACCAACAAAAAGTAGCGAATAATTACAAATTCCACTTATTCGACTATTTCATTACACCAAATAATAGAAAATATTTCGAACTACGTTCTAAACAACATTGTTTCATGTTTTGAAACGAGAAAGAAAGACAAAAAAGTAAAAAAAAACGAAAATAATGAGTGAAAAATGAGAGCGACACGAGCAGAGGAAGAGGGGCTGCGTGCGTGGTTCCTACTCGGTGTATGCAGAAATTTGTCCGCCGCGTACAGTTTCTTCACAAAAATCGTTGTAACACATCCAAACTCACGTACTTATGTTCTATTCACACTCACTATACATTCTAAACACAGGAAAAAATTTTAACTGAAAAAAATACAATCATTCGCGGGCTAAATGTTCCCCCCTCGACTCGTGAGCCATGGGAGGCAGAATTCAAGGTCTCGTTTCTTGTTTTCCGATAATTTGGGACAGTTTCAAAAACTATAAAAACGTCGTAAGAGTTCAGTTCATCCATTGAATTATTCTACGGACACTGAAGCACCTGAAAAACTTATGAAAACCCCTCACAGACATTGACACGGCTGACTGAGGGTGTCTTCAGCTGGCTTTGACTCCTTTTTCCTCAAAACTAGTCATCTTTACTTTTTTATATGATCTGCAATCTGTAAAACAGCTTTTCAATACCAGAAACTGTTTCGTTTCGAAGAAACCGCTCTTGAAAATTCATTTTTGCCTGATTTAACAACTGTAGCGACAAGCGACAGTCTACTTTTCTGTGTTTTCTTGGAATTCTGGCTCCACTCTGGTAACAGCAAAAACTGTGGTATTTCAAAAACTATGGAATTATCGTAAGAGTTCAGTTCATCTGTTGAATTGTGCTACAGACTCTGGAGCACCTGAGAAACGTATGAATATCCCCTCACAGACAATTACACGGCTGGCTTGGGGTGTCTTCTTGTCGCTTTCATCGTGTTTTTATACGATTTCAGTGGTGATACTGTCATTCTAACATCGCGCAGAGTTTTTTGAAGATGGTTGTTGCATGGAGGTGCTCCGCGTAATGAACTAGACTAAGAAAGTCAAGCGCTTTGAAAGTTTTCGACTGTAGCGTCCAGCGACAGGCAGATTTTCCATGTTTTCACGGGCTTTCGGCTCAGTTCTTGTTTTATCAAATCTTATTTTCATTCAGTGTTGAGAGAAAAATTGAAAAACACCAGTTCAATAATATAAATTCCTATCGACACTTGGCCACCTGAGAAACGTATGAAAATCCCCTCACAGACAATTACACGGCTGGCTGAGGGTGTCTTCTTGTCGTTTTAATCGTTTTTTCTATGCTTTCAGTGGTGATACTGTCATTCTAACATCGCGTAAAGTTTCTTAAAGATGGTTGTTGCATGGAGGTGCTCCGCGTAATGAACTAGACTAAGAAAGTCAAGCGCTTTGAAAGTTTTCGACTGTAGCGTCCAGCGACAGGCAGATTTTCCATGTTTTCACGGGCTTTCGGCTCAGTTCTTGTTTTATCAAATCTTATTTTCATTCAGTGTTGAGAGAAAAATTGAAAAACACCAGTTCAATAATATAAATTCCTATCGACACTTGGCCACCTGAGAAACGTATGAAAATCCCCTCACAGACAATTACACGGCTGGCTTAGGGTGTCTTCTTGTCGTTTTCATCGTTTTTTCTATGCTTTCAGTGGTGATACTGTCATTCTAACATCGCGTAAAGTTTCTTAAAGATGGTTGTTGCATGGAGGTGCTCCGCGTAATGAACTAGACTAAGAAAGTCAAGCGCTTTGAAAGTTTTCGACTGTAGCGTCCAGCGACAGGCAGATTTTCCATGTTTTCACGGGCTTTCGGCTCAGTTCTTGTTTTATCAAATCTTATTTTCATTCAGTGTTGAGAGAAAAATTGAAAAAAACACCAGTTCAATAATATAAATTTCCTATCGACACTCTGGCCACCTGAGAAAACGTATGAAAAATCCCTCTCACAGACAATTACACGGCTGGCTTAGGGTGTCTTCTTGTCGTTTTCATCGTTTTTTCTATGCTTTCAGTGGTGATACTGTCATTCTAACATCGCGTAAAGTTTCTTAAAGATGGTTGTTGCATGGAGGTGCTCCGCGTAATGAAACTAGACTAAGAAAGTCAAGCGCTTTGAAAGTTTTTTTCGACTGTAGCGTCCAGCGACAGGCAGATTTTCCATGTTTTTCACGGGCTTTCGGCTCAGTTCTTGTTTTATCAAATCTTATTTTCATTCAGTGTTGAGAAAAAAATTGAAAAACACCAGTTCAATAATATAAATTCCTATCGACACTCTGGCTACCTGAGAAAACGTATGAAAATCCCCTCACAGACAATTACACGGCTGGCTTAGGGTGTCTTCTTGTCGTTTTTCATCGTTTTTTTCTATACGCTTTCAGTGGTGATACTGTCATTCTAACATCGCGTAAAGTTTTCTTAAAGATGGTTGTTGCATGGAGGTGCTCCGCGTAATGAAACTAGACTAAGAAAAGTCAAGCGCTTTGAAAGTTTTTCGACTGTAGCGTCCAGCGACAGGCAGATTTTTCCATGTTTTCACGGGCTTTCGGCTCAGTTCTTGTTTTATCAAATCTTATTTTTCATTCAGTGTTGAGAAAAAAATTGAAAAACACCAGTTCAATAATATAAATTTCCTATCGACACTCTGCCACCTGAGAAAACGTATGAAAAATCCCTCTCACAGACAATTACACGGCTGGCTGAGGGTGTCTTCTTGTCGTTTTCATCGTGTTTTTTTCTATGCTTTCAGTGGTGATACTGTCATTCTAACATCGCGCAAAGTTTCTTAAAGATGGTTGTTGCATGGAGGTGCTCCGCGTAATGAAACTAGACTAAGAAAGTCAAGCGCTTTGAAAGTTTTTCGACTGTAGCGTCCAGCGACAGGCAGATTTTTCCATGTTTTCACGGGCTTTCGGCTCAGTTCTTGTTTTATCAAATCTTCTTTTCATTCAGAGTTGAGAAAAAAATTGAAAAAAACACCAGTTCAATAATATAAATTTCTATCGACACTCTGCTACCTGAAAAACTTATGAAAATCCCTCTCACAGACAATGACACGGCTGACTGAGGGTGTCTTCTTGTCGCTTTTCATCGTGTTTGTATACGATTTCAGTGGTGATACTGTCATTCTAACATCGCGCAGAGTTTTCTTAAAGATGGTTGTTGCATGGAGCTGCTCCGCGTAATGAAACTAGACTAAGAAAGTCAAGCGCTTTGAAAGTTTTTTTCGACTGTAGCGTCCAGCGACAGGCAGATTTTTCCATGTTTTCACGGGCTTTCGGCTCAGTTCTGGTTTTATCAAATTCTTCTTTTCATCCAGTGATGAGAAAAAAATTGGAAAAACACCAGTTACAATAATATAAATTTCTACCGACACTCTGCTACCTGAGAAAACTTATGAAAATCCCTCTTACAGACAATGACACGGCTGACTGAGGGTGTCTTCTTGTCGCTTTTCATCGTGTTTGTATACGATTTCAGTGGTGATACTGTCATTCTAACATCGCGCAGAGTTTTTTTGAAAGATGGTTGTTGCATGGAACTGCTCCGCGTAATGAAATAGCCTACAGAAAAGTCAAGCGCTACGAAAGTTTTTGACTGTAGCGTCCAGCGACAGGCAGATTTTCCATGTTTTCACGGGCTTTCGGCTGAGTTCTGGTTTTATCAAATTCTTCTTTTTCATCCAGAGATGAGAAAAAAATTGGAAAAACACCAGTTTACAATAATATAAATTTCTACCGACACTCTGCTACCTGAAAAACTTATGAAAATCCCTCTCACAGACAATGACACGGCTGACTGAGGGTGTCTTCTTGTCGCTTTTCATCGTGTTTGTATACGATTTCAGTGGTGATACTGTCATTCTAACATCGCGCAGAGTTTTTTTGAAGATGGTTGTTGCATGGAGCTGCTCCGCGTAATGAAATAGCCTAAGAAAAGTCAAGCGCTACGAAAGTTTTTTTGACTGTAGCGTCCAGCGACAGGCAGATTTTTCCATGTTTTCACGGGCTTTCGGCTGAGTTCTGGTTTTATCAATTCTTCTTTTCATCCAGAGATGAGAAAAAAATTGGAAAAACACCATTACAATAATATAAATTTCTACCGACACTCTGCTACCTAAAAAAACTTATGAAAATCCTCTTACAGACAATGACACGGCTGACTGAGGGTGTCTTCTTGTCGCTTTTCATCGTGTTTGTATACGATTTCAGTGGTGATACTGTCATTCTAACATCGCGCAGAGTTTTTTGAAGATGGTTGTTGCATGGAACTGCTCCGCGTAATGAAATAGCCTACAAAAGTCAAGCGCTACGAAAGTTTTTGACTGTAGCGTCCAGCGACAGGCAGATTTTCCATGTTTTCACGGGCTTTCGGCTGAGTTCTGGTTTTTATCAATTCTTCTTTTCATCCAGAGATGAGAAAAAAATTGGAAAAACACCATTACAATAATATAAATTTCTACCGACACTCTGCTACCTAAAAAAACTTATGAAAAATCCTCTTACAGACAATGACACGGCTGACTGAGGGTGTCTTCTTGTCGCTTTTCATCGTGTTTGTATACGATTTCAGTGGTGATACTGTCATTCTAACATCGCGCAGAGTTTTTTTGAAGATGGTTGTTGCATGGAACTGCTCCGCGTAATGAAATAGCCTACAAAAAGTCAAGCGCTACGAAAGTTTTTTTGACTGTAGCGTCCAGCGACAGGCAGATTTTTCCATGTTTTCACGGGCTTTCGGCTGAGTTCTGGTTTTATCAATTCTTCTTTTTCATCCAGAGATGAGAAAAAAATTGGAAAAACACCATTACAATAATATAAATTTCTACCGACACTCTGCTACCTAAAAAAACTTATGAAAAATCCTCTTACAGACAATGACACGGCTGACTGAGGGTGTCTTCTTGTCGCTTTCATCGTGTTTGTATACGATTTCAGTGGTGATACTGTCATTCTAACATCGCGCAGAGTTTTTTGAAGATGGTTGTTGCATGGAACTGCTCCGCGTAATGAAATAGCCTACAAAAGTCAAGCGCTACGAAAGTTTTTTTGACTGTAGCGTCCAGCGACAGGCAGATTTTTCCATGTTTTCACGGGCTTTCGGCTGAGTTCTGGTTTTATCAATTCTTCTTTTCATCCAGAGATGAGAAAAAAATTGGAAAAACACCATTACAATAATATAAATTTCTACCGACACTCTGCTACCTAAAAAAACTTATGAAAAATCCTCTTACAGACAATGACACGGCTGACTGAGGGTGTCTTCTTGTCGCTTTCATCGTGTTTGTATACGATTTCAGTGGTGATACTGTCATTCTAACATCGCGCAGAGTTTTTTGAAGATGGTTGTTGCATGGAACTGCTCCGCGTAATGAAATAGCCTACAAAAAGTCAAGCGCTACGAAAGTTTTTTTGACTGTAGCGTCCAGCGACAGGCAGATTTTTCCATGTTTTTCACGGGCTTTCGGCTGAGTTCTGGTTTTATCAATTCTTCTTTTTCATCCAGAGATGAGAAAAAAATTGGAAAAACACCATTACAATAATATAAATTTCTACCGACACTCTGCTACCTAAAAAACTTATGAAAATCCTCTTACAGACAATGACACGGCTGACTGAGGGTGTCTTCTTGTCGCTTTCATCGTGTTTGTATACGATTTCAGTGGTGATACTGTCATTCTAACATCGCGCAGAGTTTTTTGAAGATGGTTGTTGCATGGAACTGCTCCGCGTAATGAAATAGCCTACAAAAGTCAAGCGCTACGAAAGTTTTTGACTGTAGCGTCCAGCGACAGGCAGATTTTCCATGTTTTCACGGGCTTTCGGCTGAGTTCTGGTTTTATCAATTCTTCTTTTCATCCAGAGATGAGAGAAAAATTGGAAAACACCATTACAATAATATAAATTTCTACCGACACTCTGCTACCTAAAAAACTTATGAAAATCCTCTTACAGACAATGACACGGCTGACTGAGGGTGTCTTCTTGTCGCTTTCATCGTGTTTGTATACGATTTCAGTGGTGATACTGTCATTCTAACATCGCGCAGAGTTTTGTGAAAGTGATTGTTGCATGGAACTGCTCCGCGTAATGAAATAGCCTAGAAAAGTCAAGCGCTACGAAAGTTTTTGACTGTAGCGTCCAGCGACAGGCAGATTTTCCATGTTTTCACGGGCTTTCGGCTGAGTTCTGGTTTTATCAATTCTTCTTTTCATCCAGAGATGAGAGAAAAATTGGAAAACACCATTACAATAATATAAATTTCTACCGACACTCTGCTACCTAAAAAACTTATGAAAATCCTCTTACAGACAATGACACGGCTGACTGAGGGTGTCTTCTTGTCGCTTTCATCGTGTTTGTATACGATTTCAGTGGTGATACTGTCATTCTAACATCGCGCAGAGTTTTTTGAAGATGGTTGTTGCATGGAACTGCTCCGCGTAATGAAATAGCCTACAAAAGTCAAGCGCTACGAAAGTTTTTTTGACTGTAGCGTCCAGCGACAGGCAGATTTTTCCATGTTTTTCACGGGCTTTCGGCTGAGTTCTGGTTTTTATCAATTCTTCTTTTTCATCCAGAGATGAGAAAAAAATTGGAAAAACACCATTACAATAATATAAATTTCTACCGACACTCTGCTACCTAAAAAAACTTATGAAAATCCTCTTACAGACAATGACACGGCTGACTGAGGGTGTCTTCTTGTCGCTTTCATCGTGTTTGTATACGATTTCAGTGGTGATACTGTCATTCTAACATCGCGCAGAGTTTTTTGAAGATGGTTGTTGCATGGAACTGCTCCGCGTAATGAAATAGCCTACAAAAGTCAAGCGCTACGAAAGTTTTTGACTGTAGCGTCCAGCGACAGGCAGATTTTCCATGTTTTCACGGGCTTTCGGCTGAGTTCTGGTTTTATCAATTCTTCTTTTCATCCAGAGATGAGAGAAAAATTGGAAAACACCATTACAATAATATAAATTTCTACCGACACTCTGCTACCTGAGAAACGTATGAATATCCCCTCACAAACAATTACACGGCTGGCTTGGGGTGTCTTCTTGTCGTTTTCATCGTGTTTGTATACGATTTCAGTGGTGATACTGTCATTCTAACATCGCGCAGAGTTTTTTGAAGATGGTTGTTGCTTGGAGCTGCTCCGCGTAATGAAATAGCCTACAAAAGTCAAGCGCTACGAAAGTTTTTGACTGTAGCGTCCAGCGACAGGCAGATTTCCCATTTTTTCACAAGCTTTCGGCTCAGTTCTGGTTTTATTAATTTCTCTGTTTATACAGAAACAGCGGAAAAATAGTAGAGTACTAGTTTATCAAATATATTATGCTACAGACAATGGACTATCTGAGAAACCCATAAAAACTCGCTCACAGACCAGAACACGGCTGACTGTAGGGGTCTACTGCTTGTTGGAGTTCATTTTCTTGTGATTCGAGTGTCCATAGTTTTATTTCAAATACCCGAACCGCTTAGCTTGTACTTTCAATTAAACAGTTTTATAAAATGAGTCAAGACATGTCTAAAAAAAGAAACGGAACATGAAAAAACTGCGCGTTGCTCACGAGTCGACGGGAGAGCCTTCAGCTGGCTGATCATTTCGTCAGCCAAAATTTTTTTCTAGTTTAGAATAGATGAAAAACAGCAATTCATTATAAAAAAATAGTTTTCCATGAGCTTAGAAGGCTTTCAGGCAGAAACGGTATCAGCGGACAAAAATGTGCATACACCGAGTAGGAACTACACACACAACTGCTCTTCCTCTGCTCGTGTCGCTCTCATTTTTCAATCGTTTTTTTTTTTGTTTTCCGTTTTCTGTTTTTTTGTTACAAACCGCATCGAAGTGCTGTTTTAAGTGTCATACAAAGTAAACTCTATTTTTTACTCTTATAAGTAAGTCGAATGATAAAAAATTAGGATTTTTTTGCCTATTTTCACAGTTTTCTTATTTGAATATGCACTAAAAGTTTAACTTGTAGCGCAGTCAGTAAAATTTGGTTGTAATGAGTGTTTCCAAATCATTTTTTGAATTTTCGGGATTGAGTACAAAGAAAACTTGGTTGCTTTGTGATTTTTAAAAACCAGACAAGTCTAAAAATTGAGCTCTCAGTATTTTGATGCGGGGACTGGTTTATTTGAATACATCTTCAAAACGTTCGTTTTCTAACTACATCGATGAAAAGTTCGTACTCGATTAATCAATGTTATGGCTACATATCCGTAAAAATTACTCTCTGTTCGCTTTTTAAGTTGCTTCGAGCTCTTTGAACGAATTACGTTTGTTTCAATGATTGATTTCAAGAAATATCCTACCCTTAACAATATTAAAGCATGATGAGGATAAGAATTCAATGAAAGTGCTTTCAAACTTAGCGTTCAAAGGTTTCAGTGGATGGAAGACGTTGTTCCTGGCTTTTGTGGGCTGTTTTCATAATTTTCTATACATAAAATTACATTCAGAAAACCTCTGTTTAATTTTAAAATTCCGATAATGTTATTCCACTAGATTAGAAACAAAAAACAGTCCCAAAACAGTGCCAAATACAAGAAACAACGCATTTCGGCCGTTGAGACCATTGAAATACTCGAAAATCGTGTATTTTCACTGCAATTTCTATCAAAAAGGCAACAGAAAAGTTTTTTTATATTTTTTTTTATTGTTACATGGAGTTGATCGAATACTAGGCAAGTTAAACAAACGAAAATATGTTTCAAGGGCTTGAGTCCATTTATTAAGTGTGCAGGAAATGAAAAATAATTCGTTTCGTCGACTTTTTTATTCAAAATGTTCTTATAAAACTATTCAGATCTTTTGTTTCATTGTTCCTAACGTTACAAAGGCGTTAGCCTAGTGAATTAGAGCAAAGAAGATCCAAAAGTTTGCCAAAAAAAATAACTGAGCTTTGCAAACAGCCCAATGTGGCTCACGTTGACCATTAAGCCGGCGAAAAAGTTTTATTTTCTCGGTTACAAATTTTTCTAGAGTTCAGAATAAATAAGAAACGTGAATATAACATAAGTATGCTATTTTGAATGTGTTCTAACTCTTTTTGTGAAGAAACTGTACGCGGCGGACGAAAATGTGCATACACCGAGTAGGAACTACACACACAACCGCTCTTCCTCTGCTCGTGTCGCTCTCATTTTTCACTCTTTTTTTTCGTTTTTTTTTCTTTTTTCTTTTTATTTTTTGTTTCTGAACAAGAAACAAGGTTGTTTTGAACGTTATTCAAAGTTTTTCCTGTTGGTTGAGGCGTTCAATCTCTTCAAATTGGCTTGCACACATTTCTCAGTGCATTTCATGGTCGTTTCAAAGTATTTTTATTCACAAACTCTTCCTAGCGTACTGAACTATTCAAATTTCCAATTGATTAGTGACGGAAATACATAATTCTCAATGTGAAACAAAAAATAAAAATAATTGAAATGTTATTCATCGCGTTTTATCACGAAAAAAGGAATTTTCTCTTCTGTTTCTCTTTGGTTTTATTGTCGTTACGCGTGATCGTTTCCCCCGTTCATTATGAAGACTTTGCAAAGATGAAATATTTCAGAGAACGAAGAATGTCTGCTCGCGAAGCTCAGCGTCTGATGGATATCATGGAGAAAGCTATCGAAACCGCCCAGAACTCTATGGAAGAAGAAGATCGCCTTACTCACTACTTGGCTATCGCCTCTGAGAAGACGACGACCGACAAGTCTCTCCGCCGTCAGCTCGAGTTCCTCCGTGTTGAACGCAAACTCATCAAGTCTGTGGAAAAGGCGGCTGCCGACATGGAAGCTGCGGCCGTCGCTCAAGACGTTCTCGAGCGCTACCTCGACGAGGCTGGCGATGACCTTGTTAGTTTTTCACTCGAAAACTTCTGAAAAAGCGGGAATCATTAAGAATACTTTACAGGTCGAAGATCTCGAGGCTGAGGAAGCCGATGAGGAGCCCAACAATTCTGACGATGACGTCGGCGCCCACTAATCTTATGGTATATTTGTACTAAATTACACTCTTGGAACAGTCTGATTTTCAGATTAGTTCCTGAGTTCATTTTTCCCCGCTCAATTATTAACGTGGTATCAACTGTCTTTACTCTTGTCAAATAATTTTTTCGTTCCAATCTTTTCCTTCTATTCAAAAAAACAGCAAAACTAAAGAAAAACATATATTTTTTTCTACTTTCCATCTCCTTTCATTAAGAAACTTTTTGGCTTTTTACCTGAATTACTCAAAAAAACTTATAACTATGAGCGGGGTAATCTGGGCTATTCTAAACTCAAGATAGCAAACTCGGGATTCGCCTGACCAGCGCCAAATAAAGGTAAGCGGGAAGTTGGACGACAGAAAAAAATTTTGTTTTCAGGGTTTTCCGAGCACTTGCAACATTGTAACTTCTCGAAATAACCTCGTGTCTCGGACTGGAAAAGAATATCCTATCAGCCGTCTTCACAGGCCGAAAGTCTTTAATAGGTCAGTTGGAATTCTGAAATGTGCTCAAACAATTTTTACAGAAGTAAGAACATCTTTGATGAAAGACGGGAGCAAAATTAATTTTTCAAACTGACTTCAACCTGCAAGAGGTGCGTTATAGACATTTAAAGTCATGTAATAATGAAAATAATTCAGAAAAGATCATTTCCTGGAGCCAGGGACTCAAGAGTCAGCTTTCTTGGAGACGATTACTTCTGAAGGTAGGCGAAAAGTTAGAAGAAACCTGAGTGGAAAAGGTTTTCAAAGCTGCAGATGTCTTCAGCGTTTGAATCTTCGCTTAGCTGAGTGATTCATCGGAAAAAAAATGTCCTGAGAACGTTTTGCTCCACCTCAAATCTGCATGGTGAGAGAAAAAATGAAACATAAGCTGGAATTTAATAATTTTCAGAAGTTTCTACAACTTTTCGACTGAAAACATCATCAAATGTCGAAAATTTGCTTGGCAGAAGCAAGAAGCCAAACGTTGCTGTGTAGCCGGAAATCCACTCTGAAAAAGAAACTCTACGTACTTTTTGCAAAGGTAAGTGAAAACCAGGAAATGAAAAGAACAGATAAATTTCAGCTATCAGAAGTTGGTCTCCGAATGAAAGTTAGTCTAAAGTTCTTATTGGGCAGTCGAATCATAGAAAAAAAAGCCGTGAGTGGAAAAAGCCCGATAGAGCTAATTGACATGAGTTTTTTTTCCTTCAAAAATATATAATGTTCAATTAATTCATTTTTTCAGGCGTTTCAAAGTATTTGATCGGAACGCCGACTCGAAAATCGACTCGAAGATTGAAAAAAAAATTGGCCGTCAACTTGAAAATGAAATAATATCAAATTCCAGAATGTCGAAGATTACGGCGCAATCGATCAAATTGATCGAAGTCCGGTAAAAAGCCCGGAATGCACCACAAAGTGCGCCGAAAGTTGGAACTTGCACAAAAGGTGAGCGAAAAATAAAAAAATACGTGAAATGAAGATTTTTTCCAGGACTCAAAGAAAACTCCACCCCTACGACAGAAATATAATCTCTCAATCAACCTAGAAAGGTTCATCCACAAGTGTCATCAGTACACGAGCATGACGCTGTGTTGTTTTCAAGGTGAGCGAATATAATGAAATGATAGTTTTACAGAATATCCTGCGTCTTTTCATATTTAAAGCAACTTTCTCGAGCTCCAGAATGATACCCGTGCATTCAGAAAGAAATACTCGGGTTTCATCAAGTTGAGGTAAGCTGGAAATCATGAAGATAATAATATCCCCTATAAATTCAGGATTCCGATTGCCCGACGATCATCACATTTTAAGAGCCGAACGCGAAAAAAATACCTGACGGGAATCTTCAACAAAAGTTGCAGTCACACACACAAAACGGTTTACCTTTGACTCGTATTTTTGTTTGTTTTGGTTCTCTGTTTCAGGCCGGACTACATCTTTTCTGATGATCCTACAAGTTCCTGCGCCTACGTCCAAGTAATCGGTCTCTAAAAAAATTACAATAAACTTTGGGACCCAATTTTTCCATACAAGAAACCATGATATGAATATTCTCGTTTTTATATTGTCTTCGAAGAGCTGTAAGTTCCGAATAAAAACTTTTGTCACGACGAGGACCTTGTGAAAACTTGTAAAAAGCTCTTGGGGCGGAGAACAATGGCTGAACTCAGACGAGTATGGATAATTTCGACTTGGTATGAAGTTTTCGCCTGTCATTCAGCGAGTAAAACACTTGTAATCTGCATTCTGAACGAGAAGACAACATGCGAAAAATAACAGTATTCTCGAAAAAAGCAAGGAGTTCTCCAAACAGTTTTGCGATGCAAATCGCTTTTCATTCTTGTTTATGCATGTTAACATAAGTCGCTATTTATGATTTTATCTTTTGAGAACTGGAAATCCCAAAGAAATCGGCTCCGCGGTGCACACGAATCGACGCGAGAACGGTGAACCGCCAAATCGCATAATTTTTCTGAATCAAGGCTTTTTTCATCGAAGAAATTGATGTTCACGCATGAGAAAAAGATTACAGATGTATTTAACAAGTTAACTTTATTATAAACAATACAGTAAGCGACAAAAATAATTCAGTACACACCTGAATCAAGCAACTAAAAAAAGCGGCTATTTCTCCATTTAAGTCGTGCTTTTTTTTAACTTCGTTTGAACATTATAACTGTATTTTTCTTATTGGCACGTTTATTTTTGCGGTTCGAAGTATATTCTGTTCTCTGTGTTGAACGGAAGTTCAATGAAACTGGGTCATAACATTTTTATTTTTCTCTCTGACTCATATTCAAGTAAACCAAATCTCCAATATTCATTTTTGATAGTACAAAACGTCAGAATGGAAAAATTTCAGCAAATCCTTGATTATTCCGTTCAATATTAGGTTGTTCGCACTCTTCACTTCATTTTTTTTTGTGTTTTTCAAAAATTCTGATGACTTTTACATGGAAAAGTCTTCAATTTTTTGCATTTCGTTGACAACTTTTGAAGCAAAACTTTTTTCAATTTTTTTCACAAACCGTTCGCGTTGTTTATTTTTGTTGTGGAGTAAAAAGAAATGAACGAATTATCTTGCAGAATGATGAATCTCGACAATCCTGCCTATCTCTACAAAAGTCTGATCGAGCGCAAGATGTTGCTTCGTCAGATGGCGAACAGCTTGAACAAGTTGAAGGAACGCCGTGAAGAAAGGGACAAGGCCGTCATGCAAGGACTGCCGCCCGTTGAGACTGGTCTAGGAAACCTTCTGGACTTCTCCATCGAGAACCGAACCCGGAAGCAAGGCCTCCTGGAGCGACTCATTCGCACCTCCCAAGAGCGTTGCGACGAGTATCGCAGCGTTCACATCAACGAGATTGTGAGTTTAAATTCGTGCAATCATTCAATAACTAATCTTCTTGTAGGACCGTAGGTTCGTCACCGAAATTCTTACCGGACTTGGGCTAACTCGGGGAGACGAGATTTTCTCGGAGATTCTCCAACAGTTCCCGGAACCTCCAAAAAGAGGACATTCTCTTACTTTGGAAGGAGTTGAGGTAAATCAAATATAAATTTTTACAGTTTTGGATTTTAAATTATTGATATATACATAAAAAAATAATGTATTTTTGTTTCAGCCACCTACAAAGCGCGGGAAAAACCGAAGATTTTAACTCCAATCTTCATCAAAATAATCTGAATTTTGCTATGTCGGGTCAAGGATCCAACATGCAATCGGAGGTATATTTCACAATCAGCTTTCAAATCATTTAAAAAAAATAATGAATTCTTGAACATTTTGTTGAGAATAAAATTGCGAGAAAAAAAATTTGGGCTGAAAAAAATTGAGATTTGATAAATTTCTGATTTCAGGCCGTTGGAAACAACGCAATGCCTGTCGTCGCCATTGGACAGGGAGTCCAGAATCATAACATCGACGTCGAAATGGAGGAGGTATAGTTTCAATTGAAACTAAAAATTTTAAATTGAGATTGAGAGTTTATAAGAAACTTTCTAGAATTCCTAAAGTTAATAAATTAAATATAAGTTATAAAAGGCTACACTCCATCAGAAGTCTTTCACGAATTCCAATAAATTATGTAATTTCAGATCGAAGCCATTAAAAATGGACCTAATGGAAGTCGACGACGCTTGAGAGGTGCGCATTAGAAATTCTTGTGATTCGAATAATAAATGACTTCAGGAGGACAAGTGACGACGTCTCCATCTTCAAACACATCTTTTTTTGCGTCCTGTAAATGCTTTTTGCGTCGTCGATAAAGTAGCTTTTTCTTCATTTTATTTTTATAACAGCAAACAAAAATGACTTGAAAAAGGATCGAGCTTGGGTCTTTTTCATAAGTTAAAGAACTAACAAATGAATTGGTCCTTCAAATTAGAAAGCGGAGATCTGCTCTCAATATAATTAAATAGCTCTTCTCATATTATTTTCAATGGAAGTTCAAAAAAATCAAAAATTTCCTGTTATTGGCGGCGTCGAGGTCTTCAGAACATTCATCTTGCACCTGGGATTTGTCGAGTTTTCGTTGTGCTTCGTGGGAGTTTTCTGGAGTGTGGAGCCTTCGTTTTTGCTCATTGGACATTTTCACCATTTCTGAAACTTTTAAAAATTCTGATTCAATAAAACATTCAAGTAAAAAAAGCGTCAAAGCAAAAAAACAGTACACAAACTTTCTAGCGTTTGAGACAATGAAGTTTCAGCACAACAATTTAAAAAAATAAACTCCACTTACGTTAATTGATGCATTTCAAACGGAATTTTTGTTAACAAATTTGTGTTATTGAATTCTTTGATACTCTTCTCATAAAAGGGTTCAAAGAACCTTTCTTTTAGCTCAAGTTCCTGGAAAATCCGTCAAAAAATCTCATAAAATTACGTCATTCTTAATTTAGATTAATAAACTTTTTTTGTTTATCCATTATTATACAGATAAATTACAATTAATGAATATGAAGTAGAGTGATTGATGGAAATTGAAAACAAAAAATCGTATGAAAATAGTTGAAATGTGTATTTTGCGAAAGACGATAGGAGACAGGAATATACTTTAATAATAGTTTTGCCTTAACAAAACAAGGTTTATCAAAACGTGTATTATAAGTTTTGCCATCTTCTGAAAAATGAAAAACAGAAAAATGATGGAAACTGAACATGTTCCTGTCATTTTCTGCTGGTTGTGCTTGTAAATAACATTTTAATAGCCGCTTTTGTAAAGATTTTTCTATCTCACGTGGTTCTTAAACCTTACAAAAATAAGAAATTCACGCAGGGTAACAAGGAAATAGTTCGATATGATGAAAAAGTTGAAAATTTTGAAGGATTCGGTATCATTTAAAAGTAACGCCAATAATGGAAAAAAAAATTGGAAAAACGGCGCCGGGAATACAATTAAAGGATAAATTAAAACCTTCTTGAATTTTACGTCAACAGACTTTACCTTTTTTTGAATTGCTGGTCAAAAATTGACCTCTGGAATTGGCGCCTTTTGGTATTGGCGCGTTCCCATGCACTGTAAGAACTTGAAGGCCTCCCTTTTTTTTTTGAAAGAGATTTCATGTGTTGATGGTTCTTCTGTTCAAAAAAAAAAGTGTCATTTTCATTTTTTTTTTTGTTTTGTATTGATTAGAGCATTTTTTATCTCATCGTTTGTCTGATAATTTTCTACAGTTTTAATGAACTTTCTCTTATCCACAGTCATATCCATATGAATTCTACTTTCATGCATTTATCCTTAAAATTTGCCAAAAATCAACCTAATTCTAATTTTTTTCGTGAAAAAAAAATAAAAAAGATGACTAATGGAAATTTTGACGTTTTAAATAAAGCGAAAAAAAACAAAAATCAAAAGTTGCATAAATTCCATGGCTCAAACAGACTAAGTCTCCATTTAGAAATCGTTAATTTCTAGAATTTTTATTCAAAATCAAACGATCTGAATTTATTTTTAGGTTTTTTGATTGTTTCACACTCTTTCCAAAGAATGAGGATGCAATAATGTTTCAAATAGTTTTTCAAGTCTTTTCTCAGAAATATAAGCTTGCAAAAATCTTGAAAAATGGCTTGTATTTCAAGTAAGCACGGAAATTGGAATATTATAACATGACGGTTTCACGCAATTATCAATATATATTGAAACATATTCTTGATAAAGTCTTACGTTAAATTGAAAAACTTCTGAAATTTATTTTGCAAATGAAATTAAGAAACTCCGATGTAGTTTTTTTTCTCTCTTTCAAACAATAGTTGAAAATTTCAATTGGTTAATTGGGAGTATTTAGAAGAAACAAAGTAGATGATGATTCACAAAGTGATAAAAAAATGATTCTTCGCTGGCTGCAAAAGATTCCGAGATCTTATCGTTATCAGGATCACCTTTGGCTGGCGTTAAAAGCCCGCAAATCGAACTATCCCCCGCAACTATTCCTGAAATATATCAAAAAACGTTTTTGAAAAGTTTTTCATAGCTTCTTGCCAATCGATGTTCAGCTCCAAAAAAGCCGGGAAGCAGCGACGGATCGTCAGTGAACCGTCATTGAGCCCCTGGATCTGGTCTTCTCTATATAAATTGCCGAAAACCGTTTTTATTACGTGTTTCTGAGAAAAATTCACTTCTACTTCACTTACTAACCAACTTGCAAAGGCTGGTCAAAACTCAGTCAGAGGTTGACCTCTGGAGTTCGCGCCTTCCACGATTCCCGCGTCTAGAGGCGTTGCGAGACCCTCATCTTTCAAATAATGGAACGACAAGGCTCTTTTTCTTTTTTGTTCTCTTTTTTTCTGTTCCATCCTGTAATACTTATCATTTTCTTTATTATTTTTTTCCTTGACATGCTTCTCTTTTCAGAATGAGTATTATTTTGTACCCTTCAAAATTTTAATGTTGAAAATTGAAGCAAAAAAATTGAATTTTGTTCAAAAAACTTTTCCCGCCGTTTATATCAGAAACATTCAAATTCTTCTAATACTTTTTATACTGCTTTCTCATTCTCGCGACATTGTTTTGTGCTATAACACAAATAGTTTTCAAGAAAAAAATTACAATTGAAATGTTTCCTGAGCATTAGAGTTCTAATTATTATTGATTTTTCGTCATTTTCCTATTCCCCAACGCTGCCTTGTTTTGGTAAAAGTTGGCAGTAAGGCGAAACTTGAGCGCGTTTTTTGTACGAAACGCGTCGAATTGTAGATTGTTGCTCAAATAGTGAAGAAGGGGATATTTTCATAATGTTCAGACTCCTCATGTCTACAATGGAAGAATTCATTCAAGGTCTTTTCAAACTGCGAGCTGCTATCAACAGGCAGCAGAGAATAGCGGACGACGGGTTTCGAAGGGCCGCTCAGATTCAAGACCAGCTGCTGGGAATCAGAAAATTATCCGAAGAGACTGGCAGACCCGTCATCCAACATCGAGTGCAGCGGCTGGAGAAGATTAGAGATCGAAGCCTCGAGGAAGCTTTCGAAATTCTCCCGCACTTGGCCCGAGGCCGAGATTTTCTCACTGAGACTGTCGACAAAATGCCATATCTAGTGGTTTTTTCTATCAAATTATTTTGAGCATAATTCGTCTGAATTCAGGGCGAAAATTTTCTAGCCGGCTTACGACGCCCGCGAATTGCTGACCTTGCTAAGTTTCTCGAGAATCACGGCTTGGAGACTAGAGGAATAATTCCGGAGTTCCTGCAAAAACTTCCAGACGTGCAGCAAGACTCAACGCAGGAATCCGATCGGGAACAGGAACATGTGCAACATAAAAAGGTATATTCAATAATATTTAACCATAACTTACTTACTAGAATGCTAAATTTGATGAGATCGCAAAGTTAGAAAGACAAAAAAATAATTTAACGTGAATTGCAAGTTTTTTTTGTGTTTGGTGTTCCTCTTGAGAGCCGGCCGTAAGTAAATCAAAAAAACTTGAAGAAATGTTTTTTTTCAAATTTGGCTAGCAAGACAATAAAACGAAAAACTGTTCTTGTGTATTTGATCCTAATTAAAACTTGCAGAAGGATGTTCAAGAAGCCTCTGACGGAATGGATCAACCACAATTTGTACAGCAACTTCCGCCGCTTGAGACACCTTCTCAGCCACTATCTGGACCAGATCCAAGCCATGACCTTAAAAGTCAAGAAGAACATCCACAAAATGTCAAGGTAATTTTGGAAACGACTCGTCAAGTTTTGGGTGAAATTCTCCTGTTTTTCAAAAACTAATAGTTGGCTGGAGAGTTTCGAGTTTTATTTCGTGAGAAAAGTCAGAACGAAAGTTTTCAATTTTCTTCATTGATGAGCTCCTGATTCTTAGCAACAGAAGTTCAGGTGATACGAAAAAAAATATTTTGAAAAAAAGAGAAGTCACTGGGTTCGTACTGCAGTTTAGTGGGAATTTTTAAATTCCTATGTCAAGACCGTGAGAATTTTTTTCAGCCAGCACAGCCCATCGAGCATGTGGAACCGCAACTTGAGCCGCAGCCTGAACTGGAGCTAATACAAGAACTTGAGCGACACTCAAATCTCCAAAACGAGATATATCCAAGCGTTTTCGCAAATAGATTACCGATTTTTATTTTGTTCACTCGTTGCAGTTTGGTAATCTGAAACGGCACACCTTCTCTGAGGCGGGGAACGGCGAGGATAGAAAAACGGTGGCTTCTCCGACAGAAATGGTATATTTTCATGATTTTGAATTTCAAAAAATGGGGAATTATTATCGAAAAGATAGATTTGAAAACAAGAAATAAGCTATTTTACATAATTCATATAGTTTTATTTTTCTGAAAGTCATCGGAAACGAGATACAGTTTTAAAAAAATTTTCACTGAAGGCCAGATTCTACTTCATTCAAGTTTGAAACTTAGCATACAGATAAATTCGACCTTATTGCAAATATTTCAAAACTAAATATACGGCATGTTTGAAACATGGAGTTTCAGAATGACGTTCACGAGATGCGAGGCGAAGAAACTGCCGATGAAAATTTGGCGCCTGAGAAAGACGACTCGATCGAGAAAGCGTCATTGTGAAAGTCCCATTTCCGGAATCCAAACCAACTTTTTCTCCTAAATCTTCCCAGCTCTTTTTATTTATTTTGCTATTTATTTTCGAAAATTTGTTCTTTTTTTTGTTCATGTACACACTGTTAAAAGCTTGAAAAAGCCAGTCCATTCTGTATAATCATTTAGATGATCCGTTGTCACTTGTTCCAAACGAAGTTTTCTCATTTGTTTTTTGATTCATCTTGTTCTTTGACTTGTTCCCCATATTTCTGTATATATTGTTAACCACCGCAAGTGAATAATGCTGCTCAGTTTTCCCCATTTTCATTTGTGAATCTTAAACTCGACACCTTTTTCGTACCAATATTCCCCCGAAATCAACTTATACTTATTGTACAGAGAACGCCGGCTATTATATGTCTCTAAGAGACGAATCGCTTAACACATTATTTTTAATCTTCTTCAATAAAATTGCTGGCTCTGAAATTTGAGAGATGTGCTGCAAGAAATGTAACTGGATGTCATCACAGTGCTTTCGGTGACAGAAAAAAAAGAGATAGATTTCTCAAGATCCGATAAGGTTGAAAAGAAGCCCTTCAAACTAGCGTGGTGAACGGGTTTCAGCAAAAAACACTACACTGAGCCATCGAATTATCAGGACTTTTTGATTATTTTTCGATTCAGAGTATTTGAGTTGATACATCAGCCAGAGGGAAAAGTTTTCATTATAATTTCGAAAAAGTTGATGGAACGATGGGGAAATGGATTTCGGCGAGCAGAGAACCATCCAGTTACCATATTAATTTGTTTGAATTAGAGTAGTTGAGTTAGTAAATCAGTTGAACGAACTTTTTTCATGTTGACCTTAGAAAAAAATAATTGATAAAACAACATGAGAATATATTTCGGCGAACAAATGACCTCATTCCAAGCCGTGAAACGAGGATTTCGCCTTGTTGATCATTTTTTTCATTTATCAACTAATCAAATGTTTCACCTGGTATTTACTCTTGTTTTTTTATACTTGAGAAAAATGCTTCATTATATGTGTACAAAAAATTTTTTGTAACAATTGACAGACAAAAAAATAAGTGACGCAAAAATATAGAATAGAATTCCAAAAAAAGCAACAAAATCATGTAAATGACGGGGAATCTTAAGGCTCGCAGCCGTGTGATCGTCCTAAAGTATTAAAATTCTATGAGAAGAGCTGAGACAAACATACAGTTAAAAACCGTCGTTCTCGCTGTCCGAGAAGGAATCGCTGGATGAAGAGGCCTCAGTGGCCGACGAAGGCTCAGCGACGACATCAGGCTCTTCTTCGACCTACAGAAACAATAAAGTTCAGATGGTTGGATTGAGAAACACTTACAACTTCCTCTTCAGCCTGACGTTCCATGAATGCTTCGAATTTCTTGCGCGTGTATTCGATCTTCTCGTAGAGAGAATCCAAGTTGCCGTCGATAGCCTCGATTGCCTCCTCCAAGCGACGTTTCTCAAGATAGAGAGCGGGAGTAGGTTCTTCATCGATTCGGCGGTCTATGTTGTCCAGATCTTCGCTCAACGTTTCGTTCTCGTGGAAGAGTTCGGTCATTTCGTCATCGAGAGACTTGAGACGGCCTTCGTAGTACGATGCTGTTTCTTCAGGCATTTCGACTTATCCTGAAAGAATGAAAAATTGTTTTCTGAAATTCGTGCAAAATGAACAGTGAGAACGACAGCGAAAACAACCAATTTTATTGACCAAACATTCAATTTTGAATGTGATTCATAGAATTTTGCGCAAATCGAAGCGCCTCTGAGAAATAGAAAAATTTCGAAAAAAAACTGAATTATTTTTCGAAAGGGAAATTCAATTTACAACAGAAGCCGCAGGGGGCAGCTTTCAAGGTATACTTTCCTGTTTTCCCATGATTTAAAACCATTTTCTTCTCTGATCGAATATAATTGTAGTCTCAGGACGCCGATGATAGTTTCACAAATCGAGTGTGGGATACTAGGAACGAAAAGAACTTGGAGAAACAATAAATTTTCTCTCTTTGTCGGCTTTATTCGAAGGCATGAAGCTCTCTGAACATGTTTCAACTTAACTTTCTCCCGCACACTCATCGTATCCATTACGAACACAGTTTAAGATTTCATCAAGAAATACAGAGTATATCATTTCCGGTGAAACTAAAAAAGACAAAAAACTCCCTTCTTTTCACTAGTTTCTAATGCCGAAAGCCGCGATTTGGCGACAACGCAGAGCTTTCGGTTAATTTATTTTCAAATAGCACAAACTTCTTTTTTGTAACGTTAGGAAAAAAAGCATGATGCTACAAAACACGAGTTATACTAGGAGAAACGGTCTCATCAGTCATGAGCCTTATTTAATTTTTTCAAACAACGACAAAATTGGCACTAGGATCTTTTGTTCGCTTCGAATTGATTTTTGGCGAATTCATTATGAATAACTTTATTTTGTCAACCCTCGCTGTAACTTACAACTGGTTAAAACGTAAAACTACTTCGTTTCAAAAAAAAACTTTGAAAGTGCATCCTTGCCTGATTTTTCAACAGTAGCGCCGGGTGGCAGTCAATTTTTCCTTGTTTTCTCGAGGTTTTGGCTCGGTTTTGGTGAGCAAAAAGGCTTTTGTGTTTCAAAAACGATAATAATCTTGTGAAAAACTGGTTTATCAGTTATATTACGCTACAGACACTTAATTGCTTGAAAATTCTATAAAAAACCCCTCACAGACCAGGACACGGCTGGCGGAGGGTTCTTTAGCTTGCTTTGATTTTTTTTTTCGACGCGAATTCATCAATTATTGTTGTATCTAACGACTTGCTATTAGTATAACACCTGATAAAACATGAAACAGCTTTGTTTTGAGAAAAAGGCTCATGAAAATCTATCACTGCCTGATTTATCAGCATCAGCGGCAAGCGACAGTCCTTTTTCCCGGTTTTTCTCGGGCTTTCGGCTCCGTTCTCGTGTTATCAATTGTTTTTTTGCATCTGGACACAAGAAAACAAATAAATAATATTAGTTCAGTAATTCGAGAAATTCTATCGACACTCGACTACCTGAAAAACCCATGAAAATCCCCTCACAGACGATGACTCGGCCTGCTGTGGGTGTCTTCTGCTCGATTTCTTTGTTTTTTCTACGATTTTGATTATGATACTGTCTTTCAAACATTGCGCAGAGTTTCTCGGAAATGGTTGATGCATGAAGCTGCTCCGCGTTATTAAATATCCTACGAAGTCGAGCGCATCAAGTACTTTTTACTGTAGAGGCCAGCGACAGGCAGATTTTCCATGTTTTCACAGAGTTTTGGCTCAGTTCTAGTGAAAGCAATTTCCGTTTCCATTTAGAAAAGGATAAGAAAATAGTAGAGCGTTACCTAGTGGATTTTAATGGGCCACAGACACTGGAACACCTGGGAATGCCACAAAAACTCCACCACAGACACGGACACGTCTGGCTGTCAGGTCTTTCACTCACTTTGATTCATTTATTCACGATTTCAGTTCTGGTGACTTTATTTCAACAGCCCAAACTGCCTAGTAAGAGCTCTCAGATACATCGTAAGAGAACTTGAGTCCAAACCTGCGTCAAAGAAGTAACTGAACATGAAAACTGCACTTTGTTGCTCACGAGTCGACTGGAGAACCTTCAGCTAGCTGATCAGACGATTTTTGTCAGCCAAAATTTTTTCTCGATTCAGAATGAATTATAAACATCATTCCATCATAAAAAAAAGTTTCTATGAATTTGAAAGGTTTTCAGGAAGAAACGGTATGCGGCGGACGAAATTCTGCATACACCGAGTAGGAACTACACACACAACCGCTCTTCCTCTGCTCGTGTCGCTCTCATTTTGCACTCCTTTTTTTCGTTTTTTTTTTTATACTTTTTTTTGTTTTAAAACTCGTAGAAGTGCTGTTTCAAGTGTTATACAAAGTATTTTCTATTTTTTTTGCTGTCATAAGTAAGACGAATGAGGCAAAATTGGGGTTTTTCGCCTAACTTCCCTGTTTTTCTCGTTTGTAATCGTTCCGAAAGTCAACCATGTGTTGTAGTTAGTAATATTTTGGTTATAATGAATTTAAGAAATCATTTTTTGAATGTTACTTCAAGAACTCGACTGTTTTTGGAATGAGAACCAAAAAAACTCGGTTGCTTTATGACAATTACGATATGAGAAGGGCTTAAAATCAAGCTCTCAGTCGTTTAGCGCTTCGACTGGTTTTCTCTTACACATTTTCGACTTGTTCATCTGTAAATTAGATTCAAAAAGAAGTCGTAGTTAGTTAATCAAGGTTATGGCTGCATTTTCGTCAATTTATTCGAGTTGATCCCTATGATCAGTGTTTATCTGCCTGGTTTGGCAATTTTATATGACTTTGTATTGATAATTTATCGGAAAAAAGAAAAAAACGAAGAAGTTCAAAAGAATATTCTCCTATTTGTAGCCACAATGAGGAAATAACCGTATCTGCACACATAAACCTTTTTTCTCGTGGATAAACAGACAAGTAAAATTATTCGGATCCCTCGAAAAATGGAAAAAACACATCTGAAAGAAGTTTTACCTGATAGTGTTATGAAAAGTCAGAGTATCGAATGAAAACTTACTTCCCAAGGTTTCAGTGAATGAAAGGCGTTGTTTCTGGTTTTTGTGGATTGTTTTTATGAGTTTCAATATATAAAATTATATCGAATAGACATTTTTTTGGTTTGAACATCCCGCAAAGATCATTCTACTAGACTAAAAACAAAAAACTGACCCAAAACTTTGCCAAATACAAGAAACAACACATTTCGGCCTCTGAGACCATTGAAATACTTGGATATCGTGTATTTTCACTGCAAATTTTATCAAAAGGCAACAAAAAAGTTTTTTTATTCTGTACTATTCAATGTTTTATCAAGTTTATTGAAGAATGGATAAGTAAAAAAACGAAAAACATCTTCAAAGAGCTCGAATCCATTCGTAAGATGTGAAGGAAGTTAAGATTTCTTCGACTTATCTTTCGAAATCTTCTGATTAAATTATCTCGATTTTTTGTTTTTTTTTCTTTCCAATGTCACGAGGAAATTATTCTGTAAAATAAGAGCAAAAGAAAAACCTAAAACTTTGTCGAAAACAAAAAAATAAGCCTTGAAAACTGCCTCCTGTAACTCACGATGCGACGGGGGAACATTTAGCCGGCGAAAACACTTTATTTTTTCAGTTAGAATTTTTTCTTGGGTTCAGAATAAATAGTAAGCGTGAATATAACATGAGTATGCAAGTTTAAATGTGTTCTAACATTTTTCGCGGAGAAACGGTATGCGGCGGACGAAAATGTGCATACACCGAGTAGGAACTACACACACAACCGCTCTTCCTTTGCTCGTGTCGCTCTTATTTTTCACTCGTTTTTCTCAATTTTTTTTCTTTTTACTTTCTTTTTTTTGTTTCTAAACAAGAAATAAGGTTGTTTTAAACGTTGTTCAAAGTTTTTTCTATTGTGTGAGGCGTTCAAACTCATCGAATTGGCTTTGCACACATTTTTTTAAGTGCATTTCTTGGTCGTTTAAAAGTATTTTTATCTACAATTTCTTTCTAGCATGCTGAACTATTCAAATTTTTAAGTGATTAGTCACGGAAATTTATAATTCTTAGTGTGGAATACGATGAAAGACGCTGTTTCTGGTTTTTGTGAGCTGTTTTCATAAATTTCTACACATAAAATTAATTAAAAAGACGTCTGTTTGTTCTTAACATTCCGCAAACATTATTTTACTGGACTGAAAACAAAAAACTGACACAAAACTTTGCCAAATGCTGAAAACAGCGGCTCCCGCCTTTGAGACCATTGAAGTGCTTGAAAATCGTGTATTTTCACTGCAATTTCTATCAAAAGGCAACAGAAAAGTTTCTTATTATACCTTTTTATTTTTTTCTAAAGTTTATAAGGTAATAGGGAAGTTAAACAAACAAATATATGTTTTTAAGGGGTTGAATCCATTCATTTAGTCTGTAGGAAAAATAAGATTAACTCGATTCTTTGACTTTTCTCTTCAAAAACTTTCTTATAAAATTGTTCAGATCTCTTGTTTTATTGTTCCTAACGTTACGAAGGCATTATCATGGTGAATTAGAACAGAGAAGACCCAAAAAGTTTGCCAAAAAAACATCTGAGCCTCGAAAAACAGCCCCATGTGGCTCACGTTGAACATTTAGCCGGCGGAAACATTTTATTTTCTCAGTTAGAATTTTTACTTAAATTCCGAATGGATAGTAAGCGTGAATATAACATAAGTATGCAAGTTTGAATGTGTTCTAACTCTTTTTGTGAAGAAACGGTATGCGGCGGACGAAAATGTGCATACACCGAGTAGGAACTACACTCTAACAAAAGTTGCGGTGCACCCGCGTTGAACTCTCCTGTACACCCGCAGTGTAACCAGGGGTGCACCAGAATCCAACGCGGGGTGCACAATCATTTTTCAATTTTTGCTTCTTGCACTTTTTAAAAATACCTTTATACTTCTATATCCCATATATATCATCAATTGAGACCACGTTTTCAATTTATATGTTTTATTAAATGATAAATCACATAATAAGACAATGAAACAAAATAAAAACAAAAAAATTACAGCGAATAAATAGGGAATTTGAAAAAAATATTCGAGGATAGACAATTTCATTTACAAGATTTATAAAGAAAAAAATAACAACGTTTACAAAAATTTGAGAAAGAAAAAAAGGTCTCTAGAGCTGTTTTCTGCGCCTTCTCCCCTTTTTTTCTAAGCATCTAGCCAACTTTAGACCAAAAATCAGTGAGAGCATGTTAAAAAAAGTAGACATAAATCGAAAAAAATTGATAGAAACTGAAAAATTAAATCAGGAGAAAAGAAATTGAATAATAAGAGAATACAACAGAAAGAGTGGATAGTACTGAAGAAAAATTAGGCAAAAAAACAGAACAGGCTTCATAACACTTACAAAGTTGACTGGTAATATTTAACACATGATTTCCGAGAAATTTTATGAACTGGGAAATTAATTGGTACAATAATTTTGAAAATTATGATTTTTTTGAGCATAAATTCATATCACATACTATTAAACCTTTTTTTATTTCAGGCACCGAAACGCTCCGCACACTTTTTAGAGCTACTAAGACAAAAATTACTGTAAGAAGCTAACTTTTTTTTCCTCGTAAAGCGTTTCGCTTCTAAAAATGTCCTTTGGAAACATCAATTGTGTTGGCAAAATGACGACTTCCGCAGTTGTTATAGCTCTATAAAAAAACCGGGACCTCAGATGGCCTTGATTTTTTTATACACTAAATTTTTTTATACGGAGCTTTTCGGTACTTGTTTACATGAGTTTAAAAAATTTGCATAGTATCTTTGATATGAACTTCAGCTAAAAAAATCTTTAAAATTATTCATCAAAATTATCACCAACGTATATTCGAAAAATTTCGGAGAACGTGTGTTCAAATTTTTAAAAACATTGTCAGTATGTTTTTCTCTTTTTTTTCGAACGATACTTAAAGATGGAAATTATTTTTCATAGCGAGCTAGATGTGAATAAAAAAACGTCGGAAAAAGCTGAAAAAAAGGATAAGTTGTCCAATTTGATCTTTTTGACTTGTGCCAACTTCACGTTAAGCCTTCTCTAAACATATTCACTAAGAATAACTGCCAAGATAAACGCGATACACTGGCGGTTATCGACAAACTCACAAAAAAATGTCGCATTTTTTTCTCGGCGCGACCTTGCATTTCGAACATTTTTCAAATTGCGAGAGAAATGCGAGCTCGCGCCAGAAAACATGCGAAACCGGCGAAGAGTAGAACCTAGTGTTTGCGAGTTCGTCAATGTTGATTCAAATGTGTTCTCAAAAAAACTATCGCGGATGTCTGGGAAAAAAAGTTACGGACCCTCAAAACGGATAATTTCACTGTCTCCGCTTGAGCTTATTCTTGGAGGACATATAGATCTTGACCCTCTGGTCTCAAAAAAAGCTTTTATTTTCGAAAAAAACTTTTGGGCGTATTCTAAAAGCTCCGCACATGATAAGAGAATGCGCGCGCGCGGTTTTCTCATATCTGGGCTTCAAAAATTTTTGAAAAAAACAGTAATTGGTTTTATGTTGTCAAAGGGACAAGATCTATAACCTCCAAAAATGAGCGCAATCGGGGAAAATGAAGTTTTCGACTTTTGAGGGTACATAACTTATTTCCCAAATTTCCGCGACCGTTTTCGAAACCAGATTTTTGATAAGCGTGAAAAACTATGTCTAGAAAACTTGGTCTCATTCCGATGCCCCACTGCGACTAGAGACCATTCCCTGGTATATTTCGACGAAATTCGCGAAGATTACTAGCATAGTCAGTTCAAAATGAATCAATTATTTTTCAAACTACGCGCTCTTAAAAATTTAATTTTTCGTCTGCTAAAAAGGACAAACTCTTCCAATGTCAACTATTCAAACTTTTCATCAGCTATTAAAGAACAAAACAAAAGAATAAAAAAGTAACGGCTAAGTTACTCTGCTCCCCTTATTCGACTGCACTCCTTCTGTTTGTCATGAATCAGGATCAAGTCGTACGGCTATCTGAAATTAATACAAAACTAAAATGCAAAGCTTTAAAAAAATTACCTTCATATTATATGCGTTTTCTCTCTCTTCCTCGATGGTCATAAATTTATTCTCTTCAAATGAACCTGAAACGCATTTTCACAAATAATCGCGAAAAAGTTAGCGAAACAAATAAGTTTAAAAAAATATTTACTTTTTAAGAACAAACCGTTTTTTTCAACTAAAATCTACAATAGTTTTTTTAATTTTGATAGTTTCTCAAAAAATTGCTTGCTGGACTCGAAAAATTGAAAAATATGTCGAGGCAAAAATAATTTTGGCTTTGCAAGATTTCTGCACATTTGAAAGACTCAAAAAAAGCATTTTCCAGCGAACTATTTAGCAAAAATCAATGCGCAAGCCTTGATTACCTGACAACTTAAAAAAATGAAATGTTCAATACAGCTTTTTTTAGACTAAATTGAACAAAAAAACCTTCAAAAAAAGGTTGGAATAAAAAAACCGATTCGAAATGTTCAATTCAAAAAGTTACATGAGCTTTTTGGAAGCAAGATTACTTTTTATCCATCATTTCCAGAAGTTTGCGATCGAAAAATATAATTAAACAACGAATTTTGTATTTCAAAAAATGTCTCAAAACATTTGCCAATAAGAATAATAATAAGAAGAAGAAACTCATATGAAACTACTTCCATAAACTCACTAGTAATGTTAAAACATCGAATAATAGAAAAAAACACGAAAAAGCGAGTGATAATAAATTAAAACAAATAAAAAAACAAATGAAAACTTCAAATTTCGTAACTTGAAATTTGAAAAACACGTTGTTCGGAACATCGTTCCAGATGACCGAGGGGTGCACCGAGTTTTCAAATTTTCGGTGCACCGAAAACATCAACGCGGGGTGCACCCAATCGCGCTGAGTTCAACGAGGGGTGCACCCCGATAGCCGGTTCGACGCGGGGTGCACCGCAACTTTTGTTAGAGCACACAACCGCTCTTCCTCTGCTCGTGTCGCTCTCATTTTTCACTCTTTTTTTTCGTTTTTTTTTTGTTTTTATACTTCTTTTTTGTTTCAAAACTCGTAGAAGTGCTGTTTCAAGTGTTATACAAAGTATTTTCTATTGTTTGCTGTCATAAGTAAGTCGAAGGAGGCAAAATTTGGGTTTTTTCGCCTATTCTCACTGTTTATTTCTTTGTAAACGCTATAAAAGTCAACCATGTGTTGCAGTAAGTGATATTTGGTTATAATGAGTACTTTCAAACCATTCTTTTATTGTAAATTTAGGAATTAGACTGTTTTTGAATTGGAAAAGAGGAAAACTTGATTGCTTTGTGACTTTTACCAGCCGGATAAGTCTAAAAATTGAGCTCTCAGTGGTTTAATGCTGAGATTGGTTTTCTTGAACATTTTCCATTAGTTTGTCTGTAAAATAGATTCAAAAAGAGTTCTTACTCAGTTTGTTCAAGTTATCGCTACATTTTCGTTAATTTCTTCAAGTTAACCACATTGGACAGTGTTCATATGCTTCTGCGCGACTTTATATTAATAAATTTTGATGCGAGAAAGAAAAATGTACAGAAATACAGACCAGTATTCCCGTATAGGTAATCACATCGAAAAAATAACCGTCTTACCACACCTAAACTTCCGTTTTATCTTTTTTTCTCGTGAAATTATTTTATTTCGCAAGTTCGTCTATCCATCTTCTTCTGCTTGAACTATATTGAAATGAATTTTTATAGAAAGATCGAACATGTCCTCGCGCGAAGCTCAACAGCTCATTGAAAAGATGAACAAGACCATCGCAGCCGCCAACCAGGCAGTCGCCGAAGAAGAACGTCTCTCTCACTTCCTCGTCTTGGCCATCGCCAAGGCGAGAACCGAACGGTCTCTCCGTCGCAAACTCGAAGTCCGACGCGTTGAATCTGAACTTCGATGCGTCCTCGGCAGGGCGGCTTCACTTATGCTTGCCGCCGAACTTGCCCAGCAAGACTTCGAAGAATTCCTCGAGCGAGCCAATGAAGAGCCTGTTAGTTTCGGATTTTTTTTGCTCCGCCAACTGTTAGTTATAACTCTCGAACTTGCAGGTCGTCGACGAAGGCGAACAGAACAACGCAAACGAGGAGTCCGCTGGAGGCCCCGGCGCTGCAAACTGATCGGGTATACTTCTGTCAGCTGCTCGTAAAACAAAAATTTTTTTCAGAGCGATCAAACTTGAGTTGGGCATTTTCCGCCCACAAATAATTTTGTTTCTTTAAGAAATTTTCTTTTTTTCCAAAAAAATCTGTCTTAAACTTTAACTTACTCTCAAAGATCCAATTTTTTTGTTTCAACTGTCAAATGAATCAACCAAACCAAACCAAACAAAACCAAAAACGAATCCTTTAATATAGTTATTATTTACTTGACGTTTTTGAATAACTTAAAAATTGGGGCGGAATCTAAGCCAAATACAAACTCTCAAAATAAGGAGAGTGAACTCAAACCGCCTTAAATCAGCGCCATGTAAAGGTGAGCGAGCAGTCGGAAAGATATAAATATACATTTTTTTCAGTGACTAAAAAAGTTCGAACAACTTCTGTTAATACAGAAAAACTTTTGATGAGGGAACATTTGCTCCGTATGAGAACTCGGAAGCTATTTCCCCCTTGAGGTTAGTCAATCATTTGAAATTCCAAGGAACATTTGACTTACAGAAGCGAGAGTGTCGTGGATGCTCGTGAGAGGCTAAAAATTGCCTAAATCAAAATTTCCGGGTCTGAAAAAACTGTTTGAGGTTAGTTGAAACCATTAAACTTGATCAAAACGATAAATGACTTTCAGTTGGGACTTCTTCTACAAAACCTCTATTTGTTTCCCACGAGTGGAATTTTCTTGTTTTTCAAACCTCCAGCAAAAACAGCTCATCAGCTTGATAATCCGGTTTACAGGTGGGCGAAAAAAGTTGGAAAAAATCAAGCATTGATTTTCAGGATCAACCTACTCAAAAAAGGGGAATCTGGAACCGATAGAAGAAATAGCTCCATCAGCCATGACCTCAATACAAATCAGCGAAAAAAAGGTAAGTTGAAGACTTTGATTATGATGATAATCGAAAGTTTTTAGTGTAAATTGCTTTTTCGGTTCGAAAGGCTACATTCAAAAAAAAGATGAGAAGTAAGACTGGTCTATTCTTCAAACAAAACTTGCTCATGGCGCAAGAAACCGGAGGTAAAATTTTGTTTGGAACAAAGAAATGAGAAATTACGCTTTTCAGGATTTGAAAATATTTGCTCAAACTCAAAAGAATGGACTTTTGAATTTCAACCAGCGTTAAGTTGAATACTCTCGAATAAAGGTAGGCGAATATAATCAGTAATTTTCAGAGGAAATATATTACCCTTCAGAATCTTCTAACTCGGCTGTTCTTAAGAGACAAACTTGCTCCAAAAGACAAGTCTCGTCATAACACCTGAATTAAGGCTGAAGGAAATTGACCACTTCTCAACTAAGACCGCAAGTCTTTCAAAGCGAAAAAAAGTTAGTTTGAGTTAACCGAAATACGATATGAGATGATTTTCAGACGTCTTTTATCAATATATATCTCGAAATTGTTTCAAAACGAGAGATCGGAATCTTGTCAAACTTTTGTAAAAACCTAATCTTGCGGCACAATAGAAAATAATACTTTCGATGTCGACTTTGCATTCAAAGGTAGGTTGTTTTAAGAAATCTGTTCAAAAAATAGAAAACTTTCAGTTAACAATGTCTTCTCGACTCGGAAAACAACATGACATTATAGTTCAACCGTTTGAAAATTTAAAACGGTTTTGAATTCAATAGCCGATAGCCAAAAAAGGTAAGAATTACAGTCAACACATGTGGAAACAACGATAAATCTCAATTTAAGGATTGGAAGTCGCTCTTTATTTTCGCAACTTCTCAAATAAGCTATCATACTCTCTCTCTCAGTAACTGAAAGACGATTTCATGAGATTCGATTTCGTCCCCTTCCTCCTCAGATTCAAAGGTGAGAAAAACTAAATAATATTTGAATTTCAGGTATTTTCTGAAAAAAAATCAATAAAAATATACTGGAACAAAAAGTGCGGCGAAGCCCGGCCCTCCTATGAAAGATTCAATACCGTCTAAAGGACTACAAAAAGAACGGACATCGACCTTTTGAAATCGGTTGACTTTTCCTTTTTTTCGTTTCAATTTGAGGTTTCAGGATGGCACCAAATGTTCCTGGGTCTACAAAAATTAGGAAAACGACTCGCTCACTAGACAAAACACAAAATCCTCAAAGTTCTTTTCAAAGAGTGAGTTCAATTTTGTTTCAGACTGGAAATTGTTCATAGGGCTTTTAGGTTTGTTGCTCCAGGGCGCAAACTTCGCGTCGCCATCGGTATAAAAAAAAACACGATCCATCCTGACGACTTCAACTGACTTCTCTACAAAGAACAATTTTTTGACTGAATTCAATGGACTGCGTGGCCGGAAAACCTCGTCTCTTGTTGCTGGGAATACTGCGGTTCAATTTTTTTCAGTTAACAAAAATTAAATAAATTTTTAGGACTTCCAAAAAAACGATAAAAAGACAGCTAAAAAGAAAGTATACATAAAATCGAGATGAAAAGTCCAAGGATCGAACAAAAACTTACTTCCTGACCTCCTTTCGAGTTTTTGCGAGCGCTTTGAACATTATACGTTTTTTTCAATGATTGATTCCAAGAAAAATGATACTAAAATTAATAGCAAAGCAGAAAAACTGTATATTTTATTTTCTAGTGAAGATAATAATTCAATGAAAGTGCGTAAAAAAACTCAGCGTTCAAAGGTTTCAATGGATGAAAGGCGTTGTTAATGTTTTTTTAACCTTTTTTTCATGAATTTCAATACATAAAATTATATTAAAAAGACGTCTGTTTGTTCTGAACATCCCGCAAATATTGTTCTGCTAGACTAAAAACGAAAAACTGACCCAAAACTTTGCCAAATACAAAAACAACACTTTTCGGCCTCGAGACCATTGAATTACTCAAACATCGTGAATTTTCACTGCAATTTTTTTGACAAAAAGGCAACAAAAAAATGTTTTTTTATGTATTTCTTCATTGTTTTATTAAGTTTAATGAAGAATAAGTATGTAAAAAAAAACGAAAACATGTTCAAAGAGCTCAAATCCACTTATAAAATGTGCGGGAAGTAAAAAATTGATCCGATTTTTTTCCACTTTTCTCTTCAGAATCTCTCTAAAATATTATTAAGATTACTCGTTTTGTTTTTTTCCTAACGTCTCGAAGACATCATCCTGTGCAATTAAAACAGAAAAGACCAGATACTTTGCCAAAAACACGAACCTAAGCTCTAACAACTGCCTTATGTGGCTCAAGATGCGACGGGGGAACATTTAGCCGGCGAATCATCGTATTTTTTTCAGTTAGAATTTTTTCTTGGATTCAGAATGAATAGTAAACGTGGATATAACATAAGTATGCAATTTTAAATGTGTTCTAACACTTTTTGTAGAGAAACTGTACGCGGCGGACGAAAATGTGCATACACCGAGTAGGAACTACACACACAACTGCTCTTCCTCTGCTCGTGTCGCTCTCATTTTTCACTCTTTTTTTTCGTTTTTCTTTGTTTTTGTTTTTGTTTTTTGTTTCTAAACAAGAAACAAGGCTGTTTTGAAGGTTGTTCAAAGTTTTTTTCTGTTGGTTGAGGCGTTCAATCTCTTCAAATGGGCTTGCACACATTTTTTGATGTTTTTTCGGTCGTTTTGACTATTTTTTTATCCACAAATTCATTTTATTTGATCAACTTTTCAAACCTTATGACAGGAAATTACAGAAAGAATACGATTTTCAATGTGAAACAAAAAGACCGCAAATGAAAACGTTATTTATTGCTGGAAATTCCGAAAAAATGACTTTTCTCGTCGGTGTGATTGTCGTTACGCGTGATCGTTTTTTCCGTTTATCATGTGGATTTTGTGGAGATGAAATATTTCAGAGGTACCAGAATGTCCGCTCGTGAAGCTCAGAGATTGATGGATGCGATGGAAAAGGCCATCGAGGCTGCACAGAATTCCATGGAAGAAGAAGAGCGCCTCAATCACTACTTGGCTCTCGCTACGGAGAAGGCGAGAACGGACGACTCGCTGCGTCGTAAGCTCGAAGTCTTGCGAATTGGCAAGGAACTTGCCAAGACGATGAACAAAGCCGCCGCCGACATCGAAGCGGCTGACCAGGCACAGAACGCTCTGGACCGCTACTTGGAGGAGGCCGGCGACGACATGGTTTGTGTTCCACTTTGATATTTTTGAAAAAGGGAAAAAAAAATGATAACACATGCTCTTTCTACAGATCGACGACCTGTCCGAGGAATCCGACCAGTCCGAGGAACCTGAAGAGGAACCCAACAATTCTGACGATGACGTCGGCGCGCACTAATCTTATGGTATACTTGTACTAAATTGAACTTTTGGAACAGTCTAATTTTCAGATTAGTTCCTGAGTTCATTTTTCCCCGCTCAATTGTTAACGTGGTATCAACTTTCTTCACTCTTGTCAAATTATTTTTTTTATGCGAATCTTTTCCTTTTACTCGAAAAAAAAAAAAAACTAAAGAAAAACATATATTTTTTTCTTCTTTCCATTTCCTTTCATTAAGAAACTTTTTGGCTTTTTTTACCTGAATTACTCAAAAACTTATAACTATGAGCGGGGAAATCTGGGCTTTTTCTAAACTCAAGAGAGCGAACTCGGGATTCGCCTGACCAGCGCCAAATAAAGGTAAGCGGAAAAATTAAACTACAAAATAGAATTTTCAATTGTAGAATTTTTCTGAGCATTGAAGACGTTTAAACTTCTCAAAACGATCCCGTGTCTCAAAGGCTAAAGCACAGAATTCTTATCAGACTTCATCACAGGCCGAAAAGTTTCAAGAGGTCAGTTGAAAGTGTGGATTTAGCTGAAAATAATCATTTTCAGAAATGAACGAGTCGTCGATGAACAACGGGAGCAAGTATAATTCTCCCAGTCTAAGTCCACCCGACCGGATCAGCAAAGAAGGTTTGATATAAACACTAAAACTTAGGCAAGTAAAAAAAAAGTTTCAGAAAAAAATATTTTTTCGAGCCCTAAACTCAACTTTATTGTTTGACTATTATTATAGTCGAGTACTTCGGAAGGTAGGTAAAACGTTTTAAGAAGGCTAATTGGAAAGGTTTTCAGAGTTTCAGACCTCCTACAATATCGAATCTTGGTTTAGCTGAGCGATTCATCGAGAAAAAATGTCCTGAGAAAAAATGAGTACGTCTTGCTCCAGTTCAAATCTAGATGGTGAGAAAGAATTTAGAACTTAAGCTGAAACTTAATAATTTTCAGAAGTTTCTACAACTTCTCGACTGAATATATCCTCAAGAACTCGAAAACTTGTTTGGAAGAAGCAAGAAGCCAATAGTTGCTGTGTAGCCAAAAATCCGCTCGGAGAAAAAAGTCTACGTACTTCTTGTGAAGGTGAGGGAAAACATTAATATAAAAGAACTGATGAATTTCAGAAAAAAACAAGTCTTTTTTCAAATCCCACTCGGTCTACAGTTATTGGGCAAGCGAAACATAAAATAAAGGAGCCATGAGGGGCAAGAGCTCTTCAAAGCAAATTGACGTAAGTTTTTTTCTTCAAAAAAATCATAATGTTCAAGTAATCCACTTTTTCAGGCGTTTTAAAGTATTCGATCGGAACGCTGACACGGAAATCGACTCGAAGGATGAGAAAAAAATATCCGTCAACTTGAAAATCAAATCAAAAAATGTTATAATAACGGCAACAATAGCAAGTGCGAGGTAAGAATTGATAACAGATTTCAGAATTCCAGAGAGTTCGGCGCAATCGACATTTATTAAATAGTTCGAAGTCCTGTTGAACCCCGAAACGCACCAAAAAGTGCACCGAAAGTTGGAACTTGCACAGAAGGTGAGGGATAAATAAAAAAAAATTTGAATGAAGACTCTCTTCAGAACTCACAATAAAACTCCACCACTATTCGGGTTTTCAAGCAAAGGTGAGCTGAATATCATGAAGATTGAAGTATTCTCAAAATATTTCAAGATTGCGATTGCCCGATAACCTTTTTCGACTGTTAATTTCGTCAAAAACCCGAAAGAAAATTCTCCAGATGCAAAAAAATTAGCTCGGGTTAAACGTCGGAGCAAATGTAAGTGAAAACGAGAAAGAAAAAGTTAGATAATTGATAAATTTCAGAAACTTTCTGCGTCTCTTCTGATCAAAATCGGTCTGTGGGCAAGCAACAAAAAACTGATAAGGCTGGGAATAGGATATTATTCAATTTATTGCAAAGAGCCAAGTGAAGGTAAATTTCGCCATTTTGAAGAGGGATCAGAATGTTTTTCAGGGTCTACCGGAGTGTTTCAAGGAAACGACAACAGCGTGTTCGAAGTGAAAAATGAAGCACGGAAAGTAGCCCGTCGCCCATAATACGAGATCAGAACGATTTCCGACTACTATTTCACAAGTGAGCGAAAAAGAACAATAATTCAGCTTCAGGTTGTTGAAGAGTCAAGCTGCAATGTATTTGGTGGAAATCTGCTGACCTTACGACTAGCCTTAACTTATTTATCGCTATGACCTTCTTCAAACTGTGAGTGAAAAATAAGATAATTGGATAAAAATTTTTTTTCAGAGCCAAAAAACTCTTCACAATGACGCTGATTCAATTTTTTCCCAAAATCAAATGATTTTCACATGAGCCTGACGATATTCTTGTTTCCAGGTGAGCTATTCTAACCAAATGAGTGATTTCCAGACCTTCCAACGTTTTTCTAAGCAACTTTTTCGAGCACAAAATGCTTGCTTCATCTTTTTCGAGGTGCTAACGGGATTTCGTCGTCTCATCAATTTCAGGTAAGACTTATCATGAAGTTGGAAGATTTTGAGTTATTTTTTTCAGAATCCTGAGGATGTTCATTGATCAGAAAACTCGATGAAAGTTTTTGATGGGAATTCATTTTCTGAGCATCTTTTCGACTCTCAGGAAATGTCACACGAACGTTCAAAAAAATGGTTTTTTTCTATAATATCTTTTTTTGGTTCTTTTTATATTTTTAAGATGGTCTCTATCGATTCCTGACGTCTCCACAAAATCGCACATCAACTCGATCAAAGAAGAGCAAACGGATTGGAATAAATGAAAGCTTTTTTTCAAAGCGACGGAGTTTTCTCTAACAGACGATTTATTTCATTTCTGACAATAAAATTTCGAATCAACTTCATTTGCAGAAAAAGAAACACCATGACAGATATTTTTATTGTTCTGAATCCGTTTTTTGAAATGCTGAAAGTTTCAAATAAATTTTTTTGTGTCGACGAGGACCTCGTGAAAACTTCTTGGGGCAAGAATTAATGGCTGAATTGAGACGGATATGGTGGATTTTGACCCGATATGAAGTTTTTGCTTGTCATAAATTGAGTCAAACATTTGTACTCCGCAATCCAAACGAGTAGTCGTCATGCAAAAATAGCAATAATTTCTTTGGAACTTGTAGCAAAACGAACAAAACGTTATTATTTTCTACAAGAAATCGACGTGAAAAAGGAAGACTTGCTCCAAATAGTCGAAGTTTTCGATAATAAAATGATAGATATTGATTGAAGTTTTCAAGTTTCTTTGTACCACATCTAATAAATTATCAAACTGCTTTTCATTTTTGTTTTTTTATTTTGATATGAGACTCTACATAATTTTTTTAACTTGTCTGGAAACTAAAAATTCCATGGAAATCGGTCCTACGTTGCACAAGAGTCGAAGCGAGAACTGCGAAATCCCAATTTTCAAGCGTCAGTGACGCTTTTTTTCAAACAAATGAAAAGAAGTGCATGGAAAATGAAGATCAATGTATTTTACAAAGAGTTTACATTATTAACGACAAAGCGGCGGAGATAATTCAGTATAAACTTCAATACGACATAAAGCCGATATTCCTTCGTTGGGTCGCGCTTTTCTCATTTTAATTGAAGATGATAGCTGTAATTTTTTCAACCACATCTTTTTTTACGGTTCAAAGTATATTCTGTTCTCTGTGTTGACCGGAAATCCAAGGATACGGAGTCATAATAATTTACCTTTCTTTTCTGACTAAATTTTTAAGTAGATTAAATATCCAATATCAATTTTTGATGGTCTAAATCGTCAGAATGAAAGAATTTCAGCAATTCCTTGATTATTCCGTTCAATATAAGGTTGTTCGCACTCTTCACTCCATTTTTTTCTATTTCTCAAAAATTCTGATGACTTTTACATGGAAAAGTCTCCAATTTTTTGCATTTCGTTGACAAATTTTGAAACAAAACCTTTCTCGATATTTATTTCCAAATCGTTCGTGTCGTACATTTTTTTTGTATGATTATAAAGAAATTAACGTGAAATCTTACAGGAAGATGAATCTCGACAACCCTGCATATCTGTACAGAAGCCTGATCGAGCGCAAGGTCTTGCTTCGTCGAATGGTGAACAACGTGAACAATTGAAAGAACGTCGTGAAGAGAGGGACAAGGCCGTCATGCAAGGACTGCCGCCCGTTGAGACTGGTCCAGGGTCCAACCTTCTGGACTTTTCGATCGAGAACCGAACCCGGAAGCAAGGCATCCTGGAGCGACTCATCAAGACTTCTCAAGAGCGCTGTGACGAGTATCGCAGCGTTCACATCAACGAGATAGTGAGTTTAATATCGTGCAATCATTCAATAACTAATCTTCTTGTAGGACCGTAGGTTCGTCACCGAAATTCTTACCGGACTTGGGCTCACTCGTGGAGACGAGATTTTCTCGGAGATTCTCCAACAATTTCCGGAGCCTCCGAAAAGAGGACATTCTCTTACTTTGGAAGGAGTTGAGGTAAATCAAATATAAAAATTTTTGACAGTTTTGGATTTGTAAATTATTGATATATACATAAAAAAATAATGTATTTTGTTTCAGCCACCTACAAAGCGCGGGAAAACCGAAGATTTTAACTCCAATCTTCATCAAAATAGTCTTAATTTTGCTATGTCGGGTCAAGGATCCAACATGCAATCGGAGGTATATTTCAGAATCAGCTTTCAAATTATAAAAAAAAAATGAATTTTTCGAACACTTTGTTGAGAATAAAACTGCGAGAAAAAAAGTTTGGGCTGAAAAAAATTGAGATTTGATAAATTTCTGATTTCAGGCCGTTGGAAACAACGCAATGCCTGTCGTCGCCATTGGACAGGGAGTCCAGAATCATAACATCGACGTCGAAATGGAGGAGGTATCACTTTAAAAATAAACCTAAAAAAATTTTAAATTGAGATTGAGAGTTTATAAAGAAAACTTTCTAGAATTCCTAAAGTTAATAAATTAAATATAAAGTTATAAAAAGGCTACACTCCAGCAGAAGTCTTTCACGAATTCCAATAAATTATGTAATTTCAGATCGAAGCCATTAAAATGGACCTAATGGAAATCGACGACGCTTGAGAGGTACGCATTAGAAATTCTTGTGATTCGAATAATAAATGACTTCAGGAGGACAAGTGACGACGTCTCCATCTTCAAACACATCTTTTTTTGCGTCCTGTAAATGTTTTTTGCGTCTTTAATAAAACAAATTTTTCTTCATTTTATTTTTATAACAGCCAACAAAAATGACTTGAAAAAGGATCGAACTTGGGTCTTTTTCATAAGTTAAAGAACTAACAAATGAATTGGTCCTTCAAATTAGAAAGCGGAGATCTGCTCTCAATATAATTAAATAGCTCTTCTCATATTATTTTCAATGGAAGTTCAAAAAAATCAAAAATTTCCTAAGTTATTCGCGGCGTCGAGGTCTTCAGAACATTCATCTTTTTAGACGTACTCTTGTTTTACTTCAGTTCTTAGAAAGTCGATCAAAAGTCTCACACAATTTTGTGATACTTCATTGGAACCAATACAAAAATTCCTTTTCTTATTGTTAATTTTAGAGCAAACGGTAAACATGAATCAAATTCACCTATGAAAAATTTGCATGAAACCAGGAAATATATATCGCACGAGCCAAAAAAACACGATTGGATTTTTGAGTTGCTTTGCTATAGTTTTAAACGACAAGGTGTTATAACACAATCATTTCATTTCTTTATTTTCAAGAATAAAACTTCAGAAGATTTACTAAAAAGGTAAAAAAATGTTTCTGTTAGTTTCTGTTAATGAAGTTTGCTTTTTGTCGATTAGAAAAAAACAGTACAAAAAAAAAAAAATAAACAAACCAACAAGGAAAATAGGTATTTGAAAAAAATAAACCACTGAGTGGTGTTGACATTTTATTATTTAAAACATCATTCCCGATTCTCGTCAATAAAGAAAAATGCTTAAGAAAAAGCGGCTTTTTTGGTACAGTTTCAGGATCAGAAACACTCGACTATTTTTTGAATGGCTGGTCAAAAGTTGACCTCTGGAGTTGGCGCCTCTGGTTCTTGGCGCGTTTTCCTGCGCTGTAAGACCGGAAAGACCTCTCCTTTTTTTTGAAGGCAACCTCTTGTGACGGTTTGGTTCTTCTGTTCAAACGGGAAACACAGAACATTTTTTATTGATTTGTGCCCACCTATAAAACTTTTAATCTTTTTTTCTGTGAACTGTTTTCATCCAGTGCCTCGTGTTTTTCGAGTTTCTTTTTTGTTCGTTTATTTTAAAAACCTGTAATGAACGATACTACTTTTTTTGTCCTGTTGTAAGATATTAAAGTTGGGAAAGTTATTTTTTCACCTGTTTTTTAACGTCTTTTCATTTTTTTTATTGCTGCTCATATAGGCATTACTAATTCAATGTAATGTAAAAAATTGAAACGAGCAAATGTGAAAAAAAGCTGTTGTCCAATTGTACGCGTTATGAAGTTCGCTCAGCCAACTGATAGAAGTTTTGCAGGATTTCCATCCCCTCGATGGAAAGATTCCTCGCAAACACGTCTCAACTGTTGAGGGAAGTCAATGAGGCACAAGTCACCACGGACGATTGCTTCTTCTACGCAGCCAGACGTCATGGACAGCTTGCCGCCGCCCGAGCAGCTGCGATAGCGTCAGGCTCGCCGTTCCGGTGGATCCGAGTGAGCTCACTGGAAAACCGAAGAAACGCCTACCTCCAAGACGGCTATCGAAATCTTGATGTACTTAACAGCGGTAGAGATCTTCTCCTCCAGATTTTTGAGGAGAATCGCGAGATTTTAGTTAGTTTTACAACTTTTTCATTCTACAATTTATTTGAGTATAGGGAGACAATTATCTCGATGGTTTGGTTCCATCGAGAATAAGGGATCTCAACGAGTTTCTCGATCAACACGGCTTACAACGGAGAGTAGAACCGCCAAACCAGCAGCCGGTGCCTTACGTCGAATCGGAGACAGAACAGGAGCCTGATAGTGAACCAGAAGATGAACAACAACATGAGGTATTCTTGGAAACAATAAACTAGATTTTCCAAAATCTCTTCTTACGGAAATGATCAAGTGTAAAGAACGAAATTTGAGTGAATTTTTTAATCAAACTCATAAAAAACTGGGTAATCCAAGCGTTTTGTGCACCTGGAAGATGCTCTATTTTATTCCAAGAGTTTTATTTTTTCATTTCAAAATTTCATCTTGGCAGCCAGATGATCCAGAAACAGCTGGCAATTTGGGGGGACCTCGCTTGCCTCGGCCAATCATTCAATTGGAGCCACAACCTCAACCAGAACTGCAACTTGAGCAAGAGCCAGAGCCACAATTGGACCGTCAAGAACAGGTATATACAGGAATCAAAGGAATCAATCAAACTATATTTTCGTCAGAATGTCAGCGGAGATTTGATAACTCAGCCAATTATGCAGTTAGAGCCGCAACCTCAACCGGGACTGGAGCTGGAGCACGAGCCGGAGCAACTCTTAGAACCTCACGAACAGGTAATTTTCAAGAATAATTCAGAGAATAATTTTTTTTCTAATGGAAAAAAGGATAAAATATTCATGGAGATTAGTTGAAAGATACATTTCAGAATGTTGTCGATGTTGTTGGCACTGAGCAGGAAGCATCACAGCGAGATTCTCAACTTGAGCTGCAGCCGAAGGGATCGAGGCTTAATCGAAAACGGCAGACGGAGATTCATCTGGAGCGGCAAGCCAAAAGAAAATCGACAGTTGGGCTGGAGAAGCACATTGAACCGGGACCCGGAACAGAGGTAATTATCACGGTTCTAGCAAAATTTATGATTTATAACTTATGAAGCCTTGTAAAGTATATCAAGTCAACTAATTCTTCAAGTCTTTCGGAGTTCTGTAATTTTTTTTGCGAAGATGAAACACGTGAAATTTTTTTGCATTACCCTACAAAGTTTCTTACGCAAGAGATTGAGAGGGACTGGACTTTCAAATGATGTGTTTGCAGGTAAAAAAGTCCAACCTAAAAAAAATCGGAATTCTAGATGTATGCGCAGAAAAACAATTTTCTAATTAAAAAAAAAGTAACATCTTGAATCAAAACTTAGCAAGAAAAAACAAGCTATCGCACAAAAATCACGCTGTGTTTGTATATGCCGTATGAAAAAGTCTAAACCTATACAACTCCGCAGTTTTTGATAAATAAAATAATAAAGTCGTTGCGAATCTTCGAAAACCTTTGAAAGGCTTCTTTGGGGCCTTCAGCCTTTCTGATTCGACAACTAAGAAGTCGGGACGGTTGAGACTTGAATGATTTTTTTTGGTGAACCGAGGAGCTTTCTGGCCAATCAGCATAAATTTTTGAAACGCCAAGTAAAAGGACTTTCCCTGTAAGAGGAGGAAAATTATAAGATACTGAACTATCACAGAAAAGTAAGGAGACTTTGAAAAGATTGAGCCAAATTTTCAAGCCCTTTTTCTCTTAACCTTCATATTATTTAAGTTACAGGCTGAGGGTACCAAGAAACAAGCCGAGCTGTCTCCCGCGAAAGATGTGACTCCAGTCAAAGACGACTCGTCGACATAAATTACTACCAGTTTCTGTTAATTTTTTTATAATCAAATTTTTTTCCAAATTTTATCCATAATAATTCTTGTACAAAGTTCTGTTTTATTTTCTGTAGCTTTTTCGTGGAAACCGTTTTTACTTTTCATAAGCCTCGTATCTTTTTGGAACTTTCCCTCATTACGTCTTTCTCTATAGTATTTTTTTAAGAAATTTTGTTTTTTTAATTTTTTTGTTGACCTCTTTTTTTCCCGAATCCTATACCGTCCTGCAAATCTTTAGCCAGAAGTTTTGATTATTGATTTTATTTTGTCTTTCATTCTTTATGTCCTAATATCATTTAATATTTTGAAACCAATTTCATATAATAAAGAGAAGGTTCATAAAATTTGTTGAACTTACAAACAAAGGCGAGAATTCGGTGAAGCTTAGAAAAAGATGTTTTTTTCTATAGCTCAAAAATTGATCGAGGTATCGATCCCTGCAATTGCGCGGTGAATTAAATGTAAGAAAGTGAGAAAAAAATCATGAATTCTAAAAACAGTTTGAAAATTTTCTAGTTAACTTGAGATCTTAGTATGAGAGTAGTGTAAGCTGGAGTGGTGATATTTTTGCTTGTTTGAGTTTTTTTTTCTATCTTCTTGATCAAAAAAGGTAAAAAAAAAATCATCCCACGCAATAAAACATGATCGCAAAAAGGTACCGTCTCAGCAAGGCCGGAGTTAGCTGGTTGACATATAAAATTTGAACGGATTGAACCGCCACCGACCTCGCATTTTTCTCGCGCCAGACTTGGCTGTTATCTTTAGTGGAGCACGTGGCGAGTTTCAGAAACTACGAAAAAGATTGTCGATTTAAAATTTTGAGAACCGTTCAAGACTGGAGCTCAACTGAAGAATGCTGAAAGTAGCAACGAAAGATCTTGAAAAATTGAAGAAGTCTTCGAGGATCGAGGGCGGAAGCCAAAACTTCGGAAGTCCGCCGCACTTTTTGACCACTCGGTCGAGAAAAAAAACCCTTGTTCTTGAGCTGATATCCTCAAAAGGCGCAGGAAGACGTTGACTTGGGACTACGAATATTACCAGTCAAGGATACATTGCATGTTCCGGCCAGAAAAACCCATTTTCATTGATACCAAAGCAAATGCGCTCTGACTGACAGTGACTTCTGTTCGACTTTCGGAGTGTACTGTGCATATATTTTTCCGCAACATTATATTGGCTAGGCAATTTAGTGAGTTACAAGAAAACACGTTCACGTAATCAATAGCTTCATGTATAATATGTGGAAATGGTGGTTGTGGTTAGATGAAATTATTTAAAAAAAGAGTAGATTTTAATGCTTAGCATCAATAAACCAATAAAGACACTACTTTGTATGAAAGTCAAGAAAAACGAAAAAATTTCTGATAATGCGGAGAAATGTTCCTATAAAAGATCAGTTATGTACATGAGCGGCAATAACGAGTATGTAAGTGGAGTGTTTTGAACGTTAAAAAACCAAATAACAATTAAAAAAAAACTAAATCATGCTTGCGATCAAGGCGAACAAAAGGTTCAACAAGAAGAAGGTACAAAGGCTATAAGCTAACTAGGAAATATTCCTAAGAGCGGCGGATAAATGCCTTTGAAACAATGAGAAATGTGCACGTGAGGTATTAAAAATTATACAGGTGAATTAGTAAGAAAAAACAAAAATCATCATTGTGATCAAAAAAAAGGAAATCGTTTAACAGAAGAAAGGTATGTACGAAGGTTATATACATACACAATAGTTACCGGTAAAAAATAGAATTGAGAAAAAAGCAGACGAAAGGATCCTTTCAAAAAATGTCGACGAGCGTTGAATTTGAAGAGTCGTGACTGTATTTTTTCAAAGAACATGATGTTGTGGGCGCTATTATTCACGACGTCGTTTCTTCTCAGGCGACTGTAATACAGACAATTTTTCAGCTTTTTCTCAGATTCAATAAATTTGAAAAGTAACTTTTTGTTATCAAAAAAAACAATCATTGGGAGTCAAAGTGAATATCTTCAAACGCTTAGAAGCGAAAAATGATGAAAAACTTGCTTTTTTACTTATTATTGATAGCGAGAGAACAGAAAATTTGAAATATGCAGAAGTTCAGCTGCCCAATCATTTTGAGAATGACTCTCTACATTTTTGAGAAACACTTTCTGAAAAACAACCTTGTCGACGTCAAAATCCTTCTCAACCAATTGCGGCCAAGGGAGCACACGAGACTGGTCCTTTGAAAACCTCTGCTGAAGCGGATCCAGGATTGGTTCATGGTTCTGCTCAAAGAACTTGAGCTCAGGCTGAAGTTCCGGGTGGGGCTGACTTTGAAGACCTCGACGTCTTCTGTCGAAGAACTTGAGAAATTGACGTCTTTCCGCGCAGAATTCCGGATATTGGCTTGATGGTGCCGGTGGTGCCGGAGCGACTTTCTTTTGGCCTAACGGCGTAATGAGCCAAGTCGAAAGTTTATCACGGATTTGTTTGTTCTGGAATGATGAAAATTATCGCAAGTTCGAAGAAAGCTGTTCAAAATCTTACCAGCATCGGAGAGTCGTTTAAAAATTTTTCCACTTCCGCGTTGAGCATCTGATGATGTTGTTCAATCTCGTAAAACTCCTGAGCGCCCTTCGTGGAGCTTGTGCGGACGGGCCCATACTCTTTCCGCAATTCTTTAGTGGCCGCAGCCAGTTTCTCCTCCATCTTTCGAATTTCTACACGCGTTAGATACAGTTTGGAAGCTGCAGAGTGCATTTTCTCCAAATTCGTGATCAAATTTTGACCTAAGTCGTTCAGTACTTCCGCGTGGGCATGGATCGGTTTGTGTTTCCGCTCGAACGGTTCCAGCTCAGGCTGTAGTTCCGGGTGTGGTTGACTTGGAAGACGTCGACGTTTTTCGCCATAGAACTCCGGTTCACGCTGGCTCTGCAGCTTCCGGTGGTGGTGATTCGGATGATTTTCACGTCGTTCGTAGATGTACTGCGCCTCAGGCTGATGTTGATGCTCAGGCGGAATATGTCGACGTCTTCTGTCGAAGAACACCGGCTCCGGCTGATAGTGAGTCGGGAGGTGTCGGCCACTTTCCTCGATGAGTCCCGGGTCTTGATTTTGATCCTGTGGTGCCGGAGCAACTTCCAAGACATCCCCACCCCCATTCTGGCCCAACGGTGTAATGAGCCAAGAGGAAAGTTCGTCGCGGATGTCTTTTTCCTGAAATGATGAATATTAGTTTGAAGAAAGCTGTTTGTAATCTTACCAGAATCAGAGCGTTGGAAAGGAAATCTTCAACTTCAGCGTTGAGCATCTGATGAAGTTGTCCAATTTCGAAGAACATCTGAGCGCACTCCGTGGAGCTTGTGCGAACAGGCCCATTCTCTCGCCGTAGTTCATCTGTGACCGCTGCCGATCTCTCCTCCATCTTTTGACTGTCTACACGCCTTTGGTAGACTTTGGAAGCAGCGTAGTGGAGTTTCTCCAAATGCGTGATCAGCTGTCGACCCGAGTCGTTGATTGCTTTCATGTGTCGACTCCCCTAAAATAGTTCGCACTTGAATTTTTCAAAACTTAGTATTTGGATGAGTCAGTTAGTTATTATCTCTGAAGAAACCTTATGGTCCTCATCGTCCTTGGCTTCCTCGATTTCCTCGACAACTGCCGATGGAAGCTGCCTTTTTTGTGGCATCACTTCCATCGGTTGGTGCGATGGAGACTCATGTTTCTGAGGCTGATGCGGGAGAACATCATCGGGCAAGGTGATGGTTTTTCCGTACTTGATTCCAAAGAAGTGCAGAATTCGAGAGCGGCAATCATCATCCTGCAATCAACAAAGTTATCGAATGACTAACAAAAAGGAAACTAACCAAATCTGGGTGTTCGGAGATGAAAGAATCGACGGTGGTTTTCAGCTCTTGTCGACCAAGTTCAAAATATTTGCAGTCAATTTCTTGAAAACGCCATTTCCGGAGCAGATCTTGCAATTCAGGCGCATGCTTGTCCCTCTTTGCGAGTGAGAAATAAGATCTTCGGGCCTCGTCGCGGTGCCAGTACATTCGGCGGCCTCGACCAGCATGATAAGCCTGCACTTCCTTGAGAAGCGCGAGACCTCCGTCGTTTGTTCTGGTTAACGGCCCAAAAACCTTAATAAAAACCAATTTAAAACTTTCCCACGCGACAATCTGAGTGAGCAAAAGATTTCTGAGAAAATCGTTACCTCTCGCTTTGCTTCCGGCTGAGTTGCTTGCTTTCTGCGCTTCTGTTTTCGTGGTCCAATGATCTCGACCACTTCTTTTCTGCTCTGCTCTAGATCGAAAATTCTATTGACTTCGTCGAGGCACTTGACACTCTAGAAAAAACTATTTCAACCTCATATGAAGAGAAAAAAACACGAACCACGTCGTTGTTTTCATCGTCGAGAAATCTTTCCCAGTCATATTTAGCCCTTTGAGCAACATCCGAACTTGTGTTGAAGTCCTTTTCAAGTTGCGCTAATTCTTCTTGCAGCCTGAGCACTTTTCTGTGACTAACACGTGATCCAGTTGCCTTATTGTCGTTTTGCGCTTTTCTCAGAGACTCCTCCACTTCCACCAATGCCTCTACTTTTCGACGAGCCTCGTTTTGCGTTCGGAGGTATGTGTTGAAGAGGTTAAGAGCTTCGGCATCGTCTTCTCCATATAAGTCGTCCTCTTCATCTGATTCGCTCTCAACCCCAACATCGCCGAACACTTTTTTTATGTCGCCAACCTCATCGTAATAACGGTCGCTCTGCATTTAGGGATAGTTTTGAGGGAATTGTTGAGAAACTAACCAGATCAACGTCATCACGTTGAATAAATTTGATAAGCGCATCCTCGGTGGTACTGACCTCTTCAGAGAGGTTGCGTAAACTCTCCTTACAAAGTTTAAGCTCATTACAGAGAGCAAGAACTTTTTTTCGATTCTCGGGTGTTGCGTCAAGTTCAGCATCTCTTTCGGCGTCCTTCAAAAGTTTCTTCGTTTCGTGGACCATCTCGACGATTTCTTCAGCCTCTTTTCGTTTTTGAACTAAAGCCCTGAAGGCAGCCAAGCCTTCGTCGTCGTCCATCTTGTGGCGGCGATAGCCCTCAGAACTAGGCGATAGCCCAAAAAAAAGCAAGTGAGGAGTTCTGGAAAAATCAACAAAAACTTTATCGATCGAACTCTTCGAATTTGATTAGGAAGGAGAAGAGAAAAATATGTTACTTTGTGAACATCGAGTCGGGGGATATTTCTAAAAAAAACTTGCGAAACGAAACTGAAAAAAAATTTTGAAATTTTCGGTAGGGAAAAAATTGTAAAAGAAAAATTATCTTATCATAAAAACTAATATAAGGAAACTGATTCGATTCTGTTCTTCAGCAGAAATTTATTGAGGAACGGATGAAATGTAACGAAAGGGCGGACGAGAAGGCTCAGGAGTGAAGGAACCGAGAGAGTGATTATGGGGAGCTATCGTTTGAATGGACGGCGCCGTTCCAGGTCTCACAACGGTTATTTTCTCGCGTCAAACATCTGGGGCGCCTAGTTCTGAGGTCAATTTTTTGAAAGGGTGTCAAAAGTTTTGAATCCTCGCGTTTGAGTCCAAAATCGTCGGAAAATGAAGAAAAAGTTGATATGAAGAAGGTTTGCAAATTTTTTCCATTATCGCAAAATAAAATTTGACTTTACGTTTTCTCAAGTTTCAAGCGGTTCTCTGGAAATATATTCTTGACTGAATTTTGTGCAGATTTTAACCTTTTTCCTTTTTCCGTATTAAATTTCCACTAGGAAATCTTCCGAACTTTGTCCCAGGTTGAATATTTATTTTTTTTCCGAGACTTCAAATCAAGTTTCACCAAGGTAGGAGGATATTGCTTAAATTGTACTATTCTTGCGCCCGATTTTTGCATCTATCACTTTGAGTTACCAAAACTCCATTCGAAAAAAGTTTTTCAAGTAGAACACGCCTGTGATGAAGAGCTCCCCTCAGAAAGACGATTGCCGATCGATCAGGAACATCCCATTGTGCATCGAGAACAACATGCAAAATTTCTCAGCAATCTCGTCAGCTGATACTGATGAATACTGTGTCTCCTTTCTTCTTATTTGTCTCAACTTGTTCGCCCACATAATTTGCATAAACACAGTTTTATTATTTTTTTATTTGCTAGCGGACCATTAAGGAAATCAGATTTATTGATAATTTGATTATATATGGAATGAAGATAAAAAAAGTAAAAACAGAAATTCGGTGGGTTATTCAGAAGACCAGTTCAGAAACAGAAACAAATGTTGAAAACACGGTGAACGCATGAAAAAAATCAGGAATCAGAAAATGAAGCAGATCGAGAAAAAAATTGGTCCATTAGAAAAAAACAACCAATCCATATCTTGAAAAAAAATGCGAAAAGTTGAATAAAAAAATGAAGTTTGATCATTCTCAGCAAATATAAAAAAAGCGACAATTTTAAAGCCTAAAACGGCAATCATGATTAGAACGATTCGAGCCGCCCGTTCGGACCACGACGTATCCACTTTCCTCGTTTCAGAACCCTCGTCGCGATTCTCAGGCTCATCAGTCTGTAATATGATATTTTCATGCTTTTATTACTGATTGGAATTTTTCACAAGTAAAGTACAGATAGAACTAATTTTTGAACTGAAAAAGATTTGCTTAGGAATTTACAAAGCTCCTGATTACAGCAAAATGAGTTTTCCCGCTTTTGAGCAGGCTTATGGAATCTCGAAAGGGCTCGAATTTTTTTTTCCTCTAGGAAAAGTAGAGAAAAGTTTTTGGATTTTCATTGCAGCAACTTCTTCAACGTCTTTTGAGCCCTTACTGAATAATCTCTGGAAAGTTTACCTCGTTCTCAGTGTTGCTCGCCGTTCCCGATTCCTCACCAGCGTTCGGATCTTCGTGAGGCACCGAGTCTTCATTCTGAAAAATTATTCTTGGTCGGGAGACATTTTTTTTGCCTCGAATGATTCTTGTTTCCAGATGACTCATTCATTCTTTAATTTTTCGTATAAAAAACTTCAAAGCAAAAATATCAACGACAAACAAGCAAATTTTCAAGTTCCTGTTTGGGTCCACAAAAAATTTCATAATTATTCAATAGAAAAAGGAAATTACCGAAGTGTCGATTATAATCGCAAACCTCCAGCTGACGATTTTCTCCAACTTGCTGCTGGAGCTGAAGCGGCACGGATGGCTCTCGTCGAACTTCCAGCCCCGGTCTCAGTTCCACCAGCTCAATTTCTGGTTCAGGTTGCACAGTCGCTCCCGTAGAAACTCTTTCTTGCGCAATAGACTCCGCTTCTAGTCTCTCCGTCAAACGATAAAAATAGTTAGAACTCTACAAAAATTATTCAGACCAGCTCATAAAAGGAAAACTAACCAATTGAGGGTTGCGCAACCGAAATTCTTTGAAGCGCATTCTGGCATCGCGGAGTTGCTGGAAATACAAGCGAGTTTCATTGTAGCAGAAGTCTCTATCCGTTCGGCAGTGATGCAGTAGATCCGTTAGAAACAGCGGGTAGTTCTCCCTGACAGTCAGCTCGTGGACCACTCGGAGCTCTTCTTCGACAGTCTCCAGAAGGAGGGACTTTTCATAATAAAGGTGGTTCGCCTCGGCGAGTGTTTTCAAGATTAATCGTCCTTCATCCATTTCGTTGCGATCGAAATCGGAAAGATGGAACTGAAACGTTAAAATTTGTTAGAAGTTTAAACTCGGTAAAAAAAATCTTTTCGAAAACTTTTCATGCAGTAAAATCGACAAACGGATGAGCTATGTAGAAAAATTGGAAGACTGATAAAAATAGGACACTTTCTGCGAGAAGAAATATCAAAAGACGCCAAATCTAAAAAAAAGTGTTTCATAAGAGATGAAAGTTTGAATGAGACAGCTTGTGGTAGCGCGTGATCAATGTTCATTTGATCCGAAAAAGATTTTTCGACAATCTTGCTATTGTCGTATGACTCAGATTTTTTGAACCAAAATAACATTGAAGAAGAAATTTTGAGAAAAAGATTAGTCACGAAATCGTACTTTATTGCATCATGTTGAATAACAATCTTAAAGATCTGATAAAAATCTTCTACGATCGCAAATGTTTTTTTGCTGTCGTCTATGAGTCATACAGAAAAAAACGTTTTTCAAAACGATTTATGTTGAACATTTTTTTGATTTCCATAAATAAAATGTTCAGTTAACCAGGAAACGTTTTTACCCTACGGTTGAACTTTTGCTGAAACCTTGCTGAAGTGTACTTTAGGACCCCCTGATTGCAGATCAAGAAAAAAATGTCTCGCAATAGATCTTGTTCCCGAGTTATGAAGCTTCAAACTGTGCAAAATACGCAAATTGAGCGTTATTTCGGGTTTTTGAAGCTCCATAACTCGAAGATGAGAACTATTGCGAGAAATTTTCTTTCTGTTCTGGGATCATGGATCCTAAAGTACACTTCCGCAATAATTCAAAGGGGGTGTAAAACCTTCCCTAGTAATTAGACTGATTAAAATGTTAGAAAGAACAAATCTTGTTTCGCAACTGTCTTCGAATATTAGCCACACAGAAAGAAAGAACTGTCTGGTGGAGAGCTAAAGAGAGAAATGAAAACTTTTAGTGACATTGAGATATGATGCGGACCTCGTGGGAAATGCAAACGCGCTAAAAGAAAAGAGTGCTATTTTAAAAGGTTTAATCGTGGCCTCTTTTCCAGAAAGTGTGTAGACTTTTTTGCATGTGGAGGAGAATGCCCGGTCTAAATTTTTGCTGTATAATTTTATGGTGTGTCTTATGATATAATGACTATCAAAAATTGTTCCGGAAACCGATATTCAGAAAAAATACTTACTGTTCATTTTCGATGGGCTGTTACTGACTACTCTGTGGCGCTTAGCGGACAATTCTTTGCATTTTCTGACACTCATATCAAGGAATATCTACCACAACATTTTTGCGCTAAATCTTCAATTTTTCACCTGAAGAACTTACCTTGTAGAACTGTAGAAGAGAAAGTGTGTAAAATTTAACCAAAAATTGCATTTTATGTCTCTTTAGACATTATATACTTGAAATATCCGCTTTGTCTGGAAGAGAGGTCAGAATTCAACCTTCTGAGAATGGTACCGTTTTTTTTTCAACGTCAAACTTTAATAACATGTGTGATTTTTTTTTTCTCTATTCAGCTTCTTCGATATTTCTTTTGCTGCCAGATTTTTGGGAAGAATATTCTTTTTCAATAACTAGTAAATTTCTCATAGTCAAACTGAAAAAAGTCTCAATTTTCAAGCCAAATCGTTCAAAGAGCGTTGTTCTGAAAAGTACACAACAAAGCCAGAAATTCAATTTGAAACCTTTTATGAAACTTTGTTCTGATTTTTCTTTTCCGAAGCACTGTGTTCAATCATTTGACCTTAAACAAAATTATCATGACTCAATTCCTTTCAAATTTTGGCTCTGCATACTATCTCTTCTGTCGTTTTTGTTGGAAAAGGAATGAGTCATTCATCCTGAGAAACAGAAAAAAAACCTTTTTACGAAATCTATTTTTGATTCGAATAAACATTGATCGCGCGCGCTGACAACGTTTATCATTCGAAACGGACCGCTCTATTTGAGCATTTCTTTTCGAATTAGCCTCTCATGGGATATCATTCTGCCTTTGAAATTTTTGCGTTCTCCTGTTAGTCAGTAGCTATTTTTCCATTTTTTTTTTCTTTGATGCTTTCTGAATGTACTACGGGAAAATTTCAGATTCCTCTTTCCGATTCCAGTCCCAACGAAATGGAGGAAGGACAGTTACTCTTGAAAACACTTGCCGAGGCGAACCAACTTTATTACGAAAAATCCGAGTGTCTGCAAAATGCCGAAGAAGAATTCCAAGCTATTCAAGAATTGGCTGTCATGGAGCGCTACTCGCCCTTGCGAAGGGAACAACTGCATCAGTTCCGAACGAACAGAGACTTCTGCTACAATGATACTCGCTTGCATTTACAGCAACTCCGCGATGCCCGAATGCGCTTCAAAGAATTTTTGGCTCGCAACCCTCAATTGGTTAGTTTTCTTTTTATGAGCTAGTCTGAATATATTTGTAGAAGTCCGATTACATTTATCGTTCGATGGAGAGACTAGAAGCGGATTACGTCGCGCAAAGAAGAGTTTCTACGGAAGCGACTGCGCAACCGGAACCAGAAAGGGAGCTGGTGGAACTGAGACCGGGGCTGGAAGTTCGACGAGAGCCGTCCGTGCCGCTTCAGCTCCAGCAGCAAGTTGGGGAAAATCGTCAGCTGGAGGTTTGCGATTATAATCGACACTTCGGTAATTCCTTTTCTATTGAATAATTATGGAATTTTTTGTGGACCCAAACAGGAACTTGAAAATTCGCTTTTTTTTCTATGGTAATTTTGCTTTGAAGTTTTGTATCAGAAAAATTAAAGAATGAATGAGTCTTCTGGAAAAACAGAATGTTTCGAGGCAAAAAAATGTCTCCCGACCAAGAATAATTTTTCAGAATGAAGACTTGGTGCCTCACGACGATCCGAACGTTGGCGAGGAACCTGCAACGGCGAGCAACACTGAGAACGAGGTAAAAATTCCAGAGATTATTCAGTAAGGGCTCAAAAGACTTTGAAGAAGTTGCTGCAATGAGAGCTGAATTATCCAAAATCTTTTCTCTACTTTTTCTAGAGGAAAAAAAAAGTTCGAGCCCTTTCGAGATTTCATAAGCCTGCTCAAAAGCGGGAAAACTCATTTTGCTGTAATCAGGAGCTTTGTAAATTCCTAAGCAAATCTTTTTCAGTTCCAAAATTAGTTCTATCTGTACTTTACTTGTGAAAAATTCCAATCAGTAATAAAAGCATGAAAATATCATATTACAGACTGATGAGCCTGAGAATCGCGACGAGGGTTCTGAAACGAGAAAGTGGATACGTCGTGGTCCGAACGGGCGGCTCGAATCGTTCTAATCATGATTGCCGTTTTAGGCTTTAAAATTGTCGCTTTTTATATTTGCTGAGAATGATCAAACTTCATTTTTATTCAACTTTTCGCATTTTTTTCAAGATATGGATTGGTTTTTTTCTAATAGACCAGTTTTTCTCGATCTGCTTCGTTTTCTGATTCCTGATCTTTTTCATGCGTTCACCGTATTTTCAAACATTTTTTTTTCTGTTTCTGAATTGGTCTTCTGAATAACCCACCAAATTTTGTTTTACTTTTATCTTCATTCCATATATAATCAATTATCAAAAAATCTGATTTCCTCAATGACCCGCTGAAAAATAAAAAAATAACACAGCTGTATTGTTGCTAATTTTGTGAACGTACAAGTTGAGACGAATAAAAAGGAAGTTACCAAAACATTTAAGGTTTCGTTAAAACGACGTTAGCCAAGGAATCATTTTTAAAAGCAAAAAGTTTCTGTGCGGATTTTGTCACTGTTCGTGGCAAACATTCAGAAAAGCATGTTCTCAACATGTTTGAATATTCTCAAAATATAACGGAAAGAGGACAAAGCTTGCAAATTGCATAAAATTCAGTTGAGAATATTTCTATAGACAAATTTTTCAGGTGGTCATTCAATAATTGACGCTTTCCGTCACAAGAATGGATGAATGAAGCTTCCATCAATAAAGTTATTAAGATTGGCTTTTTCATGACAATGTTCATTGTGTATTTTATAATAAAGACCAAAAACTTCTTGAAACAAAAGTCAATTCTCCAGATTTATGAATGTTGAGTTTCGCGCATTGTTTGAATGGCTGGTCAAAAGTTGACCCGCGAAAGAGTTGCGAGTTCTTCTTTCTTTGGCGCGCACACGTTCATCGTTCACGGGGTCAGCGCGCCATCTCTTCCGTTCGAAATGCTCTGCAACCGGCGTGAACTTTCTTTCCGTCAGCTCTTGTCAGGGCTTTGTTTTGATTATGTAGTCCATCCCGCTACTGCTTGTCACGTTTTTCTATTCGCAAAAACTATATACTGCAATAGATAAAATTGAGACGACTTCGCTTCTAGACCTTTTTTTTTGCTGTTTTGTGAAGCCGAATAGAAAAAAGTTGTTTTTTGGAAAACCTTTATTGTGCGCTTTTTTAAAAATATGACCGCCTTGCGCAAAACTTTACAAAGCTAAAGAAAACATAAGACAAAGGTCGTGAAGCAAAACTGGTAAAATTTGATCAAACTTGGTATAGGGTCTTTTTGGAGGAAAGAAAAACGTGTACATTTGGTGCAAAATGAGCTTCATTTTCAATAAGATTTGAAAACTTATTTGAACAAAAGAGTTCCCGTTTTAATTTGTTCACTTTCGTTCCAAGTACATGAGACAATTTTTTAGAAATCGATAAGCATACTTTGAAACGTTTGCATTTGAAAGTTGTTTGTGGGATTTGATTTTTCCCACGGACCTTTCCCATTGATCAAGCGTTTTCTTTGGGCAACGGGCATTGTCCTTTTCAAACAAGCGGCCGGCGGATACTCTTTGTTCGAATTGATTTCCGAATTGTCATCTTTCCATTCTCTTTTCGCATTCACCTTCTCGCAAATTTGTTTTCCAGTTGCTCAAAACAATCTCGTTCACCCCCACATGTGATGAAGTAGATTGTCAGAACTTTTGAACTGTATCGTTTTTTGAATGTGCATTTTGTGCACTTTTTTGCCTTAACAAGGTGACACAACGACGCGGTTTGACAATTTGATAATCTCTCTCCGTACATGTTCGATTTCTAGCCGTTTTTCCGAAGGTTCGAATTCTCGATTCATGAAAACTCCTTCAGGCACTGTAAGAATCTCGTGATGTCGGTCGAGGAAGCTCTGGAACAGGGACGTCTTTTGACTGAAGCTCTCATGCGAGTCGAGCGAAACTACAGACGCAGCAGCCAAAATGTGGCTGATCTTGACAGACGTGTGGAATCGGCTACAATTGTGGCTGTAACGACGCGTTTGACGTCTCGAAGGCACCGGCTCCGGCGCATAATTATCATGAGAGACGCCTGCCACGACGAATGTCTCCAACTTCGGCGAGAAGTTACCAATGCTCTGGACAGCCTCAACGACTTTGTATCTTCACACCAACATTTGGTTCGTTTTCTTGTTCAATCTTTCGAATTTGTGTCCAAAAACATACGAAAACTCTTTTTTGTTGCTTTTTTGTATGGAGCCCATTACCCCTGAAACTTCGGAATGTTTGATAGCTGACCTTCGTAACGTCTGATTTAAATAGTCCGTTGGAAAAAACTCGAGTTTCAGGAAAATTAAGCTCAACACGAGAAATTTTTGAGAAGAAACCAATCGATTTTTTGCAGGGTCATGATTTTCTCTTTGGAATGCTAGAATTGCGTCGTCCCATGGTGGAGCTGGATGATGATATGGAGGAAGCGCAGGTGCAGCCTAACCCCGAAGATCTGGAACCGGAGGAGCCGACGCTGGAGGCCGAGAACATTGAAGCGGATCTCGACGTTTCCCAGCAGAATGATCCACAGCCACACGGAGAAGCGAATCAAGATGTTCAGCCGCCACATGAGGTACATTTTTGGAAGCAACCTATTAAAGAAACTAGGTTTAAAAAAAAATTTTTTTCATCTTACAAATGTTTTTTTGATTTGCTTTGTAAAAAGAACTGGGAATAACTTTCATATGTTCTTTTTGACTTATTTGAAGTTTTTTGGAAAAAATATCAGAGTTTTTCATTCAAAAAATGAAATTTCCAGTTGACCCTGAAAATTCATGAAAGTTTTTTTCAAACTACAAAACCAAATCAGAGTTAATAATTATTTTTTTGATCTTTCAGACTGATCCATCGATGACTCAAAGTACAACGGACGTTTCCACTGCAACTGGAACTGCCGGTTTTGAATTTGACTTCGCTACTTCTGAGGACATCATCCCTGCTTCTGAGGTCCCTGACGCTATTTTTGAAGTAACCGTTGTTACTTCTGAATCTGCGGTTAACACTTATGAGGAGGTACACTTTCATTATAACTTCAATTTGAAAAATTTGCAGTTAAATTTAGTTTTTGTAGAACGCTCCATCAATTCTCATATCCACCAAAAATGCTTATAACTGTCTAGTAATCCTTTGATTTTTCATGTTTCAGGTCAATAATACGAAGAGCCTCGATGAAGCGGGAGATACCAACCCAGCCGTAGGAGAGAGGATGGAGGTTCCAGAGGAACGAGGCGGATTGTCCGACTGCGAGAATGTGGCTCCGCCAAAGGGCGACCCCTCAACCTGAAATGTTCCTTCAGGATTCACCCGCCGAACTTTCCTTCTGCTTTTTTCTTGGCATTTGTGGCCGTGGTTTCATTTTTTTTTTCAAGAATATTTGACTTTCTACCACTTGACTTTCAGTTACACAAGCTCTTGTAATCCCAGTTTCTATGATTTCCCTGTCATTTGTTTTTTGTTTCTCTTCAGAATCATGCTCTTCTGTGTATTACTATTTTTCTTGTCCCCTTTTTTTATAGATCTCAGATCTCTTATGTTTTTTTCCTATGATGATTTCAGTGCTCTATCCTGCTAAACGTGAACTTTTTTCGTATTAGTTTTTCGTGAAATTAAGACTACCACAAATAATCAATTCTCTCTTCCCCGTGGTCGGAAATATTCGAGAATGTATTTCTTTCTCGTCACATGGTTTGAAGACCTACGAGATTCTGTAAACTTTGATTTATTGATATACTTGTTACTTGTTTTTTTTCTTCAATCTCCGCCTGAAATTTGTTTTTATTTCCTCCCCTCGTTCCGTTTCATAGATCCCAAATTTGTTCCAGAATGGTTTTCATGTTGTTTTGTTTATCGGATGATCCGAGTGGTCAAACCGCTGAGTTCGTGTCTATTTCTCCACTCCGTACAATTTTTGATTTTTGTTCTTGAATACTTATCTTGAATACTTACCTTTTGTCTATCGAATGAGCTAATGTTTTTTTCAACCTACAACCATTTTTTCCCAAGTAAATTTTATCATTTGAAGGCTGCAGCTTGAAGACGTTGGCATTAAGATATTGAGCAACACGATTTACTCGTCGTGCTAGTCGAGTTTGTGGCCTCTGATTTACCTCTGTCATGCTGGAAAAAAACTTGAAAGAGAAAAAAACAAAGTTTCTATCACTATAGCATATGAAAGAAAGTTGTCGTCAAAGGGTCCTAAAGAAACCCTAAAATGGAGATTCCGATTCGTGTTTTTGTTTCTGCTCCCTGTCCTTCAAAAACTTTGCACTTGGTGGAATTTGGAACACAAACGGAATAACTGAGGACAATCTTATCAATTAATTTTTTTAGCTCCACCTTATGTAGTGCGGAAATTATCTGTTGTGTGAGAAGACATAGCAAACTTTAAGAGTTATCCAGAATTTTTGCATTGTTTTCAAGGTTTCGCGTTTACCTTAAAAAAAGAATCCAGTCCATTGATCATCTAGTACAGAAATCCTAAAATAGAGAAGGCATTTTTATGATAGCCGACCCTCTTTGGCTTGAGCGGAATTGATTCCTGAGGACTTTTGAGACATTGACGCTTCAAATGAGTTGTAGACATCAACTTATGATTTTTCATTGATCAGTTCAGTATCAGGGGACATTTTCCAACCAATATTTCCACGCCTGCTTTTGAGGCTTAATTTAAAAGACTTCCTGAGAACACAGAAATGTTATTTTTTTCCTTTTTACCCTCAATTTCAGACATTAGTTGAGTTTTTTATATACTATCTTCATTTCTGGTAGCCAATGCGGTATCAGAAACATGTCTTCAGGCGTTTTTAGCAGTTAATTCATTTTGATTTCGTGTCAAAACAATAGTAATTGGCTTTATTTCAAGTCCTTCTGGCTTTTCTAGTTTTTAGAAAGTTGTGACCGAGAAGGATTTTTTATTTCTTTTTGCTCTAAGTCCCACTTTTTTTTTCATTTAGGATTGACTGGATGCTCTAAATATTTGTCTAATTGGACAAAATTCAGCACGTCAGACCACGAGAAGGCAATGCCAATTCTGAAACAAAAAGTATTTTATTTTTCCGTGAAATCTTTGACTCACCTCGTGATGCATTCTGACGTCGTTTGTAGCAATTTCTGCTGAGGACCCTCAAATTTGTCAACGAAAGGAAAAACTCGACGCGCGACTATTCCAAGACTCAAGAGCAGCAAAAACTACCACCTCTCAAACTCCCAAACTATAAACTCAAAGTGACTAAAAAAATTGTTCGAACTATTTTTAGAGCTCATGTTTTTTCCCACTACATCCCCGGATAACATATTTTGTTTTTAGCCGAAGTGAGTTCAAAGGAAACAACAGAGGCTTTATTGAACCAAGAGAAAACGACGATTCAGAAGCCGTCGTCCACGTGGCCATTCTGAACAAGCGTCGTTATTGTTGTTCAAAGTATTAATGTTGTCTATTTTTCAACTAAAACTAAGAAGTTTGACTAGGAATGAGTTTTAACTTGATTTTAATGCTAAGAATCGTACCTATTCCTTAAAGCTCACTTTTTTATTCTGTTTCTAAGTGAACAAGTACGGGAGACTCAACTCAAAATGATCTCCTACGTCTAAACTTTTCCTATCTGCGCAACTAAGTTTTATATTGTAGTACCTCGCGCAGAGACAAACGGTAGCCAATCGCAAGGAGAGCAGCACGAAGGTCCAGAGACGCGGCGCGGTAAGCCTCAAGGCGGTTGGAAGCAATGATCGCCTCGAACCTAATCGACACTGCGTGTTCCTCTCGCGGATCTTGGAGATAGGTCTCGCGGGCAATCTCGCAAGCGGCGAGCTGACGGATCAGTTCGAAGCGACATTCTTGATAGTGCATTCGTAGGTCATCAAGAGAGCTCATCTATTGCAAGAAAAAAATGTTTTTTTATTTTATTTTTTTCGTTGTCATCAGATGTCAAATTTGATGAATCGGGTTAATTTAGAGTCGAAATGTCAACTAAAAAAATCCTCTCGATTTTTCGGGCTCAAGTTCTTTCCGTTAGAAGGACTACACTCGTTCATTCTTATATATTTAAAAGCTGAATTCCGAATAATACACCTATTTACTGGTACCTGACCAGTTCCTGCATTTCAACTTTTGTTAACTGTCGAGAAAATAGTGATAAACTTATTATTATGAAGCATCCCTTCACAAATCATGTAATCAAGTTCGTAAATATTTTCGATAGCCGTCAAAAATAATTTTTTTAAGGTTTTCTACAAGTAAAAAGTGACTCTAATCACCAAATTCAACACCGATGCAGTATTTACTCAATTAGTCATCTCTCACAACGATAAAAACAGTAAAAAAACGAATCAGAACAACTTGACCTTTTGTAACACCGTTCGAATCGAAGTGAGAGCTTCCTCATATCAATATACTTTGAACCATTGTTGAAATGATAGTTGTTTTATTGTTTTTTACTTGTTTCAAAACAAAAATAACATAAAAAGTACAACAATCATTTCAAAAAACTGAATTGAACAGCTCAGAACGAGAGCAGAATGCAGCGGCCAAGTTCAATAGTTCCTCTTCGGTGTGTGCACACTTTTGCTCGCGTACCGTGTTTTCGCCTTGAAGAAGTCGGATATAGTGTTATTTTTTTGATTTGAAAATTTTTTTATTTACAAACAATTTTAGTAAAAATAAACATTCAAACAAATTTTTCGACAAGAAAAATACATTTAAAACTGCAAATTTGGCATCAAAAAGGATAATTGACGAGAAACACGAACAATATGCTTGCGGCTGGAAAATTTTTCATGTGTAGTACATTCTAATTTTTTTACCAACAAAATGAAAAAAACACATTGAGCAATCTGAAAAAAAGTTTTCAGAAAAGAGAAAAGTAAGAATGATGCTGCTAAAAAAATTGAAAAAAATCATCAAAAAGGAATTTTTTTCGATTTCGCATGGGATTCTGTTTGGCTCTGCTTTGTACAGATGTAATGAAAACATTTTTTTATGAATATAAAAACATTAGTGAACACTTAGTGAGCAAATAAATTATTTGAGAAAATAAGAAAATTCAAAAAAACTGTCGAAATCTTCTTTTCAGTCGATGACACGGCGTGTCGTGAGGTCTTTCGCTCGACGGAGTTGTGTTTTCATTTAACACGAAAATTCTGTATTATTGTACAAATGAAAAATGTTCAATCTGACTATTTCAATAATTGAACTACTCTGATTCGGAAAAACAATCATGGTGACTCGATGGATCGTGATTTCTCAACGGTAGTCGCCATGGTGAGGCAGGATTTCGCGGTTTTCTCGTGGTTTTAATTGTGCTTGACTTCTATCGGCTGCAGTGAACGTTTCAAAACAACAGAAAAAATATACGAAACCCAGTCAACGAAATGATTGATTGACAATACAAGAAAATTCAAAAAAACTGTCGGAATCTTCTTTTCAGTCGATGACACGGCGTGTCGTGAGGTCTTTTGCTCGACGGAGTTGTGTTTTCATTTAACAAAAAAATTCTGTATTATTGTACAAATAAAAAATTTTCAATCTGGCTATTTTATTAATTGAACTACTCTGATTCGGAAAAACAATCATGGTGACTCGATGGATCGTGATTTCTCAACGGTAGTCGCCATGGTGAGGCAGGATTTCGCGGTTTTCTCGTGGTTTTGTTTGTGCTCGACTTTTATTGACTGCAGAACAAGTGGATTTCGGGGGAAATATGATACGAAAAAGGTGTCGAGTTTAAGATTCACAAATGAAAATCGGGAAAACTGAGCAGCATCATTTACTTGCGGTGGTTAACAATATATACAGAAATATGGGGAACAAGTCAAAGAACAAGATGAATCCAAAAACAAATGAGAAAACTTCGTTTGAAACAAGTGACAACGGATTATCCAAATGATTATACAGAATGGACTGGCTTTTTCAAGCGCTTAACAGTGTGTACATGAACAGAAAAATTCCTTTAAAAAAATTGAGAACAAAAAGAAAAAAAGAAATTTAGAAAAAAAATTTCTGGTTGCAGATGAGTACTATTACAATGACGCTTTCTCGATCGAGTCGTCTTTTTCAGGCGCCAAATTTTCATCGGCAGTTTTTTCGCCTCGCATCTCGTAAACATCATTCTGAAACTTCATATTTCAAACATTCCGTATATTCAGTTTTGAACACGTCTCAGTAAGGTCTAACTTGTTTGTATGCTGTGTTATTTTTTTGAACTTTGTCCCTTTTCCAATGGCTTAAAAAAATAAAAACTATAGAAGTTATAGAAAGTAGTTCACTTCTTGTTTTCAAATCTCTCTTTTCGGTGATGAAATCGATATTTTTTTAATTCGAAACCATTTAAATATATCATTCTTGTCATAGAGGTAACCGTTTTCCTGTCCTCGCCAGTTCCCGCCTCAAAAATGGTGTGCGGTTTCAGATCGTTAAGGCGCTACAGAAGTACAGAATTAAAACCGAAGATCCTTTAGGAGAAACGCTTCGAATATATCTTGTCTTCGAAATTCAAATGTCGCTCAAGTTCTTGTATTGGCTCCGGTTCAGGCTGCAGCTCGAATTGTGGCTCCAGATGCACAAAAAGCTGTGCTGGCTGGAACATATTAAGGAAAACTCAAATTTCGCTTCGAAAAAATTGTTTTTAAACATCTCAGAGTAAATTTGAAACTTGAAATAAAAACACGAAATTCTAGTCAACTATTAGTTTTTTTGAAAAAAACAGAATTATTTTTAAGCAAAAATTCTTCAAGTCGTTTCCAAAAATTACCTCGACAATTTGTGAATGTTCTTCTTGACTTTCAAGGTCATGGCTTGGCTCTGGTCCAGATAGTGGCTGAGAAGGTGTCTCAAGCGGCGGAAGTTTCTGTACAAATTGTGGTTGATGCATTCCGTCCGAGGCTTCTTGATTATCCTTCTGTAAATAAAAAAGAAATGAATACGCAAGAAAAATTTTCTCGCTTTATTTTCATATTTGCAAGTTTTTAGAACTTCAATATTTTCTTGAAATTTCGCTAATTTTCTTACGATTGGCTTCTAAGGAGAACACCAAACACAAAAAAAGATCTTGCAATTCACGTTAGGTTTTCCATTTTCTCTCAGGAAATTACTGTGCAAACTCATTAAATCTAGCACCCTAATAAAATTGGAAAAACAGAATGCGTGAGTTTCGACTTGATATTATTAAATATACCTCTTTATATCGCCCTTGTTCCTTTTCCCGATCGGATTCCTGCATTGACCGAGGATCTTGTTGCACGTCGGGGAGTTTTTGCAGGAACTCCGGAATTATTCCTCTTTTTTCCAAGCCGTGATTTTCAAAGAACTGGGCGAGGTCAGCAATCCGCGGGCGTCGTAAGCCGGCAAGTAAATCTTTGCCCTGAATTCAGACGAATTATGCTCACAATTCTTTGGTAGAAAAAACCAGTAGGTTTGGCATTTTGTCGACAGTCTCAGTGAGAAAATCTCGGCCTCGGGCCAAGTACGGGAGAGTTTCGAAAGCATGGTCGAGGCTTCGATCTCTGAACTGCTCCAGCCGCTGCACTCGATGTTGGATGACGGGTCTGCCAGTCTCTTCGGACAACTTTTTGATTCCCAGTAGCTGATCTTGGGTCTGAGCGGCCCTTTGGAACCAGGCGTCCGCTTTTCTCTGCTGGTTGTTGATAGCAGCTCGCAGTTGGAAAAGACCTTGAAGGAAATCTTCCATTGAAGACATGAGGAGCCTGAAAACTATCGATGTATCCCCTTCTTCACGATTTGAGCAAAAATCTACAATTCGACGCGTGTCGTACAAAAAACGCGCTCAAGTTTCGCCTTACTGCCAACTTTTACCAAATTTTACCGATTTACGATAACAGGAAACAGTAATGGAATTACAAGTAATCATTGATAATGGGAACTATGTGGCTTGAGAAATTTTTTTGAATAATTTTTTTCTAAGCTTATTGGTGTATAACACAAAAATCGTTGCAAAAATGCTATACAAACTGAAAAATCCTCAACTACTTGAAAGATTCATAATATGAACGACTGGAAATTTTTTTTTGGTATGAAATTGAACTGATTCACTTCATTAAAAAAATAGAAGAGAAGACAAAAAAACAAAATTCACAAAAACCTCGGTAAACATGTAAAAAAAAAGAAGGTAAGACAAAAAGAAAAAGAAAACGCAGAACGAAAAAGAAAAAGAGCCTTGTCGTTCCATTATTCAAAAGATGAGGGTCTCGCAACGCCTCTAGACGCGGGAATCGTGGAAGGCGCGAACTCCAGAGGTCAACCTCTGACTGAGTTTTGACCAGTCTTTGCAAGTTGGTTAGTGAGTGAAATAGAGGTGAATTTTTCTCAGAAACACGTAATAACAACGGTTTTCGGCAGTTTATATAGAGAAGACCAGATCCAGGGGCTCAATGACGGTTCACTGGCGATCCGTCGCTGCTTCCGGCTTTTTTGATGCTGAACATCGATTGGCAAGAAGCTATGAAAAACTTTTCAAAAACGTGTTTTGATATATTTCAGGAATAGTTGCGGGGGATAGTTCGATTTGCGGGCTGTTAACGCCAGCCAGAGGTGATCCTGATAACGATAAGATTTCGGAATTTTTTGCAGCCAGCGAAGAATCATTTTTCCATCACTTAGTGATTCATCATGGATTACTTTGACTCTTAGAACTACTTTCTATTCATCAACAGAACAATTTAAACAGTGTATTCAATAGAAAAGAAAGCGTTGCTTAATTTCATTTGACAAAATAATTTCAGAAGTTGTTTTAAGCTAACTAAAGATTCTATCAAAAAAATATCTTTTTCATGAAGTAGTGATAATTTCAAATTACCGTCATGTTTAAGTATCCGAATTTTTAACTTATACTTAAGATACGAAACTTTTTTTAAGATTTTTTTGCAAATCTTTAAAAAAATTAGAGAGAAAGTCTCTTTAAAAAAATTTTTCGTGACTGTTCGAAAAAAATTTTTTTTATTTCAGATAAAATCTACAGTCATTAAAAAAATGACACTTTTTTTCAAACAGAAGAACCATCACCACAAGGAATTGCTTTCAAAAAAAGGGAAGATTACTAGGTCTTACAGAGCATGGAAAGGCGCCAATAACGGAAGGCGCCAATTCCAGAGGTCAATCTTTGACCAGGAATTCAAAAAAATGGTTGAGAGGTTCGGGGCGGGAAATTCAAAAGTATTTAGGTTTACCGTTGAAGTATATTATAGACGCTGTTTTTTTACTAAATTTTCTAAATCATTGGCGATACTTTAAAATGATACCGAATGCTTCAAAAATTTCTACTCGAGATTATGTAGCTCGACCAAAGACATAAAAAGTCGGTTGATCCCGTTCTAAAGGTTTTACTGTTGGAAAGAGATCTCCGAAGATGATGGAAATCTAGTTAAGTTAGAAAACTTTTTTGTTTTCAGTAATGTGTATCGGGTCTTATTACATATTCATGTTAAGTTTCACAGCAATCGAGATTGATTGAGAAAAGTTATTGTCAAAAATATATTCGTATTTTCATGATCGGTACAGCAGCAACATTACGATTGCCAAGAAAAGAAGAAGTGTTTCGGCCGACGGATCAGCGTGCAGGAGCTATCGATTGGCTTGAGGCACTGCCCTAATGTAGGATGAATCATGTGCATCGCCTCCGAAATTTCTGCGCGGACGACGGAAAAAAAAACGCGCTTGCCAGAAAATTCGTTGCACTTTCCCTTCTTTTCGAATCGAAAACTAATGTAGAGCCTTCAATTCGCAACTTTTCCCCGTATTTCCATTCATGCCTTTTCTTCAATCTCAACTTTCTGCTCTATAAATTTAAATCAGATAACCACGAAACGTGGTTCGAAGTATTTTATACTGTTGTGAAAAAAAGTGGAATTTGTATTAATTCGCTACTTTTTTTGTTGGTTTTTTTCCGATTTTAGTTGCTTTTAAACTTATAAAATACTCAAGTTAATGTCATTCAAAAAAAGAATATCACGGTCATGAAAAACGTTGATATACTCTTTTCTGTTGTAAATTAGATTGCACTTTAGAAAAAGAATTCATTATTTTTCGAAATTCCTCTTCTTCTAAGATGCATTTCAAGATGCGCAATGTTTTCTGAATCATAAATTCAAAGTTGAATGGTTGGTCAATAAAATTTGTTGTTTTCGCGGTCGATCTCACTGTTTATTTTTCACGATTTTCAGAAAACAATTTTATTCTTTCAGGTCAAGTCGAAATGCCTGAAGAAACGGAGGCTTACTATAAAAGTCGTTTTAACTCTCTCGATGTGGAAATGACCGAACTCTTCCAAGAGAACGAACAGTTGAACGAGGATCTGGACAACATCGACCGCCAGATTGATGAAGAACCTACTCCCGCTCTCTACCGTGAGAAACGTCGCTTGGAGGAGGCAATCGAGGCTATCGACGCCAGCATAGAGTCTGTTTTCGCAAAAATGGAAGACAACCGCAATAAGTTAGAAGCGTTCAAGAAACGTCAGGCTGACAAGGAAGCGGTAAGTTTTTTTCGATTCGACCATCTTAACTCTTTATTCTTTCTGCAGGTCAATCGAGAGCCTGATGTCGTCACTGACTCCTCGTCTGCCGCTGAGGCTTCTCCATTGAGCGAATCCTTGTCTGACACCGACAGCGACGGTTTTTAAATCGTATGTTTTCCCTCGGCTTTACTTGAAGAATATTATAATTTCAGGCTTGTCACACGACCACGAGATTTCAGATCTCTTACCTGTTTTTTGTTGCCTTCATTGGAATTTTATTGTCTTTCTTTTGCGTCTAATATTTTTGATTTTCTCTCATTTTTTACAAATAAACTGTTGCGTACAGATATAATAAAGCATTTTTTGAGTATAAAAAGAAAAATAACTACCAGGTAATACATTTGATTGATTGACAGTTCAAAAAATTTGAGCAACAAGGAAAGATCCTTGTTTCAGTCGATGACATGTCTTGAAACTGATAATGACATTGTTTTGGACAGAAGAACCATCAACACAAGAAATCTCTTTCAAAAAAAAAGGGAGGCCTTCAAGTTCTTACAGTGCATGGAAAGGCGCCAATATCGGAAGGCGCCAATTCCAGAGGTCAACTTTTGACCAGCCATTCCAAAAAAAAAGTAGAGAGCCCCTTGACGTGGAATTCAAAAATTTTTTGGTTCTTCGTTGAAGTATATTACAGACGCTGTTTCTTTCGCAATATTTTTCCATTATTGACTTTACTTTCTAATAATACCAAATGTTATAAAACTTTCAACTTTTTCCTTGTTACCCTTTGTAAATTTCTTATTCTCTTATTTTTTCAATAACCACGTGAGATAGAAAAAAATCGTTTGAATGCTAAATTTCTTTACAGAGACGGCTATTAAGATTTTATTTACAAGCACAATCAGCAGAAAATGACAGCAACATGTTCAGTTTCGATCATTTTTCTGTGTTTTATTTTTGAGAAGATGCAAAACTTATAATACACGTATTGATAAACCTTGTTTTGTTAAGTCAAAACTATTATTAAAGTATATTCCTGTCTCCTATCGTCTTTCGCAAAAAAACACATTTCAACTATTTTCATACGATTTTTTTGTTTTTCAATTTCCATCAATCACTCTACTTCATATTCATTAATTGTAATTTTATCTGTATAATAATGGATAAACAAAAAAAGTTTATTAATCTAAATTAAGAATGACGTAATTTTATGAGATTTTTTTGACGGATTTTTCCAGGAACTTGAGCTAAAAAGAAAGGTTCTTTTGAACCCTTTTATGAGAAGAGTATCAAAAAATTCAATAAAACAAAATTGATAACGAAATTTTTGTTCAAATGCATCAATTAACGTAAGTGGAGTTTATTTTTTTTTTTTAATTGTTGTGCTGAAACTTCATTGTCTCAAACGCTAGAAAGTTTGTGTACTGTTTTTTTGCTTTGACGCTTTTTTCACTTGAATGTTTCATTGAATCAAAATTTTGAAGAGTTTCAGAAACTATGAGAAGGTCGAACGAGCAGAAAAAAAGGCTCCACACTCCAACAAACTTCCCCGAAGCACAACAAAAACTCGACAAATCCCAGGTGCAAGATGAATGTTCTGAAGACCTCGACTCCGCGAATAACTTAGGAATTTTTGATTTTCTGAATTTCTTTTGAGAATAATACGAGAAGAGCTATTTAATTATATTGAGAACAGATCTTCGCTCTCTAATTTGAAGGACCAATTCATTTGTTAGTTCTTTAACTTATGAAAAAGACCTAAGTTCGATCCTTTTTCAAGTCATTTTTGTTTGCTGTTATAAAAATAAAATAAAGAAAAAGCTACTTTATTTACGACGCAAAAAACATTTACAGGACGCAAAAAACATTCACAGGACGGAAAAAAAGGATTTATTTGAAGATGGAGACGTCGTCACTTGTCCTCCTAAAGTCATTTATTATCCGAATCACAAGAATTTCTAATGCGTACCTCTCAAGCGTCGTCGATTTCCATGAGGTCCAATTTAATGGCTTCGATCTGAAAGTACACAAGTTATTGGAACTCGTGAAAGACTTCCGTTGGATTGTAGCTTTTTATAACTTATATTTAATTTATTAACTTTAGGAATTCTAGAAAGTTTCTTATAAACTCTCAATCTCAATTCAAAATTTTTAGTTTCAATTGAAACTATACCTCCTCCATTTCGACGTCGATGTTATGATTCTGGACTCCTTGTCCACTGGCGACAACAGGCTTGACGTTGTTTTCAACGGCCTGAAATCAGAAATTTATCAAATCTCACTTTTTTTCAGCCCAAATTTTTTTTCTCGCAGCTTTTTTTTCAACACAGTGTTCGATAATTCATTATTTTTTCTAAATGATTTGAAAGCTGATTCTTAAATATACCTCGATTTCCATGTTGGCTCCTCGACCCGACATAGCGAAATTAAGGCTATTTTCGATGAAGATTGGAGTTAAAATCTTCGGTTTTCCCGCGCTTTGTGGGTGGCTGAAACAAAACATATTATTTTTTATAGATATATATCAATAATTTGCAATCTGAAACTATCAAATTTTTGCTTTGATCTACCTCAACTCCTTCCAAAGTAAGAGAATGTCCTCTTTTCGGAGGCTCCGGAAACTGTTGGAGAATCTCCGAGAAAATCTCGTCTCCACGAGTGAGCCCAAGTCCGGTAAGAATTTCGGTGACGAACCTACGGTCCTACAAGAAGATTAGTTATTGAATGATTGCACGAAATTAAACTCACAATCTCGTTGATGTGAACGCTGCGATACTCGTCACAGCGCTCTTGAGAAGTCTTGATGAGTCGCTCCAGGATGCCTTGCTTCCGGGTTCGGTTCTCGATCGAGAAGTCCAGAAGGTTGTCCTAGACCAGTCTCAACGGGCGGCAGTCCTTGCATGACGGCCTTGTCCCTCTCTTCACGACGTTCCTTTCAACTTGTTCACGTTGTTCACCATTCGACGAAGCAACATCTTGCGCTCGATCAGACTTTTGTAGAGATAGGCAGGATTGTCGAGATTCATCATCCTGCAAGATAATTCGTTTATTTCTTTTTCACTCCACGACAAAAATAAACGACGCAAACGATTTGTGAATGAACTTCGGTTTCTAAAAGTCTTGCTTCAAAAGTTGTCAACGAAATGCACAAAAATGAGGACTATATCTATGTAAAAGTCATCAAAATTTGTGAGGAACAGAAAAAAATTTAAACGATGAGTGCGAAAAACTTTATGTTGAACGGAATAATCCAGGAACCGTCATTCATTTTTCATTTCAACATTTCAAACCTTTAAAAATGAATATTGGAGATTCGGTTTGTTTAAAAAATTTTAAAAAATTATCAGGACTCAGTATCCTGGAAGTTCCGTTCAACACAGATAACAGAAATACTTTGAACCGTAAAAAAAGATGTGCTTGAAAAAAAATACAGCCATCATCTTGAAATAAAATGAGAAAAACGTGAGTAAACGTAGGAAAATCGGCTTCATGGCGTCTATACACTATATCATGTCCGCCAGTAACCGTTTTCTTGTTTATAGAATAAAGTTTCTTTTAGAATACAGTCATTATCTTTTTCCATGCATTCATTTTATTCGAAAAATAAATTTCTGATTTACGAAGTAATGGAATTCGGCGGATCATCGTTTTTGAGTCGACTCGTGTGCAACGCAGGGCCGATTTAATTTTGATGCTCACTTTTTAGAAAAGAATGAAAATGAATAGCGTTTCATGTTATTGATTATGAACAAAAATAAGAAGCAGTTTGATAATTTTCTCATTTTTGCATCAAGAAAATTGAAAATTTGAATGATCATCTTTTTTTTTTGCCCGCCGCAGCAAAGACATCGAGCCTTTTCGAGGAAGTCTACCTTTTTCACGTCTTTTCTTCAATTAGTAGATAATAATCACATGTCATGTTTGTTCTGCTACAAGAAAAGTTCCAGAAATATTTTTTGCATGTCGACTTCTTGTTCAAAGTGCGGATTACAAGTATTTTACATGATGAAAGACACACAAAAACTTCATATCGGGTCAAAATTCTTCATACTCGTCTGAGTTTAGCCATTATTATTTGCCACACGAACTTTCGACCAGATTTCACGAGGACGACCCGAAACTTTTTATTCTACGAAGACAAATTCAAAACAAATATATTCATCTTATAGTTCTGGTGTATAAAGATTGAGTCCAAAAGTTTATTGGCATATTTTGAAAGGCCGATTTCTTGGACAAAGGCGCAGGAACTTGTGGGATCATCAGATAACGATATATTTCGGCCTGAAAAAAAAACCAGAAAAATACGAGTCAAAAGTAAACCGTTTTTGTATGTGTGACTTCAATTTTTGTTGGAAGATTCCCGTCAGGTATTTTTTTCGAATTCGGCTCTTAAAATGTGATCATCGTCGGGCAATTGGAATCCTGAATTTATAGGGGATATTATTATCTTCATGATTTCCAGCTTACCTCAACTTGATGAAACCCAAGTATTTCCTTCTCAATGCCCGGGTATGATTCTGAAGCTCGAGAAAGTTGCTTTAAATATGAAAAAGACGCAGGATATTCTGTAAAACATTCATTTTGTCAAATTCGCTCACCTTGAAAACAACACAGCGTCAGGCTCGTGTACTGACACTCGTGGATGAACCTTTCTAGGTTGATTGAGAACTTATATTCCTGTCGTAGTGGTGGAGTTTTATTTTGAGTCCTGGAAAGAATCTTCATTTCACGTTTTTTTTTATTTTTCGCTCACCTTTCGTGCAAGTTCCAACTTTCGGCGCACTTTGTCGTGCATTCCGGGCTTTTTACCGGACTTCGATCAATTTGATTGGTTGCGCCGTAATCTTCGAAATTCTGAAATTTGATATTATTTCTTACCTCTCACTTGGGATTGTAAATTGTTGTCATCAGTGGAAGATCGTTTCAATTTCATTTTCAAGTTGACGGCCAATTTTTTTTTCATTCTTCAAATCGATTTTCGAGTCGGCGTTCCGATCGAATACTTTGAAACGCCTGAAAAAATGAATTACTTGAACTTTATAATTTTTTTTGACAGAGAAAAACTCACGTCAATTTGCTCTATCGGGCTTTTGCCACTCACGGCTTTTTTTTCTATGACTCGATTGCCCAATAAGAACTTTAGATCAACTTTGATCCGGACAGAGACTCGTGATAGCTGAAATTTATTTGTTATTCTCATTTCCTGGTTTTCACTCACCTTTGCAAAAAGTACGTAGAATTTATTTTTCCGTGTGGACTTTCTGCTGCACAGCAACGTTTGGCTTCTTGCTTCTGCTAAGCAAATTTTCGAGCATTTGATGATTTTTTCAGTCGAAAAGTTGTAGAAACTTCTGAAAATTATTGAGTTTTAACTTATGTTTTATTTTCTCTCACCATGCAGATTTGAGGTGGAGCAAAACGTTCTCAGGTTTTCTCAGGACATTTTTTTTCCGATGAATCACTCAGCTAAGCGAAGATTCAAACGCTGGAGACATCTGCAGCTCTGAAAACTTTTCCACTCAGTTCTCTTCTAACTTTTCGCCTACCTTCAGAAGTAATCGTCTCCAAGAAAGCTGATTGTTGAGTCCTTGGCTCCAGGAAATGATCTTTTCTGAATTATTTTCATCATTACATGACTTGAAATGTCTATAACGCACCTCTTGCAGGTTGAAGTCAGATTGAAAAATTAATTTTGCTCTCGTCTTTCATCAAAGATGTTCTTACTTCTGTAAAAATTGTTTTAGCACATTTCCCAATTCCAACTGACCTATTAAAGACTTTCGGCCTGTGAAGACGGCTGATGGGATATTCTTTTCCAGTCCGAGACACGAGGTATTTCGAGAAGTTACAATGTTGCAAGTGCTCGGAAAACCCTGAAAACAAAATTTTTGTTTTGTCGTCCAACTTCCCGCTTACCTTTATTTGGCGCTGGTCAGGCGAATCCCGAGTTCGCTCTCTTGAAATTAGAAGAGCTCGGCAAATTGTGCCAGTTTTCCCCGCTCGTAAGACTTAGTATTTTGAAAAAAAGTCAGAGAAAATATAGTCAAAACTTTCTTAATAAAAAGTGACTTAAAGAAAAAAATATATGTTTTCTTTAGTTTGTTGTTTTTTTGAATAGAAGCAAAAAGATTGGAACGAAAAAAAAATCATTTGACAAGAGTAAAGACAGTTGATACCACGTTAATAATTGAGCGGGGAAAAATGAACTCAGGAACTAATCTGAAAATCAGACTGTTCCAAGAGTGTAATTTAGTACAAATATACCATAAGATTAGTGGGCGCCGACGTCATCGTCAGAATTGTTGGGCTCCTCATCGGCTTCCTCAGCCTCGAGATCTTCGACCTGTAAAGTATTCTTAATGATTCCCGCTTTTTCAGAAGTTTTCGAGTGAAAAACTAACAAGGTCATCGCCAGCCTCGTCGAGGTAGCGCTCGAGAACGTCTTGAGCGACGGCCGCAGCTTCCATGTCGGCAGCCGCCTTTTCCACAGACTTGATGAGTTCGCGTTCAACACGGAGGAACTCGAGCTGACGGCGGAGAGACTTGTCGGTCGTCGTCTTCTCAGAGGCGATAGCCAAGTAGTGAGTAAGGCGATCTTCTTCTTCCATAGAGTTCTGGGCGGTTTCGATAGCTTTCTCCATGATATCCATCAGACGCTGAGCTTCGCGAGCAGACATTCTTCGTTTTCTGAAATATTTCATCTTTACAAAGTCCTCATAATAAACGCGGAAAACGATCACGCAAAACGACAATGAAACCAACGAGAAACCGAAGAGGAAATTCCTTTTTCGTAATGAAACGCGATAAATCACATGTAAATAAGTTTTTTTATTTTTTTGTTTTCAAATTAAGAATCATGTATTTACGTGACTATTACTTGAAAAATTTTGAAATAGTTCAGTACGCTAAAAAGAAATTGTAGATAAAAATACTTCAAAACGACCAAAAAATGCACTGAGAAAAGTGTGCAAGCCAATTTGGAGAGATTGAACGCCTCAACCAACAGAAAAAACTTTGAACAACGTTCAAAACAACCTTGTTTCTTGTTTAGAAACGAAAAATAAAAGAAAAAAGAAAAAAAAACGAAAAATAAGAGTGAAAAATGAGAGCGACACGAGCAGAGGAAGAGCGATTGTGTGTGTAGTTCCTACTCGGTGTATGCACATTTTCGTCCGCCGCGTACAGTTTCTTCACAAAAAGAGTTAGAACACATTCAAACTAGCATACTTATGTTATATTCACGTTTACTATTTATTCTGAATCCAAGAAAAAATTCTAACTGAAAAAATAAAATTTTTACGCCGGTTAAATGTTCAACGTGAGCCACATGGGGCTGTTTGCAAAGCTCAGTTCTTTTTTTATAGCAAATTTTTGGTTCTTCTCTGCTCTGATTTACCAGGGGAATACCTTTGTAACGTTAGGAACAATAAAACAGAAGATCTGAATAATTTTATAAGAAAATTTTGAATAAAAAAGTCGACGAATCGAATTAATTTTTATTTCCTGCACACTTAATAAATGGACTCAAGCCCTTGAAACTTATTTTCTTTTGTTTAACTTGCCTAGTATTTAATCAACTCCATGTAACAAAAAAAAATATAAATAAAAACTTTTCTGTTGCCTTTTGATAGAAATTGCAGTGAAAATACACGATTTTCAAGTATTTCAATGGTCTCAACGGCCGAAATGCGTTGTTTCTTGTATTTGGCACTGTTTTGGGTCAGTTTTTTGTTTCTAATCTAGTGGGATAACATTATCGGAATGTTAAAATTAAACAGAGGTTTTCTGAATGTAATTTTATGTATAGAAAATTATGAAAACAGCCCACAAAAGCCAGGAACAACGCCTTTCTTCCAATGAAACCTTTGAACGCTGAGTTTTAACGCATTTTCATTGGTTTCCTGTTTTCATTAGGCGTTAAAATATACATTTTTTTGCTTTAATATTGTTTTGGGTATGATATTTCTTGAAATCAATCATTGAAACAAACGTAATTCGTTCAAAGAGCTCGAAGCAACTTGAAAAGCGACCAGAGAGTAAGTTTTTACGGATATGTTGCCATAACTTTGATTAATCGAGTACGAACTTTCCATCGATGTAGTTAAGAGACGAACGTTTTGAAGATGTATTCAAATAAACCAGTCCCCGCATCAAAATACTGAGAGCTCAATTTTTAGACTTGCCTGGCTGGTAAAAGTCACAAAGCAACCAAGTTTCCCTCGTTTCCGATTCAAAATAGTCTAGTTCCTGAAGTTGCATCAAAGGGATGGTCTGAAAATACTCAATACAACCAAATATTGCTTACTGCAACATATGATTGGCTTTTATAGCGTTTACATATAAGAAAACAGTGAAACATGGCGGAAAAAACCTAATCTTACGTCATTCGACTTACTTATAACAGTAAAAATAGAAGGTACTTTGTGTAACACTTAAAACAGCACTTCAATGCGTTTGGAATCGAAAAAGAAAAACCAAAAACCAAAAAAAAAACCAAAAAAACGAGTGAAAAATGAGAGCGACACGAGCAGAGGAAGAGCGGTTGTGTGCGTGGTTCCTACTCGGTGTGTGCAGAATTTCGTCCGCCGCATACCGTTTCTTCCTGAAAACCTTTCAAATTCATAGAAGCTTTTTTTTTTATGATGAAATGATGTTTATAATTCATTCTGAATCTAGAAAAAATTTTGGCTGACAAAAATCGTATGATCAGCTAGCTGAAGGTTTTCCAGTCGACTCGTGAGCAACAAAGTGCAGTTTTCATGTTCAGTTCCTTGTTGTAGACAAGTTTTGACTCAGTTTGTATTACAGTTTGATTGAAAGTACAAAATAACCGGTTTGGATTGTTAAAATGGAGCTATGGATACTCAAACGACAAAAAAGGTACTCCAGCATGCAGTAGACCCCTACCGTCCGCCGTGTTCTGGCCTGTGAGGGAGTTTTTATGGGTTTCTCAGAGATTCTATTGTCTGTAGCATAATATATACAATAAACTAGTTTTCCATTGTTTCTGAAAAACAATTTTGTTTTTGCTATCACCATTCCGTGTATTTTCTTTGTTCCGTGTATTTTCTTCACTCGAAGTGGTAGCTCTCTCAGTCGGCCGAGGCTACCCTAGAGTATACACGGAGTCCGTGCCCGTACCCGCGAAACTGAGGGATCTCCTTGTGGAAGAACGAGGCGAAGGACCGTAAGACCATGCTTTCAATTCAATCGACTACACGTTTTGAGTTCTTTTTCGCCAAAGGCGGTGTTAGTGCCACTCAAAAGATCAATTTTTTCACTGCCTAGTCGATTCTATCTGACTAAAACAACCAATAAATATCGATGATGATGATGATAACTGAGCCGAAAGCCCGAGAAAACATGGAAAATCTGCCTGTCGCTGGACGCTACAGTCGAAAACTTTCGAAGCGCTCTATTTTCGTAGGCTATTACATGACGCGGAACAGCTTCATGCATCAACCATGTAAAGGAAACTCTGCGTCATGTTCGAAAAACAGTATCATAATTGAAATCGTAGAAAAAAAACGATGTAGGCAAGCAAAAGACACCCACAGCCAGCCGTGTCACTCTCTGTAAGAGGATTTTCATGGGTTTTCCAGGTATTTTAGTTTAGGTGACGTGAAAAACTTCGCGTAGAGCCTCTGATTGACGCTTGTTACAATTATAGCTTGGGTTTTTGCTACAAATAAATACCGTGTTTTTCTGTGAACTCTTGCTGGATTTTTGAAAAACAGACGTTGCTGTGAGCTCTGAGATATCTCGTTGTCTTTTTGCATGTATTGGTATAAGATTTGCTTTTTCAAGTAGAAGACATCTCTTATTAGAGAAAAACAACAATTAATAAAAAAATCAATTCCAAGTGCAATGAATGGATGCAATGAACTAATACATGTTTCCAATTCTAAGGGCAGGTCTTTGAGCGCAACTCTGACTTGTTTTGTGGCAGGGACGATAAAATTTCGGACGTTGGTGGACAAATTGCCAGAAGAGTTGGCGGCGTCAGTTGTCTACCGGTCTAAATTATTTTTCATGCAAACAAAAGAATTGCAATTTAAAAATTATCATGTGGTTTATTCAAGAAATAACATTATCTCAGGCAAATTCTAAACAACTCGATCTGAAGAAAGCAAGATTTTCAATGATCTGATCCAATCTAAAAACATTTTTTTTCAGCGTCTTCTGTCATATGCTTTGAATAGAGTGCATGAAAAAAAGCCAATAATTTTGTTTTTTTGTTTTTTTGTTCAATATCAAAAAAACTGTGAAACGGTATAAATTGACTGAATATCAAAGGAAATTTAAATATTATGCTTAAGTTTTTTTATGTTTTGTGGGCTCTTATACTATGAAGAAAATGGTTTTTCAGAAAAAAAACTCACCTGCTCGTAGTAGAAATGATTTTTCCACCAGATATCCCCCATGTAAAAGTGATTTCTCAACCAGATATCCCACATGAAGAAGACATTGGCTGAAATACTAATTTGAAATATCTTTTCATCCATGTTGAATCTAAGATGATCTCAAAAATTTTCTTCGGTACATTTCCGAGTTGGCCACTTTGTCAAATAAATAAAAAGAAAAACTATTCATTCCGGTGATGAGACGCTTATTCTATCCGGAAAACAAGAGAATATCCTATTAGAAAAACGGAATGCTGAGAAAAAAAGAAGCAAGAAAGAAAACGTAGTTCTAGGAAAATGGGAATTTTTATTCAAGGGAACTTTTCGTGGTACTTTTAAACACTCACTATTTTTCAGAAAAAGAAAATCTTTTTCTAGCAATGGAGATTATATTAGGTCGTTTAATAAGTTTCTTTCTTTTTTCGGTTGAAAGTTATTTGGTGTATAACTTTTCAATTTTGGATTCAAACAGCAAACAATTTCTCCCCCGTCATTCTCAGCTATCTGTTAACATGACTTTTAATTTTGGAGTTCCTGACTTCAAAACGAGCAATGATATACTCAAAAAAGGGCAACTAACTCGATTTCAACCTCTCTTAGAAAAATTGTTTTTGTTTCTTTTAAAAAAATGTATGATTTAATGTTTTGTAGTTGATGACAACGTGGGAGGATGGAAGTACAGATAGAGTAGGCAAACTGACTTTTTAAACAAAAAACTAGCCTAAAAATCTTTTTTCTTTAAAAGTTTCGGTCAGTGACCAATGACAATGATATGGTCGCTGAACATTTAGACGCTTTTCTCATGAACGGCTTTGAGGATGTTTCTGATTTTTTGTGGTTAGTTAGTACAGACATGGTCTGTATCAGTCACTTTTTCTCCAGAAGCTCTGAACGTTTGACGCCGTCAGAGAGCCTTTAGAATTTCATCGAACTGTCATTTCAATTGACTGAGGTTTCCAAAAAATTTTGGCCGGAGAAACTCAGTTGAACCTTTTCTGCTTTGACACAGTAATGACCTTTGTTGTACTTGTTTTTCTATTAACTTGCGCGATAGCGAAAGAACAGAAAATTTGAGAGTGGATAGAAACCACTGCCCTGGCGCTATAAACATTTTTTGATCAAAAAAGGCTGTAAAATTAAATCCTCGAGTTTCACGGTAGCTGCCGGTTGCTAATGTTATGCTTGTAATTTTTTTCAAACCCTCGAACCTGATAGATAATTACAAATGTACTTCGGGGAAAATCAAACAAAAACAGGACGCGCATTGTTTCAACAATGTTGACCAATCATAAATTTGAATGGACTGGCTTTTGAATGATTAACTCATTTCTCAAAATTTTTGGAAGCAAACGCAAATTTTCATGAGCAAGGACACGACCTCAGTTTACATTTTATGTAACTTGTTCGAATGATAAGATTAAAAAAGTAAGATAAAAAATAAATTCGCAAAAATTTCCAAAAATCGAGATTTTTTTCGAGTTCGGACAAAGTTCTCTATCTTTTTTTCTGCATAGTGTTATAGGAATACAGTTAAATTTAATCTGAACTTCAGATTGTGTAGTAGTAAATACTATATGAAGCAAAATTGTAAGAAGTGCTTTTTCTGGTTGAAAAACTTTTTTTAAAAAAAGTCCTTCAAAAAGAAACTTAGTAGACAACCTAATATTTTGAAATGTTTTTTTGCAACTTTTCAGTCCTCTTTTTTTAATAAATGCACACTTGAACTTGAAAATTTTCATAGCTAGATAACTACATAAGCGGCTCTGGGATTCATGTTGAAAGTCTGGTGGTCAATGAACTTGAATACGACCAAGTGGCGAGAGTTTTGATGAACTCTATTTCAGAAAATTTTTGAAATTTCACTGTTTTCGTTCGAGAAATGCTTTGCGGATAGACGAATAAACCGGCGTTATTGAATAAAAAATAGAAAACTCACAGTCGTAGTAAAACGGTTCGACGGCATTCTGCTGTTTCCTTGCCTTACACTTGTAATAAGCGCTTTTAACTAAAATTGTTTGATGTTAGATTGGAAGTTTGAAAAAAAACTAACAATCTTCGATAACATCTTTTTCTATAAACGTTTCCTGGGGCTCGGGAGTAAAGTTCTTCTGAAAAGAACGTTGAGAATATGGAAAACCGTATATTTTTATATCCGTCTTGATCCTTCAAAAAAATGTACTGAAAATCGATACCTTTCTCCAATTTTCTTGCTTATAGCGGTCGTAGATTGGATAAAATTTTGGATTCGAGCGACTTTGGCGGCTTTGGAATACAGGCCCGTGAGACAGAAGCGGGGATAATTTCTGAAGCCAGCCTTTAATAAATGAAGAAAAATTTTTGATTACTAATGGCTTTTGTATGGTAGAATTCGCAAAGTCATTGTATGCGTCAAGGAGGCGTGGCATTCTGGGACCAAAACTTTACCCTGAAAACAAATCGACGGAAATTTGTTAAAAAGAGAAAAACATTAACAAAACAGTAAAAAGCAATTAGTGAGAGAAATCTTGGTTTCTATCGGAAATAAAGAAAGGCATTTTTTTCAAATATTTTTTTCAATATTAAAAATTGAACGTCTAACTGAAGTTTTTGCGATTCAATTGAAGAATTATCAATGATGAATGGAAAATTATTATGAATGCAGTAAAAAAACAGGAAAAAAAACGAAAAATTCGATAAAATAAATGGCGAGAATGATGAAGAATAAACGAACCACGTGGATATGGCGACGGGCGGTACAGAGTTCCTGTTAAGGTAGATCAAATCCTGTTAGGTCGAACCATGCATTTGACCTCCTCTTTTTCTGTTCAATTTTTTTTCCTTCAATGATTTCTTTTGGATTTTCGAAACTTTTCTGAATCCTTATCCAAAAAGCTAAAATTCTTTCAAATAACGTAAGGTGATTTCAGATTTTTTCGTTTTTATCCAAAGCTTCATATTTTTGTTAATAAAATTTTATAAACATTGGGAATTTCTTTCGACGAAAACAATAGAAACACTATACTTCATATTCGAGGTGTAGAGCTTTGACAGAAAACGTTGGATTCCTGGTTTCAGTATAAAAGATTGAAATTCGGCAATGTGAAAAAGTTGATATAATTTTGCCTCGTTCCTCGTTCCTATTTCACATGGAACTAAAAGCTTTAAACGCTACAGATTTATCGATTTAATGGAAACTTTCTGGAAAAGAAACTTTCTCATTGCATGGCGTCACATTGTTTGCGAAATTCACAAGAGAGCATAAAATCGTAAAAAGCGGAAATTCGATCAAAACTCTCCTTCCATATCGTTGACGTGCAGAAAAGGTTGATCCAATTCTCCGAGTATTCTCTAGAATCGTTTGTAAGATAGTTTTCCGATTTTTGTTTAGTCCAAGAAATTTTCACGTGAAGTTTGGCAAAAATGTGTAATTGAGAAAAAAAAAATCTGTTCGAGTTTCATTCCAAAATGCAGAAAAAAGTTGATTGATCATGATTTCTTTTGAATTCTGTATATAGTAGTATCGAGTTTTTTTATTTTGCGGAGTAGATCATTTTTCTTGGTTTGAATTAACTGAAATCCTGCGAAAATAAGAGAATTCGGTGCCTGGCCACAAAACCTTCGCTTTTTCCTTAGTTCGATTGCTCCTAAACTCATGAAAACCTCTAAATAAGTGGTCATAAGAAAACAATAAAATCATCTCGGTAATAAAAACGTTGGTTCATCTCTTGCATTGGAAACAATAGCTCCACTTTAATCAGAAATTTCAGTAGTTTTCGAAATTTGTTTCCTATTTTAAGGGTCTTCGGCGAAATTTTGATGCATTGTGCAGAGTATGGTGTCTTGTGAGAATTTTTAGTTTTCGCGATCGTTTCATTCTTTGCTTTGCACAGATTTCTATGAGTCCTTTTTTCCAGGAAATGGAGCAGCGAAACGCCCTCTACTATATAAATCTGCTAGAAGATATTGGAGATCGCTTGGAGGAGCTCCGAATCGAAACCCTGCAATTCTCCAGCTATCTCGAAGTGGCTCAGCGACGATTCGCTGCTCGACCGAGTGCCAGCCGTCTTCTGGAAATATTCCGAGTCCAAAAAAAACTCGAGGCCCTCGATGAAGAGTTTACCGCTGTGAATGACTGGAACGAGGAGGTGGAAGAGGAATTCAGATGGTTCCAGGCGCGCGAGGCAGGCGAAGACACGGTAAGTGACATCTCACTATCTGAGCTTTTAAATTTCAGCAGGACGAAGAAGACTTCTCCGAGTCGGAGAGCATCGAGGCTTCATCGAGCAGCGAGTTTTTCGGCGGACAGCGACGTCGACGACCAATGAGTTGTATGATTTTTTTCTCATTTTCTTTTGAAAAATTTTTTTTCAGATGAAAAAAATATTACTCAAAATTCTACACCTGTTGCTCGTTCTTCACATTTTTTTGTAACATATTTTTTTGCTTTCGTTTCTAGATGTATTCCTTCTCTAATAAAATGCTTGATCAGAAAATATTTTTTTGATTTGATCAAAAAAATTCAAATGTTGGATTAAATCATACCTTTTCCGCAGAATTAAAATATGCATGTAAAAAATACCTGAACAAAACAAATCTGACCTAATTTGCACTAAAATCAAGAAAAGTTAAGACGTCAGTTCATAAAATCGTTTCTATCGGTTTCCGATTCAGTCTCAAACTTGAATCTTTTTCCATCCTTCGTGAAGCTTACGCGTTCTCCTTTCTCTAAAAAAAACACAAAGGTCCCACTCTGTTTAGAAGAGTATATTCCGATTCAAAACGGTATAAAATCATTTCCACGTGCACTCTCAAGAGCATATTGAAAGAAAAAATAAAAAATCAAATAATTGATCCATTTCCTGATTTTTAAGAAATTTCACTTCCTTCATTCAAGCTCCCGGCTTTGTGAGACAAGACTTCGTTTGAATAATAGAAAGTTGTTTTTCAGCAAAAAATTAAAAACTGGAATCAAGGTCTTGAGCAAAACATCTCGAACGATAAAGGTTATGTCCTCTGAGCCGTAACCGTTTCCCGTCTCCAAAGCAACCCAGGAGCAGATAACGCCTCCGGAGACACTTTTTAGGTTGAATCATCTTTTTTTGAAAGCTGCAGCGAGCCGTTTTTCATTTTCGAGTTCATTTTTTTGGTTTGAATTTAGAACAATCAAATCGTTTTCAACATCATTCAATTCTAAAAACTTAGCGAAAAGTATCTTTGCTTCAAACAAGAGCTTCATATAGCTTTGGCGGAATTTTCGTCTTTTTCGAACTCCAGCTTTTTTTAACATTTTTCAGAAAGTTTGTTAAGATTTTCTTTTTTTCCTTCTTTGAATCAAAGTAAACTTTGATAAAAATTTTTTTCCACGAATTATCTAATCAGAACCACCGCGAGCTCAAGTCTTGTTTTTCAGAGTCAATCTGTTATTTTTTGTTTAAAATTACTCGAGTACGCATCCAAATTTTTTTTTTTTCGAAACTTGGATCACAACGAAAATGGCCGCTGAACAACTCGCCAAGCTCTACCTTGAGCTCATTGTGTCGCTGCAAAAATCCCAAGAAGCTTATAACGATGTGCAAGCGATTGTCCACTGGTACGAGGTGGCCAGAGAGAAGGCGACGAGATTGGATTCGCTGAGAAGACAGGTCGAGGTGAACCGTCTGGCGAAGGAGTACACTGCTCACCTCAAAAAAACCGCCGATCTTCTTCGGATTTTTCTGGAAGCTCAGCGGAAGTTCGACCAGTTCCTCCAAGAGAACTTCTATGAGCTGGTCAGTATAGTCGACAATTTCCTTGATCTGTGAAGATTTGATTTCAGCTTGAAGCATTCAACCTCCAAGACCGATTCGGGGCGCGGGTACTTTTTGCAAAGCTAGGAAATGTTAACTTTGTAATTTTCAGAACAACGATCAACATCAGTAAATGCTTCTTCTCTCATTTGGCCGATGGATGTCAGTTCAACCATTTCAGCTGACGATATTTGCCGGTTTCCGCTAACGAAAAACGTCAATGATCGTATTGATAAATGTTTTGCTGTTGACGAGAAGCTTTTTTCCCTCAATCGAAAAATGATTGAATTATGATGAGACAAACAGCAAAAATGGGAAGTGTCGGTTTCACAAGAAAAATGTTTTTCAAGATTATTCCTCAGTTTGTTTGATAATAAGGCATGTTTCCCAGGCAGTCAGTTTTATTTCAACAACTTTCAACAATGCAAAATACGATGCAAAATAAACAGATGGAATGAAAATCAATAACAGTTAACGAAAGCCTGAAAAGGGAAAAAAGAACCAATTAAATAGGATGAGCAACGCAGTACACAGAAATACAAAAGACACTGCCAGGTAAAACAAGTTAACAATATTTCATCCGGTTTAACAAATACATGGAGAAGAAAAAACAAAGAATTCACAAGGTTAACATGGATACGACAACGGATCATTTTAACAACAGGAAAGATTTTCGTCAATCAAAATTATGAAAAAGAGTCTCACTTCGTCGATGCATTGTTTTCGGCATCCGAGCGTCCGCTGCCCTGCTCCGGGATGTCCATGTCCTGCAATTTTTGAAATTAATTTAAACTTGCAGTTGAAGGTTTGCTAGATCGCGTGGCACTTTTGGGTTTCTTTGAACCAGCTGAAAACAAAGATTTTTGTGTGCCATTGTCTCGTGAAATGTTTTCTTGGGTCCAATAAACAGATAATGTTTTAATTTCCCATCATTTGTATTCAAAGGAATGCATCGTATAACTTTCAATTACTCCGCTTACAACATTTTTGAATTAAAAAATATCGGAACATCGAAAAATTTCTAGATATGCAAAATTGCGAAGGCCGAAAAAGGCTGCCCTTTTGCTGCCTTTTTGCGCCATTTCATCGACTTTTGTGCACCATTTTTCATCATTTTTAGCGTAATGGATGAGGCGCATTTTTGTTATAATTTTTACGATTTGTGAGCGGAACTTTTTTTAAACTATACTTCAAAACTACCTAGTTTTTTTTTTTGATAGATGAGGCGCATTTTTTGTTTTTAGCGTAATGGATGAGGCGCATTCAGTGACCTTTTGACTTTTCGAATAAAAAGTAAAAACTTAAAGTCTCACCACATTTTCCGGCTTCGGATCGATGTCTTTCCCTTCTTCAAGAGTTGACCGCATTTCCGGCTGCACCTGAGGCTGAGCTCCGGCTCGCGTAACGTTATCGTTGTTCACCGGTGCGAGCTGAGGCTGCCGCCCCTGCAGCGAGGATCCAGAGCCCTAAAACCGCGTCAGTTTAGGCACAGGAGTTTGCAACGCAAGATCTCAAAAGAATAGGCCAGCGCGCGGTCATCGGTTCAGAAAGCAGGGTAAACTTGGAGAGGCCAGACTGGTGTTACTATGTTACACACGCTATCTAGGGAACTTCACGCCGCCGTTTTCTGTTAAGTTTCTTGAGAATGGCAGGCGCAGTTCCTGAGGAATTTTCTCAATGTTTCTCTCCAAGCTCCCGGTGCACTCTACGTTGTTTCCTGCTTGCTGGCTTGCTTTCTTAACTGTACCTACTAAGACTCACCCTCTCGCGGTGGCTTTCAGCGACATGCTTCTCGAGTTTGTGTCTGGAACGGTTGACTTCTGTGATGAGCTGATGCGTTTCGATGCGAAGAGCATCTCTCTTGGATTGGAGCTGTCGATGTCTCCGATCGAATGATGGATCGGAACTATCGCCCTCATCTCTCAGCTGCCGGAGCTGACGGTTGCATGCAGTCAACTCTTCGCGGCACACAGAGAGGATGCAATTGGCTCTGCTCAAGGCAACGGTAAGTCGGGCAGTTTCATCCATCTTCTTGTGGTGGCAGAACTAAAAAAAAGAATTGAGAAATAGTATATTTTTAGAAATAAATCGAAATGCGTCTCAAAACTATGAAACTCAGAAACAGCGGTTCGAAAGTCAAAAACTTGAGAGTTGTGAGGAAATTCATCCATTATCAATAGATATGAGAAAAGGATGAAATGGAAAAAAGAAGGTTTGAAAAAAAAGATGTCGAAGCTCAGAAGAAAGGCCGATTCACACAAAGAACGCGCCATCAACTGTTCATTGCAAAGAACAATGCTCAGAAAGAGAGGCACGTCTTGCGTCTTGTTTTGCGCGCGATCCATTTTGTTCCGAATCGAATAGAAAACCACGAGGAACTTGCTTTTTCGATTTACCAGGCGTATGAAATACTTTTTTAAAATAAATTCAGGTATTTTTTGGAAAACTGGTAATACACGTGGTTCATTATGTTGGCCGGTTAAAATGGGTTTTAGATTTACCGACTTAATCTTCAAACCAGGCCGCAAAAAGAAAATTCATTCTTCGAACATTAGGGATATGACATAGAGACTGATGAACTAATTTTCTTTCTGAACGTTCCATAGTGAAATAAAAAATCAAGCTTATTGCTCACTGGCCCACGATTGTCATGTCAAACGGCTACAAAACTTTGAGAGCTTCTTATAATGTGCTTACGATGGGTAAGCACAAAAATCTCACCAAAAATTCAATTTCTCGTGAAGTTTTTATATTCAAATAAAGATTATCCATCTATGAGAAACATATTCTTCCAATAGGGAGTGGGAAAGACAAAAAGATCAATAGCAAGATCTTGTGTTGCAAGTAGCGATGAATCATGCAGAAAATAAAATCAATGGAACGTTCTGAGAAGAGCCGAGGGCAGCGACGATGTCCCATGGCATTATGGTTCGAATGGAGGCTGCGGGCATCGCGACAAAATGTGAGCGCCCCAAACGGAAACCGCGCCGTTTTCACGGGTCGTCTTTTGACCAGCCGTTCAAACAATGCCGAGGTTGTTTGAGACTTATTCGCTTGAGAGCGCAGATTTCAAATGTTGTTTTTGCCATTTCCTCCCCCTTTTTTTGCCCTGATTATCGAAAAAGACTAAAAAACAAATTTTCAACTACCTGAGCTTCTTTTCTTATAATAAATTTCACAATTTTTGTTTCTCTTGATAGCTACTCTAAACTGGAGCGCCTTGAGGCGTGCCTGAAAGTTTCCCTGTCGTCATATTTCGACTTTTTCTCCCAGTCGGACAGTGAAAATTTGCATGCTGCAGAGAAATTACCCAGCGCGCCTTAAGGCGCCGCATTTTAAAAATATAAGGGTACAACAATTACTTTTACTTGCTTTTATCAATTTTAAAGTGTTCCAACCCAAATATTAGAAAGTTTTGCTAGTTTTCCCGTCGAAAACATTTTCCAAAATATCCAAAGTTCAGAGTGGAGCGACCTTCTTAGTCATCAACTATTTCGCTTTTGAATTCATTCTTTTTATCCGCGTGTCATATGAAGCATTTTACCAGAAAACATAGTTTTTTTTCCTTTTTGTTTACAAGTCGACCAAAAAAATATTTTCCTTCTAGAGTTTTCCAGCCTTCGGTGTGCGTGAGCGCGTCGTATATTGATTTGATTTGTCTCTGTGAAGCATCACTTTTTTCTCAGGCGGGGCACGACAAAATGGATTATCGACAGGACGACGTTTCGAATATATATGAAAGAGATCGACTCGAGGAAGTTTGGTATACTGCAAGGGCGGAAGAAGATCTGGCTTTCGCCGAAGAGGCGAAGTGCGAACGATGGCTCATGATCGCTGACGACAAGTACAGAGAGAAGCCTTCGTTGCGCCAGAAGTTGATAGTTCTTCGCTTGGAAAAAGAACTCGCTGTTCGCGGCAAGAAACTGGAAGCTCTGGAAAGGATCACCGAGGATGCTTACCGAGCGTACGAGTCTTTGATGATCAGATATCCAGTTTATTTCGTGGTCAGTTTGATAGCAACTTGAAAGACTTTTATATTATGGTTGCAGAAGAAGCAATATCAGAAATACATAACTGAAGAAAAAGAAGAAGATTCATCCGAGGAAGATGAACCGAACGGGCCAGAAGAGCCGGAGGGGTCGCAAGAGCCCGAGGAGTCGGACGTCCAGGAAGAAGACGAACATTTCGAAAACGACAATGATGAGGGTTGGGAGGATATGGAAGCCGCACCTGCCGCCTGAAGGTACACTTGAGTCTTCTCCACTCCAAAAAATTGAAACCCTCAAAATTATATTTTTCTCTATCACTGAATTTTGAGCGTTCATAGTTTGAAAATCGCGATCTAAATCAATATCGCAAAAAAAAGACAAAAACCAGAGTAGGATCTCATAACTCTTCTTAGCAAAAAGTCAGTTTTTAACCAGAAAGTCAGCATTTGAAAAGATTTTTTATCGAATATCAGACCAACTTTGATAATTTTCCCAGAATTACGCGCAAATTCATCGTCGTCGTCCTTTTCGAAAATTCTTCATATTTCGAAACGGCGTTTGAAAAAAAGAAATTTTTGCACTCAGCGAATATTTTTTTTGCAAAATTTTTGAGTACGCCGCCTTATCGAACAAAGTGAAAATACCAACTTTTGGGACCATGGGTTTAACAAGTTTTCCTTACTAGGGAACGTTTTTTAGCCCCTTGGTGAAAATTTGATGAAACTTGCTGAATTGTACTTCTGGACCAGCTGAAAAAGGAAAAATAGCGCTTTTTATTGTAATCTGCGTATTTTGGAGACTTTGAAGCATCTTATCTTAAAAACAAAATCTCTTGCGAGAATTTTTTTTTCTTGTTTTGCGATATAAAGGTTCTAGAGTACCCGTCAGAAAAATTTTACCAAAAGTTCAACCGGGGCGTAAAAAACTGTTTCTAGTCAGTTAACATTGAGGTTTAGCAAAAAGCCTGTTTTTTCTTCAAATAATTTTTGCAGGAAACACCGAAGCACCACTCCGATAATGAAATAGAGCTGCGCCAATTTTTATTTTATTCTTACAAGTCTCAGTCGTAATGAGACTAGTTCCATTGTCGTTCCTTGTGTTCCTTGGATGTGTCTTAAATGTTTTTTTTTCAATCCCTGTAGGACAGCTGTATATCTTCTAGCCTGTTATTTTTTTTCAGTTCAATTTCAATGTTGATTGTTCTTAAAAATTCACATATTATCCATTTGAAATTTATTCAACTGCTATTTACCCCTCAGTACAATTGAACAAGTTTTCGCCTGTTTTTTTGGTTGTTTACCTCCCAAGTGTATTTGGTGTATGTTAATAAAAAATTCACTTTTTAGTCCTTTAAGGTTTTCCGCCAAACGTTCCACACGTTTTAATATTTCAAACTTTGCTTTTAAATAACACTACAGTTTTATAGACTCATTATTTTAGCTTTCGACATGAATGACGCTTTTGACGCAGCTCGGAGACTGGGCGATTTTTTCGCTCATGCAACTCGAACTATCGACCACGCGATGAATGTCAACCGAAGAATCACCAACTTTTTGGCTGAACAAGAACATCTAGCTGAACCCCGCGTGAGACGTCGAATGACCCTCATTCGCATACAACAACTTCGCGCTAGCCACATGAATCTGATCGACGAAATCAGACGCGTCGTTGAAATAACCCAGTGGCAATACTTCCACTTTATCCATCATCGTGTAAGTTTCAAATTTTTATTTTTATTAAAACTTTCCTAATTAAGTTCGATGGAGTTATGATGGACGAGTCGGACGAGGGTTACGTGAGCACCGGAGAAGCGCCAGGGGAGGACGAGGTTGACTTTTAAAACAATTGAGAATAATAAAAATCATGTTGCAGGATTGAAGCCTATCGAATTTTTTTTTTCTCGTCCCTTGTATCAAATCGACTTCTCAATGTACAAAATTTTTAATGTATGCTTATGTGTGTTTTCAATAATTTTAATAAATGCTTTGTTGTTTAATCATTGTTGACAATCTCAAAAAGAATCTATGTTTTCTGAAAAGTCAACTTTCTTCGTTCTGCAGACGAGCTTTCTAATCTTTTTATTGGTGCAAAAGGCATCAAAGCCACAGCCATTTCATTTGATATTGCTGAATACCACAGAAAAGTATAAGTATACAAAAGAGTTTTCGACTTAAAAGGGTAGATTGGGAAGGGTGACGTGTTGCGTACGCGACGCGGCTTCTGACGGGAAACTTGAAGTTCGAGAAAAAATTTAGAAAATCTCTACTCTTGAACTACTATCGAAAAAATTAATTCAAAACACAGAAGTTAGAAATGATACGCACCAAAATCGGGTTTATTTTCCAAAAGGATTCATCAGAAGCGGTTCACCAACCGCGCAAATAAGTGAAATATATACGACAAGAAATGAATTAAGGTATAATTCGACGTTACCAACATGTTTGATTTTCAGCATAAAAGTATAACCATTCGATCCATCTCGTCGAGATACGTACGAATAACATAAAATTATTCGGCGCTGACCACTTAGAAAAATTTAAGATGAACTTTATTAGTTTTTCAATCAATTGATTATTCTGAGGAATAGAAGTGTTTGCTTTTTTTTTTAAGCATTACTTGAGAAAATAGGCTTTGAGGCTTCACATGGAGGCGGAGCGCGCATAGCGCGAAGCCGACTGTGGCTCGCTTCGAAAAAACTGAGCCACAGTGAACAATTTGTCAAATAAATGAAATACTTGACATAAAAAGCATGTAATTTCAAAACGTGGACACTAAAAACACTATCAGGTAGCTCTAAACGATTTGCAAACTAGATACGCGTAGCGAAAAAATCTGTAAAAAGTATTTCCCAAAAAATAAAAGAAAGAAAAAATATTAAAGGAGCATACTGTGCGTAAGCGTGGGCTTCGATGCGGTCGGTTATTTTTTTACTGTGATTTCTCATTTTTTTCTTCTTTTTTTGAATTTTTCGAATGATTATCATATTTTTTTCCTATTTTAAAAAGTTTTTTTCTCATGGCATAGTAGCGATAGTTGAATTGTTTTTCGACAGACGCTTCTTCCATGCCGCCAGATACATGGATGACATATTCATAATTTACGATAAAAAAATAAATTAAACCTATCCCTAATCACAAACACACTATACCATAATTCATTGGAACTCAACCAAACCAATACGGAAACATATAAAAACCCAATTTTTTTGGATTTAGATATTTCAATCGATGAACAAAAAATCTTAAGCAAATTATATAACAAAACGGATGACTATAATTTTCAAATCATCAGATACCCTCATCACGACAGTTATGTAGCTCGAAGTATTGGTTTCAACACATTCACTAATGAAATTATTAGATTCTCTAAATGCTGCAATAAAATAGAAGACTTTATAGATAGGGACTATCGATTGCATAAAAATCTTTCATATTGAATCAATACAATTTAAACACCTTAATTAGAATTTTGGAAACAAAAAAACTTTAAATAGGACTAAATTCAAAGAAAAATCGGATTTAGTTTTGCAAAAAATACACATTTCATTATAAATATCTCTTCTTCACTCTACATTCCAAAATTCAACCTTAATTTTCTACCTTTAAATCTTCAATATAGACTTCCACAAGAACATAAGTTTAATCTACCTCTTCGTAACTTTTGACCTCTGCCGCCAACAATCGATATCGGATATGGATGACTACATTCTCCTCCTTTTTTCTTTTCCTTCCCCCTTCATTTCTCAGTTTTCTCCTTTTCCTTTTCAATTTCCCAAACTTTATTAATTTAAAACTGCGCCTAGGTGTAATAGCTTAAAAACTTTTTATATCTTTTTGATTTAAAGCAAGAGGGTAAAATGCTGACGATGGGTCACCCTCTAAGCCGTCCATTTTTGGGACCCAGAAACGGCTGCGCGATATATAAACATTCTCATCTTTAAATCTTTTTCTCCTCTAAGAAATTTCAGAAATCCTAAAACCTTTTCATAGTAATGTCCTCTTCATATGTATTTTCTCACCCTTCATATTGATTAAACACACTGAATTGAATTAGCGTCAAAAAATGCAGCGAAATTTTTGAAATTTTTGGAGTTTTTTTCTGGTTTTTGCACATCATAAAGTTATTTCTTCTTACTAGCACCAAATAATTTTATGATTTTCGTAAGTATCTCAATGAGACGAATCGAATGGTAATACTTTCATGCTGAAAATCAAATATGTTGGTAACGTCGGATTATTCTTGAATTAATAACCAAAAAAAAGAATCCATGAAGATTGCGCCATTCTCCTAAACCAAATCGACACAAACAACTGGCTAGCCTCGCAGTGTTCCAAAAGAGACGAGTGCGCGCGAAAAAAAATGGTCGTCGCAATGGGGCAAAAACGCGAGTTCCTTCTATTGCAACGCGGTGCGGCGCGTGTCACCCCCACAAAATTTCATTCACTTTTAATACAGTTTTTTTCCTTTTTTTCTTGCGTATTTTTTTCTATACTTTTGTATTTTTTTCACATTGTGTATGTTTTTAAAACGTGTTTATCGCGTTTTCCAAAGATTTGAAGTGGTTTCCAAATGTTTTTGTCCTAGAAATTGACGATTTTGATGGTAACTAAATTCGCACAAGTTATTTTGTTTGTTTTTCTGTTTTAGAATCTTTGAGTGAACTTACTTAAGAGAACCGGTGTAAAATTTTTCTCAATATCTTATTTTTCGAGACAGTATTCGGCGAATTTATTCTTGAAAATTTCCCTTTGAATGGTAATTTTTCTCGCAAAATTTATTACACTTCTGATTTTGTTTTAAAATGTTTAAATAGAGTTTTAAAAGAAGTGCTTTGCGATTTTTTTTTAAATTTTTTCTTTTGAAGTTCGATTTGAAGAATTTTTCCCGGAAACGACATTTTGGGAGATATGTGTTTTGTTTTGCAAAAAGCTATTTCATACATTCAAAAAAAGATTTTTTTCAACATTCAATGCACATTAAAAAAATTTATGAAAACTTACGAGAACTTAAAAAACATCATTTAATGATCTTTTTCCAACCACTAAATCTACAAAACTTGACTCTCATCCCCGCGCCCCATTGCAATAAACCGTGCCGCTATTGCAGTACAGCTGCCGTCCATTTGAGAACACTTTGCATTCCCGTTCCTTCGCATTTTTATTGCGCGTAGAGTGCGCCCTGCCATTGGCTGACCCCGCCTTTTCGCGCGTATTCTCTCTTCTCTTCGAGTTGCGTGACCTCCAAAAGAGTTTCGTGTTCACAATCGACAAAAACTGTATTTTCACGGTTTTTGTCACATTTTCAGTTTAGAAAATACAGTTCTAGAGCGCTAAGAGTTAGAATTTCCCTATTGTGAGCTTCCTTTTAAAATCTTAAAAAAGGCCTTGCCGCCAGAGTAATAGTTTAAAAAAAACAGCTCTTTTTGCTAAACTTCCTGTTATTCATTTTTAATAAATTTTATTTAAATTCACAATTTTTTTCAAATTTTTGTATGAGTAAAACAAAAAGTTGAATAAAAATTATGAAAAAAACAGGGCGAAAAACATAAAATAAATCCGATAAAAAGAATTTTTCCAAATTTTTTTTAATCCATGCATATTTTTGTTTTTCGAGGCATTCTCAGGCATGTATTACCCATTTCCGAGTACGCGCGTTCTGGGAACTTTTTTTTGTGCCCGCATTATGATTTTTATTTCCCCTTTGTTATCACCTTGAACGTTCGTATAGCTCTCAATCTCACTCAGTTTTTTTTTTCAAACAGTCATCAAAACTACCAAAATTTTCCTGACAATCGAACTCCATACTAAACAATTGGGACTGAAATAGTGTATTTTTTGTATTTGTCCGGCAGTACTGTAGTTCAGAATCTCACAACAAAAATATTTTTTTTTCTACTCTTTCCTTGAATTGTGTGGCTTGTGAGGTGTTTTACCACAAGAATTCACATAATCATTCCTTGTTATCTTTTTTTAAATCATTCAAAGGGATTTTTTGTTTTTATTTGACGTTTTGTTCGTGATGTATTTACGCCCTTTTTTGTGTACCAGGTTCCCATTATGTAAACGAATATTTTCAGGGTAAACTTTTGAAACAAAATGGACGTCCGTCAAATCGAAATTTCCCTCAGCGAGATCAACGCTCAAAAGACCGTGAATCAAAGAGTTGTGAAGACCGTGAAAAGATGGTGGCAGAAAAAAGGCCTCACGGAATTCTCGAAGAAAACAGCTCCTTTGGTTTCATTCATCCACAACAAGATGCTTTACAAAGCGTTCAACGTTGCCAATGATCAAGAAAGAAGACTTGATGACGAAATTCAAAAGCTGAACGACGAGCTTCCGTCATTCATTTCCCTGCACCCAGCGGTGAGTAACGTTTTCATTCAAGATCAACATTTTTCTGGTTGCAGTTGAACGTGACGTCGGATGTTGTTGTCGACGAGGTCGATACTTCTTCTTTCGGATACATAAGGGAAATCGCTTCGGAAGTTCAAGTGCTCATGATGGACTACAAAGAAGCTGACCGAAAGGAAAGAGAAGCGCACGCTAAGGCGAAAACCTTATGCGAGCAGTACAACGAGCAGAGAAGAATCATGAAAGAGACTCCGTCGAGTCTCACTTGGCAACGAGCAGAAGCTCTCAGAGACGAGTTCCACAAAATGGAATCTTCCAAGAAAGATTTGTATGACGCGGAGGCCAAAAAACAAAAAGCAGACAAAAAACTGGAGGAGTTTGTCCTGGGCAAACCGGTGAGTCCAATTGATTCTTGGTTGTGTCGAAAAACCTTTTTGATTACATGGAAAACTCGACAAAAAACTAGTAATCTCAATATGTTCTTTGATTTTGATTCGAAAAATTTGCAGATGATTACTTCCGCCGAACGCGATCCTACTAGACTGGCGCTGGAGCGATACAAATTTTACCTTTTCAACAAGGTAATTTTTTGAATGATCGGAAGAGGCAAAAGTCAAGCAGTGCTTAATTCACAAGAACTCACTTCTTTTCATGAGAATTTTCAGAGGGAGGGCCGGGCTTTTCGAAAGAAGTCTCCACTTGCTCGAAATCAAAACTTTGCAATAAAAAACAAGGTTAGTTTTGATTTAATCAGAAACTCAAGTTATCAAAAAATGAAAACATATTCTTTGCAAATCTCGAAATTGCAGGTTATCGTTGGCCCTGCGTCTAACTGGCCCGCTTTTGCGTTGCATTCAGCGCCTCCAGCACCGCCCAACGAGCAATCAAAAGTTGCAATGAACTCAGGTTAGATTCTCATGAAAAAAATCTTGATAAATTTTTTTCCCTTGTAGGTTTTTTTTTAAAGTTTTGTTTTTTTTTCCATTTCAATTCGCCGTGAATGAACTTTAAATTCAAAATAGCAACTTTCAGCCCCTAAGCCACCTAAACTCCAGCGCCAACACCCTCTGAGAACGCTTTGGATAAATAACGTGCCCGCTAGCTGGCAATCCAAGAGGATCTTTTTGATGTTCGAGGTCTGTTTTCCCAAACTCAGTCCTTCAAGAAACGAATTATCTCACAGAAGATGGGAATTTCCCCTAAGACGATTATGCGGTCAGCAGAGCTCGAAGCCGGAGTAAGATCGACATTAACTTTAGGCCAAATTCACTCATCGAGAAATTTTTCAGCCTCCAACGCGCCGCATCGAGTTTCGGACATTTGCAGACGCCCGACGCGCCCTGTCGTTCAATGGTAAATCTGCTGAAAGCGAACCGGAGTACATTTTTGTCCTAACCTCTGCTTTCGACAGCTTTTCAAGGAAAGAAAAAGGTTGGGATTTGATTTTAAAGTTAAATAATTGCACATTTTCCAAAAGTTTGTGAACACTTTTTGAAGAATTTTTCATTTTTTTGATAAGATAAATTCAATGAAAAAAACTTATGATTTGTTGGAAAAAAATATAAAAACACCTATTTTGAATATTTTTTTTCAGTTCACTTCTGGCGTAAGGGTTTTGAATTTCTGAAAAAAGTTTTAAACTTGATATTAAAATCGATTTAAAGAAAAAAAAACATTTATCAGTTTTAGCTATTTTTTTCGAGTTCCCTGGTCAGATAATTTTCATTTTTTTGATTGATAACTATTATCTAGAACCGATTATTGCGGAGGTCATTGAAGAGCACAATTCGAACAGAACCCTTTGGTTAAAAGGCGTTCCCTTTGACTGGGATCCAAATATGATTAATTGTGTCTTCAACGTAAGTTTTCCTTATCCCATTTTTTTGAAAACTCACTTTTTTACAGAGAGTTGGCTACCTACTTGTTACACTTGCCACTGTGGCGTCGAAAACTCAGGTGAAATCGGCGAAATTTCCAAACCCTCCAATACAATAGTTTTTCAGACAAGGATGTACGGCATCGAATTTGAAACGTTCGAGGATGCCCAACGCGCTCTGTATGAGATGAACGGGAGGATCTACCCGTACGGCGACTCAGAAATATTCATAAAGCTCAGTAACCCATACGATGCATCGCCTACGAAGTTTGCAGGTTCGGATCTGAAAACATTGACAAAATGAAATAAATTTCAAAGTTCTGGGGGAAGGGTCTATTTTTCATATAAAAATTCAATCAGAAAAAAGTGGATCATATCAACTTTCACGAGATCTTAACTAATTCATAACATTTTCTTGTTATTTTGAATTTTTTTTTAAGCAAAAAAAGAATTGAACAATCTGTTAAATTAAAAAAAAAACTGTTCCCCTCTTGTCTGTGAAAAAAGTGTACTGGTTTGAATAATCCCAATGTACTTTAACGTATCGACGCGTGATTTTTTTTTATATGAGTTGATGAAAGCGAAAATACTCAGGAGGGAGCCTTACGGACACCGTAAGTAGGCAGGACGCCCTGAGAACGCTTTGGATATGGAACCTGCCACCCGGCTGGAGTATCCCCAGAATCAGTTCCTATCTCGAAGTGAGTCCACCTCATACCATTTCTTTGAAAACCCACTCGATTTTTTCAGGGAGAAGGCTTCAAACTCGATAGTGTAATCCAGCCGAACTACGAAGGCAGGGTAAGATTAACAATACGTTTCGCCTAATGTTTTAAAACACTGACTTTTCAGAACGTTGATTTCTGCGTTGAAGCTGAAACTCACGAAGAAGCTAAGAAAGCTGTGGCGATTCTCAACGAAACGCTCGTTCCAAATGAAAAATCGGAGGTGCTTTTCGACACTTGCTTCGCTTTTGACTGTCCCGGGTTGGTTTGCTCTGAAAATGCTCATCAAAATTTTTGTCAGGTTCGCGTACACTCTGGTGATAATGAACCTTCCTGCCGGCTTCAGTGTTCCGGACGTCGCCGATGTTAGTTGAACTTTTTTCAAGTTTCCTATTTTCGGAAAATACACGGAAACAGATTTTCAGAACAAATTCATAACTGAGGAAAAAAGACTGAACACAGTGAAAAAAATAATAATACTGGGTATTAAAAACTTGGATTCATTTTTTTTGGATTTTTTTAACTCTCTTTTTGTTGAGACTGCATGATCTTGAAAATGTTCCAGGCCTTCAAAAAGGTACCCGTCATTCCGTGGAGCGGACGTCGAACGAGACTCTAATGGGTACCTTACTGGCAGGACTTGGATTGAGTTTGGCGATGTGAAGGACTGGCATTTGGCCTACGTGAGTTAGATCTTCTTATACTAAAGTTTCGACATTTCCGAAAGTTATAGGATTCTTCTGTGATTTATGAAAAAAATGACTTTTTTTAAATTTTTTTATTCAATGAAGAGTTCAGATGGATTTCAACCACCTGAGGATCCGCGAGTTCGTCCGCTTGCAATTGCGCATGAACGTGAAATATGCCGCGCCCGACCAAAGAAAGTCGCTCGTAAGTTTATAATTCAAAATAAACTGAAAAACTTTTGATTCGAGAAAGAAAAATTATTCGCGGTCAATTATTATTTCCTCTCTCCATCTTAGGATCTCCTTCAAAAAATAATGGAAATCCTTTCATTTCCCAAAGTCTCGCTCGTTCAGACCCCAAGTACCGAACAACATTTCAAGCGCGAATCGATAACTCCTGCTCCAATTGAACACGAGATCCGCGAAGACCGGGCGACTTACACTCCCATTCCGCAATACCCATCGGTGAGCATCAAAAAGTTCATCCAAAAAACCTCATCAAATAATATTTTTAGTTTGAACACTCAAGAATCTTCTGGCACGATCTGTTTCAAAAAAATCATGATTGTGAAACAAAAAAATAGATTATTCTGAGAAGTTTTTAAACGATGGATGAAAGATATCTTCTACCAAAAATCAGATATATATTTTCATCTTTACAGTTTTCTTTCAGACGTCGCTCGTAAATGATCCTCAACGTCATGACTCAACTCCGCCCAATCAGGCCAATGCTGAAGATCGGATGTCGGACGACCTGTGGCCGCAACTCCTTTCAGTAAAAATCAAAATTTTCTCCCAAAAAAGCTTGTTTGTTTGAGAATTGATTAAAATCTACTGGAGCGATTCGTGTTTCAAAAGTTTTTAAAAAAAGTTAATTCATTTCTGGGATCAAATTTTTTTCGAAAGGTTTTTTTATTGATGAATGGAAGATATCTATTCAAAATAAATCGACTATCCTCATCTTTACGGTTTCGTTTTTTCAGACGTCGCAAGGGATCAATCCTGAACAGCATGTCCATAACTCGGCTTCTCCCATTGGAGTCTATCCGGTGGAATGGATGACGGAACACCCGTGGCCGCAACTCCTTTCAGTAAGAATCAAAATTTTCTCCCAAAAGAGCTTGTTTGTTTTGAGAATTGATTAAAAATCTACTGGAGCGATTCGTGTTTCAAAAAAATTATAAATAGTTAATTCACTACTGGAATCGGAAATTCAAATTTTTTTGAAAGGTTTTTTTATTAATGAATGAAAGATATCTATTCAAAAATGAATCGACTATCCTCATCTTTACGGTTTCGTTTTTTTCAGACGTCGCAAGGGATCAATCCTGAACAGCATGTCCATAACTCGGCTACTCCCATTGGAGTCTATCCGGTGGAATGGATGACGGAACAACCGTGGCCAAAACTCCCTTCAGTAAGAATCAAGTTTCACCTGAAAAAACGGTTTTGAAAAAAGCTTCTTGTATAAAATTAATCAAAATCTACAATCAAGTGAGAATCGTTTTATATAAAAAAAGACTGGATCATGTTTTTTTTTCAAATCTTTTTCTGATACACGTTAACACTTGAAGGGTTCGCTAAACGGGAAGAACTCCACTGAACTTGTTTAATAGTGTAAATTTTTTTCTGAACAGTTCTGATTGAAGGATGGAAGATATCTTCACGTAGAAAAAAACTATTGTTCTCTTCAATATTCTGCTTTTTCAGATCCCCGCATTTTTATTCCGTGGAAAAATCGAAGTTTTTCACTTAAAAAAAGCAATCTTGAAAAACCTTATTCTGCTATAAAATATACAAAAAAATCTCCAAGATAAAAAAATTTTTACATACTCTTTTTTTCATATTTCTGACGTTACAGGATCAACAGCCCAGTATTTCTGAAGTCCGTGCTCCTCAGAACCGAAATTCCACCGTTTTCCGACTCATTGTGTCTAATATCCCTGTTAAGATCCCCAAAGATGCTCTGTGTGCGGTGAGTGAAATCTCTTTTCTGCATTTATAAAGGATTTTCAAATTCCATTTCACGAGGTGTCATTTGAAGTAATCAAACTTTGTTACAGTTTTCGTTATAATGGAACTCAAAAACTATTTGTTCTCGTCAAATAGATCTCTTTCATCATTATCTACATTGCTTTTCAAAGCGTTCTGGAGCTTTAAGTTTACAAGAAACAGAGAAGCAATCAAAGTGGACTAATTTCTTCACGCTGCAGTCTCACTTTCATTAAAAAGTTTCTCTCATCATGAACATCATTTTGGTTCTATCAACCAACTAAATAAAAATTAATTTTTTTTTCTTTCGGGCATTTAAAATCTTGAAGGAATTTTTCTCAAGAAGCATAACTTTGATGTTCCAGACGTTCATTGCAAACTACCCTTCTTTCTGTGGTGTGAGCATTAAATTGAGCCCAGACGGAGTTTCAAAGAGAGCCGTCGTTACCTTTGGAGACAGAAACGAGTGTGAAAAGGCCTACGTGAGTTTGATAAACTATCCTAACAATTAGGGCAATCAAAAAGCTAGAAAATCTTCTCAATTCGAACATATAATAAAGGAATGTTGTTTAATGAAGAATTCAGATGGTGCACCGGAACACGGTACTCTGCTCGCGGAAACTGAGAATCCGCTTCGATGCGGATCCAGTTGGAACTGAATCGAACATGGCTTTGGTGAGTTTCAAGTATTTGAATTCATATTTCACTTGGTTACATGAGACATGAAACACACTAAAAGGCACATAGCCTTAATGAGTTTTGATTGGAGGGGGGTTTTCATAGACCCTAATGAGCAAATTTCAGCATCAGAAAGGTTAAAAAAACCCAGAAGGCTCATCAACATTTTGAAAAAAATAGATGCGAAATAAAAATTTTGCAGAAAGGCTCCAAACTTTGGCCATAGGCTCCACAAGCGTCTTTTTTCGGAAGATCATTACTTATTTTTTATTCTTCCGCTTTTCCAGATCCCCCAGGCCAAAAAAAATCCCGCCGCCAGCTTGGTACCTCTCGACCCTTACCGTCGTGATTATCAGGAAAACGAGACTACTCCTCTTTTTACTCCGGTGAGAATCAACAATTTCACACAGATGAGCCTAGTTGAATTTTTTCATCTGATTGTAAAGGGAAACGAATCTTCTGGGACAGTCGGTCAATATATTTTTGACTTTTTTTTTTCATCTAAAGCTATAAAAAGGGTTCCATAAAGCCTCTGTTTAATTCCAATAAAAAAAATTAGCTGCTGTTCTAGATCAACTTCGTTTTTCATTTTGCTTGCACGAATAGCCTCATATCATTCAGATTTTCAAATTCCCAAATGAAATTCCTGAAATTTTAGACTTGAAAGGTTGCCGAGGAAAACTCTCTAGCAGCGGATCTTTTGTCCAAAAAATAAGCAGTTCTAATTTTGGAGGCTGTCCGGATCAGATCAAAACTGTTCTAGCAAAATTTCACAAAGTTCGTAACCGCGAACAATTTTACTTAGGACTTGTTTTAGTTCTTTTTCCTATCCAAAATTATGAAAAAAAGAAAAACTGAAAAAATCAATCAATCAACTTCGAATTTTCTCAGATGCGAGCATTTCACGCGCCTGTCGCATGGAAGCATCAGTTCTTTGTGCTCCCGTACTTTTTCTCGTATGGAGTGGCCTGCATGCCGAAACTCCCGGAACCGTGCAGCCAAGAAGACGAAGATGAAGTCAACAAGGTATAGTCAATCCATCCCGACTTGAAAACGAGGGAGGCGGAGAAGTCGGCGGGACGCGTACGCGGTTCTTCGCACAAGTTGGAGTCAAGCGCCACCGACTTTTTACAAAGCTCGGTCACCGCTCTTTTTGTATCTGTTCTGCTATTTTTTGATGTGAATAGGTAAAATTCGATGACCAGTTAAAAAAATAAAAATAAAAAACGAGCTCACCAAACAGTCGCCGGCGGTTGACTTTGAATCGGGCCGAGAACCGCGAAACGCGCCCCGCCCCCTGCCCCGCCTCCCGCGCTTTTCAAGAAGGAAAAAAGTGAACTATATCTTTGAGTGTTTTTTCCTGGGAAACTTGAAAGATGTTTTATCTTCCAGAAAAAGAAGGAACTAATACCACGGAAAACCTGGAAAATCTTTTTTTTTTCCTCTAAATCATTCTTCCGTTTCTTTATTTCATTGCTGGTTTTTCTTTAAAGAGAGCCAATTAAAAAAAAAACTTTACGACTTCACGAAGTTATTCAAAACCGTGAATACAAAACTTGCATATTATAAAGAACAATATCCTTTGACCCTACTTCAACCTTGAGCTTTATGAATCTGGTTGAAATTCATTTTTTTCCTAATTGAGTCTAAATAACTCAATGGTAACCTTCTACTTATTGAGTCAAGAAAATAAGGATTTATTTTTTCGAACCCAATGATTTCTTAAAATATTTCAAATTATTTGCTGTTTTTTTCAGAACAAAACAGTGGACCAGCAAGTAAACTTCGACGACAATGTTGCAGTCATCCCTGATGTCAAAAAGCCACGAAAGGTGCCGGCTCGTAAGAAGACAAGTGAGTTTCATCCGCTACAAAGCTTATTTTCAGCAAAAAAAGTTGCGGAAGTTTAGTAAAATGAATATTTTCAAAAGCGAAAGTTTGTTTTGATTTGGGAAGCTGGGAATAGTGTGATAAGAAAAAAATTTGATTTTTTTCTCCCTATCTAAAAATTTTTTTCCACTAGCTTTGATTAACGTTATCTTTTATATTTTTTTGTGCGACCTTACATGATCGTGATTTCTTTTTTTTCAGAATGACTCCCTGGACAAAATGGGGGCCAATTACAGGCATAGAAACAATTTAAAGTCAAATAAATAGTTTTGTATTGTAAATACATTTTTACAGTCACCACGCCATTGAAGAGAAACGTTCCAAGGAAAGCTCAAGCGTCGCCAAAGAAAGATCAAGCAGCTCCGAAAAAGGAAAAAGTCGCCACGGTCAGAAAAGCGCCGACGAAGAAACGAGAGGACAGAAAAACGGTGATGAGAGAAAAAGTGGTCGCTGAGGAGGAGTTTCTTCCTGCCCGACGTTCGATTCGACTGTACGCGAAAAATACCAGTTATAAAGAGTGATTCATTAATTTTAATAGTATTTTTTTCAGTCTTCGTATAAGTATACAGAAGACTTTTGCAATTCGCCATTTTTATAATATTCATTTAGGTTTTTTTTTAGTTTTAATAGATTTCTAAGAAACACAGTAAAAGTTTTTATTGGTTTATCCCCATTCTCCACATTCCTTCGTTATTTTTTGTGCCCCGGATACCCCCGTGACGCTTTTTTCTACGGTTTTTTTATAACAATGTTACGACCCATACGTGTGATCTGTTTTACCTTTTGTTCACGATTTTTGCATATAATCAAATAAAACGTTGAGTTTCACCGAACATCCAATCAACACAAGTAACAAGACTTTCTGTTAGTTCACACAAAAATGTTTCTGCAAACTTCTTATTCAACAGAAAATGTAAAAGTTATGGTTTTTTGAAAGACTTTATGATACTTCAAATGGAATAAGTGGTTCGAAATTTTTGTATTGCAAATATTAGGTTTTTTATAAAGTTTTTGCGGTTTTTGGTACTCTCACTTGAAAGAGATTTTTATTGAACTAGAGTTCAAACTTCTTAGAACAACAGGATTCATTCCGAACTTTCCATTGGATACTCTTATGAGAGTAATAAATGATCAGAAAAAAATCGGAAAAAAATCTTGAATATTCAGATTCATATCACAGTTTTCAGCCCGTCAAGTTTGATTCTTGAAATTGTCGTTTTTTTGTCTTCCTTCTCTATCGTCTCTTTCAGAGTTATTTTTTTTATGTCCTGAACAGTTTTCTTATATTTTTTTTATTTGGTCAAAACAGTGCCATCGTAAATATTAAGTTATAAATAATCACAACCCAAATTATTTGAAAATCAAAGAAAAACTAAAAGTTATCGAGAAATGGTAGAAAAGGTAACAATTTGATTACAGTTGAGCACTCGACCGAGCGCCGTTGACTCATATACAAAAATAAATTTCGATTAACAGTCTTGGTGCTTTGTACAAAAACAGCGGCGTATCTTTTTTCGTAACTAAAAATCAGGTTATTTTTTTTTGACGATTTCAATAAGAATAAGCTCTAATTGTAATCTCTTATTAAAATTGACTGATCACTTTGTATTTCACACATTTATCGTGCATTTTTTTTTCTAAAAGGGATTGCCCGGAAGTATCTCGGTATCATAGTGAATGCTCTATTTAGATAAGCTATTTAGCAATGTGAAAATTAAACATTGATTGCCTATTTAGATTGGTATTCAGAAATGTGCCGTTGGACAAAAAATTGTTTTTTCCAAAACTAATGTCAAAGACCCAGAAAACAATTGTTCCTGTCTTCAACTTAAGAAATACAGGTATCATTTCATCTAGCACAAAAAGCTTTCAATTTTTTTAAAAATTATTTAAAAGATCCTGCTAATTTTACTAGTTCGGAATGCCTTTTTTTCCAAAAAAATTTGAACAAAAAAATGTTCGAATAGTAGAAGTCTCTAGCATTTAAAAAAAAATTGAGTAAGTGACGGATACGCGCCAAAGAAAAAATATTTAGAAGAAATGAAATGCATTGAAATTGCGCTTATTTTTCCAAAAGAATTTATCAGAAACGGTTTGCCAACCGTGCAAATAAGTGAAATATATACAAAAAAAGGAGTTAATATCTTTAAAAAGAATTAATAAAGATTGCGCCATTCTCCCAAACCAAAACGATACAAACGACTGGCTAGTCTCAGCAATCCTTTTTCCTTCTCATTTTATTGCGCGCAGAGTGCGCCCTGCCATTGGCTGACCCCGCCTTTTCGCGCGTATTCTCTCTTCTCTACGAGTTGCGTGACCTCCAAAAGAGTTTCGTGTTCACAATCGACAAAAACTGTATTTTTCACGGTTTTTTTGTCACATTTTCAGTTTAGAAAAATACAGTTCTAGAGCGCTAAGAGTTAGAATTTCCCTATTGTGAGCTTCCTTTTAAAAATCTTGAAAAAGGCCTTGCCGCCAAAGTAATAGTTTAAAAAAAACAGCTCTTTTCGCTAAACTTCCTGTTATCCATTTTAATAAAGTTTATTTAAATTCACAATTATTCAAATTTTGTATGTGTAAAAACAGAAAAAGTTGAACTAAAAATCATGAGAAGAAACAGGGAGGAATACGTAAAAATAAATTCGACAAAAAAATAATTTTTCAATTTTTTTTTAATCCATGCATATTTTATTTTCGAGGCATTTCCAAGTACTGATATTAAATTTCCACAGGGCGAAGTTTAATATGATCATTCAAGATATGGTTTGTCCCGCGCGATACGAACACTTTTCAAGAGAAAAGTTACTGAAAGCAGCGTTTTTTTGCCAGTTTGCCCTACGAAACTGCAAGAAAAACCGAAAGAAACACCTGAGTTTCCGTAAGTCAAAAATTACCCAGTTTGAAATGCGGCTTTTTTTGCAGAGAAAAACGGGACAACGGCGCGGAAATCATTGGAATTCAAAAAAAAAGAATAAAAACTGTTGCTGACCATCTCGCTCATTCGAACACCAATGTTGCTCCAGCTTCGCGACGCTCGTAATGATACAAATCAGGTAAAATTTTTGCTATTCTTAGCGTCTCATAGAATTTTGCATTTTTGTTTATTTATGATTTTATTTTATTTTTTTATTTTATCCTTTATCGCAAATTTCATCATTAATACTGAATGGAATAGTCGCCAATCAGGGCTGTGCGGCAATCGGAGTTCGCTGCTTGGATATATAGATAGTCAGCTATGGCTCCTAAATTTTCTGTAGACATGAAAGATGAACTTTGCTACAGTATCAGTAAAATTATTCTTGAATTTTGCAGGAGAACATATATAAAAAATTCAAAGAATGCCAAAAATTGCCGGCAACAAATTGCCGAAATTGCCGGCAATTTGAAACCGGCAATTTTTGTCTTCTTTGAAGGTTTTTCAAAACTTATTAATCATAAATCACATTTTTAATGAGTGGAAGTTATAGTGGAGCACGTCTTAAATAAGTATACAAAGTTTCGGAGCCCTAGCTAGTTATCTATATTCTTAATTAGCGACTCAAACTCGATTGCCGTTTTCGATTGCCGCACAGCCCTGACGTCAATCTTACGTAGTTTGTATTTTCCGAGCGGTTATTAACAGTTTTTATGTGTGACATTAGTGCTCCCAATTTTTTATTTTATTATTGTAACTAATTTTTTTTTGAAAAGTGTTTTGAAGTTTTCTAAACCACTTTTTTTTTGAATAACAGTAAGTTTTTGGTAAAAAAGAAAACCCCTAAACCATTGCTAGCTTGCATTTATATGACTACAGTCATCGTTTAGCGCAAAATGTTTTATATAAATGGTTATTTTTTTAATGCGCGTTTCACTGACGATATGATCACAGAATACGTTGCAATATCCCAATTTTTTTCGCAATAAAAAAATAAAAAAAGTTCATTTTTTTATTGTCTCAATTTTGTTTTCATTTTGGAAACTCTCAGATTTCTGGCGGTTTTTTTTCCAATGTGTCACCAGACGCTCAGATAGTATGATTACAGGACGGATATCATGATGAGCTGAAGGTAATACAGCAAGAAAAACTGCCTTTATGCTGTTTTCCACGTTTCTCCAGTGCTACAAAAACCAGCTTAACCGCTTTGCAACAATTCGTAGAGAAACAGGCATTTTTCATTCATTTTTAATACCAGTTTTCCATTTATTTTTTTTTTCAAATTACCACTTTCCTTGATTTGAAATAATGGCAACCCACTAAAACTCCAATTTAACGGCAAAAAGCCAGAGTAGCGCAAAAAAAGTTTCGCCATTTTTTTAACGCATTACATTTCCCGTTGAAAAAACAATCTTTTATTATCTTTTCAAGTTATTTTCAGATGCCCTTTTTAACCGGACCTACAATCGAAATGAATTAAGTCGTCTATGGAATTTCTTCTCATTGCTTATTTCAAAGGACTCAGGTATTGGAAAATTTGTTTGTTACGATCTTTGTGGATTTCAAATTTTTTTCAGAAGAATTATCAGCAAGGGAACAAGAAAAGATGATGGAAAGTGCCGCGAACCGACTGCACAATTCTCATTTCGATCGGATTTCGTAACTTTTTTTGCATGTTTTTTTGTATTTTTTTACCGTCGTTTTTTAAAGTTTATTTCAAGTGCAGATTTTGTACTTCTGTACATTTCTAGCATTGAAACCTTTTTCCAAGGAGGAACTCGTCTCCGAAGATCAATAATTGGTTCGAAAATCCTGTTTTTATGGAGAAAAACCAAAGGATTTCAGTGTTTTCAAAATATCATTTTTGAAGTTAGAACAGAATATAGTTTTATTAGCAGTGTTTGATGATTTAAACTGGATTTCAAAAAGGTTTTTTGAGAATTTTCAAAAATTTCAACTTTGCAATGAAATTGACAATCTCGTAACATCTATCGATTGTTGCTTTTGTATTTTTTCATTGCTTATTTTTTTGAAATCTTCACAAGTCAATTGGGAGGATGATGAAAGTAGCTATCGGGTAGCTATAAACTGATTGGTAGTTGTTTGTTAACCGCCGGGTACTGTTTTTTTAAAATTTTATTTCAGTTTTTTTAATCTTCCCTACGGTTCCTGGATATTATCGTTATGCTACTTGGAATTTGCGATTGCTACTGGGTGGCTAATCGGTGGTCTTTCATTGCGCATCATGTCAACCGTGCCAAGATCTCACTAGCTACCTTTGATGCATGCATCCGTTTATTGAGCACGGCGATCTTGGAGAGACCAGACATGTACTGCACACAGTCTGGGGACCTGCGCGATGACATGCTGAATTCAACAGAAAAAGGCAGGCCAGCGCACGAGTCTGGTCTCTCCAAACTTTCCGTGCTCTCTAAACTGATGCATGCGCGCTGCCCTACCGTCCCTTTTCAGATGCGCTCTGGCCAAACTTTTTTTTTCCGATGAGCGCCGCTTTTTTTCTGAGTCTGTGCTACCGAATTCCGAGTACACGCGTCGAGCCGCCGCGCGTTCCGGGAACTTTTTTTGTGCCCATCATAATGATTTTTGTTGCACCTTTGTTATCACGCTGAACGTTCGTATAGCTCTCAATCTCACTCAGTTTTCCTGAAGTTCCATTTTCACTGTTCAATTGAGTTTCTCAAGTGTGTTACAAAAAACAGTCATCGAAACTACCAAAGTTTTCCTGACAATCAAGCTCCATACTAGACAATTGGGACTGAAATAGTGTATTTTTTAATTTTTATGGCGGTACTGGAGTTAGGAATCTAACAACAGACATATTTATCTTTTCTTCCACTCTTTTCTTAAATTGCGTAGCTCGAATCCACATAATCGTTTCTCATAATCTTTTTTTGAATCGTTCAAAGTGATTTTTCGTTTACATTTGACGTTATGTTCGTGATGTATTTACGCCCTTTTTTATATATCAGGTCTCCATTATGTAAACGGATATTTTCAGGGTAAACTTTCGAATCAAAATGGACGTTCGTCAAGTCAAAATTTCCATCAGTGAGGCCAACGCTCAAAAGACCGTGGTTCAAAGGGTGGCGACGACCGTGAAGAGATGGTGTGAGAAAAAACGTCTCACGTTATGCTCGAAGAAAAACGCTCCTTTGGTCTCATTCATCCATCACAAAATGCTTTACAAAACGTTCAACGTTGCCAAAGATCAATACAAAAAACTTGATGACAAAGTTCAAGAGCTGGGCAACGAGCTTTCGTCATTCATATCCCTGCACCCAGAGGTGAGTGACGTTTTCATTCAAGATCAACATTTTTCTGGTTGCAGTTGAACGTGACGTCGGATGTTGTTGTCGACGAGGTCGATACTTCTTCTTTCGGATACATAAGGGAAATCGCTTCGGAAGTTCAAGTGCTCATGATGGACTACAAAGAAGCTGACCGAAAGGAAAGAGAAGCGCACGCTAAGGCGAAAACCTTATGCGAGCAGTACAACGAGCAGAGAAGAATCATGAAAGAGACTCCGTCGAGTCTCACTTGGCAACGAGCAGAAGCTCTCAGAGACGAGTTCCACAAAGTGGAATCTTCCAAGAAAGGATTGTATGACGCGGCGGCCAAAGCAGACAAAAAACTGAAGGAGTTTGTCCGGGGAAAACCGGTGAGTCCAATTGATTCTTGGTTGTGTCGACAAATATAGTATAACGTGTAAAACTTTTTTTGATTACATTGAAAAACTCGACAAAGAACAAGAAATTTTAATATATCATTTATTTTCAATTTGAAAAATTTGCAGGTGGTTGCTTCCGCCGCACGCGATTCTCGTAGACTGGCGCAGGAGCGATTCAGATCTATCATTTTGAACAAGGTGATTTTTTGAATAATCTAAAGATGCAGAGGCAAAAGTCAACTAACGCTTAATTCTCAAAAACTCACTTTTTTCATGAACATTTTCAGACAAACGGCAAGGCTCCTCAAAAAAAGTCTCCACTTGTTCTGAATCAAAAAGTCGCAATCGAAAACAAGGTTAGTTTTGAGTTTATTAGAAACTCAAGTTATCAAAAACCAGCAAATTTCCCTTTGCAAATCACGAAATTACAGGTCATTGTCGGCAATGTTGGAGACATTGATGGACAAATCAATAAGACCGCCAAGAGTATCCATAATAAGAAACAGGTAAAAAGTTACAACTACTATATCAAAGCAAAAATGAGAATATTTTTATCCGTTTTTTTCTATTTATCGATCGATAATTCACGAAATTGCAGGTCGTCGTTGACCCTAGTGGAGACATTGACAGGCAGATCAATGAGGTTACCAATGGTATCCGAAAGAAAATAAAGGTAAACATTCACTAATATTACACCGAATCAAAAAAAAAAAGCTTTTTTTCTTTATTCTTATATCAGTCGAATCTTATATCAATCGAAAATATCCAAAATTGCAGTTCATCGTCGGCCCTGATGAAGACATTGATGGGCAAACCAATGAGAATACCAATGGCATCCATGATGGAATGCAGGTGAGACTTTTGACTTAGAATTTCACTTCGAAACAGAAAAAAGGACACAAACATTTTATCAATCTTATATTTCAGGTGTTCAATGGCCAGGTGAACGACGTCGTTGAACAGGACGGCGTCAGCAACGACGGCAAATAAGCCACTCGCTCCAACTTCAACTCATTTGTCAATTCCTCTCACTTTGAATATTTTCTGTTATTCATTTTTTTAGCATCTACTGCAATTATTTGTTTCTAGATCCATATTTTTCATGCATTGAATTTCGTATTTTAATTCATATGCAGATATTTCTGTTGTTTTGTTATACTAACATCGTTGTTCATTTTTGTTACTAGATTTTTTTCTCCTTGTACCCTGTGTCTTTCATCAAATGGTTTTACTCTGTTTACGGTTTTGTTACATCTCGGATAATCATCCCATTTCTGAGCTTCACAATCATTGTTTCCAGATCTCAAATTATTTATTGTGAACTTTTTTGGGTAATAAATGGGTTTTGTGTTGAAACTTGTCTTTGAAGCAAAAACGGAAATGTAATGAGACATAGAAATCGTGAAAAAGTTGAAATAAACATTATTGATTGGGTGTTTTTAAAGCAACTTGCGATGCTGATCACGAGATTGTGTAAGGAAACTTATAATATAAGATAATATAATCTTCATTCCTTTTATCGTTCTGTAAAAAAACTTAAAAAAATTAAGAAAAAAATCAATTCTGACTTTTTGGCACGGTGCGACTTTCTTCTGACCTTCTTTGTTTCTCCACGTTACGAGCCCGTGAAAAAAACGCAAGGCGAGAGATTTTGCGAAAAGAAACTACAGAACTTTAGTCATGCAGAGACTTGAAAATATCCTTGCTAATCATCTTGAAGAGCACTTTACGCTTTTCAGCAAAAGTAAAATAAATAAATTTTAAGTGGCTAATTTTTAATAAAGGTCCGAAAAATAGCCACTTGATTGAAAAGAGTCAAATAATCAATAATAAAATCCAAAAATTTTTCAAATAGTCTCATATCAAATTTTCTATTAGAGGAGCTCATTTAAGTTTCGATGGAGACATGAATTCGAAAAAAAACGAATAGGATAAAAAAAGAATATAATGGACTTGCGAGATCCACGGTTGGAAAATGGCGAGATCAAAAAGTTTGGCGGCGAACCTTCTTGTTACCCGCGAAGATACACCTCCGCGTCACGAAACTGTCTAGCTGAGGTCTCAGGCCTTTTGTATTCGCTCCATTCTAAACCAAGTGTCTTTTCACTTTCTACTTTTTCAATGGAAACCTATGACTCCTACTTCAATGTATGTTTTTTTTCCTCTTCGAACTAATTATTGTTTCCTTCGTGGTTTTTTGCCGCTTTGAATGTGATTTCTGCAAAATAACCGTCAAAGTATAAAAAAACGGAGATTTCGGAGAGTCAGAGAACATTTTTTTATTCCGTAAAAAAATTATTTTTTTGTAGTGAATTTTTCAAGTGAATGTCCGAGAAAAAAACCTTTTCTTACTGCTGTCAAATGCAATACAAAAAAACAATTCTGAAGAACGTCTAATTTTTTTGAATTTCCGGTCTCTTATGCAACCAATTGAAAAAAATTTTTTTTCGATTTAATTGAACCAAAAGTAATTTGAGAGTCAGAAAGTGAAAAATTACAGTATGAAAATTCTTAATTGAAAAAAATATTTCTTTATTTTTCTCGTTTATCGATCAATAAATTGTATACGCTTAGGTCCAATGGACCGAAGGGGACAACCGACACCTTTTGAGGGTCATCAGAGGGGAACCCGCCATTTGGCACCCGGCACATCCAGATCAATCCTCCACTACGGTCCAAAACGCTTGGCACAGAGTGTTTTTTGAAATGGCTCGTCACATGAGCAGTTTTATAACTGGTTTGTTATTTTTATTTTCCTGAATTTCATATGACCCCATCTAATTTTGATTTTGTTATCATAAAACGTGAGAAAATCGAGAATTCGGAAGAAAAAGAGAATTTGTCAAGAAAAGTTCTATTTTATGAAAGTTTCTTTGTTTTCAAAGCTGTGGAGGAGTTTCGACATCACGCCTGAGCTCAAAACTGAGAAAAACTTTGAAAGTTATCAAAAGTTCTTCTTCATTAATTTTTTTTTCATAAAAAATTTTGTATCAGTTACCAAAAAATCTGTTTCAAATTTATTGTCGAAAAATGCAGGTTTCAAAACACATGAGATGTGATTTTTAAGTAGCTTAAAAATTTTAAGTAGATTAATGGAGCACATTTCAAAGCAGCGAAGAGTCAGATTCGCTTATCCACACAAATGAAGAAACGCCGGTTAAAAAAGACATTTTCAGTTAAGGACGTCAAAGAGCAATGGTTCTTCTTGCGGGACCAATACGTTGAATGGCAAGACTTCTCTCGAAATCGACGACCGAATTTCCAATACGTAATCGAACTATCGTTTTACTATGGAGTCATAAGATAGTCAGTTTTTTGTCCCTTTCCGTGTTTCTCATCGATCGTGTTTCAGTATGCGAGATCAATTCAAAGACGATCGGAACGAAAATGGACTAGGCTCATGTAACTTGGATCGAACGGACCAGAGACTTCGATTGTCCGAGATATTGTAATTATCGCGCTTTTTTTTATTATGCATTTATTTTTTTAGTGCGTTGAGCCCTCGCCGGAGTCCTCTAAGAGCATTGCAACCTCGTAACACTCCTCATCAGCAAGGTTAAATACGCAATCCTTCTCATTAAAACGGTAACTTTCATCGGCTTCCTATTAACAAAGGAGCATTTAGTCACTTACCGTTTCAACCATTCTCATTCTTTTTGAATCGCTCACATTTAAATCTTTATTCCACCATTTGAATGTATCATATGTGAATTTTTCTCTCCATTTCTTTACTCCCAACTATCACATCTTAAGTTATCCACTGTCTTTGAATTTTCAACGGATTTTGTACATGTAACTGGTATCAGTTCTTACGTTTAATCCTGTTTTATCGGTGCATTTTTATTACTGTCTCGGTCTTTTTCCATATCCATATATATATTGCCGTTCATTCCCCATTACTTTTGGTCTTTTTTATTTGAATTTGTTAAGCTCTTCTACAATTTTTCCCGATCCCAATAAACATTAATCCCTTGAAAACATTGTGAATTGCAGGAACAAACGCCCTGAGTTTGAAATCGGTCTATTAGGGAGCGTTATCTTTTCAATTAAATTTTCAAAAGCATCATTACTGTTCCTGACCTTTCCTTTTTGAGATTAGCTAGGACTTCTAGAAATGAGGAACGTGAGCAGGTAAAGACCTCAGAATGGTCACCAATTTTTTTTGTTTTTGATCGAAGAATTGTTGCCAATGTGAAGTTTCACGGCTTTCAAAATCCAATTCGAGATATAAAATTCAATTTCACCAATTATGCACCCTCACAAATCCTGCTACTTGTGAATTTTCTGATGACCTTGAAGGCCGAGCAGAAACAACTAACTTAATGCGACTGATGCCAAGATGTTCCAATGGGGCTGTTTTCCGCGCTCCACCAAGAATGCCTAGACAAAATAATCAGAAAGACAAGTTGAAGATTTGTTCAAGCCTTGCCTCAAAGCTTATGAATCCGTTTTTTGAACTGAGAAACCGTGTTGGCTTCTGTGTCCAGATTCATCGAGAACAGGAGTTTTTTCATCCCTCTGTAACAATCAATCAATCAAATCATTTATTTTGTTGGTTTAGTCATAGATGTATCGACTAGGCGGTGAACAAGAACTTTGAAAGCTATAACGAACAACCGCCTTTGGCGAACTAGAAGTCCAAACGTGTAGTGGAAAGAGTTGGAAGCATGGTCTTACTGTCCTTCGCCTCGTCCTTCTGCGCGTAGTCCATCCAGTTGCGCCTTGACGAACTCAGAATGTAGCGGATGTTGTGCTGGAGCCCGGAAATCGTGCACTAGGTGGAAGCCTCAGAATGAGAGCGACCACTTCGAGTGAAGATTTTACACGGAATGAAGATTTTACACGGAATGAAGATTTTACACGGAATTTTACACGGAATAACTTTTTAATTATATTTTTTTTTCACGGAAGATCAAGTAGTTTTTTAAAGAGATGCTATATAATGTAAGGGCTCGAAAATGACTTCTGACAATAAATTTTTCTGTTCAAGTTATGGCGCTTCAAAAAAACGGAACATATAGCTTTAGAGTTCCTTCCAAGAAGTTCAAGAAGTTTTTGGAGCGCCACGGCTTGAGGAAAAAAATGATTAGAAGTGAAAAAAACTCAAAAATTAGACACCTAATTTTTGAACCGATTATCAAAGACAAGTTTCATAAACAATTGAAAAATTTAGCGGAGGAATCAAAAAAACCAGAGGTGGGAATAAGATAATTTTCAGGAACTTGACAGAAATCAAATTTTTCAGGTTCTCTTCATCTTCCCATTGGTCGCTTGCTCAACCTTGCTGATTCATTCAACTCTGAAAAACAATTGGTGTTTTGCATCCGCAGAAACTGAAATTGGAAAAATTACTTTTAAATTTTGAAAGAATCTCTCTAAAATTTCTCCGATCATTTTTATCAATCTTGTGAGAAAACTATTTTTGATGGAGAAAAAAATCCGGTTACAGATTGAAGGAGAGGATTGAACGTAATCTCAAAAATTTGAGCTTCTTTTTCTTCCTGTGGTTCAGAAAAAAAAAATTGAAAACGTTCTTTTGTCTTTTTGAACATGAGGGAAAACTTTTGGTAATAAAAATATGAAGAACTTCAACAGAAGTCAGCAGTCAAGTCTTTCACATCTTCACTTGAAATCAAGTTGCCTAAGAAATCTTTTCTCATCGCTTCTTTCGAAGGGCTCAGGTATCTGTTACGACCTTTTCTTTTTTTGATACAGTTGAAGATTTTTGGGCTTTGAATAATCACATTCAAACCGCTGGTGGCCTGAACTGGGGATCTGCTTATTATCTCTTCAAAGAGGGTATCAAGCCGATGTGGGAAGACGAAAGTAATGTGAAGGGCGGACGTTGGCTCGAAATTGTCGGAAAACAGAGGCGTTCACAATTGCTAGATCACTACTGGTTAGAGTGGCTACTCGAAGAACAGTTTGAAGATCTCGGGGAATATATTTGCGGTGCGGTAGTCAACGTCAGACAAAAAGATGACAAGGTCTCTCTTTGGACCAGAGATGCTATGAGGGATGACGCATTGGTTCGGTACTGAAAGCGAAACTCGATATCCCGGATGCTGAACCGATAAGATACGAAGTTCACAAGGGTTCATCAGCTCGCAATTCTTCTACAGTAAAACCAAGAACTGTCATTGCGGCTAAAGAGGTCCCTCCTAAAGCCTCTGCGTAGATTTTTTTATTTAGCTTTCCTACGAGTAAATTTGAGTAAATTTTTGAATGCTTTCTTACACCACCTTTTTTTTTAGATTGGAGCCTTCTTTTTATATAAAGATCAAGATTTACTCGTTTTTCAGTTCATCTCAGCGCTGTTGTCTTATTTTCCTGCCTACCGTTCTCAGTGAGCTGCACTTCAAATTTTTTTCGCAGTTATTCACTTCCTAGATTTGCATAATGAACGGCTCTTGATGTATAAACATAGTATTTCATTACATGTGTTATAGAATTATTTGAGGATTTAAAATTTTTTTTTAAATTCTTAGCATGAGAAAAAATGTTGGAAAGTGCTGAGATACCAACTGCACGACTTTTATTTCGACCGGATTTCGTAACTTTTTTTGCATGTTTTTTTATATTCTTCCACCGTCGCTTTTTAAAATTTATTTCAAGTGCAGATTTTGTACTTCTGTACATTTCTAGCATTGAAACCTTTTTCCAAGGAGGAACTCGTCTCCGAAGATCAATAATTGGTTCGAAAATCGGGTGTTTATGGAGAAAAACCAACGGATTTCAGTGTTTTCAAGTTCTCATTTTTGAAGTTAGAACATAATTTAGTTTTATTGGCAGTGTTTGATAAATTGAACTGGACTTCAAAAAGGGTTTTAGGAAAAAGGAAAAATTTCAGAAAACTTCAGCTTCGCAATGAAATTGACGGTCTCGTAACATCTATCGCTTATTGCTTTTGTATTTTTTCATTGCTTATTTTTTTGAAATCTTCACAAGTCAATTAGGAGGATGATAGAAGTAGCTATCGGATAGCTATAAACTGATTAATAGTTGTTTGTTCACCGCCGGGTACTGTCCCTAAGGTACCTGGATATTATCGTTATGCTACCTGGAATTTGCGATTGCTACTGGGTGGCTAATCCGTGGTCTTTTATTGCGCATCATGTTAACCGTGCCAAAATCTTACCATCTACCTCTAAAAAGCAACCCGGTACCTGACGCTGGACTACCTGATAGAAATTGCACATTTCAAGTAGGGTAGCGATATGATCTAGATAGACAATCGACTGCTTCAAATTAGCGGTCAGTGTCAAATTTAAACCAACCGCTTATCCAATCAGTCTTATAGAGTTCGGTTTACAAACCAACGGTCAGTTCATATAAAACAGTAACTAAATGTTCGAGGTTTCAACATGTCGCTACCCAAGCTATATTATTTCTGACAGGAAGGTTATTTTAATTTGCGGTTGGAAACTTACTGAAAGTTAGCCAACGCATTCCTTGATGTGCCAGATAGAAATCTTAAGTGTCTTCCCCTGCAAAACTCTCTAATTTTCGCAAAACCGGACATAAAGGGCCGGAATAGCCTCTTGAGGGTTTTTTTTTGATTTTGAGGCGGCTTTCCCCAAAAACGAAAAGTAGTGCAGGTTAAGACTGATCTGGTACATCATGATGCATTCTGGCCAATTTTCAAGAGAATTTCAACCATGACTTAAAACGACCTCCCGTGTGAGAGCTATTTTTCCCGGTAGTATTGAGGTGCTGTAGAAATGGTGGTGGTATGAAAAAAAGACCAGAGAAAATTCAAACGGCGACTTTTCCGATTTTTTCATATCGCTAGGGAACTTTCCGACGGCCACCTTTCCGACGAATCTTTTTTCGACTTTTTTTCTCGATAAACTCTTCGTTTTCAATCTTCCTATATAAAGTAGGCAAGTTATTCATGATTAAAACCCAACGAAATAGAAAAAAAAATGTTGATAGATGTTTTATAAACCGAAAAATGTAAAGGATAAAAATCGAAAAGGGGTTTGGCGGAAAGGTGACTGTCGGAAAGTTTCCTAGCAATACGAAAAAATCGGAAAAGCCTTCTTTTAAAATTCCCCTGGCTTTTTTTCATATAATCGAAACGGTACTTTTTTGCTAACAAACGGCAATTAATTAGCTACCGTCGATTGACGTCCTGGTTGACCACTGTGATCCGTATAATGTTTTTTGTAGTCCTTTCGCCCGGAAATGCTCGTGATTCGAAGAGCTTGCTGATTCACTGTGTTTTTCAGCATCAATAAATTCAGTCAAAAAAGAGGTTTTTTGGAAAGTCAGCGCGCATTTAAGAAAAGCAGCGCCAACCAACGCGCATGCATAAGTTCAGAAAGCACGGAAAACTTGGAGAGACCAGACTCGTACTGCACACAGTCTTGGAACTTGCTCAGAGGGAGAACGGCATGCCAGCTCGGACATGGGTAACGCGAAACGGGTGCTCCGGACGTTTCTGTGCGATTCTAGGGATCACTTAAGAGGGCTGATGCTACTAAAGTGGTCACTAGAAAAGCCCCGACACGTCTAATTCGCGTCCCGTTCGCGTTACCAAGGTCCGAAAGCGCGCATCTAGAAAAAGAAACCGCAATCCAGCGCTCATGATCAGTTCACAGATCACGGAAAAGTTAGAGAGACCAGACTCGTACTGCACACAGTCTGGGGACCTGCGCGGTGACATGCTGAATTCAACAGAAAAAGGCAAACCAATGCGCATGTAAAGGCAGGTTAGCGCACGAGTCTGGTCTCTCCAAACTTTCCGTGCTCTCTAAACTGATGCATGCGCGCTGCCCTACCGTCCCTTTTCAGATGCGCTCTGGCCAAACTTTTTTTTTTCCGATGACCGCGGTTTTTTTTTTTCTGAGTTTGTGCTACCGAATTCCGAGTACACGCGTCGAGCCGCCGCGCGTTCCGGGAACTATTCTTTGTGCCCATCATAATGATTTTTATTTCCCCTTTGTTATTAATTTGAATGTTTGTATAGCTCTCAATCTCACTCAGTTTTCCTGAAGTTCCATTTTCACTTTTCAATTGAGTTTCTCAAGTGTGCTACAAAAAACAGTCATCGAAATTACCGAAAGTTTCCACACAATCGAGCTCCATTCTATACAATTGGGAGTTAAACAGTGTTTTTTTTTCAGTTATTTTTTGAATCGTTCAAATTGATTTTTAGTTTTTATTTGACGTTATGTTCGTGATGTATTTACGCTGTTTTTTTATGTGCCAGGTTTCCATTATGTGAACTGATATTTTCAGGGTAAACTTTCGAAACGAAATGGGCGTTCGTCAAGTCAAAATTTCCATCAGTGAGACCAACGCTCAAAAGACCGTGGTTCAAAGGGTGGCGACGACCGTGAAGAGATGGTGTGAGAAAAAACGTCTCACGTTATGCTCGAAGAAAAACGCTCCTTTGGTCTCATTCATCCATCACAAAATGCTTTACAAAACGTTCAACGTTGCCAAAGATCAATACAGAAGACTTGATGACGAAACTCAAAAGCTGAACAACGAGCTTTCGTCATTCATTTCCCTCCACCCTGAGGTGAGTAACGTTTTCATTCAAGATCAACATTTTTCTGGTTGCAGTTGAACGTGACGTCGGATGTTGTTGTCGACGAGGTCGATACTTCTTCTTTCGGATACATAAGGGAAATCGCTTCGGAAGTTCAAGTGCTCATGATGGACTACAAAGAAGCTGACCGAAAGGAAAGAGAAGCGCACGCCAAGGCGAAAACCTTACGCGAAGAGTACAACGAGCAGAGAAGAATCATGAAAGAGACTCCGTCGAGTCTCACTTGGCAACGAGCAGAAGCTCTCAGAGACGAGTTCCACAAAGTGGAATCTTCCAAGAAAGGATTGTATGACGCGGCGGCCAAAGCAGACAAAAAACTGAAGGAGTTTGTCCAGGGAAAACTGGTGAGTCCAATTATTTTTTTGTTGTGTCGACAAATATAGTATAACGTGTAAAACTTTTTGATTACATTGAAAACTCGACAAAGAACAAGGAATTTTAATATATCATTTTTTTTAATTTGAAAAATTTGCAGGTGGTTGCTTCCGCCGCACGCGATTCTCGTAGACTGGCGCAGGAGCGATTCAGATCTATTATTTTTGAACAAGGTGATTTTTTTCGAATAATCTAAAGATGCAGAGGCAAAAAGTCAACTATCGCTTAATTCTCAAAAAAACTCACTTTTTTTCATGAACATTTTCAGACAAACGGCAAGGCTCCTCAAAAAAAGTCTCCACTTGTTCTGAATCAAAAAGTCGCAATCGAAAACAAGGTTAGTTTTGAGTTTATTAGAAACTCAAGTTATCAAAAACCAGCAAATTTCCCTTTGCAAATCACGAAATTACAGGTCATTGTCGGCAATGTTGGAGACATTGATGCAAATCAATAAGACCGCCAAGAGTATCCATAATAAGAAACAGGTAAAAGTTACAACTACTATATCAAAGCAAAATGAGAATATTTTATCCGTTTTTTCTATTTATCGATCGATAATTCACGAAATTGCAGGCCGTCGTTGACCCTAGTGGAGACATTGACAGGCAGATCAATGAGGTTACCAATGGTATCCGAAAGAAAATAAAGGTATTCATTCACTAATATTACACCGAATCAAAGCTTTTTTTCTTTATTCTTATATCAGTCGAATCTTTATATCAATCGAAAATATCCAAAATTGCAGTTCATCGTCGGCCCTGATGAAGACATTGATGGGCAAACCAATGAGAATACCAATGGTATCCATGATGGAATGCAGGTGAGACTTTTGACTTAGAATTTCACTTCGAAACAGAAAAAAGGACACAACCATTTTATCAATCTTATATTTCAGGTGTTCAATGGCCAGGTGAACGACGTCGTTGAACAGGACGGCGTCAGCAACGACGGCAAATAAGCCACTCGCTCCAACTTCAACTCATTTGTCAATTCCTCTCACTTTGAATATTTTCTGTTATTCATTTTTTAGCATCTACTGCAATTATTTGTTCTAGATCCATATTTTCATGCATTGAATTTCGTATTTTATTCATATGCAGATATTTTGTTGTTTTGTTATACTAACATCGTTGTTCATTTTTGTTACTAGATTTTTTTCTCCTTGTACCCTGTGTCTTTCATCAAATGGTTTACTCTGTTTACGGTTTTGTTACATCTCGGTTGATCATCCCATTTCAGAGCTTTACAATTATTTCATTCAGATCTCAAATTATTTATTGTGAACTTTTTTTGGGTAATAAATGGGTTTTGTGTTGAAACTTGTCTTTGAAGCAAAAAAGGAAATGAAATGAGAAATAGGAATCGCGAAAAAGTTGAAATAAACATTATTGATTAGGAGTTTTTGGAGCAATTTGCGCTGATCCAGCTGATCAGGAGTATGTGTAAGGAAATTAAAATTCGAAAATTGAATATAATATGAGGCGCAAAGTGAGAGGTTTGCGACAGGGCGCCCTCATGTCTTTTTGAACAAGGGAAAATTCTTTCGTGGCAAAGTTCTGAGCAAGGCATTAATAGAAACCAAATTTTGCGGTTTCCTTCATCTTCCCTTTGGTCGCTTGCTCAACCTTGCTGGTTCATTCAACTCTGAAAACGATTGCTGATTTGCATCCGCAAAGACTGAACTTGAAAAAATTACTTTTAAATTTTGAAAGAATCTCTCTAAAAATTCTCCGATCATTCTTATCAATCTTGTGAGAGAACTATTCTTGAGAGAGAAAAAAAATCCTGTTTCAAATTGAAGGAGGGGATTGAACATAATCTCTTGAGTTTGAGCTGTTTTTTCTTCCTCTGGTTCGGAAAAAAGTTGGAAAATTTCTTTTGTCTTTTTGAACAAGAAAAAAAATTTGAGTGTTGAAAAGATGAACCATTTCAACAAAAGTCAACAGTCAAGTCCTTCTCATCTTTATTCAATCGTCCATGCTTTCTGGTTCACTCAACTTGAAGAGGCTTCACATCAGCGACGACTGAACTTGAAAAATATCTTTCAAAGCATTTCGAATAGTTTAATAAAAATATTTTATTTTTGAAAAAAACGTCGCGGACCACATTTTTTTGGCTTTGTAACTCATTGAAGAGATAATAATTGACGCAGAAATTTTGCTTTTAATTTTTCAACCAATTTTTTTGACTCTCTCTCTTTCAGTTATGAGGAACCAGTGAGAGTGAAAGTATTAAGTAAAAACACGGAAATCTGAAGAGTTTAAGGAGGCCTCAACTCTGGATCAACAGCACTTTTCAAGGACTTCGATTTGTCGGTTTTCGAAAACAGTGAAAGTGGAATATGGGGCGATGTACGGAAAAGTCAGCTAGAAGCGCATTAACTTTGAAACTCACAAGGTTTTGCAGGGCAGGCTGACCTCTCCGTGGCCTCTGCTGCAGGTCAGGAGTCGCCAGGCTGCATTGCTTCGAGAAGTGTCCGATAGGGCGCGTTTTCTGCTGACCTACACTTGTTTTTGGTCGTTCGTTCCATTCACTCTTAGTTTTTGGTTTTTTTCTTAATTATCATCTTTTCTAATTTTTCTCTTTTTGTTTTGAATTTGCAATTGAATCTTTTCCTATTTTTTTCTGATTTCGACAGCCTTGATAAACTTTAAATTTTATTTCCATTGAAGTTTTTTTGCAATCTGATTTTTTGATTTTCAGGATTCAACTTTGAGTTGAATTTGAAGATAATATTAATTTTTGTCGGTTTTTACATGCTTGTAGTTTAATTTAGGAACTTGATTCTGGAAGTCCCTGGTAGGAAAGCCGAGTGTTATTAATAGTGAAGTCATGACGAGCATGTCAATCGTGGTACAGAATGTCCGCTCCGAAGAGACGTTCAGAAAGAAGTCCGAGGACATGGCCCTCATTGCTAGGACTCTTCTTGCTCGGCGATCAAAGCAAATCCTCCTTTATAAACTGACTCAAGATCCGAAGATTCGGATTGAGATAAAAACTTTGAGCCACGCCTACAACATCGCCGACAGTGAAAGCACATGCGCGAGAAATCAATATAGATTTTATAATTTCCAAAGGACGCAGGTTAATTTTCCGTTTAGTAATAATTCCTCTTGAAACCCGAGCGTGAACGGATATGTTCAAGTAAAATGCTACGGTGATTCAATGGGAATTCGACCAACAAAAAAAGTGTATCGCTTCCGGGCTGAGATCGCTTAAACTCAACAAAATGACTGAAGATATAAGACAAAAATTTTCATTCATTAGAAGATTATTTGTTAATATATCAGCGACGTTCCGCCGCTTTTTGGCTTTTTATTGATAAAGTCAAAATAACAGAAAAGCTTCAAAATCCTTGTTAATTTTTTCAATATCGCAATTTTTATAGGAGACGAGTTTTGGGCGCATCCTCCTTACACATCTAGACGTCCAAAAAGATAATATTTACCGTTTTGTTGCGGTAGCGGAGAGTTTGAAGCAATGTTATGAGTTTGCTTCAAACTGTGATCAGGATGAGAACTCGTCACGGAGGAAACAGAGACTTTCTGTAGTTTCCAAAAGCATCCTCGAGAACGACGCAAATCTCAATAAAGCTTATATAATTCTAGACGAGCTTCGAGAGCGCGTAAAAACTTATCGGGAAAATGTGAGCTTCCTTTTTTCTTTTCTTCAGAACCAAAGCTTTTTTAGGCCGATCCTTATAAAGGACGTTGTGAACTCTTCGAGAATAAGGTCAGTTTTTCGATGAATAGCAGGAATATTCTCACTTTAAATTTGAAAACATTTTTTTTTGTTATTTTTATCTTTTTGCTCATATTCGTGTGTGTATTCAGGTGCAAAAGAGTGCACACGGAAACTGAGCGGGAGTCTCTAGTCACCACGTTTCTGGAGGTTAGTTCGAGGCTAATCACTATCGTTCTATTATCCAAATGAACAATAAAATATTCATCACTGAAAACAATATCGAAAAAAACATACACAGAAAAAAATCACATAACTTTTTGAGGAAGGAGACGTTTCTGAGGTGTTAAATCAATCGATTCTCTGAAAAGCTCTTTTTTCAATTAATTTTCTGATTCAGACGTTATACTCCGACTTCAAAAACGCTGTTGATTCACGAGCGTCCTCAGAGGTCAGTTTGATTGAGGCGTCCATAGAGGTCAGTTTGAGGGAGGATGGGAAAAATCAATGGAGTTCTGCAGAACGTGGTCGGAGGACAGGATAAAGTTGGAGGTGTTCCAACTGACGAAAAGGTAAGTTTTATTTCCCGATCAATGGTATTCGCAAAAGCAAAGCTCTTAGAAAGGCGATGCTGGTTTCAAAGATCTCGAGGAACTGTCAGACTCCCCTCACAACACTAAATGGGATCGGAATCCGCTCACCTACTCCGAAGATATGCTCTCGCAAGTCCTTGTTAGTTCTTTTTTTCTAAGTAATTTATCCTCAGAAACGAACTTTTTTTTGAACAGTTTCTGATGTTCACTGCACGTCATCCCTTAGCTGATTCGTCAAGTAGACAATGCTTTTCAAAACTGTTTGGCGTAGAAATGGAGAAACAGGGCAAAATATGACCTCAAAGTAAAAGCTTTCTCGCAAATGAAAATTTCCGGAGATTGACCAGAAAATTTTTTGATTTGCGTACTCTCCCTGTTTTTTTCAACTTTTATTTAAAAATCAATGAATTCAAACTCGAAAGTCAACAGAGATAATCCACTAATCAATAAATATCAAGAGAAGTTTATGTTTTTCGGTTCTAGGGTAATCATAAAATTACAAAAATTTAGAATGGAGATACGGGGTCCGGTGAATTCAATGCCTCCGAGCTCGCCGATTCGGCAAACAAAGTACTGTGGAATTGGAATCCGATTACGGAAAACACTTTTCGGAAGTCTTCGTTAGTTTTTTTATAATTAATTTCATTATCAAATAATCCACTATTTTTGGTCCTTTGATTTATGATGTTTATTGAACATCACCTAGCTGGCTTGTTGGATAGAAAAAAATTTGTCGCAGTTTTGGCCAAACGGAAGAGTTTCGAAATCAAACCGCGGAGTTTAATTGCCCTCTTTGTAAAATTTTTTTAGAGAAAAAGCGTTCATTGATGGAACAGACTGAAAATAAACCAACATATTGTCAAACATCAATAACTAGAATTTCAAAAGTATAAAAACACATATACCAAAAAAACTTTTGAGATTCCTATGATGAGTCTCGACGAAGATGTCGAACAGACGAAAACCTCTGGCCAAATTGACAAATCCATGGAACAGCCGGAGATGGATGATAAGGAGAACCGAAAGCTTTTTGTAATCAATGAGCAAGTGAGTTTTCGATAATCTTCTTCTTAGAATAACCCCCGACATTAGTAAAGTATGCCTTTTCTGGCTGAGGACTTTCAATTGAGCATATTTGTAAACCCTCTTGCAATAAAACTTATTTTCAGAAGAAGGCGATTGACGACGACCAAAAACCCAAGCCAGACCGCAGTTTCGCAGAAATCGCAGCCGTTAGTTTATTTATTGCATTTATCGAATCAAAATGATTTTTCAGGGAACCATCGACGTCTTCCCAAGAACGGCTTTGTCCACCGTTCAAAATCGTCGATCCTTCCGCAAGGTTAATTACACGGATCAATACCTTCAGGTCAAAAATTTTAGAAAAACCAACCTGTCATCGGTCTCGCCGCACTGGTACCAAAAGGAACGCCGCATCCATTCCCACGGCGATTCGAGTACCGGTACGACCCGTCGAAATTTGGAAGCTCTGCTCAAAACGCTCCTAGCGTAAGTTTCTCACAGATTTATTCATGAAAAAGTGCTAAGATGGAGGGTTGAAGAATTGATAAAACGCTGTCGAAAGATACTTCAGATCCTTCTGCTTACACATAGTTTTCAATTGAAAGAGACATTTGTCTCATTTTTAAGCGCTTAAAAATTTGCTAACTAGGGAACGTTTTTTACCCCCCGGTTGAACTTTTGCGGAAACTTTGCTGAAGTGTACTTTAGGACCTCCTGATTCCAGAACAGAAAGAAAATTTCTCGCATTAGTTCTCGTTTTCGAGTTAGGACACTTCAAAAGCCCGAAATAGCGCTTTTTTGGCCTAATTTGCGTATTTTGCACACTTTGAAGCTTCATAACTCGGAAACAAGATCTATTGCGAGAAATTTTTTTCTTGTTCTGGAATCAGGAGGTCCTAAAGTACACTTAAGCAAAGTTTCAGCAAAAGTTCAACCGGGGGGGTAAAAAACGTTCCCTGGTAAGCTCAGGCCAAGATAAGCACTACTGGATGGTCAATTTTGAGGTGCCGAATCTTTAAAAAAATTGAAAAGTTTCACATCAAATCTCAATTTATCTGTAATCAGAAAGTCATAGAGGTTTCATCTTAGTTTATCAAAAAAATATCGAATTTCTCAACGATTTCGCAGTCCGAATCAAAAATAAATGTCCCTTGTTAGATTAACCTTTATGAAATTTGACTTATTTTGAAAAATTCGCCCGAAATTGGGCTACAAATTTGAACGAAATTCAGAGCTGCCACCTAGACAAAGTTCCGGAGGTGCTCATAATTTTTTTCATTCAAATTTTTGAGTTGAACAAATTCGCTAAGATTTTGCAAAGAAATTTTTTTCAGGTCAATGTTTTTCTGAAATGTTGAGTTTATCAGGCCAAAAGCGGGTCTTCTTGAGGCCAAAAAAGTTTTTCTAACTGACAAAAAGACCGAAATTGAGAAAAACTTTCGAATATTCAGAAAGATGACGGCTCTGCGAGCTCTGGATCATTTCAAAAACGCTGTTAGAACTGGATAATTTTTTTTCCATTTGCGTATCGACTATTGCTGGCCGCCCTGTTTCTATTCATCATTCGTCAACTTACGGCCTCATCTTTAGAGTAGAACTCCCCTTGGTTGCCGAGAGCACGTTCTGTGCAACTTTCTCCAGTTCATATCTATTTCCTGACTCATGTAAATTTCGACGAATCCCAGTATATTTATGCGTATTTCAAAGCAATCCGATGAAGTTATCCTGTATCTGAAACGACGATGTTCTTCTCCTTGTTCAATTACATCTATTTAGTATACTTATGTAGTCTTTGTTCTCTTCTATTTATATGTAGCTTTTTTCGCCGTGTGATTATTACAACACCAGAAATGTATTTCTCTTCACACTATGCTCAACACTTTTCATTTCTCTTTGTTCTCAGAAAACGTGATTTCATTTTGATATGCCCACCTGCATGTACTAAAACGCAACTTGACTGCCGACAGCAAACTTTGTATGGCCAAGCAGTTTTTCTTGACAGTTACTCTTTTCTCCACTATTTTTTCTTTCCTTACTTTTCTACTACCAATTATTCCCTCTACATTTTCACGTTTTTTAAAAACATCGTAACCAATTGTCTGTTTCTGCGGCAACGATGTTTTTTTATTTCGTTCGGAAACCTTTCTGTAATGTGCACTCAATTTGTTTCCCGTGATATTATGCAATTTTCCCCGTGTGTTTTTTCCCCTTAATACAATATCGAACACATTATCATCGCCTTCTGTTCTTAGAACTCTTATCTATTATTTTCGTTTCCTCACCTTCCTTCCGTAAAACGCAACTTTGTTGCCGAAATCACTCCCGATGCGATTTCAAAAGCTGATATACCCAACTATTTCCTGAATCCTGTAATTTTGATCTGTCCCTGAATATTTATAAGTATTTAAATGAAAATCTCCATGAGTTATCCATTTCACCAACGAGCTCTGTATTCTGCTAATGTTTTCCTCATCCGGTTCATATGACATTTTGTATTTGCAGTGCCTGAAACCAAAAATTTAGTCTATTCATTTCATCTTTTTTGACCGTTTTGATCCGTAAGTCCCCATAATCTCCAAGTTTTCATATATCGTGTTCCAAAACTATAAATACTTCTTTCTCGCGTTTTTTTCAAAAATATACATATCATATCGAAGCAGAATACTTTTATTACTTGCGCAAGCACAAAATGAACATCAAGCCAAACAAAAGCTTTTTTTTTATGTAGAAGTACATTTTTAAAAGTTATGACTGCACACACGGGTTTTCTAATCACATTCTGCTGTTCAGGATAGGTTACGAAGAAGGGATTCAATGAAAAAATAATGGTAGGATCACTGAAAAACGACCAGCAAATAAAAGTCCATTTTCATAGGGTGTTTTCTTCTTCCTTGCAGTTTCTCATCGCCTCTTCAAGGAATCCTGAAAAGTTTTGAGATGAGAAGTTTCATGGTTTATAAATGAATTAGAGTTTGAAAATTCTGAAATTTCTTCTGATTATTGCTGATTAATTGGGCTGAAACACTGGATAATCCTCCGAAGCATTTTCAAACTGATCAGAATCGTAATTTTCTTGTAAGAACATTGCATATTGACCTGGAAAAGTTGCAATTTGAAACATTGTTATGAGTCGATGGGTGTTAAATGGAAATAAAGGAAGATTTTTGTTTCAAAAACCTTACATACGGAAACTTACAGTTTGTTTTTCTAGAATCTCTAGGAAACTCTTTTGATGCTTCAAAAGTTATCTCCAATTACTAAAAATACGGTTATGACCGATCTGAGTCAAAGTACTTTGTTCAACTTTGCCGACTTTCTTTTATATTCATTAATAAGTTTGGTTATTATCTGTGAAGGAACAGCATTTACAAAAAAAAAACATGCGAGCCACTTTATGCTAAAAAAATTCCTGACCTCTCTTCATTTCGCGAACGATGACAGTCATCAGTTTGTTCCAGCCAAGACGAGCCAAGCAGTTCTCGCCGCTGTAGACGTTGTTGACGTCGTTCATCTTCGAAAAATGTCGAATACAAATTTTGAAACAAGATGAGGAGTTTCTCACAGGGTTCGGAGTTTCTTTGGTTTCTCCCGCGACCCCAGATGCTTTCCCGTTGAGAGTTCCATTGCTGGCCGAGTCGTTGGCGACGCCGCCGACACTGTTGGAATCGGTGTAGCCGATAGTGACCTGGTCGACTGTCACTTTCTTGAACACCAGCCAATTGTCTGCGCCAAAGTTTACTCCTCTGGAAAAAAGGTTCAGTACTTTATGACTTCTTCAGAGCTCTTCTTGGTTGAAGTTACTGCCCTTCTTATGAAACGAAATGTTTAGTACTGCGAATTGGGTTTTATATGTCACAAATAAAAGGATGAGGTGCAGTTTTTTGGGAAAAACGAGAATTCAAAAGAACTTGTAAGTGAGAAACCAGGACCTGGTTTATATTCACTAGCTGCCTAAAAATGACTATTTTTTGCCCCGGTCTGAAAAATTTGGGGAGGAGTCCTCGAAACCATAATAATTAAACTTAATTTGATAATTCTGAAATTTAGTGGTTTATTTTTTTCAAACTTTTTCTCATTAAAAACGTTTCACAAATACTAGAGCATTCAAGGTATACATTTCATGGTTTTATTGAAACTCAGTGCCAATTTTGATGCCACTCTGTAACTTACTTCTTACTGAGGTTCACAGTAAAATTCAGAAAATACCATTTTTCCAAAGTAACCTGGTGAAAATCATTATGATTTAAAATGACTCCGCGTATGACTTCCAAAAACTTTTCTTACCGATAAAAATGAATTTGTCCAATTCTGTGGGCCATGTCATAGACGCTTGAAATCGGACAAAATCCCAATGAACCGACTGCCGTATCGAGGAAGTTTTGGATCCGATGAGCCTAAAATTCAACCATTTTTTCGTCTAAATGCTTCATTTTCACCTGCAAATGAAACTCTTTGCTCTGGTTCAAGGCTCTGATGTCGAGAGATTCGCTTTGTATGCCAAAATACTCAGCAAACTTTGGGCGTTTTTCAATCAAAGTCTGTAGAATCTTCTTGCCGACATTATCCGTCTTAGCTCTGAAATCAAATAAATGTTCCATTTTTTGCATTCTTCGATTGTCAAACCGTATCCAAACCTCCCGAATCGCTGCAATTTGATCGTCGGACAACTCATAGGGAACGTTTTTCTTGCTGCTGCAGATGCCCATGTCCTGAAAGCCATAAAAAGTCATCATTTCAAGAGTGAAAAAAACAAAGCATTCAGTTTTCATTATTCACCGTTCTATGTTGAAATTTTTTTTGTTTTTCGCCAGGATGGCAGTTTTTATTTTGGATGGAATAATGGTAATTATTTTTTTGTTTTGAAAATACAATTAAAATCGAGCTGCCATCAAATAACGACATATGGCGAAGATCACGATGAAGTAATATAAAAAATGAAGAGAAAAGCTGAAAAATAAAGGGGAAAAATAATTAGATCGGAGATAGTGAAAACGAAAACTGTTTAAGATGATTTTGTGTACGAGGAAGCTGGAAAAAGAAGAAAAAAATAGGCGACTTGAAAAAAAAGTAATCAAGCTGTTGGAACCCACAGTTGTCTTCGAAACTTTCTGATCAAAAGTTTATGATGAGGTTTTGAAGATTTTTTGTAATGCTTTGAATTTTTTGACTTCTAAACTGTTAACTCTCAAAATTGTCAAATTTCATGCTCTGTGATGGACAAAGAATAAAATTTTTCAGCGCTTTCATCCATAATTCTCGGCGTTTTAGAAGTACTTTGATTCTATGCGCAGTCTATCGTACTTTGAGACACATACGCTTTTGATTTGAGGGAAGGTGCCAGATAGTATTTCCAGATCCCTCAATTCAACAGCGTTTCAGAGGGTTTCAGAGTTTCAGATTAAGGTTGCGAGCCTCAAGCTCTTTGAACAGAATGGATTTTTAATTTCGGAGGCGAAAGATAAACTTGTTAAATATTGAACTCTAAAAGTTTTGAGTTTTTCCTATTTTAAAACTTGCAAACATATTTTTTATTCGGACCCCTTGAAACGTCAAACTAATTTTCGCAGACTTTGCACGTACTCTGGGCAAAGTTGGTTGTCTTTTCGGGAGCCAATGAGTTCAACAAAGAGACAGCAAAAACTTTGTTAGAAAGACGATGGTGAGAAAAGAGAAGCGACTGCGCGCCGACAAGCTCACAAGCCTATAAGCTTTCACTCATGGAGCCCTCTGGGAAGTCGTCTAACAAGGAAATTATGTTCCAGAGCCTTTTTGCCAACGAAAAAAGACAGAAGAAATCAGGCTTTACCGCTTCGTTTCCAATCATTTCCCTAAGTCGGTCAGCTAATTGGATGCCGTTTCTCTACCAATTTTTCCACAATTAATTCGATGTCACGCGGAATTTTCGCGGGCATGAAGAATGAGAATTTCCTTCTGGTTTTCGTTAAGATCTTTGTTTCAAGAGGTCTGCCAGGATGTGAATTGAATAAGAGGTCAGTGTCTGGGGTCGGAAATCAAAAAATTCAGGTTTGTGACCATTTACCAAAGAACTGGGAAGTGAGGCGACGATATTTCGAAACTCGGAAAAAGGTGAAGGTTAGCAGGTTTTTTTTTCAAACGATAGATAAGCATGATTTTTTTAAGGTCTTTCAATTTTCTTCTGGATTGCTACTGAAACTTATTTTCAAGTAATATAGATTCAAAACGAAAATTTTCTGGAATTCATTTTTCAATTATTTTTCATATGCTCCAAAGTTTCTCCTGTGTCCTCTTGAGACTTTGAAACTCAATTCTATTTTCAAAAATCTTTGAATTTCAAGTGCAGCTGACAATAAAGCCATTTTACTTTGCCGTTGGGATCTCATTGAAATATGGCCAGTACCTTTCTTGATGTACTGAGAAAAGGTTCTGAAAGTCTCAACCTGTAAAATTTCCTATTTTTTGAGAAATAAGGGCTCAAAACTCCGATTCAGCCTGTTGTAACGTTTTTTAAGGGTTTATTTTTGACTTTGCAGTGTCCTTTTTTCATTACTAGAGAACTGTGTAGGATCAGATTTTCCTAAGCTTCATCCAGTACATCAAGAAATGCTCTAAACTATTGTCAGAAAATAACCTACCGCAAAATAGATAGACTTTTCCTGTTAGAAATTAAAAGTCATTACTGTTTCAGCGTTTGCAGCGTCAAACTACATGCGCGCAATAGCATCTTTAATGTATGAGAAAAGTCGCTGAACTGCAAACATGGGCAATCAACATCGAACAAAGTTTTTGACCGCGCAAACTTGAGCATTTTCGTGATCCAAAGGTAGTTTTAGCCTCGTAAAAAATATTCAGAAAAGGGTTGGATAGGAATACGATAATAACTCCATTGCAACCGGAAGTTTTCATGCATCGGAAGTGTATTTTTCAGCCTTCGAGGAAAAACATGACCTGGAAGTTCAGGATGGATGATTTCATGATCAAACATGGACTTTTCTCAAGTTATTTGATGTACTTTCTTTTCATTGCATTCATATCTTAAAATTTTTCAAACTAATACTCAAACCTTTTTACATAGAGTGCGATATAAAGATAGGTTCAATACACAGGATCAAAATCGAAAAAGAAGATCAACAGGTTCTCACCAATTTTTGCATTTTCAGAGATTTAAACAAGTTTTCAGACCTTCATTGAAAGAGGGAAGCCTCTCAAAGATCAAACTACTGACTAATGTCTAGGAGCCCATAAAACCGAGCTTTTTGATGGATTCAGGCAGCAACTGAAAGCCGAAAAAAAGGTTTTGAAAAATCATTCCAGCTGGCGTCTTGCTTGTACGTTGCCTTATTACCGCTTGCAGCGTTTTTATGGAAGGAAGGGTCCTAATTAAGAAACGTCGGGGGCCCTCATCCCACTAAATTTGAAGCGGAGGCGAGTTCATAGAAATTACAGCGTCTATCGAATTGAAATCTGAATGAGAAGGCCAGTATCCTTTCGGACGTGACTATAAAGAAAAATGCAAATTTCGCAAGTGGAAGAACTTTGGAAGAATCTGGATTTTTGTTTTCAACATTGCGTGAGGGATATTTGTTACTTTTAATTCTGTGCTGTTGATAAAACAATTTGAGAGCCCTAATTACTGGCTTTAGAAGAAAGCTTCACAAAATAAGGTTTTTGAGAGGCTGCGATGTCCTCACAAGAGTGAAAGGAGACTAGAGAAGCTGCTTTTGTAAAAACAGGCTGACTTTGGTCTTCGTTTTGCAGACGTTTTGTGAAGTTGAAAACTTCAAACACATCTACCTAAATTGAATAATGCGACCGCACTTACTGAGATGGCTGGCTACATGAGAATGAATTCAGAAAGCTCTGTCTAAGTTTTTCATTTAAATGATTTTGCAAAACTTTGACGTTTATCTGCTCTTAATTTTGTAAGCTGTAATCTGTAGAAAATATCATTTTCTAAACGGTCAAGTTATTTAGGACTTTTAAGGTCAGAGTAGAGAACTTTTTTTTTCCTTTGACGAAAAAAATCCTTGATACAGGTACTTGACTTTCTTCTAAGTTTTCTTAAAAATATTTTGCAGGTTGAGACTTTCAGAATCTTTTTCTGGTACATCAACAAGTGTTTTGGCCAAATTTCAGGAAATTTCCAGCCACGAAGTAAAATCACTTGCCTTGTAAGGCTCAAAAAAAGTCTAAAGTCAGCTCTGAAAATCCGTATAAGGTAAAGTCTAAGTGTCAGGATTTTAGTCGAGAATGTCAGAGATTTTTTTCTGCCTATCTTTAAAGAACTCAAATTTTTCCGAGAAGTTTTTACTTCTTGAGCGATCAGGTTCAAAAGATCACAGTTTGCTTCAAGATGACGTAGAATCTCTCTCTTCAAGAAACATTTCGCCTTCCAGTCTCTTTTTTTTGCAGAAATATCCAGCAAAGAAAGTTCTGTGTACGTTGGTTTGTACTTAAGAAGACACACTATTTGATCAGGAGTTCAGTTTGGTTTAATCTCTAGGCGTGGGCAGAAGCCGTGTTCTTTCAATTCAACGACAACTCAAAGAATCTTTGGCTCTGATTACTGAGCGTTTTTAACTTTATTTACTTTCACCCTGTACATTGTGTAAACAGGAAGCCGTCAAGGCGAGTTCCTCGGCTTGTCAAATATAACTCGGCAAGTCCATCGCGGGATCGAAACATCAGCCCACGTAAGCCGACCAAACGGTTTCGGATGGTTTCGGAGGTACAGGGCATCGAAGATCATCCTACGACGGAAAATTTATGGAAAACTACAAAATTATTTATATTCTATCAGCAAATGGTCTATTGGTGGCTGAATGAAGAGTTCGGGCGACTCAAAAATATCTTCCTCGGAGCTTTCCTGGTCAAAACTTTTGGAAAATACTAAAATTCTGTTAATCAATCGACTTATGGTACTTAACACTACAAATTCCAACATATTCCTCAATAAATCAACAAAAAACAAACCACTGAACAAGGAAAATGTTAAAAGCCCTTTTTTGTTCAAGAAACCTCGAGGTCATTTTTTTAATCAAACACTCTCTAATTAACAAAAGATTTATTTTTATATCAAATACCCCTTTATCTTAGATATAAAACAGTTAATTGAGAGATTTATACAAACTGGACATGAAAAATTGTCTCTAATCTCCACTTCCTAATGGAAAATACTTATTTCCCTAACCTTTCATTTTCCAATTAACCCATTTGGTGCCTTTCTCAGAATTTTCTAACAGCTCTATTCCATCTTTTCTTCTTTGAATAAATTCTGCTCCATTCAAACCTGACGTTTCCTTCAGAAATCAAAAAATTAGGTAAACCCAGACTTTTCTCACAATACTTTTCGGTAAACAGAAATGTTAAAACAAGTATTTGAAGAAACACTTTAAAAGAGGAGCGAACTGGTCGCCATTTGGTCTCAAAAAGTACGTGTTTCTTTCAAAGAACAGCAATAGAAATTTATTGGCAAAATTAATGAAATCCACAAAAATCAGTAAAATATTAAAAATTATTTTCAAGCCTATTTGTCCGATTTTTTGCCGAAATGACAAAAAAATTTGAGATTTTGTGCTAATTTAAATCGAATTCGAGGACTGAAAAGCTTTTTTTGAAAACTGAAGTTCGGTCATTTCAAATAGGTTCTTAGAACGTCGAAATGTAGGCTTTCATGCTAAGTTTTAGGCGTCATTTTTAAAATTTTTCGAAATTTGGAAGCTTATACCAGCTTTCCTCTAAATTGATCCCCACC